TGTACATCCAGGTCCTCATAGGTAAAAAAATTAGAATCTCATCAAAGTTAAATATGTTGTAAAATAATGATATTGGACCAACTTGTAAGTGGGAACATTATATTGGAAATGCATACTTCATGAGATAATCAACATTGGAGATGCTATTTTTAAGCGGGGGAATATACATACTTTAAATTGGAAACGTTATTATTCTTAAATAAAGCAAGCTACAGTTGTCTAGTCTTGACAACAAAATTTTTCAACATGTCAGGTATCCATTGATAACTTAAAATCAACAAGTTAATATGGCCCTTTTCGTACGCTCCGATTTTTAAAATGCTTGGTCAAATGCATGCTGGTGTGGTGTACACATGCGAAAGCTCAACGGAGATTTAATTTCTATTGTTCTGAATGATGATCCATGGGATTCTGAAATCTATTGACCTTAAAATTACGCGTTTCTTGATAGTAACCACCCCTTCAAACTTATATGAAACTTGTAAAGAATTGCAAGAAGAATACAATGGGTATTTATTTCAAGTCTCTAGTGTACATTGTTCACTTGATATTTAATGAGATACATTTTGCCATTTTTTTACTGTTTTCTAAGGATTAATCAGTATCTGTCATCAAAACATTTTGTTAAGCATTACTAAACATTGTAGACCAAAAAATTTCCTATCGAATGAGCTATTGCTTGAAGCTTTGGCATGACTCTATCATGAGATATTGAAAATCTTGTCCTGATCAAAAAATCATTACCAGATTTTTTGCTTGCTATCACAGGCAGATTTTAAAGAAAAATCCATGATTTTGCATGATACTCTTTTTTGACCATATCTCGACAAATACTCACTGGATTCGCACAAAACAAAGACCGTTCGATAGCTCTACGTTAGTCCTATTATAATATAAGGGTTTCAAGTACCAGATGTACGCTCCCTTCATAAACTTGCTCAAAATCATATATTTTATGAGCTACAAGCAGGGAATATTCAACTTTTTATTTATTTATCTACAATAACCATACCATTGTATAGAAGATTGAAGAAGAAACAGAAGTTATTAAGCTTGAAGCTCTCGTTCACTTGGTAAAATCTAGCGGTATGGCTCTTTGAAAATCGGTCATTTTGAACATTTTCCGTCATTACTCACTGACATCGCCTTCAGTAACCCCACATCAAACATGCCCTACTCAATCAAAGTATCCTCTACAACTTTTACTACACATACATTCCGCATTCATATAGTAATTAAAAAGTTTTACTAGCAGCATCTATTCAAAATTAACTATTTTCTAAAATCACCCTTTTCTCAACAACCATGCTACCTACGCAAATTTCAATTGCACCATCGTTTAGAGGGCCAAAAACTGGTATAGGAACATGCTAGTCTCAAGACTCTAGCATCAATGTTTGGAAAATCGATTTTCGATCGTCCAAAAGTTGAAAACCTCAAAAATCAAAAAACATTTTGTACATCCAGGTCCTCATAGGTAAAAAAATTAGAATCTCATCAAAGTTAAATATGTTGTAAAATAATGATATTGGACCAACTTGTAAGTGGGAACATTATATTGGAAATGCATACTTCATGAGATAATCAACATTGGAGATGCTATTTTTAAGCGGGGGAATATACATACTTTAAATTGGAAACGTTATTATTCTTAAATAAAGCAAGCTACAGTTGTCTAGTCTTGACAACAAAATTTTTCAACATGTCAGGTATCCATTGATAACTTAAAATCAACAAGTTAATATGGCCCTTTTCGTACGCTCCGATTTTTAAAATGCTTGGTCAAATGCATGCTGGTGTGGTGTACACATGCGAAAGCTCAACGGAGATTTAATTTCTATTGTTCTGAATGATGATCCATGGGATTCTGAAATCTATTGACCTTAAAATTACGCGTTTCTTGATAGTAACCACCCCTTCAAACTTATATGAAACTTGTAAAGAATTGCAAGAAGAATACAATGGGTATTTATTTCAAGTCTCTAGTGTACATTGTTCACTTGATATTTAATGAGATACATTTTGCCATTTTTTTACTGTTTTCTAAGGATTAATCAGTATCTGTCATCAAAACATTTTGTTAAGCATTACTAAACATTGTAGACCAAAAAATTTCCTATCGAATGAGCTATTGCTTGAAGCTTTGGCATGACTCTATCATGAGATATTGAAAATCTTGTCCTGATCAAAAAATCATTACCAGATTTTTTGCTTGCTATCACAGGCAGATTTTAAAGAAAAATCCATGATTTTGCATGATACTCTTTTTTGACCATATCTCGACAAATACTCACTGGATTCGCACAAAACAAAGACCGTTCGATAGCTCTACGTTAGTCCTATTATAATATAAGGGTTTCAAGTACCAGATGTACGCTCCCTTCATAAACTTGCTCAAAATCATATATTTTATGAGCTACAAGCAGGGAATATTCAACTTTTTATTTATTTATCTACAATAACCATACCATTGTATAGAAGATTGAAGAAGAAACAGAAGTTATTAAGCTTGAAGCTCTCGTTCACTTGGTAAAATCTAGCGGTATGGCTCTTTGAAAATCGGTCATTTTGAACATTTTCCGTCATTACTCACTGACATCGCCTTCAGTAACCCCACATCAAACATGCCCTACTCAATCAAAGTATCCTCTACAACTTTTACTACACATACATTCCGCATTCATATAGTAATTAAAAAGTTTTACTAGCAGCATCTATTCAAAATTAACTATTTTCTAAAATCACCCTTTTCTCAACAACCATGCTACCTACGCAAATTTCAATTGCACCATCGTTTAGAGGGCCAAAAACTGGTATAGGAACATGCTAGTCTCAAGACTCTAGCATCAATGTTTGGAAAATCGATTTTCGATCGTCCAAAAGTTGAAAACCTCAAAAATCAAAAAACATTTTGTACATCCAGGTCCTCATAGGTAAAAAAATTAGAATCTCATCAAAGTTAAATATGTTGTAAAATAATGATATTGGACCAACTTGTAAGTGGGAACATTATATTGGAAATGCATACTTCATGAGATAATCAACATTGGAGATGCTATTTTTAAGCGGGGGAATATACATACTTTAAATTGGAAACGTTATTATTCTTAAATAAAGCAAGCTACAGTTGTCTAGTCTTGACAACAAAATTTTTCAACATGTCAGGTATCCATTGATAACTTAAAATCAACAAGTTAATATGGCCCTTTTCGTACGCTCCGATTTTTAAAATGCTTGGTCAAATGCATGCTGGTGTGGTGTACACATGCGAAAGCTCAACGGAGATTTAATTTCTATTGTTCTGAATGATGATCCATGGGATTCTGAAATCTATTGACCTTAAAATTACGCGTTTCTTGATAGTAACCACCCCTTCAAACTTATATGAAACTTGTAAAGAATTGCAAGAAGAATACAATGGGTATTTATTTCAAGTCTCTAGTGTACATTGTTCACTTGATATTTAATGAGATACATTTTGCCATTTTTTTACTGTTTTCTAAGGATTAATCAGTATCTGTCATCAAAACATTTTGTTAAGCATTACTAAACATTGTAGACCAAAAAATTTCCTATCGAATGAGCTATTGCTTGAAGCTTTGGCATGACTCTATCATGAGATATTGAAAATCTTGTCCTGATCAAAAAATCATTACCAGATTTTTTGCTTGCTATCACAGGCAGATTTTAAAGAAAAATCCATGATTTTGCATGATACTCTTTTTTGACCATATCTCGACAAATACTCACTGGATTCGCACAAAACAAAGACCGTTCGATAGCTCTACGTTAGTCCTATTATAATATAAGGGTTTCAAGTACCAGATGTACGCTCCCTTCATAAACTTGCTCAAAATCATATATTTTATGAGCTACAAGCAGGGAATATTCAACTTTTTATTTATTTATCTACAATAACCATACCATTGTATAGAAGATTGAAGAAGAAACAGAAGTTATTAAGCTTGAAGCTCTCGTTCACTTGGTAAAATCTAGCGGTATGGCTCTTTGAAAATCGGTCATTTTGAACATTTTCCGTCATTACTCACTGACATCGCCTTCAGTAACCCCACATCAAACATGCCCTACTCAATCAAAGTATCCTCTACAACTTTTACTACACATACATTCCGCATTCATATAGTAATTAAAAAGTTTTACTAGCAGCATCTATTCAAAATTAACTATTTTCTAAAATCACCCTTTTCTCAACAACCATGCTACCTACGCAAATTTCAATTGCACCATCGTTTAAAGGGCAAAAGCGGGGTTTCAAACCAGCCAAAACTCCGGTATCGGGATTTGAAAATATTTGTGGTGTTTCATTTTACTTCGTTTGACTCAAGGCACTAGTCTTCTTTGATAAAGCTCACTCATATGTCTACTATTACTAGCAGATATTAACAGTCTATAAAGGCAGTTTATAGTTTGAAGTGTCTTGTATCAGACCGAACTGGATAGATGCTTAATGATACAGTGCCATAGAATTGCTACGTCAAAGAGGGCCATTGCAGACTAAATCCTACTTTGTCTCATGTAGGGGTAATAAGTAATACACTATACATTATGGATGTTATATTGTATATCATAGATATATACCGAAAAATTTATATGAGTAATTCGTTCTTCTAGCGCTACATGCTTCTGTACAATTTCAAAAAGCAATCAGAATTGAGAGCACAGCAGCGACACGGTAGATCAAAAGGCATTAATTTTGCATCTTCATGTCCAAATGCATGAGCATGAAGATTGGTTTCATAAGGGTCAACAATTTGAAGTATACATGCAGACGCTAATGTAATAGAAAAAGGATTAGAAGCAATCTCACATAGAAGTCTATTAAAAAACGCTCAACGCATATAGAGACAAATCAATCATCATTATGGCCAAGCTTTATTTCTCTCGTGATAGTTGTTGATTAAAATAATTAGTTGAGATGTGCCTGAATGTTTGTTAAAAATAAAGTGGTATGCATTACGAAAGCATTCATAATGAGAAGCTTATTTGTGGTCTGCTTCATTCAAATTGTTGTTTGCAGGAGCCTTTTCCATTTGTTTCAAGCTTCGTTCTAAGGAGTCTATACGTGTTGTCATCTCTTCTACTAAATTTCGAATGAATCAGACTATTCCAAGCTTTAAGACACACTTTCTATTTACATTTTTTGTTCATATTAATGCTAACATCATCAACTTTTGATTGCTTTGTAATATAAAAAGGTTAGAGTCGAGTACAAGATGCCGTATTGCGTCGATGTTGTTCATACTAGTTTGTTTGCTACATTAACAAGCTTTGGTCGAAATCAAAGCTAGTTGAGTAAAGGCATTCAATAAAAGTAGAATATTTCAGCTTACATAAACAGCTAATTCGTCTGTAGTGTTTTGGGTATTGTTTAAATTAGAATCTTGAGTAGTTGTCATTTCTGTTTAGCAAGAAAAATAATGGAAAGATTGAATGATTGAGGCGAAAGCATCCACTATTTATAGGAGTCACGACGGGCGAAAGGCTGCTTATTGCCCTTTTTCCTCTCTTACAGAACACGATGTCTGATACCAACACCAACCAGGAACCCGTTCTCACTGATGAACAGATTCTCGAATTCGAGCAACAAATTAAAGATGAGGAAGCTCAAAAAGTAATATTCATCTAGGCAATGTTTGATCGCCAATATATCTAAAGAAAATCACCACTTCCAGATACCCTTAGTTTGTCAAGTAGCCTCCATCGATACCCTAAAAGAAGAATTCGAGGGCAATGAACCCTTTCTGAAGAAAATTGGAGTAATTTACAAGCAAAAGCTTTGTCAGAAATAGCTACTGAGATGTGTATTTTATACAGAATTTGAGCAAGGTCCATGACAAAATCAGAAAATGTCGTGGCGATGGTAAATTTTGTCTATTATGCAAAACACAAAAAAATTCGTCTAACAGTTCTTTGCAGGTAACTGCTTCTACCGAGGTATGTGCATTTTGTAATGTCGAGAGAGTACTATATCTAAATATGTACTACAGCTTTATCGTTTGCTTGGTTCGAGAGTGCAATGAAGAACAAAGCAATATACAATGAACGTCTTGTTAAACTCAAGCAGACCTGCGAACTTTTGGAATTGAGTGGATTTGAAAAACTAGCTTTCGAGGATTTTTATGATGTGACACTCCAGCAATACGAAAGCATGAATCAAAATGATCCTGACATGCTCTTGGTTGGATTTCAATCTGATGAAATCAGCAATGCCATTGTTATGCACTTCCGATTCATTGCTTCAGCCTTTCTCCGTATTCATGCTGCAGAATATGAGCCGTTTCTGACTGATGAAATGGTATCAATTGACGAGTTCTGTTCAATGCATGTAGAGGCATTTGGTAGAGAATCGGATCATTTGCAAATTATTGCGCTTAGCAGAGCTTTGGATGTGCCTATCCAGGTCGTCTATTTGGACGGTGGTGTTGATGATGAGGCTGCTATTCATGAATTCTGGCCATCCGACCAGGATGAACGGGAGAAGACTAAGACACCTATCAAGTTGATCTACAGACCTGGTAATTATCTCCATATCTTATAAACAACAGATTAAACTAATATGTTTGATGTAGGTCATTATGATATTTTATATGAAAAGATGTGAGCGTGCTGCTAATTATGTTCAATAAACTCGATTTCAGGAGACTTTTTGTTTGGCACAAATATTACTACGGTATGGTTGTAAGGCTGGACCGCAGCAATCACTGTATTTATTCGATGGAAAATACTGCAACTTGAATGGTTCAATATGAAAATAGATCTGTTGCCAATGTAACTACATTTGCATAGTCTTCATAGTGATACCAATCCTTGTCAACGGAGGCGAATTTTGATGTAACTTTTGTCAATGTGTCAATCATGCCTAGCATTTCACTTGGACTTTTCAGATGAGGACAATCAAATAAGATTTGCGTGAATTCGCTCTGATCGTACAACATTCTGGGCGTGGTGATCTTGTTCTTGGGGTCCTTCAGCACCATGAGCATATTCCGGATGATACATCTTCCAATACAGGTCCTGTGTAGCAGTTGTTCTTTCACTTCTGGCACTGTTTGAAGTACCTGGATGCCAATCATTAAGAGAGCCAAAAAGGCTACACCACTATCGCCAGCTGATGTACTTTCATAATATCGTCTGCATATAAATTGTATGGTTTCCTTTAGTTTGCAACCGATAGTTTCGTCAGTTTCTGCAAACTGAACAGCTTCTCTGGAACTATTCAGCTGCTGACAGATTTGTTTGATTTGTGCCAATAAAAAGGTAAACTCCTTGATTATGTCTTGGTCATTTCCTGAAAATGATTCTGGTATATTGTGCATCTCAGCTAGCTTTTTGAATGGAAGGGATCTGGCATTGTCAATGATACAATAGGTAGAGTTGCTATCGTCATCACTGCTTGTATCCTCAAGATCTTTTCCTTTGTCGTTGTCGTCGTAGTATAGTTCATCATAGCCACACCTGACAACCGTTGTTGAGCTAGCAGACGATCTGGTCGCAATTGATTGAGGCCGAACGGCTTGATCTCTTCTAGGTTTCTTGGGAATCTTTTTTCTTTCAAACAAAGAATAGATACTAGAAAAATAAGACGAAGACATTTTCACAGGCAAAAGAAAAAGAGAAAGGGAAAAAAAGGTGGTTTTTGACATTGATCTAGAATTTGTTACTGTGTGTCGATTTCTGTGCATGTCATGCGCAAAAAAAAAGGGGGAGTTTATACAGATAAAATAGGCATTTTCGATAAAATAGAAAAAAATTGTATGTACAAATGTATGGCTGCGTATTTAAAAGGTTTCATCTTGGTTGGGGCAATCTTCAGTAGTATGATCACCCACATCATCGCAATTATCGCAATACTAGTGTCCGAGCACAGTTAGTAAAAAAAAAAAAAAAAAAAAAAAGACTCCTTTCACACTTTGATCCATACATACCTTCCCTAAAGATAGGTCAGATTTACATTGCAAAACGTCATGTCCGTAGTTATCACATAGCTCGCAGTAGTCTTCGTTTAGATGAGCCTTGGATTTGGATTGAGCAGTACTTGCTGGTGGAGGCGTGGGGGATGTGGTTGTCATTGTGTTGGTCGGCGATATGAGAAAGTTTTTCAGACTTTCATTAGTCTGATTCTTGAGGTCCTGTAGCTCTCTTTGTAAGCTTGCCACCTTCTTTCTTTCTGCTTCCAGTTTTTCCTCTAAATCCGCTTCGCTAAACACTCGGCTTTCGACCAAAGACTCTAGTTCTGCCAAATCCTTGCTTAGTTGATTTACTTGATTCTTTTCTGCTGATAAACTGTGTCTATGCGTTTCGTTTTCTTTCTCCAATTGCTGTATTTTCTCTTGCAATTCCTTGTCGTTGCCGTGGGCTGCTTGAGCAGTTGCTAATCCACCTCCTTCAATGTTGCTTAAGGGCCTCTTTAAATCTTGCTTTTCAAGAGCCAGCATTTCATCCATTAAATTGTTAAAATCTTGCTCCAGCTGCTTATTTGATTCAATCAATTCGGCATTTTCCTTCTCCAGTGCCATCTTGGACAATTTCATTTGATAGTGCTCGTCTTCTGCCTTAGCTTGTGCTTCGAATGCGTTGTCAGCCTCTTCAATGAGTCGCTTCTTATCAGCCAATTCCCTCTCGAAATCAGCTTGCAAGCTTTCAAACTTTTGCTCAACAGAGAGCGTCTGCTGCCTGGCTTGATTGAGCTCCAGCTTCAACTGATCCACCTCATGTCCCATGGTGACAATGGTGAGTCTTTCGTTATCCAGTTCTGCCATTGCCAATTCAAGCTGCTCTTCTAATCGGTGTCTTTGATCTGCTTCATCCGTGCTAGCACCAATTTCTGTGCTAAGGGCATTTGTATGGCCACGGCTCATCTCGTTGAGTCGTGTTTCGATATCTCGTTCATCGTCATCAAATAAGGTACTTTGCTTGTATTTCAAATCTGCAATCGTGTAATCTAATTGCTGAATGTGCTGGTCCTTTTGTTGTAAATCCAACTCGTGCTGTTGCTTCAATTGAATGACCGATTCCTCATAAGCATGGATTGCTTCTAATCCAGCTCTTCTCAGTTCCTCACATTCCTTCTCTAATGACGCTGCCGTAGCTTCACTTGCTGATGCTTCCTTTCTCACTTGCTCCACAGTGCCGGCATGTTCTCTATTCAACCGCAATTGCTCATCTTTGGTCGCTTGAAGTTGATTCTGTAATTCGCGCACCAAGTTCTCTAGTCGCTCAATGCGCCGCTGATCTTGAGATTGCTTTTCTTCGTCTCTTTGATTTTTGGCTAGTGATGCATCGCGTTCGGCTAAATTGTGCTGTAGCTGTTCTACTGTCAATTGTGCCTGCTCCAATTCCCTAGATAAGCGTTGGCATTGACTTTCACCTTCTTGTACCTGCAACGAGAGGCTTTCTTTAGACGACACCAATCGCTCCCATGCAGTCTCTTTGCTCTTCATTTGCATCAGCAGTTGATCTCTTTCTCTTTGAGTCTTTTCCAGCATCTCGTAGAGCTGATCGGTTGTATCTTGCTGCTCTGTTTGTCGCTGGCTAAGTACAGGTGATGGCGTTACGGGTGGAGGAGTGGGTGTAGGTGGAATTGGCGTTTGCTTCTTTGGAGTTTGAGTGATGGGAGGCGGAGTAGGAGTTGATTTCTTGTTAATTGCGGGTAATGAAGAGGTGGAAGATGTTGAGGTAGTAGCGGCTGAAGTAACAGTAGCAGCAGAAGCAGAAGCAGAAAGGGTAGATACAGCACCCGTCGAGTTGTTTGTAGCGGGTGGAGCAGGAGACGACGGCGATTTGGTCTTGGGTATGGTTGACGTGCGCAAGGTATGTGATTTCCTGGTTGATGTGGAAGTGGATGCACTTAATCTCACACTGGAGCTTCCAGAGCCATTTCTCGTTAACGGTAAATTGGATCGACGCGTGGTAGGAGGGGTGACTGAGGACGATGGTTTCGCTGCTGCTGGCAAAGGAGGCGAATGTATGACAACCTTTTCTACTGCAATAAACAGACCTGATTTGGCTGGACATGTGAAATATCTCTTGCTAAAAAATGTGTGTCGACATCAGTATTCCGATTGAAAACATCCTTGATGAAATATTCATTTACCCCTGAACACTGCCATCATTCTTTCCTTTCCCTTTCTCGTCAAGCTCAATACCAGCAAAGATGCCAGGCTTACCATCCACTGAACCCACAAATCGAAGTGTGCCAGTCATATTGTCTAGCGTTGGTAGGGTCACGCGTTGTCCTGTTCGGCTGGCTTCTTCCTCTTTGGCTTGGAATCGATTCTTGGGCGTTCGCACTGGAATTGAGGGTAGTCTACTTTGAATTCTTGACATTTTTGAAGTTGGAAGTAATGTTGGAAAAAGAAAAAGAAGAAGAGAAGGGGAAAGGACAAGGATTATTACATTTATCTCGGCTGGCATTTTTATGTCCAGACAAATGGTCCCATTGATTTACAGGCACGCCAGATCAATCAGATGCTCTTTGTGAATGACTCCAACTGATTCAATTAGGATGTAAATATTCTGCTTTTTTTTATCAATTCCTCAAGCCATATGCGAGCAGGTTTCTTTCAAAGTATTGCAAACTTGTTGATACTTGAATAGCCACATATATGCCAAATGTTGGCATTACACTCCGTGAAGTATACATGAAGATTGGCATCTACAGAAACAAGAGATAACACTACCCGTGTAATACGTTTCACTGAATTAAACCATTTATGCATCGTCTCCATGATCCACTGCTTTTGATATACAAACATGAGATAGCGCTTTCTTGATTCATATTAGCAACAATGAGATAAGTCATGTCTTTGAGTAGATTCGCAGCGCTTGTCATGATACAAATGTTCGCAATCATGCTGACCAGGCGTGGAAGCCCATATTCTGAGACATGAATAGGACACACAATGCTGTGATATAGCGGCACATACTGAGCACATACGCTTTCTTTAGATATTGCAACAATAATCCGTCTGCATTGGCTTGCAGAGATTGTTTCTTTTATTTTGCATTATATACAATCAGAAATAAATACATTTAGTTGTCGGCTTGAACCCACTCGACGTTGGAAGGAGTCCAGTCAATGAGCTCACCAGCCTTACCAAACCACAAACCAATCTCCTTCTCAGCAGCCTCGAAAGAGTCGGAACCGTGAATGATGTTTCTACCAACAGAGATCTGTTTCGCGCAATGATGTTGTTAGATTCGTCTAGAAAGGTTTGTCGACATCAACTTACACAGTAGTCACCACGGATAGTACCAGGTTCAGAAGCGAGAGGATCAGTAGCACCGAGCATGCGGCGACCTTGCTTGATGACATCCTTACCTTCCCAGACCTATTTATAAAGAATTTAGCTTCTATAACCATCAACGTGTTGTATAAAATCATACCATGGCGACAACGGGAGTACCGCTGCTGATGTACTTGACGAGACCGGCAAAGAAAGGACGCTCCTTGAGATCATCATAATGCTTTTCAGCCATTTCCTTGGAAGGAGCAATAGCCTTCAAACCAACGAGCTTGTAACCACGTTCTTCGAATCTTTGGATAATCTTACCGACCAATCCGCGTTGGACACCATCAGGCTATTTCAGGTGATTTCAGTCTATTTGCTTTTCATTTCTGTTGAAGTTTGTCCTGCTTACCTTGATAGCAATGAAAGTACGCTCGCTGAAGGTACCCCTATCATACGTGTCACTAAATCAACGTGGCTGTATTATCATTAGACACCATGGCAACTTACTTGACACCAGCAATAGGCTTAGAATCAGCAGCAACAGGCTCTAGAGGAGAAGTACAGTTAGCCTTTTGATCAATCAAACCATATTGGCAAGCCACTTACTTTGAAGATAAGCATAGGAGAGAGCACTGGCAGTAACAACGCCAGCAGTAGCCATGGCCATGTGGCGAGAAGCAGCAGAGGCAGTGGCACGGCTAGCAGTGGCGAAAGTGCGAGCTAATTAAACCATACGCGTTAGGTTTTGCCTTTGATTTATAGATGAATGACGTCTTACCCTTGATGGAAGCAGTAGCAGGTCTGACAGCTGCATAGCACAAATAGACATGAGCATTGACAATTCACCAACCTTTATATGAATACATTACCGAAACGGGCAGCGGTACGAGCGAACATTGTTTTGATGATTTGAAATGTGAAGTAAAAGAAAAAAAACGCAAGAAACTCTCTAGGTTATTTCTTTTATAACAGCCTATTGCGCTAATACTCCTTTGAGCATCTATATTTACATGAGGGGATTATCTTGATCCCATTGGAAAACCTTAAAACAAACCGGGGGCTCCATCTTAATTGCATCACACAAACTTCCAAATGCAATCGGATTTATACAGTCGCCCTCAAATATACACAGAGTATACAAAGCCTATTCCAGATGCTTATCAAAGATGAACAGAAAGATATGTTTAACTGAGCCTAAAGATGTAGCAATGTATATCAACGCCTTTAACGTTCAGTTACATTGCAGGTTTGCATGAAATTGTAAGCAGATCAAAAGGTAGTTGAAATGACCATAACAGATCACGTATCTTCCATGCGGATGCTTGCCGTCTCCATGGCAATCATATTCATCAGCTGTCAAATGTTAAAGTCGCAGATCATATTATCTGATGAGATTCAGGCACGACTACCTTGGTGATTTGGCCTAGACATTTAGCATGATGTTTAATTCTTGGATGGCTTTTGTGGCTTTGGATGCCCACTCATGCTTTGAGCATTGGGATACCGTGTTCAAGATAGAACGCCAAATGTGAACCAAGTGACTCTTTTGACTTGATCGGACCACTTAAAATTTTTTTTCGGTATAACAATCTGAACATGGCATGCTATATGATGGTTCTTTCCTTTTCTCCTTTGTGAGCTTATAATCTATAATTGAAATGTCTGCTGAATACGAGGGTGCTATTGGTATCGATTTGGGTACTACGTAAGTAGAGTTCTGACCAGACCCATCATGTGGTTACGTTCTTGCTGCATATTCAACATCATACATTTGGATTGAATAATGCAAGAAAAGACATTGATGAGACACATAACGCAACATTTCCGACATTTAATATTAATGCCATTTTATCCAACTTATAGCTACTCCTGTGTTGGTGTTTGGGAATCCGAGCGTGTTGAAATCATTGCTAACGAGCAAGGTAACCGTACTACTCCTTCTTACGTTGCCTTCTCTGACAATGAGCGTCTTGTCGGTGATGCTGCCAAGAACCAAGCTGCCATGAACCCCAAGAACACCGTCTTCGATGCCAAGCGTCTTATTGGTCGTCGTTTCGATGATCCTGAGGTTAAGGAAGATATGAAGAACTGGCCTTTCACCGTTGTTGATAACAACGAAAACCCTTTCGTTCAAGTCGAATTCGAGGGTGAGACCAAGACCTACTCTCCTCAAGGTAAATGGAAAATTTTTTCGCTTGCGTTTGAGTGTGACGATTTTGACGTCAAATGTGTTGATAGAAATCTCCTCCATGGTTCTCATCAAGATGAAGGAAATTGCTGAGGCCAAGCTCGGTAAGAAGGTCTCCAAGGCTGTTGTCACTGTCCCCGCTTATTTCAACGACAGTAAGTAGAGCTTGATTTTGGTAAAGACGTGGGAAATGCTAATAGACACAATTAGGTCAACGTCAAGCCACTAAGGATGCCGGTACCATTTCTGGTCTTGATGTTCTCCGTATCATCAACGAACCTACTGCCGCTGGTAAGTTTCTGATATTAAACATGGTTGCAAGAGTACAGAAGTTGACGCATGATTCATTCTAGCTATTGCCTACGGTTTGGATGCCAACGACAAGAAGGAACGTAACGTCCTCATTTTCGATTTGGGTGGAGGAACCTTCGATGTCTCTCTCTTGACCATCTCTGGTGGTGTCTTTGCTGTCAAGGCCACTGCTGGTAACACTCACTTGGGTGGTGAAGATTTTGATAACACTCTTGTCAACCACTTTGTCCAAGAGATCAAGCGTAAGCACAAGAAGGATATCACTGGTGATGCCCGTGCTCTCCGTCGTCTTCGTTCCGCTTCCGAGCGTGCTAAGCGTACCTTGTCTTCTTTGACTCAAACCACTGTTGAAGTTGATTCTCTCTTCGATGGTGTTGATTTCCAATCCAACATCACCCGTGCCAAGTTTGAGGAAATCAACTCTGCTGCTTTCCAAGGTACTGTTGAGCCCGTTGAGCGTGTCCTCAAGGATGCCAAGATTGACAAGAAGAAGATTGATGAAATCGTTCTTGTTGGTGGTTCTACCCGTATCCCCAAGATCCAATCTCTCCTCCAAGACCTCTTTGATGGTAAGGAATTGAACAAGTCCATCAACCCTGATGAGGCTGTTGCCTACGGTGCCGCTGTCCAAGCTGCCGTCCTCACCAACCAAGCCGGTAACGAGAAGACCCAAGATCTCCTTTTGTTGGATGTTGTCCCTCTTTCTCTCGGTGTTGAGATGCAAGGTGGTATCATGGCTGTTGTTGTTCCCCGTAACACTCCTATTCCTTGTCAAAAGTCCAAGGTTTTCACCACTGCCGCTGATAACCAAACCACTGTTACCTTCCCTGTTTACGAAGGTGAGCGTTTGATGACCAAGGAGAACAACCTTTTGGGTGAGTTCTCTCTCTCCGGTCTTATCCCTGCTCCCCGTGGTACTCCTGAGCTTCTCTGTACCTTCGATCTTGATGCCAACGGTATCTTGAAGGTCACTGCTCAAGATAAGACTACTGGTCGCAAGGCTGATGTTACCATCTCCAACTCTACTCGTCTCTCTGCCGCTGATATCGACCGTATGGTTGAGGATGCTGCCAAGAACGCTGATGCTGATAAGGAGCGTGAAGCTGTTGTCCAAGCCAAGCAAGATCTTGAGTCTTATGTCTACCAAGTTGAGAACAACATCTCTGACCCCAACGTCAACATGAAGCTCCGTCGTGGTGATCGTGAGGCTATCGAGACCGCTCTCGCTGAAGCTATGGAACTCATGGAACTCTCTGCTGAGGATGCTAAGGCTGATGACCTCAAGTCTGCTCAATCCAAGTTGAAGCGTGCCTCTACTCGTGCTTTTGCTCACGTCTACTCTCAACGTCGTTAAATTCCTCTTTTGTTGATTCATCAGCGATAAAATGATTTTATAAAAAAAAGGATTACTTTCTTTACTTGTTTATATATATAAAAAATTACATTTCTCATTTTAAATTACCCGCTGTTCAATGCTGTGTATAAAGTGTTGTTGGCTACTGTGAACTTGGCATGCAATTGCTTTTCATTTAGAACGCATCCAAAGACATCCTTCAAGAACGAACCTTTGGGGTTTTCAGCATTCGCATTCACTGTATCACTACATGTACATCTTAGGGTCAGCAGGACGCATACATGCTAGATCTATTCAAGTAAAGAAAAAGAAGAAAAAGGAAGGAGGACAAAGAGGAAGCAAAAGGAGGAGAAAACAGAGCCAAGTACATGCCTGGAAAACAGCAGTGATCCAAGAATCTCTTGAATATGATTGTAGAACCCAATCAATGCCACAGCACAAGTACAGCAACCGGCAGGGTAAGTTTAGACAAATTGAAGATAGACAGAAAGAGGGGAATATTAAGGAGGCAATCTTTCTTGAGTTTATAGCATGTCAAAAAGGATAAGCGGAAGAGCCATCGACCGGAAATGAATCCATACCACATAAAAACTAGACAATGATGCTGATGATGATGATGTTTATGATGGAGCAACGGCATAATTAATGGCCCCCTTGGATCGATGCCGCACTAATTTTATCGTAATTAAAAATCATTGAATGTTTGTATAACAACAAGCACTTGATTTTGACGTTAAATTAATATTCTCTTTTGCTAAAATTAAGCTGAACCTTATCTAGACATACAAGGAGACGCCTACCACCACACCTTTTTGTGTTTTCTATACTCTGCTGTTACTTATAGCCATATATGTAGCCTCACTATGCTGAATAAGGAGAGATTGCGAATTTCATATTAATGTAAATCTTCAAGGAAGCCTATTAATATATTTAATATAGAGATAAATTTAGTAGACGTAGCAAATCAGCATATGTACTGTGCAAGTAGAGAAGCATCTCAATTTGTATTGATCTGCTACACTGATAAAACTTTAATAGAACAGTGCATATGCAAGGTACATTCACTATAATAATAGTTTTACACATGGTATATAGCAACAACGGACAGTTGGCAGCGAGACACCCTCGCTACATACTGCATGATGAGGAGCGAATACAACAGGCTGCAAACACAAAGAACAAGAGCCAGGGGGGAGAGATAGAGTATACAGGGAATTGAGGGAGAGCAAGAGATCATATTGAAATTTGGACAGTTTATATGTATTGTATTATAAGGGAGCATTGGATATAGTGACAAGGTTGACTTTGCACTTCCATTACAATCCATACTATACATAGGGAGATCTGTGAATAGAGATGGCTCCTCTGTTTCTCTTTCTCTTTCTCACTTTTTTTTTTTTTTTTATATGAATTGATATTCATCCCCCCCCTTGAGATACTGACAAACATTGAATCATGTACAAAGTACACATCAAAGATGTAATAGCAAAAGAGTGTGGATGTAGGTGTGTGAGAAAGAGAGATGCAACTTGCTTTTATCACTGCAGATATGCTGTGTACCTGATATTTCCGATATGATGAAAGCCGATAGTCTGTTCCAGCCAAGGTGAAGAGATTGCGATTGTGGCAACTACATGATGTCTATAAAGTCAATAGACAACAAAATTGTAAATTAGAAATAAGAACAGGGATTTTTTGAGGAGATGGTACATTACATAAATTTACTATTTGGGGAGAACAAGAAAGAGAAAGGGTCAGTATCAGTGATGGTATATTTGGGGGGGAGGGGAGTTACAAGCTTTTTGATGCTACTGTTTAGTAGGTTTTGTAAGGGGATAAAGTTTATTACAAGTTTACATGCTACAATAGTGTGAGACTATAAAAACGTCTGATTCCTTCATGAAATTTCTTCTTTCCCTCTTTCTCCTCGTCTTGTTAACATATCAAATCACATACAAACATGAAGTCTACTTGCGTCTTACCCTCACTTTCAGATTTATTGAACCCTACAACAGCACCTTACTATAATCATCATCAACCACAACAGCAAAGATACACAAGACCGTCATCCCATTCAGTGCTCCAAGTATCTAATCTGCTCACAGAAGACGACATGGAGGACTATGACGACGAGCCCGTAAAAGCTAAAAGAAAAAGGGCTTCTCCAACTCAATTGAGTGTTCTCAACCGAGTGTTTGAACAGACATTTTTCCCTTCAACAGAGCTACGAATGGAATTGGGAAAACAACTTGGTATGAGCCCAAGAACAGTTCAGATTTGGTTTCAAAACAAGCGTCAATCCATAAGAACACGAGAGCGAGTCGTGACCCATATCGCATCGCCACCCATTTCACCTTCAATTCGACATTATGCATCTCCACCACCACCACCTACAAACCATCATCATTATAGCCAGAAGCCTGCCCACATCTCGCTTCCTCCACTTCGACTACCTCCACCACCTACGTTTCCATTGACCCCATCTTCATCGGTGCAATCGAGCCCAAACTCCTTTGATAACTCGATTCTCTTTCGTGATTACTGATATACATACGACTCACTCGCTCGCTCTTTCTTTGCTATTTAACATGTGTATGTGAATTTCTTCTTCTTTTTTCCCCCTTTTTATAGCTATATTTTCTTTCTGTCTATCAAATCTATGTTTAATATTCTTTCCTTTCTATGTTCAAATATATATATATATATATATATATATATTATGCAAAAATCAACTCGAAAAATCAACTCACTTACAACTGCCATAGTACGCAAATATACATATCATCCTTTGTCCTCCCTTTTTGAATAAAGATCGACATTTTCCTTGTTTCTTCAGTAATAAAGGACCAGTCTGTCGGTTTGTTATTAGTATCCTACCTTGATACATGTAACGATCTGCTAATTTTATTAATCATTTGCTGAGCTGCATGCGCCGCACTAAGAATCAAGTAAAATGTGATCTCAATGGGGGGGGGGAGAGGGGGAGGGATTACAGAGGAGAGTGTCAACAAGAAGTTGATGAAGAGGAGAAAAACTTGCTTTCTTTCTTTACTGTCTACAGACACACGCTTAGATAGACAAGAGCACGGCCTTGACTTGTATTTGGAAAGTATATTGCCTGTTTACTGTTACATTACATTCTAGTATTTTCCACTTGAAGAGTAAATATACACGATCAGTTCTAAAGGAGTAAATGTGTGAGAAATAGCCATCAAGTTGGCTTTTATTTTAATATCAAATAAACGTGTGCATAAATACATATAGTTGTTGGTGTTGATTTTACGGATTGCGCATATATGTTTACCTTTCGTTTGTAGATAGTTTTATTTGAATGATGTCCGCTTCCCTTGGTCTCTTAACGTATTCTTTTGACGGGTTTTAAGTAGCTACCATGGCCACTCTTCTCTCAGCATATTGTGATGTAGAAATCAGTGTAAGAGCAAGAGACAGGAGGCATGTACCACCGTAACATCAAGCAAGAAAGTCAGTGTTTACAAGATTGGGTTTGACTTGTTGGCTGATATGGTAACACAATCCAACAAACAATCAAGATGAATGTCTCCCTTTTTTACCATAATGTACCACTTTTTAAAACTTCATAATGCTAGTTATCTCTTGTATCACAACCATATAAAAGGCTGCTCTTTATATTGTAACGGCTCGCGTGAATTAGATTCATTTTAGTTGCGATTGTACCAAACGATAAACTATAAATGCCACATCAAGATGTAGCTTGAAATAACGTAAGTGTTCCTAGAATCTTGAGAGTGATCTGATCAGGCTTTCCTTGTGATTCGTCAAGAGCCAAGCGCATTCGTTTTGAACAGACGTTGAATGGCTCTACTTAACTTGCTTCTATACGGCATCCAAACATTATACTTTCAGTGTACCAACACCACCTTAATATCCTGCAAAAAACCATCTATACCTGAATAGCTGACTCTTTTGGGATGCACCACGCCAGTATCAATGGAAATAACCCAAATACGGATATACAACATACTGCCATTACCTCCTGCTACCCAAAAGCATGCAAATCACAGTGAAATCTAGACACATTTAAGACGTGTTTTCTCGTGTTGGGTGTCGTTTTACACTGCCAGAATAGCACCAAACAATTGCTCTCATCTAGCATTTACTTACTGATACCTTTGCTCAGCTTTTTGGGGACCTAAAAAACATGGCCAAAATTCGACCAAAAAGCATGAGGTGCCCCTCATGGTTTTCATTGGAAATCAAACAATCGCGTTTTTCACCTTGATAATGAAGACTTTTACTATGGTATATATTGAATCAAAATGCTTCTATCTATCTAACGTAACCCCTAAAATTATCTTTGTGGGATCTTGCTATGTGAAATATCGACTTTTTGGTCAGAAACCTCTTTTCATATTTCCATAAATTGCTCAATAGATTTATTCAAAACATATACCTTACTTGGTACCATTCGGCGCGCCTTGAAAAGTACTCCAAGAAAGCTTAAGGGAAGATGGGCCAAACATTACGACTTATATAGTCGATTTTTGGAAAATAGATAGATTGTGTTCATTTTGAATAGAATCTGTCCAATCTTGACGACTGAAAATAGGTCGGAGATTAACGTTGGATTGGCTGGCCAGAATGCCTTTCTTAATGAAGGCAATCAATGTTTTAGAAGCTTATGAAAAGTGGGGTCGCAAGCCAAAAGAATACCACATTTTAAGTTGGCCATCACCTTTTGATTCTAATACTCATATCTATGTATGGTAGATGTAATCGTAACGAGCTGTGATCTCAAATGCTAAGCCTAATGCTAAATGCAAACATTGGTACCACTAACTTGACATTTAAGTAGATCAAGTGTAGACTTCCAAAAGGCTATTGAAGGAATATATGTATTATCAGCCGAAACTGAGTTAAGTGCAATACTTACTGTTGATTTATTCAACTTTCATATAAAGTCAATGACAGATGATGAAACACTTGATTGAACTTAATCGGTATTCATCATTTAGAGCCTTTACGCCAGTTCAATTGGCATACGTACATAAATGTCTAACTATTGTTGTTTGAGCTACGCTCTCGCATCTTTTGCCATGTTCTATAATTCGCTGCACTTCAAAGTGTTGGCTCATGCGGATTCTGGTGAAACAGGAAAGCACGTTCCTTTTGCAACCACTATAGGCAATTTGTAATTCACATCTACAATATGCATTGCTTTGTGTATCCTACAAATACACAGATTGCGATGGTTTATGCGATGACATGATTGCCTCTTCAGTGTGCTATGGCTTGTCATAAAAGTTCAATGCATTCCAATATAACTTCATCTGGCACTCCATGGCCTCTAAATAACACAAAAAGGCCAGCAATTTTGTACACACAGAACAGATATCTTGGCCCTTTACGAACATTTCAAGAGCTTAATCCTATATAGGCATGTGAGCATGTCTTGTAATTCAGAAAAGGCTCTTCCATTTTTTTTTTTTTTGCAATTGTAGCACACATAATGACAACACAACACAGAAAGCAAGAAATTATTGTAAATTAATATAGTAGTTATTAATGTGTGTGAGAAGTATGTAATAATTGCCAAGAGAAGGGAGATCGGTTTAGTTATATGAATAGGTTATATGTAAATATAGTGGTTATGTTATTTTTGGGAGAAAGAGGAGGAGGAGGAGGAGGAGGAGGAGGAGGAGGAGGAGGTAACAGAAGAATAGGAGAAGAGGATAAGCCTGTTTGTGTAATCCATAGATTGCTATTTTTCGGTTGTGGTTTTTCTTTTCTGCTTTTTTTTTTTCTGATTTGTCGTTTATGAATTATGATGATGGTGATTATAACATGAATACATATTTTATATAAATTCCACATAAGATTCTGGAATCAAACCAGTTTCATCTTGCACGTCAGCGATTAGCCAGCCCTATGTACATGCAAATAAGATATGTAATCATCATGTAAATTTAATATGTACACTCACGGGACATTGTCGATATTGAACCCAAACGCATTGTCCAGCTTTTAATGCAATTTCATACTCTGTTTCTGGCGAGAAATCAAACAAGGCTCGAGCATCTCGACCATTGAAATCAGGTGAAGACAAAGATACAGCGGATTGATTGTTGAGCGACGCAAGCATATTTCTACCAAAATGAAGAGGAGAATCAGTAGGATAAGCGAAATCACGAATAATAACATCTATAAAGTTATGTTAGATGTGCGCAATAGCAACCTATTTTCATTATGTTACTTTGAACAGCTGTTGTGGTTTTGGTGGATGACAATGAGATGCTGGATTTCTAATAATTTCGAGTTTAGATGGTTATGTATTTTGCTGTTGTCAGTACAATGTACCTGGAAATCCGGTGTCGGCGTTGCTACCACGACTTGAGCTACTTCGTTCTCCAATTGCATATTGGCCTCATCTACTATCACAGATGTCCTTAAAGCAACCTTGATTTGACTTGCTTGTAATGATTTGATGGAAGGAGCAGTATCCACTATCAAAGAGGACTTTTTGTTGATCTTGTTGAAATCTTGATGATGATGATTGCTGTAGACTTGTTCAACTTCGTCTTCCTCCTCTGTCTCGCTACTTGAACATGAACTAACAGAGACGTCTTGCTTTTTCACGGCTTCAGTCTTCGATGTACCATTGGCATTGCTTGTGTTGTTTTTGCGCATTCTTTGTTGAAAGTTTTTTTTCCCCAGTGAACCTTTTCGGGTAATCTACATTTCATTAGATTGGCGTAATTAGAGAATCAACAATGCTTTATACCTTTTTCAATAAGAGTGCAAATGCAATTACATTATTTAAGCTCATTATATATTAATTTGGTGTTGTTTTGAAGGAAAGGAATGGGTGAGTGTATATATATTTTTTTTTTGCTGAAAAGTGAATGTAAATGTGTTATCCTATTTTTATTATTATTTCTACAGATTTAGGAGATGCGGCGGTTGTATGTGTGTGTGTGAGTCTGTGGAGAGAGGAGGCTGTAGAGTAGGAGGAGGGGAAAAGAGGCGGGCGTTGTTCGATTGTCTGTTTCTTTGCAGAGAAAGAGAGAGAGAGAGTTAAAAAAAAATATAAAAAAACACTACAAATCAATAGATCAGTGTATCTATTTAGATTCAATTATAAGAATATTATAAAAGAAGAAACAAACGCCCAAACGACGAGAATAAAGATAAAAGCTTGTAAAAAAAGAAAAAAAAAAAAAAGGCAGAATGAGAGAATGAAGCCTATTTATACCTCATAAAAGGAGATTACATCAAAACTTAGGGGAGCACCAAAATGAGAGAGATTTATAGGAGAAAAAAAAAGAAGCCCATAAAAATTAATACATTTTGTGTTTCCAATGATATATTGCACAATTGTATACGCAGAGACACATTAGAGATGTGCCTTGACATAGTACCATTTATCGTCTTTTTCTTCAATGCGTACTTTCCGCTTGTATTTGTTGAGATACTGTGCCAATGATGGGGTTTTGTTAGTCAGAGGCTTCGAATCTCGTTCCTCATTGCTCTGTTTACCTTTTCAACTTTTCCCTGTTTGTGCGACTCTTTGCTGATATTGTATGGTGAATGCTGAATGGTTACATTGGACCTAAAATAACATTATTACTTGTACAACCACTTGCACTTTTACAGCGCACTTACACACTGATATCATGAGTATCTGCTTTGCAGGGTGTCTGACCGCTGATAAGACGTTTCCATGCTTCATGTGTTTCTTCTACAACTGCTTTTGCATACGCCTTGTTCTTGCACTCTCCGTTGAATGCAAACTCATTAGCTGGTTTGCCATCAGGTATTTTGTAAATTTTGAACCAATGATGAGTGGCCTTGATCAGTTCAGGAAAATACTTTTCAACATCTTCGATATCTAACATTTCATACCAAGTATGTCAACGATCACGTTCCTTTGTAGCATGCATGCGGCTCATACCGTTCAGTTTCTCGGCCATTGGGTCTTTAATATCAATCGCTATTAATTTCCAGTCTGTTTCACCTTCGTCTAACAATGCCATCACACCAAGAATTTTCACCTGCTTGATTTGGCCTCTATAAGCAATCTCCTCTCCAATCTCGCAAACATCAATTGGGTCATTATCGCCTCTCGCATTGGTATCAGGTGTAATCACTGTAGGATCCTCCCAAGTCTAAATCATGCTCAGCATTTAGACTTTCACATCCTTCCTCATGACCGTCCCTGCTTACCTGTGGCAGAGCACCATAGTTCCAAATGTATCCTTTATAAGGAAAACAGTTGCGAACAAATCTAACTTTGCCTTTTTTGACATCTTGTTTGATAGGGTTGTATTTCTCCCCGGTAGAGATCTGAAGATTGTCGAATCTTAGCGACAGTCTGTACTATGTATCATGCTGAATTTACCTCGAACTTGGCATTGGACCAACGTGGAATTTCTACAACCATGTTGACAATCTTCTTTTCAGCGTCTGCGTACAGTGGGATGTCATGAAAAGGGGAGATAATTTGGCCGTCTTTCTCTGCATAGTGTACACACATTATAAGGACATGCGACGCACACTATATGTATACTTACCAATATAAACACGATGGGCTGCTGTGTACTGCTTGCCTACAGTGGAGAGCTCGTAGTCTGCAGTCATTTTTGTTGAATCAGCAAAAAAGAATGAGAAAAAAAAGGGTAAAATGTAAAAATCAATTGTGAGATTGGGTTTAATAAGCAAGATTGTTCAATTGTCCGGAATCTCATCAAGGCCATAATGAAAAAGAAAGCCCGAAAAAGAGGACCACAACACCATGAAGAAGAGATATTATGTCTGTAAATCATCATGTGAAATCAACACTTATTGGAGAGCATTTCAACATCAACATGGGGGTTTGCACAACATGAGGAAGATAAATCATACAAAATGTGGATCTTTCAAATGTGAATGGCTGTCAATCGCTTCAAAATCGCTTACATTCATCGGCCTTTCAACGAATTGCCCAGAGGGGAGCAGAACAGGCAGAAAGAGAAGCCCGGATGTGCGAGAGGGATAACTGTATGAGTCTACTGTCAAGCTTGGTCATCCTTCTTTTCCAGCGCCCAATATGAAGGTAACTATACCATGAGACATGCCACCATGTGATGATATAGGGTATAGACAGATGGATCATTGGATAGATGGATGGATGAACATAAAAAAAAAGCAGCTCAGTTTCTGATGAATGGATGGATGCATCATGTCATTTGAGATGTCGAACTAATTGAAAGTCTGATTCAGCTATGCAACCACATTTAGATGCAGTCAATTGACGATACAGCACACACTCAACTATCCTTGGACCTACGCCAAACACAATTCTCTTTATTCGAACAAAACATCACCATGGACACTGCTCCATGATGGCAATGACAATTCTACCCACAGCACAGTCCAGCACGTCAGAAACACGATTTACATGATGATCATAGCCGACAGTATGCACTTACAGCTATGCTAATATCATTCAATCCAATCTATACCCTAAATATCCACAATGCTTGCATGGATCTAAATATATATTTACGAGATGTTAAATGTATTTTTTTTTTTTTTTTGGTCCATTATAGTTGAATATCGCCAACCCAGCCACTGGCTGTCAAAAGTTGATTGAAATTGAAGATGAGCGTCGTCTGTAAGTCGAATTGCTAGTAGAAACAATTGATGGAAGCAGCCTATATTGACTGATCTTTGCATGTGTAGCCGTGGTTTCTACGATAAGCGTATGGCCCAAGAGGTCTCTGGTGATTCTCTCGGTGATGAATTCAAGGGTTACGTTTTCCGTATCTCTGGTGGTAATGACAAGCAAGGTTTCCCCATGAAGCAAGGTGTGCTTTTGCCTCACCGTGTTCGCCTCTTGTTGTCCAAGGGCCACTCTTGTTATCGCCCTCGCCGTACTGGCGAACGTAAGAGAAAGTCTGTCCGTGGTTGTATCGTCGGCTCTGATCTCTCTGTCTTGTCTCTCGTTGTCGTCAAGCAAGGTGAGCAAGATATTCCCGGTTTGACTGATACCACCGTCCCCAAGCGTCTTGGTCCCAAGCGTGCTTCCAAGATCAGAAAGTTCTTTGTAAGTAGGCTAAGAGAAGAAGAAGGGGAGCAATGTGTTATTGACATGTGTACATTCATTAGAACTTGACCAAGGAAGATGATGTTCGCAAGTATGTCATTCGTCGCGAAGTTCAACCCAAGGCTGAGGGTAAGAAGGCTTACACCAAGGCCCCCAAAATCCAACGTCTTGTCACTCCTCTTACTCTCCAACGTAAGAGACACAGACAAGCTCTTAAGCGCAGAAGAGCTGAAGCTTCTCGTGAGGCTGAATCCGAGTACAAGCAATTGCTCGCTAAGCGTGTCAAGGAATCCAAGCAAGAGAAGATTGAGCGTCGTCGTACTTCTTCCATGCAAAAGTCTGCTTCTGCTTAAGTAATATACTATAAATCAATTGAATATTTGACTTGTTACAATAAATAACTTCAGGGTAATATAATGATCCGTTTGTACGTTGCGAGTGATGCTTGCCGACACTGAAGAAGGGACCGAATTGATCTAGCTTTACTATCAACATACTCAGATCAAGCATTCATTCAAGCTTCAATGCAGGCAACAGATCATCCTTTTTTTTTAAAAAAAAAAAATAGCAGGAGTCCCTCTTCATTTGTAGCACCATGGAAAATGATTGTGTACAGAGGTTCCTTTAACAAGTCGATGCAAACAATCAAAGCAGCAGTAATCCTGGGACCAAGGGCATCAGGTGTCTTTCAACATCAAGTATCCGAGCAACCATTGACGAAAGGCAATGTGTAGTTGAAAGAGGTATGCAGGGCTCCATCTTTAAGGAGATTTTTTTTTTGCTCTTGGTTACAACAAGATCTAGTATATATTTGCGCGCTCTTTTTCATTTATTCCCCTTTTTCTTTCTTCCTTTTTTACTTGTATATCCAATCATTCTATGGTAACCGCAAACGACACTGGTACTTCTGCTAATCAAGATGACTTGATCTACTCAGTCCAACAGCAACAATACGATGACATTGATCCAGATTACGAAAATACGCCTGATGCTATTCCTCAGGTCCTTGATTTAGACTTGCGTGGCTCCCGTGTTAAATTAGACAGGGAAACGCTTGTGAGTCTGCCAGAAAGTCTACTGATTGCCATGTTTCCTAATGGCCTCGTATTGGGAAGAAGAGATCCATCCACTTACGACAGCAGTGAGGAGGAGGACTATGACGACGAACCTGCAGAGCAAGGGAACGAAGCATCAGGCAACCGAGGGGAGCAAACAACAGAAGCAGAGGACATCTTGACAACATATGTAGATTTCGATGCTGCTTGTTTGAAATATGTGCTCACGTTTTATCAGCAAGCACAAGAGGCACGAGATCAGCAACAAGAAGTGGAGTCCATCTTTGCTTCAACTCCGGCGGCACAATACTATCCATCCTTACTGGGTAAACAACCTATTATCGTCTTGAGAGAAGAGTTGGAGTACTATTGCGTGGTATCATCCAGCAAGAAGGAAAATCATGAAAAAGTCAAATTGGCTGCAGGAGAATATCTGAAGCGACACGATCAAGTATTCGCAGCTCTGCAAAAGAACATTGCAAGAGAGAATAATGTGGCGGAGCAGCATTTGATTGACATGCTATGTGATGCTGGATTTACGAGAGAAGATAGTTGGGGACATCGTGAATTGGAGCCAAGCAAAACATGCATTATCAGCATGAGCTTGGTGCTGCTCAAGACAACAGGGCCAGACAATCATATGGCAACAGCACAGAAGCTGCTACTTTTTTGGAGAAAACCTGCAGTAAGAACATTTGATCCACACATGTCCACATCAAACACTAATGGCAATTACTTGCTTTGCGTAGAGAAAATGTTGGTGGGATGGCAACACTGTTGAGATCAATGGGCAGTCTGTTCGCCTGTGGGCAAGACGCACTTGGACATTAGAATTAGTGTTGATTTAACCTGGATTTCTTCTCCTTTTCTGGTCGTCCATCCACTTTGGTATTTCAAATTCTATCTCACCACATATACCTCATATTACTAGACATTCTAATTTTCATATCCCAATATACTCTACAGCATTTGTTGTTTTCGACCATCTGCAATCAATCTATTAGCACTCAAACAAGCGTGGACACATGTTCAATGCACGGATCATAAAACACTCAATGCAATCATCTACTCAGAATCACATCAATTACACCTTTTCCTGAATTCAATTAATGCCAATCTTTCTCCTCCTTGAAACAGAAATAAACGTTTATTTTTTTTTTAACTGAATCGCTTCAGCTCTTCACACTTTCTCAATGGCATGTTCAAAGCTTCTTGATATTGCTCTTCATTACGACCCAAAACTCCAAACACACCACGAGCATTATTTAACCTAATCTGTTGCTGCTTACGTTCATTCAAGCAAGCATGCTGTAACGACTGTATCCAATCAAACTCGACTTGCTTTTCGACCTTTTGTAACTTGTAACCGCTGGAGAGATACGATTCAAATGCCTTTGGCTCGACATAATAAGGCACATGGAGGCTAGATGTCATACGAGGCTGGGAATAGACGGATGTAGATTGGAATGAAAAGACGGGCGTCGTATCAGTGATTAGACTTGAAAACATGGTGTATCCAAATAGTAAAATAAGCGGTAGAATTTGCAAGAAGATGGACCACCCTGATTTCTGCTGTGGTTGATACTGCTGCTGTGCTTGAGCGGTATTGAACGTGCGTGCACGGAAGCCAGGGCCGACAAAGGTTGCGCTACTGAATCCCGCTGGTCCTCCAAAACTGAACGAGGCACCACCTTGTCTGTGCAAATTGGCCATATTGACGCCTCCACCTACGCCTCCACCAAAGAACATGTTGAATAAATCCTCAGGAGAAATCTCTTCACCAAAAGGTGATGCTCCAAATCCTTGAGAGCGGAAACCTGAGAAACCTGGTCCTCCACCTCCACCACGTTGCTCTGGATCTCCACCTCCAGCATCGTGTACTGCTCTCTTTTGAGGATCTGATAATACTGTAAATGCCTTTGAAATCACTTTGGAGAGAGTCAGTAGCGTTGTACCAATGAATTACAGAGTTATACCTATTACATTTGAATGCTTCATCGGCGCCTGGGCTATTGTTTTTATCAGGATGGAATTTAAGAGCAAGCTATCCAATGTCCAACAATGAATATGCACAGATCCAGTATAATAAACCATCGTAAAAGCGATCCCTACCTTTCTATATGACCTCTTGATTTCAACCTCTGTGCATTTCCTATCGACCTTTAAAACCTTGTAATAATCAGTTCCACAAGATAAAATTTCTCGAACGTCTGCGTCTTTCTGGCCTGCTGAAGGTTTCTCTCTTGCTGCTGTTTTTGGAGCCTCTTTTGTTTGACTCGGTGCGGGCGATGATGGTGTGTCGGTCGTTGGTGTCGAAGAAGCCGATGACGAAGGGTTCGCAGCAGCCGCCTTTTCAGCTTTTAGTAGGAACTCTCTGGCTTCGTCTGTTGGAAACAGATTGATAGACTTGTTGGTCAATCGAACAGCTGCTTCGTAATTCTTGGAGCCATATTGGTTCTTGGCTATTCTAAGACAGCGCACAGCTTCTTCCTTGTTTGTCTCCATTTGGGTGCTATGTAGAAGAAAGGGAAAGAAATATAAAAATATAAAACTGAGAATTTTAGTAACACTACAAACAGTGTTCGATCGAATCAGTGGTGGAGGCGGACTTTTTGGCTTGAGGGATCAATGAAGAGAGCTTGTAACACTTGTTGCACTGTCGACACTCGAGTGTCTGAAAATCCATGTCAAGAACAACTTTCTACGGTATATATATGACTATCCGATCAATCCCGCTACGCTCGATGTCGGCGTCGCTCTGTGGGGCTCTCACCAAAGACATTCCAAATCAGAGATAATAAAAAGCTGGCATTTCAAGTAGATTTTAAACAACCAATTAATAGTAAAAGGTTGTATCAGAGTCAGGAGGGGGAGGTACCCATTCGCTGATGTTGCTCTTGCTATGGCGGCATAAAGCTGGCCATGTGTAAATACAGAGCTTGCGTAGTAAGACCTACAGCGACTTTTTTGAGATATTGTCATTGCAAAAGATACTTTTATAGGGAAAAACTCCCAAAAAAAGTATTGAGGCCAAGCGATTTTACTTTTAACGCCATGATCCCCATTTAATCAGCATCGCATCCATCATTGTTATCACTAGTGCCATCATCAGAAAGGCATTCGAGTCAGCCAGCAGCAGCGATGCCTGCCAAAATTATTTCAAACTCAGCTTGTGTTTCTCTGCTCAAGATTAGCCAAATTTTGTCTTTTGTCGACTTCTTTAATTTATTCTTTGATATTCGACTATACAAATTGTGATGATCACCCTACGCTTTCTAATACATTCTTGAAGTACTTTTCAAGGTGCTTCTAATAATGCTAGCTGTAATAAGTGTTTTGACTGAGATTATTGAGCAATTTGGTAAAATATGAAATGAGGTTTTTAGCGAAAATAGCCATATTTTGCATATGAAAACCTCAGAAAAGTGGTTTCAGAAGTTGCTTTGAATCGAGAGAAACGTTTTGAATTAATATATACCATAGTAAAGTCTCTATTTTCAAGGTGAAAAAGGCGATCGTTTAATTTTCGTAAAAAATCATGAGGTACCCCTCATGATTTTCAGTGGAATGTTGGCCCTGTTTTTTTTTTGGTCCCAAAAAGTTGAGCAACAGTGTCAGGAAGTTACTACTACTCGAATACAACAATCTGGTGTCATTCTGGTGGCTCAGAAAGGTCTACATGTCAATATATGAAGACTTGAAAGCTGTCAAATTTGGTTATGTATTGCTTTATCGAGTTTATTTACATGGCATGAATCACATCTTTGGTAGCTGAAGTCTTCTGAACGAAAGGGCAGTTCTGCAGCCTGTGCAACTTCTAATTCGAACAGGAGGCATATTGATTTCGGTAAAGCTGATTCATGCAAATTTTGATGCGCTATGTTGCTGGTAAGCTTATTCACAGTGGAAATGAAAATCCGAATTTGCTACTTGAATACTATGGCTTTGCGCCTTCGTTTCGAATATTATAAGATTTAATGAGCTGTCGTCGCAGGGCAAACCATGGGCTATTCCTTCCAAATCACATAGAAACTGTTGATCTAGCCACTCTTCAGGCTGGCAAGATGCAATCTCTGAGCCTGTTTACTGATTGAAGAGTGCATTGACAACATTTATTGATAAAGATACTATATAAAAAGAAAAAAAAAAAAGACAAAAAGAAAAACTGGCTCTCCATTTTATTTACAAGAAATCTAAGCTTTAAAACGAAAAAAGGATAAGAGAACAAACAGCATATAAGAAGATGTGACATGGAATTGATAAATGTAAAACTATAGAGAAAAGAGGGGGATGATGGAATACTTACAAGCATTGAAATTACTTGTTTCTAACATATTTACCAACGACAACAGCGTGATCTCTTTCATAGGGCTCAAGAGTAAGTTGTTCTTGAGGCTTGATTCTTTCTTCTTGGAGCTTCTTGACTTCACGAGCAAAGACAGTAGCGGCATCTACAGTGGAATCGATACAAGAAGCCTTGATGGAGATGACAATATGACCCTCGTTCTTGAGGAAATGGTGAGCATTCAATGCAATAATACGAGCTTGATCGGGTTGAGCAACATCAGCAAAGATGACATCGACCATTGGAACGAGCATACGGTATTTTTGAGGATGACGAGCATCTTCAATGATGGGAACAACGTTAGTACGCTTCTTGGCCATGTTGATCAAATCACGGCCGGGACGATGAGAGAATTCAACAGCATAAACAGCTCCCTCAGGGCCAACAACATCAGCAACATGAGAGACGGAGGTACCAGAAGCAGCACCGAGATAGAGAACCTTCTTACCGGGAGCAACATGGATATGGTCAAGGCCACCCAAAACAGCGGCAGCTAACTTGGATCTGAAAGGATTCCACACACGGTATTCAATCTTGGTACCTTCAGGACCATCAATGGAAATACGCTTCTCACCGTAAACGGCTTCACCGGGAACTAAATTCTTGGTAACCAAGAGATCTTCCTTACCACGGGCAACAAAGATACCAGCATGTCTGTGAGGTTCAACAACAACCTTGGCACCACCGCGGGCACCGCCAGCACCACCACGGCCACCACGAGCACCTCCACGACCACGGGGAGCTCCACGACCACCTATATGTCATGATTAATTCCACTTATCAAATACTTTAATGTATACATTCAAGTAAAAAAAAAATTTTTTTTCTCTTTTCACTTCAATGCTTTCATGACTTACCACGAGCACCACCACGGCCACCACGATCACCACCGAATCCACCACGGCCTCCACCACGGCCGCCACTGAACCCACCACGGCCGCCACCACGGCCTCCGCCAAATCCACCGCGGGCACCACCACGACCTCCACGGTCGCCACCAAATCCACCGCGAGAGCCACCACGGGCACCACCGAAACCACCACGACCGCCACGAGATTCAAAAGCCATTATATGATTTCTTGTTGTATGAAGAAAAAAAAAAAAGGGATAAGGGTTTGTTAAAGAAGAGTAAGAAATCTGACAGTTGTTTTCCCGCACAACAAACTCTTTTTCCGAAATGAAGCAGTTTTTTTTTTTTCAACCAAGCCTCAAATACAAGGCAACTTTGTCACAATGGAGTCACGAGAGTAGGAATCAAGGAACAGGAACGATCAAGAAGGAGATGTGCATTGACATCTGGCACAAAAGCGAATAGATGAACTCTACCCAATGCTGGATAACGACGACTGCTAGACAAGAGCCCATGCTGAAGGACGTCTACTGTTACCCAGACTGCACAATGATGACATGCGATTGCAATGATAAGATGACATTTCCAACACTATTCACCAGAAGTAGTCAATGTGCCTATGGTAGATCCGGAATAGAGATTATGATGAGCATTGAATGTAAAGCGATTTTAACTACTGAATTTGCTTATCAACAAAAGCATTCAAGCATTCTGATTCATGCATTCGATTCAAGCAGCCCACAGATCAATAATCAGGGCTAGATAATGCATGAACATTTGGTTACTATACAAGATGATCAATGCCATTTGATATGATGATGAAATGCATCCCTATTTATTAGTCTTTAATGATCAACGCATCATCCTTTGCAGCATACTCGGTCCAGCTGCCATCATATACAGCCAATTTGCGAGCACCAATCCTTTCCAAAGCCAAATACAAGATGGATGCAGTAATACCGCTTCCTGTTTATAGAGAGATAGAATGAATACAAATGCACATAAATTAAAGGTGATGGCAATATTACCGCAACTGGTGATGATCTCCTTGTCAACGTCAACGCCCTTTGATTTAAACACTGTACGCAACTTGTCATCATCAAGCATCTGACCAGACTCCACCACTTCATTAAATGCAACACTAATAGAGCCAGGCATATGACCTGAGCTCAAGCCGATACGTGGTTCAGGAGCCTCACCCATAAAGCGAGCATAAGGACGAGCATCCAATACTTGCGCACCGTCCTTGCCTTGCTGAATGTTGCGAGCATTGGACAAGACTGTCTCATAATCACGAACAATGTCCTTGTTGACATGGGACACTTTGTACACTTGAGGCTTCACGGGCTCAGGAGAGCCAGTTTCAAGAGGACCATCTGCCTTTTCCCATGCTGGTAAACCGCCATTCAGTACGGAAATGGAGTCATGACCAAATGCCTTGTTTGAACGGAGGTTTTGATAAGATGCTTCACCCATTTATAGTCAAATGTATGCTTATATGACTGTACCTTAAATGTCCAATAAACTCGACATGCGGAAAACACGCCGGCAGTGTCGTAAACTACGACATGATCATTTTGAGAGATTCCCAATCTACCTGTTTTTATAATAAATGAGTAATTGAAGATAATGCATTCCATTCACACTACGCGTGCTTGATCTATCAGTGCATACCCACAGCATCCGCAAAGTTATCTGGTGAGGGCAGCATATGAGGTAGGTCACTGGAAGTGTCCTTGATAGTATCTATGCCGAAAAACTGGCTGCCGGCGATTCTCTTGTTGAGGAATTCTTGATATGGATCACGGTTGGTGTTCGGCATATGCCAAGATCCATCGAGCACTTTGACACTGGAGAGTGCCGACTTGAGTTCCTTTGGAGAAACGAGGCTTCCAAACGAGCGAACCTGCTGTTGAGACATGATGACGCCTAAAAAAAATAAATAAATTAACAAGGAGGCGTCAATGATTGATATATGGAGCGTTATTTTGCTGCTGCCAACTCACGATTTTTGATAGCAGCACTAGCCTGTCTAAACATGTTTTGAGCGAGAGAAACAAACAAAAAGATAGAGATGTCGAGACATTGATAATCTCTACACATGATGCCTGATGACGTGCATTTAACCTTATAGTGTCACCCCATATACTCTAATGATCAGCATCTGGAAAAGCTTAAATTTCCTAATAGGTTGATGTCTGCATTGCAAGCGAGAGATCAGGATCAAATAAAGCACAATAAAGATGAAGACAGCCTTCTTTTGGAAGGAGATGCTATTTCAAATACGAGCAAGAGCAATGTTGGTCCATGAGCTCATTTTAGCTAATCTTGCATTTTGTGGTTTCTGGTCATCATTTTATAGGAGAAATTTCCAATGCATCAGAACCAATTTTCTATATAACATTGACGTTTTAGAAAAAAACAGTTTCTACTTTTTTTTTTTTTTTTTTTTTTTTTTTTTTTTTTAGTTGTTTTGTTTAAAATGTCTGTCAGTGATCGACCTATATCACCGCCTCAAGCGCATCGACCCTCCACTGCCACCAGCCAAGGCTCCACCATCCGAGATTTCGTGCGAGATGATGACACACTATCAGGTATTGATCCGGATCAGACAGACGCTCGACCACTGGAAGAAGATGGCATTTCGTTCCAGTCTCAAGACACGCTTGGTAAATTGCTAAAATTCGCATCTTGTATCAACAACTAACATCTATGTGTGGGCTGCATTAGACTCGAATCAGAAGGCATTCCAGTTCAGCTTTATTGAAAAATTTGTCCACCCGCACCAGAAAAATGGGCCACAGCAGCAACAAGAGCAGCATCAGCAAACGATCAAAGTGCCTGGCCAGGAACGCATCACCATTGTAGAAGATGCGCCCTTTCACCGAAGTGATGATCATCATCAACAACAACAGCAACAGCAGCAGAATACAAACACGAGTCATCCCTGGATTGCCCGTATTAAGAAATCAAAGATTTTCAGATGGATTCTCAAGCAATGCACGGCTACTGATAACAGATATGCATTTCAAATGGGCGTTGCCTTTACATTAGCGGCTTTACTGGTCATCATAGGCCCTGTGTCAGATATATTTCCTAACGTATTTTGGGTTGGTAAGTCTCTTTGAGTGTGTACTGTAAAAAAAAAAAGCGGACAATTTCTTACTGAAAGCTGTGCCGTAGGTGTATCCGTGGTTACTGTGCTGGATAATACAGTAGGTGGGTTCTTGAACCTCAGCATTCAGCGCCTACTGGGGACACTGATTGGTGGTGGATTCAGTATTGTCGTCATGACCATCACAAGAGCCATCTTTCATCCACGATGGGAGTGGGATGCTGCACTCTTGTTGGGGTTCTTGATGTTTATCCAGGTATTTTGCATTGCCAAACTAAAGATGATGCCCAACATGGCCTATGCTGGCAGTATTGTAAGTCTGCTATTAGTCACCAGGTTCAGCAAGCCCTCTCTAACTGATGTGTAGGGTCTGCTCACTACATGTATCATCTTATTATCCGGGTACTCTGATCTCATTCATGACAGACTATCTTATGCAGCAGAGCTAGGGGCATGGAGAACGCTTAATCTTATTATCGGTATAGTGATATCTCTGTATGTACACATGCGTTAATGCGTTAGTGAATGCTATTGACTCATGTATGCATAGACTTGTATCATTGCTAGTGTTCCCCCTAAAAGCCAGCAGTGTTATGCGCAAGAATCTCGGAAAGGCGCTAGAGGATGCAGCAGACTTGTATGAGAAATCATCTGCATATTATCTAGACTTTAGTGGCCACACTACAGCTGCAGTGGACGAGTCACTTTCATCTACGATTGCACGTCGACTGCCAGCAGAGATGATAGCAGAAGCGAATGCACAGCAATTGTCCATCACAGACATTCTGACCAGAACATTTTCGACACAACCGCCCGAGACCAGCGCTGTAGACACGCAGCAGCAGCTACGTCAACAGATCGATGAAATCAACAAGTTTTGGATGCATGACTCTATTACGAATATCAGCAATCAGGCATTTGGCGTGCTGGCCAAACTGCAAGTTGAAGCGACTCGTCTACGCAATGTCTCCAACGAGTACTATTTCCAGATTATATTCCACATCTTTGGCGGCGGCAGAGAGAGATGCAAACGAGATATGCGACGAGCCAAGCGATACAACGATGCTATTGAAGCCATGAAGCGCGTGGTATGGCCGTTGGTGTCATTTAGATTGTTGCTGCCCTTGATCAGTCTTAGTCAGACGGCCAATCGATTGGATGAATTGACCGGCGCTAGGCCCCTCCATGGATCGCCCACATCACCAGACTCAATTACGCTGCAGGAGCGCATCACACCTACCAGAGAGACATTGGACAGCTTCCACGATAGTTTGGCCGTAATGCTTCGTCTTGGAAAGATACTCAAGGACCATAGAAAGTCATTGAGCGAGTTCCCTGACGACTGGCTTGACATTGATCGCATGGTCACTGCTGGCAATCTGCATATACAGCGAGAACTGAAGCTTATTATCAAGGTGGCCATGTACACACATAATACGGATGGTCTTAAATTGTTGTCCTATTATGGATTTCTGGTCAGATGTTCGATGATTTGGGATGGCCTCAAGACGGTGGTAGAGAAGCTCAGTCCTCTGAACGGATCCCTCAGTCGGGCATCGAGTATGGGGCTAGGAACTCCTTTGCCGAACAGAGAGATGATGCATCCTGCCGAGTGATCTGCATGTAACATATTGTAAATAACTTTGACATTTATTTCATCACTTGTATGCACATTTAATAAATCAACAATGCCTGTCTATTTATCTCTTCCAATGTTGCCATTTTTTCAGGGCTCTTGTGATTCGCAACCGCCCTCTTCTTTGGCGATTTAGTCTATTTTGTCAAACAATGATCTACATCCATTGATTGGATGTTGAATCCAGCATATTTGCACCTTTGATTTCACAATTTTGACAGCCATCCAGTGACTGTTTGAAAAAGTTTTCTTGCAGGTATTAAAGCATTTGAAAATTTTTCTTTTTTTTACATTAGTTGCTCTTTGTATTAACACATCATAAAATGGTAAGTAGTTGTAGTAGGATGACTAGCCGCTGAAGGCTTCAGACATTGATAACTCATGTGTACAATTATAGTCTGCTCCCGTTAACCCCAAGGCTTTCCCTCTTGCTGATGCTGCTTTGACCAGCACCATCCTTGATTTGGTTCAACAAGCATCTCACTACAAGCAACTCAAGAAGGGTGCTAACGAAGCTACCAAGACCCTCAACAGAGGTATCTCTGAATTCATCGTTATGGCTGGTAAGTAGAGAGCGGAATACTATGGATGAGGAGGGGGGGTGGGGGAGAGTTGATTTGGATTATACATGTCGTATATTAACATGTGTGTTTTTTGATAGCTGATACCGAGCCTTTGGAAATTCTCCTTCATCTTCCTCTTTTGTGTGAAGACAAGAACGTTCCTTACGTCTTTGTTCCCTCCAAGACTGCCTTGGGCCGTGCCTGTGGTGTCTCTCGCTCCGTCATCTCTGCTTCCATCACCACCAACGAAGCCTCTGATTTGAAGCCTCAAATCTTGAACATCAAGACTCAAATCGAGAAGCTCCTCATCTAAATTGATAAACAACCCCATCTTATATATTATCTTAATCATCCAAGTCGAATTTTTCTTGATGATCATGGTTCGGTGCTGAGGGCGTTTTTTTTTTTAATTCTATTCTTCCAACAACAATTCTCTTATTTTCTCCATTTTTTTTACATTGTTCAAATGATGCACTAACAGTGAAAGAAAAGTTTTATTTTGTGTTTTTATCCCTTGTACATCTGTCAATGTAAATAGCATTTAAAATAAACAATCTTTTTTTATTTCCACTAACGAATGGCCTGCTTGCTTTGTGTGATGGTCTACATGAACATCCCTGATCTTCCAGCATGCAAAACCAAGAAGAGATACCACTTGTCTCTCTTGACTACATGTAAACAGAGTGTATAAAACTAGCTTTTTTGTTTGTCGATCCCTGCAGTGGTATAGCACCCTCTTTTCCTCTCTATCGATGTGCAGGGCCTTGTCCTCTTTTGTTTATGCTGCTGCTTACTGGTGCTTTGTTGTTGTTGTTGTTGTTGTTGTTGTTGTTGCTCTCTATTATCATGTCCTACTTCCCCTGTATTGAGTACAATCAAAGACATGCTTTCAAGGGGATCTTGCTGTAGACTATAAATACATGTCGATTTCAGTCTTTCTTTTTATCGATTTATTCTCTGTCTTTCTCCTTCACTTTCATCTCATCGCAAAATGAAGTCTACTATCGCCGTTTCCTTAGTCCTCGCCGCCTCTTTGCAACAATTGGCTTTTGCTCAAGCAGGTAAGCTGCCCACTCATGGTGTACATCGCCATCCATGCATCTCATGTTTGATCTCACACATGCCAAACAGATGAACAAGATGTGCCTGCCGTGCCTACCTTGCCTGCTGCTGTTACTGACATCTACTGGTGGAAGACCCTCTTGACTGGTGATGAGATCAAAAACTATTTGACCGGTCCCGCTACTGAGGCTGCTACTGCTGCTGCAACCGCTACTGCCACTCAAGAAACCGCTTCCGATGCTATTGCTACTCCCACTCCCTCTGCTTCTGAAGATGTCAGTGCTTCTGCTAGTGAGTCAGCTGCTTCTGTCACAGAAAGCGCCATTGAGAGTGCTGTTTTCTCTGCTGCTTCTGAGATTTCCTCATTGTCATCTGCTGTTTCTGAGACTCTCTCGTCTATTGCTTCTGAAGGTATATATATATATATACAATCAATGTGTTCTAGAGTCAAATGTGCCAAACTCTCCTTACTTAATCTCAACCCCTCAATTCTGTAGCATCTGTTACTCCTTCATCTATCGCAGCTTGGTCAAGCAGTGCATCTGTTTACTACTCCTCTGCTACCGGAGTTCCCATCGTATCCGTCAGCTCTACTTCTCCTAGACCTAGTGGGGCCATTATTCCTCCTTCCACTACTAGCAATCCCGTAACCACTTCCATTGGTAGCCATGTCATTGCTGATATGGGCAAGATGATTTTCTCGGTAACAATCGCGGCTATATTAGGAAATATGTTAAATTAAGACGATGTTGTGCCCCTTTTCCCTCCTTCTCCTTTAATCATCTTTAAATTGATATATTATTTTATAATCATAATAGCAGTAGTTTGTTGCTATACATGGCTGGTTGTGTCGTAATAAAAACCAAATAGTTCAAATATAAAATGTGTGTGTTATTTGTAATACCTTTGTATACATAAAATGATGGTTGATCTATAAATAATGAAAGGGGAGGGAATAGGTAACCTGAAAAAAGATGTCTATTTTTTCAAGGTGATACACATCCTCGACTTGTTCTTCCCTCTCTCTCTTTCTCTTTCTCTTTCTTTCTCAAACATCAACCCACAAAACTAGGATGAAATTCACTGCTATTGCTTCCGGCATTATCTTGGCTGCTTCCTCCGTAGCAGCTCAATTAACTGCTCCCATGCAAAACTACAATGTTAGCAGCCCTGTTTCCAATGGTCCCTATGTTGTTGGCCAAATCTTACCATGTACCATTCAACTCTTTGAAAATGTCGTGTCAGGTACACCATTACAGCACATTTTATCGCCCATCAAAGTACTCACAGTATACACTAGATATTGCTCTCTCCATCTCACTTGATTCTGCTGCTGCCGGTAGCAATCTCACTTATCCCATTGCTGCTTCAGTGGATGTCTCAAAGACCACTGCCAGTGCTAAACAAAACGGCAATATTACTTACTATGAACATTCTGTAAATTACAACATCCCCACCACCGTGGTTCCTGGCGCCTACAAGGTTGTCTTTTTAGACTCCAAGACAAATACCCATCTTGATGTTCCCATCAATGTCTTGCCTGCCGCTTCAGCTTCCGCTATCATATCTGCTGCTTCCACTGGTGCTGCAGCTGCCACATCTACCTCTGCAGGCTCTATCTTTAAAGAGAGCGGTAATGGCGTTGCTGCCATGTCTCCCTCAAAAGCAATTGTTTCCCTTGCTTGCGTTGCTGTTTTGGCCTACATGCTTTAAGCCGTAGGTCCCATCATTTTCTCCACGTGCAGTTGTAATTTCTTTGTTCAACATTCAAATAATATAATAATAGAGTTGGTTTTCATTATTCTCTCTCGATGATCACAATTCCAGCTTGACTCACTCTCTTCTTTTGCCATCCATATAATCCATTCGATTTTATACAGTCGACCTTCATTAGTATAATAAAAAAAAATATTACGCCAGACTATCACGATCATTCAAAATGAAACCATTATTTTATTGCCTATTGGTTTGGGGAATCAAGTTACACACCTCGATTTATTTATTTTGTCATACACCAAATCTTGAACGGCAATGGATCTATTTTAAAACCTCATTCCTAAAACATCCAGCTGTGATAAATATAGGATCAAGAAGCTGAGAATGCCACACGAAGCAGTACAGCAAGTGCCTTCTTGCTGTTTCATGAACAAGATCATCAGCACATTTATGTTTGCAAGGATACTCTGGGCAATCAAACATGGATCTCCATCTTGCATTAGTGCGTTCGATCTGTTTCTTCCTTCCTCAAACAAGTATTGTATTCATGCACGGTTATTTGTGATATTCAATATTTTGCATACATGTGCGTTTGGATGCTTACTTAATTGTGCGCTCTAATGATATTGTGGTATAATGTAAAGAAAATGAATGTTCTCCATGAATAAAAGCACTATTACATAGGTACACGGAACCGTATATGCTGCGACTTGTTAATAGTGATGTTTATTTGCGCTGGCTTGTTTCTCATACACAAACATATGGCATATATATATACGACATTTTGTACGCTGAGCATCATGGGCAGGCAGTAGTCGCAAACGAACCATTGATTTGGTCATCTAATATGCACTGAAATCTTACTTTTCAGCTTTCAGCAATACATGAAGATTCTTTTTAAACGGCCTGTAACCGCGGATCTGGTTGTTTTCCAATGCCCCACGTCTGTATCAATGGAAACAATCCATATACGGATATACAACATACTGCCATTACCTCCTGCTACCCAAAAGTATGCAAATCACAGGGAAATCTAGACACATTCAAGCCATGTTTTCTCGTGTTAGGTGCCGTTTTACACTACCAGAATAGCACCAAACAAATACTCTCATCTAGCATTTACTTACTGACATCTTTGCTCAACTTTCTGGGGATTAAAAAAAAAAAACGTAGCCAAAAATCGACCAAAAAGCATGAGGTACCCCTCATGGTTTTCATCGAAAATCGAACGGTCGTGTTTTTGACCCCAAAAATGAAGACTTTTCCTATGGCATATATTGAATCAAAATGTTTCTATCGATTTAACGTAGCCTCTGAAATCATCTTTGTAGGACTTTGATATGGAAAATCTCGACTTTTTGGCCAGAAACCTCTTTTCATACTTTCATAAATTAATCAGTAAGTTTATTCAAAACATCTATCTTACTTGGTACCATTGTATGCGCCTTGAAAAGTACTCCAAGAAAGCTCAAGGGAAGATTGGCCAAATATTACGACTTGTATAGTCGATTTTTAGAAAATAGATGGATGGTGTTCATCTTGACTAGGATCTGTCCAATCTTGACCATTGAAAATGGGACGGAGATTGAAATTGGTTTGGCTGGCCAGGATGCCTTTCTTAATGAAGGCAATCAATGTTTTAGAAGCTCATGAGAAGGGGATTGCGAATCCAAGAGTATCATAGCTCAGCCTAAGTACTTTTCATGGTTTTTGTTGAAATGTTTTAGTTTTGAGAGATGAAAATGCTCATCCAAGTGCAGATTCTCCTGAGAAATGTGGAAATGCCACCCAATTTAAAACGTAATCAACTCATAACTAGAGTTACTGTCTGAATTTGAGAGTCAATATAACATTGATAACGTTGCAGATCGCTTTTTAATTAGCTATTAGAGATTGTATCGATTGGTTTGAGTTGTCATATTGAGGATCGAGTATCTATTCTTATGCGACAGCCAAATTGCAGGCATGTATGTGATGAACATGATTCGGCCACCCACCACAACAAATCAGTCAAAACGATATACTTTCTGACTGATGTAATATTTCCATTGCCATATCGACAAGATACCAATGGCTGCATAATTATTACACATTGATAAGGCCAGCTTACATCAACGTTCAAATCTACAGCCTTGAAAAAAGCCAAGAGATGGTAGCTTAAAGAAGATGCAATTAAGCGTTATATCCTAGATCTAACGTTTGACCTGATTTGGACCTCCAAAGGGCTCTGATTTGCTAGCTCTACATTATGTTGCTACACTCACAAAACTTGAAGTATACACGATAATAGTGATTAGTCATTTTTAATTCAATAAAATTTAAAGGAAATGGGGCTGCGAGAATGTTGTGGCTTGATTTAAGGTTTTCAAACATACTTGCGCAACCAACATCAACATGCATATCGAGCCTCCATGTAAAATATGGATCTATCGCATAACAGTTTACCAGGTGGCAGATCAACACGACCATTATATCATTCGACTTGCGGTAAGGTGTCTTTGGATTTCTTTTTATTCAGTATGGCTCCAAATGTTAGAGCATAGGAGTAAAAAAAAAAATCTCTGGATTCATCATACAAGTGTCCCGTGGAAATATGGTAGTGTGATATGATGCATCTTTGAGAATTTTGTAAGATCTGGTTTTAACTAATAAGGAGAAACGTATTCTTTGTCTGCTCATCACCATCGACGTCAATACATGATGTGAGTTTGCGTATGACGCTAGAAGAACGTTGGCGTGCAATCCATTCAATAGTTGAAAGCAACACTTGTCTCATTACATTCTGGCACTCGTATAACACTGATATCCAGGACTCATGATGTACAGGAATTACAATCAACGCCCCTTAAATCAGGATTGTGTAGGGTAGTTGTGAGATTTTTTGACATGAATGTCGTGTTTGTGAGTGTGTTTGAGCAAACAGCCCATTAAGCCTTCTTATCATCATATTCATCGAAAGCATCTATAGCGATCAAGTGCTCTACTCTTGCGCTCTATCAATACAACGTTAACATGAACCCACTGTTCGGTAGAAGGTTTAAACTCATTCTACATGTTGCATTTCATTCATGCTGATAACGATTTGTTGGTAGCACTCAAAAGGACCTTGTTGGCAAATTCAATAACCGGTGAATCTCAAATTTGATCTCACATGCTTTCCCTATATCTGGATTCCCTTCCACTCTTTTGTGCATGTTGGGCTTCATGTTTGTGTCAAACGAAATGAGGAAGAGAAAGAAAAAAAACTCGGAGAGATATCTATAAAAGGCTTCGTCTACAAGGGAAAACGTATTACAATCCTATTTAGCGCGTGAGAAGGCAATGTTTTGATGCCTGGCTTTTGTCGTCGTCAATTAAGGCTTTTTCCTTATTGTACATATTCTGCTCCAAAAGAAGTATGTTTGTGTTCGTGAGTATTCTTTTGCATGTTTTAGTTGACACCTTTAGTATAAGGTTTATTCACTAATGATGAGATAGATTATATGCATTTAGTGCTATAACTAGCTTATAATGTGCCAAAAGATCTTCTCACCCACTGGACGAAATGGTGGCCCAGTGTTGCTTTTGTGAGTTCTGGAAGAAGACTTCCATTCTCATATAAAAGCAATGGTTCTTTTCCTTCTATTCTTTTTTTTTTCCCATAATTCAAAAATATACTTCTCTTAATTCTTTAGTTACATTTTATGCCTGCAATCGAAAGATTCACAGACGAGAAAGCTGCCAGCGTGTACAGCAGCAATAAAGAAGGGGACCTGAGTAGCGATGATGACATCCGATCCGAGCATCAAGCACCGTTTGTTAAATCTGAAGCAGAAAAAAAGCTGGTTCGCAAGATCAACATGGCATTGATGCCATTTGTCGGTGCAATTGTCTTTATCCAGTTTGTTGATAAGTCAACCTTAGGTATCTCTGCTGTATTGGGTATCATCCAAGACACTGGCTTAACTGGTAGTCAGTACAGCTGGCTTGGCTCCTTCTTCTACCTCGGATTCATTTGTTTTCAGCTGCCAAACAATTACTTTATTCAAAGAATCCCAATTGGCAGATATCTCGGTTCTCTGCTTATACTATGGGGCATCACGATGGGGTGCACTGCTCTCTGTAACAACTTTGCTCAATTAGCATCCTTACGTGTTCTACTAGGTCTATTTGAAGCGGGCACATATCCATGCTTACTGATCATTATCAACACGGTCTATCGTCGATGCGAACAATCCGCAGCATACGGCTTTCTCTGGTTCAGTAACGGAGCAGGCACCATGGTGGGTGCTGCTTGCGCTTATGGTATCTCGTGGATCAACAACGCAAATGGCATTCACTCTTGGCGATGGCCTTACATTATTTGGGGCTCCTTGACAGTTTTGTTTGGCATCATGACATTCTTCTTCCTCCCTGATAACCCTCATTCATTTATGTTTCGTCTCACAGAAGAAGAAAAGGCTATCGTCGAAGAGAGAACGCAAGACAATGCCGTTGTTCGTGTCTACGAAATCAAGAAACATCACATTTGGGAAGCAATCAAGGAACCTCGTCTTTGGCTTCTCGCTTTCTCTACCTTGTGCAACAATCTCCATAATGGTGGCCTAGTCGTGTTTAGTACTATCCTCGTCAAAGCTTTTGGTTTCACTGTGAGTTGTGCTCTTTGTTCAAATATTGCAATATGTACTGATTAACATTACTTTAGTCTCAAGAATCTATTCTGCTGCAGATCCCAAGTGGTTGTTCTGCTGCATGCTTTGCTGCCCTTGCTGTCTTTATCGCTCGTAAAACTGGTCAATTGTACCTTGGTGCCGCTGTTTCCTCTACCATATCATTAGTTGGTGTCATTCTCTTGGCGGTGCTTCCAAACAGTGGCATCAAGCTTCTCGGTTACTTTACTGCATGGGCTATGAACGGTACCTGTAAGTGCTGATCCTTCGATTTCTTAACATCTGTGCTGATTTTTTTTATTGATATAGCTGTTATCCTTCTTACTATTGCTGGCTCAAATGTTACTGGATACACTAAAAAGATTTTCTATAATGCTGTCAACATGATCTTTTACACAATTGGTAATTTCATCGGTCCTTTGGTCATGCTCGAAAAGGAAGCCCCCACATACAAGACAGGCATGATCATTTACTGTATTGGTAATGCAGCCATTATTGTGATGCTCTTCATTGTCCGTCAGATCATGGCCAGAGAGAACAAGAAGAGATTGGTAAACCCTCCCGCTGAGAAATTGGACATCAAGGACGACTTGACTGACAAGGAAAACAGACATTTCATCTACAAATTGTAATTTTAATCCATATATTCCCATTCCTTCATATGATACTACATTTCATAATAAACTATTTTGTCAAATATACAACCAACTACCACCTTAAGTGAGTCTTTGTGTATTTTGTCAGGTGCTGTTTATGGCAAAAGACTCACTGCAGTCATTGTATATCATAGAAGAGGCCAATAACATTGCCTGTTCTAGCAGGATAATAGCTTTATGCGTGGGGCATCATATCATCGTTATCTCGATGCCATGATCGAAGGTAAGGAAGGGCGGAGAATACTGAGCTGAATGTTGCAATTGGGCCATAATTTTGTGGGGAAACTGTGGCAATCTATGTTTCTGTGCGTGAGTGTGTGAGAATATTTCGATTAGCAAAAGAGATTAAACAAGGCATACAGACACATTTGTAGGTGGTATAAATAGAGACTTGACGACTAAGGGCCGAATTGAATCAGTATGGCACTGAATGCCCACATACCTAGACCCCCATGCATTATTTTCAGTAAGCATATGGCTGTTCTGATCTGGCATGTCTTTTTTCAAAAAGAAGCCTTTAGCTCGGAGACATGCCCAAAAGCAGGCTTCGTCCTCAAGGGAAATCGTATTACTCTATCCTAAACGCGTGTGAAGAGAGACAAAACGCCAAATTAAGTTTTTTTCCCTATTAAGTCTACATATCGCAGCAGTTTGTTTAATATTATACCTCAATGTGTAAAAAGTTGCTTGTGTTCGCGTGTGCATTTTAGTAAATCAAGAAGCATTAATAGATATTTAAGGTTTAACGGATTAGTGTTACTCAAATGCCCTTGCTTGGTAATAGTCTCCAATGTAATATATGAATTATAGAATGACAGATATAGGCTCTTCAGTTACTTGAGAAAAGTCTCCACTTTTGACTATATAAACAAGCTCGTTTCTTTTCTCAAATGGGGTTTTCCCTCCTTTAAAACATCAAATCTCTTATTCGATGTCTGGCACTCTCACACCGCGTAATCATAACCACCACACAGAGACATTTGTAGACGATAAAGCTGCCAGTGTATACAGCAGCAAAGGTGAAATCAGCATAGATGAGGTACCTGTCAATCCTCAGGCCGAGCTCATAAAGAGCGAAAGCGAAAAGAGGCTGCTCCGCAAGATCAACTATACACTCTTACCATTTGTGGGCGCCATTGTCTTTATTCAGTTCGTTGATAAATCCACACTGAGTATCTCTGCTGTGCTCGGTATCCGTCAAGACACTGGTCTAAGTGACACTCAGTACAGTTGGCTAGGCTCCTTCTTCTATCTCGGCTTCATTTGTTTCCAAATTCCCAACAATTATTTTATCCAAAAGTTCCCCATCAAGAGATACCTTGGTACGCTGCTCTTTTTGTGGGGCATCGTCATGGCTTGTACTGCTCTGTGCACTAACTTTGCTCAATTGGCTGCTTGTCGAGTGTTGCTCGGCCTGTTTGAGGCTGGCACTTATCCCTGTCTATTGATTATTGTTAACACTGTCTATCGTCGATCTGAACAATCAGCAGCATATGGTTTCCTCTGGCTCAGTAACGGCACTGGCACCATGGTGGGATCTGCATGCGCCTATGGTATCTCTTTCATCAACAACGCTAATGGCATCCACTCCTGGAGATGGCCTTACATTATTTGGGGCGCTTTGACCGTTCTCTTTGGCATAATCACCTTCTTTTTCCTTCCAGATACCCCCCATTCTTTCATGTATAGATTGACTGAAGAAGAAAAGGAAATTGTCCAAGAAAGATCCAGAGATAACGCAGTTGTCCGTGTGTATGAAGTCAAGAAGCACCACATCTGGGAAGCTGTCAAGGAGCCTAGACTCTGGCTTTTGTGTTTGTCCACCTTCTGTAACAACCTTAGCACTGGTGGCCTGGTTGTCTTCAGTACCATCTTGGTTCAAAACTTTGGTTTCAATGTATGTAAACCCTTTGAATATACACGTTGCAATAGCAAAACTAATCCACAATTCATAGCACCAAGAGTCCATTCTCATGCAAGTTCCTTCTGGTGCTGTTTCTGCCTTGTTTGCAGCCCTAGCTGTTCTTGTTGCTCGCAAGACAGGCCAATTGTATATGGGTGCTGCCTTCTCCACTACCATTTCTTTGGTGGGTGTCATTCTCCTGGCTGTTCTTCCCAATAGCGGCATCAAGCTTCTCGGTTATTTCCTTGCATGGGCCATGAACGGCACTGGTAAGCATCGATGCATCCGATATTATCATACATACTTATACTTTCTTCGGCAGCTGTTATTCTTCTCACCATTGCAGGCGCCAATGTCACTGGCTATACAAAGAAGATCTTTTACAATGCCATGAACTTGATCTTTTACACCTTGGGTAACTTTACTGGTCCTTTGATTATGCTTGAAAAGGAGTTCCCTACCTACAAGACTGGTATGATCATCTACTGTATTGCAAATGCTGCCATCTTGGTGATGCTCTTTGTTGTTCGCCAAATCATGGGCAGAGAGAACAAGAAGAGATTGGCAAACCCTCCTGCCGAGAAGATGGATGTAAAGAACGACTTGACTGACAGAGAAAACAGAAGTTTCATTTACAAGCTGTAAGTTTTGACTCACATCTTTATTTTCTTTACCCATACTACTGTACCCGACTACTTTTCCTTATGTATAATTATCTTAATGCTAATAAATCGAATCAAACAACATGTACCATCATTTGTCTACCAATTTCTGAATGTATTCAAAGCAGTGGATCAATGATTGCCGTTTGACAGACATTCTGAGTAACTACACTGACATCTTCCATAGTGTGCAACATACTCGACAGCACACCTAGCTCTGTTTCGTTGGACCTTTTGGTACAATGATGGCATTGATCTCTTTAGCATTGATTTGCATTTCATGTGACTACATGTCGCGAGCTTGCAAGTGCACTATTTAAGGCATGAGAAGCGTCGTGGATTTATCTACCTTTCTTTCCTCTTGACAACCTCTTACATTAACATGTCTCCATGCAAAGTTCTTATGGTAACCTACAATTCAAGTCATCGAATCTTGACAGCAAACGATTAACATACAAAAAACTAGGTGGCCGAGAAGCCATCATTAGCCGATTCCCTCAGTCGATTGTTGGCTCCAGGTGGACAGGTAAGCATCACATCGTTCGTTTGACACACAGCAGGTTGCTGACTCGCTCGCTTCGGGCAACAGTACTCAACTCACAAGAGCACAACACCTGTTCATGAATGGAAGGGCACTTTTCGCAACGAGCCTGCAGAATTCCACTTTACATCAGTTACTGGACATGTGTACGGTTTGGATTTCACAAAGGAATACAACTCTTGGGACATTGATCCTTTAAAGCTGTTCGACGCCAAGACGGTTAAATCAGAATCCAACCCCAAAATGCGTCTTGGACATCATTTGCAAACAGCTGCGAAAGGCATGGATTACCTGGTATTATGGTTGGATTGCGATAGAGAAGGCGAAAATATCTGCTTTGAAGTCATTGAGAACTGTCTGCCCTACATGAAGCATCCGCAGACGGGAGGCAAGATGAAGAATGTGTTGAGAGCCAAGTTTTCTGGTATGTACAACGAGAGAAAGAGAACATAGCCAACGAACTGACGGAAGTGCAACATATGTATACAGCCATTACCAAGGAGGATGTGCGTCGAGCCATGAACAATCTCGGCGTGCCAAATGAGAACGAAGCAAGAGGTATGCTTTTTTTTTTTTTGGTTGAAATTACTGGAGATGTGGCTCTAATGGAATAGAATAGCTGTGGATGCTCGTCAAGAACTCGATCTCAAGGTGGGTGTTGCCTTTACCCGCTTTCAAACCAGATTTTTTCAGGGCAAATACGGTGATTTGGACTCAACAGTGATTAGTTATGGACCTTGTCAAACACCCACTCTTTCCTTTTGTGTGGAGCGCCATGACCGCATCCAAGGATTTCAACCAGAGCCCTTTTGGTCTGTATCCACTACAATCACCAAATCTGATATGCCCATCAAATTATCTTGGCTGAGAGAGCGAGTATTTGATAGACAGATAGGCACTATGTTTGTCAATATGGTCACGGATGCAAAATCATCAGGTGCAAAGTAAGGCTTATATTTGGGTGATACATGAAGAAGCAAGCTAAATCAAGGTTGTTGATAGAGTCTTGAGAATCAGCGTACAGAAAAAGTCAAAACCCAGACCTCATGCCCTGAATACTGTGAGTGATAAGAACTAATGAATGTGCATTAGCGAAGTCTAATCATCCATGTAGGTAGAAATGCTCAAGCACTGTTCCTCTGGACTGGGTATTAGTCCAAGTGAGTGTGTAGGTATTTTTTTTTAAAACGATGTTTAGATGAAATCACTCACACATCCCGAACAGATGAGCATAGCGGAACGTCTTTATACACAGGGTTACATCTCCTATCCTCGTACCGAGACATCAAAGTACCCTGAAAACTTTGATTTGAACGGTGTGCTTCGAGAACAAGCAAATCATCCAGAATGGGGCCATTTTTGTAAAGATCTGTTGAATAATGGGTACGAAAGACCCTCAGGAGGAACTGACAGCGGCGATCACCCTCCCATGTGAGTTATAAAAGCTATTATGAATTGGATGTCTGGTAACTGACCACAGATAACATGCAGCACACCAACATGTCTTGCACGAGAAGGTGAACTAGGCGGCGACTCATGGCGATTATACGATTTTATCGTGCGTACCTTCATCGGTTCCATTAGTTCTGGTCTGAAGTATACGACCACCAATGTAATATTTGGCATTGGCAGCGAAGAGTTTGAATGCAAAGGAACCAAGGTTACTTCACCTGGTTTTTCATCTGTGATGCATTGGATTACAAAGGCAGACGAGTATGTTCCCGATTTCAAGCAAGGAGAGGTGTTGCCTGTTACTTCTGTTAATCTGACCGAAGGAAAGACAAGTCCACCAGACTATCTGACAGAAGCTGAACTCATTGGTTTGATGGAGCACAATGGTATTGGCACAGATGCCTCTATCCCCACTCACATCAACAATATCTGTCAGAGGAATTATGTGCAAGTGTCTGGAGCAGGAAGAAAGCTTATCCCTACAAATCTTGGCATTGTACTCATTCACGGGTAAGTTGAAGATACCTATACTATGAGAGCATTTGAACTAACCCGTTGCTGTATAGCTACCGTATGTAGAATGTAATTGGCATCTTTCTCCAATGGACACTAACCTTTGATCAACTAGAAAAAATCGACCCTGAGCTATCATTGCCCACCATGAGATCAGATGTGGAGCAGCAACTCAACCTCATTGCATCTGGTAAAGCAGCTCATGGCGATGTGCTTCAGTACTTTTTAAAAATGTTTGCCAAGAAGTTTGCGTACTTTACAAAGCAGGTAATAGTGTAGACTGGTTCATATGGTAGCTCGTAAGCTAAACAGTGGCATGTCTTGTAGATTGAAGCTATGGACGAACTGTTTGAAGCAACCTTCTCGCCTCTTGCTGCCACAGGCAGACCTTTATCTAAATGTGGTAAATGTAAAAGGTAGCGTGTCGCGTTCATCTTATGTCTGGATACTCTACTCATGAAACAAGGTAGATACATGAAATACATTTCCTTAAAGCCAAACCGACTCCATTGCGCTACTTGCGATGAGACATACTCGCTTCCTCTCAATGGACATATAAAGCTGTACAAGGAACTTCGATGTGTAAGTTGTTTGATATTGACGCTGACTACTGATTCCCTGATCAATTTTATACTAGCCCTTGGATGACTTTGAGCTTGTATTGTATTCTACTGGATCAAAGGGTACTGGCTATCCTATTTGCCCCTGCTGCTATAACAGCCCACCTTTCGAAAACTTCAAAAAGGGTAACACGTATAAACGAACGGACTCTATGCCTTGTATACTAATTCTTGTTAGGAATGGCATGTAATCATTGCCCACATCCTACTTGTCCTCACTCCATGGTGACAAATGCCGTGTGTCCCTGTCCAGAGAATGAGAGCGAGACTGATCCTTGCAAGGGGTCGCTCATTTTAGACGCCACATCCGCACCTCGATGGAAATTGAGTTGCAATGAATGCAACATTGTATCTTCCTTTGTGGATACAGTCAAAAGTAAGTTTGTGGACATGGGCATCTATGGATAGTCTGTACTCAACAGTGCCTTAATAGATGTGATTATACAAAAGAATGTGTGTGAGTGCGGATCTGTCATGCTCAAAGTGGAATTCCGCGAAAATCAGAATAGAAAGCCAGCGTCTGGCTGTATCATGTGTGATGATGAGATCGAAGGCTTATTAGCTACAAGGTAATGATAGTAATGACAGCAAAGACGCTTGTAGCCCTCATTAAACTGTGCCATTAGGTTTGCAAGAAAGAATGTGAGAGCTCGATTTGGTGGAAGACGTAGAGGCAGAGGAGGCAAGAAGTTTGATCCGAAGCTTCGTAAACTATACGCTGATATGCGATAAATAAACTGCATGATGTTGTAAAGCATTGATTGGCCATCAACCCCCCCCCCCCTCTCCCATTAATTTCATGTTTACTCCTGCAATGACTAAATTGCTTGCTCTTCCTTTTCTTTCTTGTCTTTTCTTCTGTAACAAATGTATCTCGAGAACACAATTGTACTGTCAGTGTTCCTGAGCATTGCCGCCAGCTTGGTCGCAGCCAATGTCCAAGGTGAATTTGAACAGCAGTAAGTGCATTTATGGATGTGTTACCCTTCACCAGTCCCTCAAATCAAATCAGACACATGAACGAGGCGCATCAAATTGAAGTGACAGATGAGGTTACCTTCTTCAAACTGCACGATGTAGATGGCGATGGTTTCTGGGACGAGAAGGAGCTACAATCCATGTACGGCTTGGAAAGAGACATTGATCCCAATACAAGCCATATCAGGAAAATCATTGACCGCGTCTATGAGGAGATGGACATGAACAAGGATCGTTTCATTTCATTGGATGAATACATTACAGCCAAGCTACCATCAATCACTACAAGGGAGGAAAAGCTGGAGAAGGAATACAGGAAAAAGGCACCACCACCGCCTGCAAAGAATAGTAAAAGAGATCCAGCATCCGGCAAAAAGGCTGAACCAGTTGTCAAGAACAAGAGATCCAGCAGTAAAAGCGTTGAGGGAGTTATTCCCAACAAGTTCAGAGCTTGATATGCTAGTTATCAAATAAATGTGCATTGAATATATGGAGTATTCGGTTGCTAGTTTCGACAGAGAGTACATTGAGTTGCATTATAATATCTTTTGATGATATTGATGGAGCCCTATGGTCGATTATCCAAGAAGATGTTGCGATTTTGCAGTGGAATTGCACTATTCATGTGGATATCTATGCTCGTAGTTTGACATTCTAGTTCGACAATCGCATGCACATGTTGCTCTCTTTCATGTCCTTTTCAATTGGGACCTACCTTTGTAGTGTTTGCATTCTGGCATACCCTTATCCTTCAGAGCCCAGCACAGCAACTGGATCACTCCAGCACTCTCTTAATTACCACAGATAGTAGTAGTTTCACCGTCAAACCTGTCAGTGATAGGCTGCTCCACCTTTTGCGATCTCTCAGAGTGACGTAGATTGGACAGCTAGATTTTTTGCAGGGTTGGGCCAATATTCGACGAACCTGAAAAATAAACCTTCTTTTTTAATTGTGTTTTCATCTCTTCATAAACTTACATTATGCTCTTCAACCGCCCCCTTTTCCAAGCTGTCACCAAGGTAAGCGTGAGTATGCACATGTGTGATGGCATCTCTTAACCAAGGAACCCGGGTATAGGCCTCCACTCGTCTTGCCGGTATCCCCGTTCATCAAAATCCTCGCCCTCATTTGATCCAAACCTACAACACCACACTTGAGGCATTGACCCGCATTCCCAGCACTGCCGTTTACAGACAAGCTACCGAAGCTTTAACCCAACAACGCTTGTCTATCGTCGAATCAACCGAGAACATTGAAGAGATTGAATCAAAGATCAATGTTGGTCAAATTGAAGAAGTCATCATTCAAGCTGAAGAGGAATTAAAGATGGTTGCAAAGATTGAGGAGTGGAAGGCTTGGGAGCCTCTTGAGGTGCCTATTCCCAAGGGTCAATGGGTTTATCCTACCAAGGATTAAAAAAGTCAGTAGCCAGCTGTTAATTTATATTCACAACAAGACACAACTCAACAGAGGACGCCTCCATACACATAACAAAAGCAGACACTCGACATTTTGCGATTATTTTGTATACATCATTAAAGAGAAAAAAACACAGAAAATACAATATAAACTATCATAGAAGATTGTTACTCTTGTGGCCATTATCTTGTAGTGGGATGTCCATGCGTTTCTCTGGGATGTTTCCCTTTTGATTTTTTTGTGATTGTTACATGGAATGCCTCGTACTTATCAAGAGGGATTCAGGATCGCCATCAGAAGCAGGTATCGCGCTGGCTTGTTGATGATACAATCGACGCTAATCAATGCTCAGTGAGAATTCATGAGCCAGACCTTGGAAATTGAGAGTTCAATAATCATGTTGACACAAAACTTATATGCAAATTGCGGATGAGCGTTCCTTTCCTTATAAATGGTATCAATCTGTAATCACAATAGGTACAGAGGCCGATATCTTTGTGTTTGACAGTGAATCAAGGTCGACCTTAAGAAACATCTCCTGTATTCTAGCACATATTTTCCTCTTCCCATATGCAATTACAACAGAAAGAGTATTGCCTTGAGTGATTTCTTATACCGGTAATGCTAAAATTGGAAGATATCTTCATCCAAGACGCCAACGACAGCGGTTGTATTGATGTAGAGACACATAGCTTCACAAAACACTCTAAACAACTTTCAGCATCTGCCTCCAACTAATCACAACTGAGAGAGTATATATATATATCGTAATCATCGCCATTTCTTTCACTTACTATCCCACACCTTTTGCGTCAAGTATACAGTAACCACTGCGATTGTTTTGCTGACATACGCAGACTGATGATATGTAGGTGGCGAGCATAGGTCAGGAAACCAACCGAAGAGTCAAAAGGCTCATAGTAACCTCACAAACTTTTGGTCCCTAGACATTTTCAAAGCCCCAAAAAGGAAAGAAGTTGACCTAACAAGTATTTTGATAGACTGGCGTTATTAAATATAGAAAGTAAGAAAATAACATGGTTAGCGATAGTGCTATGTAGCTTGTCGCCTGCTTTCCATACGCTCCAAAAGCATATATTATTACTGTATTGCCTTCATGATGAAACGGGCATTGAGTTTGCCAGCCGGCCCTACCAGCCAAAATTAATTCAAACCTAGAATCATAATCTGCTCCAGATTGGACAAATGTCTAAGGTTTTCGACTCGATTAAACTATTTTAGCAGATTCGACTATATAAAATATGCTAATCATCCTATGCTTCTTTAAGCTTTCTTGGAGTGCTTTTTAAGGCGCATCCGGTGGTATTAAGTAAGTAAGATGTTTTAGATAAACTTATTGAACAATTTATAAAAATATGAAAAGAGGTTTCTGACCAAAATGTCGAAATTTTACATATGAAGGTCTTGCAAACAGAGTTTCTGAGGTTGCTTTGGATCGATAGCAACATTTTGATTTAAGATATACCATAGTAAAAATCTTCATTATCAAGGTCAAAAACACGATTGTTTGATTTTTGATGAAAACCATGAGGGGCACCTCATGGTTTTTGGTCGATTTTTGCCCATGTTTTTTTTTGATCCCCAAAAAGTTGAGCAAAGATGTCAGAAAGTAACTGCCAGATGAGAGCAACCGTTTGATGCTATTCTGACAACTTAAAACAGCATTGAACGCGAGAAATCGCAGCTCAAATGTACTCAGATTTTGCTGTATCAGGGACACCAAGGACTAAAAAGGGGGAATAGCAGTATGTTGCTTGCCCGTATATGAAGTAGCCACGTGTATATGGATGTAGAGCATCACATAAGAATCAGACCCGCATATAATATGAAGGGTTTTTATGTGTAAGTGGAGGATCAAAATGAAAGCAACATTATTTTGATAAGATATGCAAGGACAATCGGCTGCGCAGGTTGGTTCTTCCGAAACGAGGCAAAGATAGAGAGTCATTCGAAGCGTAAAAACTCGCTTGATCATAGAAAATGGAAAGAAAAAGGTGAAAAAGACAAATTTATTAGACGATGAATCAGTAAATGCCACTGCAGAGGAAGCCATAAAGCTTATTTTACTGAATGGTGTTGGTACTTCCTCATACAGACTATTCTCTTGATCCATTTTTTGAGCAGAGAACAATAAGACATATGCTATCCGTCGTGCATCATCTTGCTGCACCGAAGTTATGGTCTATCACAGCTATTCTGCTACCGTCTTCCTGAAAGCAATTGATACAACCAAACAGATCGTACTTGTGTAATATAGAATGCTTCTTAGCAACATTATCTAAGCTGCACATCATATCCGAGCTTTACTGGATCAATAAAAGTTATACAATCAACGTATAGTATCGCTTTCCTATGATCTACGAATGTTAACTCTAAGAGCGTAGCATTGTGATCTACACAAACAGCAATGGCAGCCGATGATGTAATTATGAGGTCGATGACACACTCTACCATATGAGCAAAATTGTTCACGATGATCTCTGAATTCCCTGGTTGTCCTAAAATGATAATGTTGGTAGATCAAATAAGAGCTTTCATGTAAAGATCACACTTTATACGCTGAATTGTACACGTTATGTTACGCTTCTTGTCCATACACATCCCGGATTAAATATATATATAGATCACTGCTGATTGAAAGTTCTAGCTTGATTTCTGATACATGCAAGAGGTGATGGTGTTCCAGCAAAAAAAAAACAACGGTTCAGATCATAGTCGCTATATAGTTCATGTGTTTGCTGCCGTCTACAAACCATCAGATTGTTTCAGAGATAGGTCGATATCCACAATACGCCTGATCAACATTGAGCGTACCATTGTCATCGCCGCCCTTAGAAGCAAGCAGGCGCCTGTCTAAAATATATGTGAAGCCTGTTTGAAAATAGTGTTTCTAATGTTGTAGATCAAGAATACCAGTACACATTGCTTTATTGGATCTATGTTTTAGTGTATATACATAGTATATGACGTATCGTTTATGCGTGCATGCAACTGTGAATAACGAGAATTTACCCACAATTTTGGAAGTAAAATGAAGCAATGAGAAGCGTGTTAAACTCACTATACAGCACTTTAAAACCAAAATGTCGATTCAAACTAAATGGAAAGGCACTAGAGTGACAAAATAAATATGTCAGCGCTTCTCCGCTAGATGTCGATCATTTAGTTTAGCTGTTGGAGTATACATTTTTGATTTCCTAAATCAAGAGTCATTTTGATTTCTGCAATTCATCATGGCTCAAAAGTTGCATCCCGTTTTCAGGTCATACAGAGGCATCTTTTTTCGGTTGACAACTCCGAATGTTTATTGTTTGCGATGATCATACAGGTATGCAAACGCTATAGGCCTTGTGATGGCATTGCAGTAACATCATATAACAAGTTACAAACGTAAATGAAAGCGCGGTATGTACGGTACATTGATAAGAAGATAGCCTTTAACCTTGATTACATTACGAGCTCAGATGCCAAGAGGTGTTAAAAATCATATAGTTCCTTAATTAAACCCTTTTGTGTTCAAAAAATTTATTGTTTGAGATTGCTACATGTACAGATATATGATATAAACAAAAGGAAGCCATAGCAAGAAGAGGGAAAAAAAAAGAGTTCTACAGCGAAATGAATGGAGAATGTGTAGTGAATGTGGGTCTGTGCGTATCTTGATCAAAGGATATACATTGGTATAAGGAACTCCTTTCGACGAGGAGATTGAGACCGAGGGAAATACTCATCGTCGATTCGCTATTTTCTTCTTATTTCGTCATGTCAACCCCAATAGAGATGCAGAGATTTCTAGTAATTCTACATTGATATTTACAATCCAAGGGTGCCATCACCGAGGCCAGCCAAACCGCCATTATCAATGGGACAGGCAAAAGTGGCCGATGATGATATGGTAGGATGAACCTTAATGACAAGCACCTTTGCTGTGAGCTTGATGGTATAATCGATCGTAATATCCTTCTTTTCGCTACCGGATAATCCACACTTTTCCACCAAATCGCTTAAAACAGATTGATCCGCATCGTAGCTTGGGTTATATTCAAGAGAGAAGGGAAACGTAAAGTTGAAATTACTGTATTTTGGCACATTCTGCTCTGCTAAATAGCCTTTCCCGATGTATGTGTGTCCACCGTTATCATTTGGATAATATGCCTATTTCATCAAATGTGTATCAGTGACACAAGGAAAAAAAAAAAAGGGATAACATGTTACAGAGTGTCTAGATTAGTTACCGTTGCGTTGATATCAGTGAGGTCTATACTGAGTAAGTTGGGATTGTTGACGGCCACAATCAAGCCAAAATTGATGCTAATGCCATCACCCGTGAAACTGAACTGCGAGCCTGTGGTGGGAGTTGTTGATACGCCTGCCATGTCTACAGTGGGCAAGATGAATGTGCCTGCAATCGCACCAATCACAATGACAACAATGATGATGGCGATGATGATGAACCACAGAATACCAGCAGCCCAGATAGGTAAGCAGCAAGCACAGCACATACATCGAACACAGCAGTTTCTATCGTCCATACGCCTCTTCTTCTTTTCTCCGCCGGATTCCATATCAGCGTCGTGCTCTGGCCCCAATTCAGGTATCTGTTGGCATTCTTTTGATGTCAAACGACGATTAATGAATGACAGCTTAAATGATTGAATCATCTATTTTACCTTTATCCTGCAATTTATCCGAGTAATAGGGGTCTTCTACATGACTCGGCTTGACTGTGGGTGTGGGTGAAGGTGATATGTGTTGGTAGTGTGTTGGCAGGCTTGGGGGCGGTCCCAATGTAGATGTAGCAGGATACATGTCTCTTTGGTCACTGTTTGGTGGGGCCATTTTCGATTAGAAAGTAAAGGGGAAAAAGGCGATAAGAAACAAAAGAGAGGAGGGAGGGAGATTATCATTTATATTTTTAGGTTCTTTTAAAAAGAAGAGATTCGGATCCCGGATTATGTTGGGTTTCATCGTTTTAAGAGGATACAAGTGATGGATGAATGATGCTCCAAGTTCGTACACTGCACTCATCCTTGTCAAATTGAACCTCCGTATTAAGCTTTTCTTAAATGAAATTTATCCAAACAATGAAACCTGACCAAGCATATCTACTCTTTTTATTAAAATATACCTGCAAACAAATTAGGATTGGCTTGAAGATAGTTTACTGCAATACGGTAGAACGAAAAGCGTTCCATGTACAGGTAGCCCGTCAAGACATAAGGTACCACAAATAAATGACATGTCACTGCCATGCAAAAGATGGTGTACAACTGGCCTAGCCATCCTCTGCTGAAGAATTTATCGCCAATGCTGATGCCGCAGACCTGAATGACAAAAAACATAAATTGGAGTCCACAGGCTGGCAATGGAGATCCGAAATAGAGTGAAGATCCAGTGGCTGCGTACAAAAAGTACTCGTGCATGATGCCAGACATGACAAACACAGATAAAGCCGGGAGCCAGCGAGGAGGCTTGCAATTGAAAAAGAGTTGCACCGCTGCGCGGATGGGTTTGTAGCCGAGTCTGTAGAAGCAATCGTTGTAAAATGTGTGCCATCGTCTGCCCCAAAAATCACGGAGAGAGCGTGCTGTCCATGGTGAGTCAAATAGCACTTGCATGCTGAGCGTGCTTTCGATATATCCCTTCACTGCTCGAATACCACGCACTCTTCTCAAAATAGCCTTTGTCTTGACAATGCTCTTGGTGTTTAACTTTTGAGAATCCTTCCCCAGCTGCCATCTCTCCAATGTAGGCAAGCACTTATAGATGAGGGCATAAGCAATCATGAATATATCATAGGTTACCTGCAACTGAGTTTGGATATAGACGCAGAACAGCATGCTCATGAGGACGCTAATGGCAATGCAACCGTAGGTCAAGGGCTCAGCAGGTGCTAGTAATGCGGCTTTTTCGGTTTGGCCCAGTAGAGAGAACATCTTGGACAAGAAGGCAGAGAACACGCGGATAGGGCGTTGAGCATCGGCATAATTGAATGTAAAGTCAATCACATCAAATAAGATTTCATGCTTTAGCAGGGCCCATATTAAAGATCCAAACTTGATATCCACATACTCTGAAGTTGCACAAGGCTGTAAATCTAGAGTTTTTGGGGCATTTACATTGCGTTTTCTCCAGTCAGATAGAGTGAAGATAAAGGGCTGTTGACGTCTCTCCTCCATGGACATACTAAACACCCACACACCCATCTTCATTGAAGTCGCCCATGCCCATACGGATGTACTCATCAAGCAGAGGTAGGGGAACTGACCTGCATAATACATGGGGATGGCTAGACCCGCAAACCATAGAACCGCCAGCAGGGCATCTTGAATGATATTTCGTCTCTTGACCGGTAAGGATAGCGCCATGAAGATGAAGCTAGGCGTTATGACAGTAGCAACGTAGGCTGGTATACTCATTGGGTAACTGTCGGCTATTACTGTTGTTTCCATGTTGATGGATTAACTTGCCTTGATGAATGGATGGAGATGAATGAGAATGCAGAATAATGATAATAAAAAAGGGAAAAAAAGATATATATATATATATACAATGATAGAAGAATAAGGTAGCTTATAATTCTATGTCAAGAAGGAAGCTGTAAGAAAATGTCTATGTATCAGGAAGAAAAAGAGTAGAATGGTTTTGAAGGGTTTTGCTCTGCTTTTATAGATTAACTTCCGGGCCAATTTTCTCCGGCTAAATGGTTGCCATCAATAGATTTTAAAAACTTTCAGCATCAATGCCTACTTTCAAACGATAAGATAATAAGAGGCTTTTACCCCTTAATGAACCGTACACAACCAACTGGCTCCCTGGCTACGATGGCATTGTGTTATGATCAAGTCCATGAATTGTTAAATGAACCGAGAAACCCAGCCTTATTGTCTTGACATGCCTGAGACTAAACTCAGTTGAACCAATTTCAAAGTTTTACTGAATTGAATAGAGTCAATGCCATGGAATGGAAGGCCTTTGCACTAGCTAATGCGTCAGGCTGCATGTTGCCTGATCATGCGATATGTATTTTTGATGCCATCCGATCAGTTGCTCACATGTTTCTTTGAGGATGTTAATATGAAAGAGCAATATTGGGAATCTGTGTTGATTGTCTACAGAGAGCGAAATGGTTTCATTCACCATTTTATCCAATCATACAAAATACACCTAAGCAAGGACCAAAAAAAGGGGCATTCATTGTAAAAGATCGCCCATTCAACCTAAATTGATTGCATGCCCTGCTTTTACGTAGATACCAAATAGCATAAAGTGGCTATGTACATATACAAGGCCATCTTTGTTACACAGATAGCAGCCTATTCATTGGAATCTATTATGGTGGTTATTGTAAACATTGGACATCTGATTACAGATTTGTGACCTAGAATAAAAAAAAAAAAAAAAGTTTCCAAACAATGGGAAATGTAGGCTCGGGCCTCTTCGGCAACAATTCTGAGCTTATGAGTTTTGGTGACACTTGCAAAAACCAAACACCCGTGCAAATGGCACTAGGCAGCATCCTATGCGATTCTGAGTAGAATGACAGCTTTGTATTGCGCTTTGAGTTTCGCATTTGAATGAGCAATTTGTAACAGTTAATCCTATTTATTCAATAAAAAATGTAATGGCAAAAGAAAAAAGTAGCAGCCAGATTAAGCGATAGTACTTTCCAATTAGCAATTCCCATTCTAAATAGCTGCTAAATTATTGATTGATTTCATGGGAAGGCATGGTGGCAGCAGCAACACCGAAAATTAATTCACGCTCCGATTGACATACTGTTTCGATTCGTTGATTTTTGATCGATTTGCGACTTGATTGAACTATTTTGCCAGATGCGACTGTATAAGCTGTGATGATCTCTTATGTACCCTTAAGCTTTTCTGGAGTACTTTTCAAGGCGCATCCAATGGTACCAAGTAATACAGATGTTTTGAATAAACCTATTGAGCAATTTATAAAAATATGAAAAGAGGTTTCTGACCAAAATGTCGAAATTTTACATATGAAGGTCTTGCAAACAAAGTTTCTGAGGTTGCTTTGGATCGATAGCAACATTTTGATTTAATACATACCATAGTAAAAAATCTTTATTATCAATGTCAAAAACGCGATTATTTGATTTTCAATAAAAACCATAAGGGGGTACCTCATGCTTTTTGGTCGATTTTTGCCCATGTTTTTTTTGATCCCCAAAAAAAGTTGAGCAAAGGTGTCAGCAAGTAACCCCTTGATGAAAGCAACTGTTTGGCGCTTTTCTAGAGGCCTAAAACGGCTTCTAACACCAGGGATCACTGCTCAAATGCATCCAATTTACGCCATGTTTTGTATATATTTGAGTAGTAAGACGCAATACAAGTATGGTGCCTGCTCTTCTATGAGTTGTTCCCATTAATATAGACGTGGGGCACTCGAGTTGTGCCAGATTCCCAGTTACAGGCCATTTATAGAGGATTTTTAGGGGATGGTCAAGAGCAAAGAAGAAAAATTTGGTGTATATATTGACAGCACAATAACACAATAATACTAAATGGGTAGCTCATTTGCGGTGGCGTTCATTGATATCCCGTACTTTTTTTTTTTCCTGTAATGAATGGATCCACATTGGACGCAAGGTATTCTATCATTCTGACTTGATTTTGCTTGCTCTTGAAAAGAGGATTTTGACATTTTCAATGCAAAAGGTGTTTTACAAACTCTTACATTGGAGCTGTAATGTAAATGTGGACATATATGTATCTCCTCCTCTCAAGAGATCATTCCATTCAGTATACAAGTCGTATAAAAAGGAGTCATTATACCCAACAATGAGATAGCATCCAAGTACTGCAACACGGCTCAATGAACTTTGAGTTCTGACCAACAAGACTCTAAATGTGCCCTGAGTTGATTGGACAATGACACCCGTATTGAATTATATACTCTTGGGATTTGTACCCAGTTGTGTTTTTCCCTTACACCATTTCTTCTTTTTCTTCTTATATTAATACGATGAGCTGTCCTACATTCAAAGTGTCCGTTGGAATTCCAGTGTTTGGCCTCGGATTCACCCACAACAACCAACTTATCCTAGGTGGTGGAGGTGGAGCCTCTCGTTCAGGCGTCAAGAATAAACTGGTAAGCGACGCAGGCACAATGGTTACTGCAGTACACTGACTCACTTGAAAAAAAAACACAGGCTTCTTACAAAATTGACGTTCGTCGTAAAGATTTAGAAGAGGATGCTACATTTGATTTTGCAGCAACAGAGGACGCGCCCATGTGTCTCGATGTGCATCCTTCTGTAAAGTGAATACACAAAAGTTATATAAGAGATTCTAAATCAGTGATAAATAGGGACCTTATGTCGTTGCAGGTGTCAATGCATCAGAACAAGATATCAAGGATGGAAAAAACAACAACTGTCGTACGTTCAAAATATTGGAAGACAAGTAAGTTTGCTGAAATTGCTGATTCGAAAGACCAATTTTCTGAATTATCAGCATTGCAGGCTTGAGTTGGAAAAAGCTGTCAACACATTGGAAAGCAAAAAGGCCGAAGATTATCAAAGAGTTGTTCGTTTCAACGAGAGTGGAAGCTTGGTAGCCACAGGAACCACAGACGGCCGAGTGCAAGTGTTCAAATATCCAGATTTCGAGACTATTTCCCCAGCAGTTACGGTTTCACAGGACGATGAGGTTTTGGATGTGGACATCAATCTAGAAAACGAAAAACTCACCTGTGTATTGAGAGACGGCTTGAAACTGATCAACCTTCGAGGAAAGAATGTGGGTCAAGTTGTTCAGACAATCTCTAGTGCTACAGTCATCAAAAAAGGCACTACTCATTTCAGAGCGTTCAGGTGAGGACAATGGAAGGGGCGCATTGTTACAAGACTAATACAATGAACAGATATGGCCGTGGCTTTACCAAGGATTTCGGTTTTGCTGTCGTCAATGGTGTCACCAAACCTGCAGCTTACATTGTCAAATACGATGCTTATTCTCTTGATCAGGTCAAGGTGGTTAAAGTAGGAAACAAGCCCATTACTGCTTTTGCAATCAGTCAAGACGGTGCTATCCTCGCTTTTGCATCTGCTGATTTAACCGTTACATTATTGGATGCGCTTTCGTTCCAAGTAAGTCGACGCTATGCACTGTATTATTATGATCCTAAATTTTTTGGCAGACTCTTACTAATATCAAAAACGCTCACGGATTCTCAATTACATGTATTGCTGTGAGCCCTGACAGACGCTTATTAGCCAGTGCCTCAGCCGATAATACATGTCGCATTGTCTCTCTTCCATTGCAATTCGGTACTGGATTGACCGTCAACCCGCTTCATACCCTTCTTTTAGCCTGTGTGGTCGCTGCCCTCTTGGTCTGGATCTTGAGTTTTGTTGATATTCAACCACTCTACAATCTGGACCAAGGTAAAGATGTCATTGAGGTGTCAGCCCAGAAAGATGTTGTTCCACAAATCAGTACATCCTCGGTCTATGCATCTCCATCATCTGCTACTCTCGAAAGTGCTGCTTCATTCGTTATTTCTGAAGCGCCCACTGACATCCGGGAGACGCCTGCTGTTGTCATTACTGTAGATAAAGAGCATGTGATTGCCAAACCCCACGCTATTCCAAAATCTAAAACTACTCACCACGAAACAACCACTGGCAGAGATGAATTGTAGACCTGCCACTATATAATACAAACTAGCCAAGCATTCAATAAACGAGCAATCTGTAGATCTATTTCATCAAAATTCGCTTTTATTTATTACTGTATCGTCTTTGTCGTGTTGGTAAATTTGCATATGTTTATTGTTGGTCTTTGTATTGCTTGGCCCACTAAGATTGAAAGATTAGCTGATCGTAATCGTTGTTGAATCGAGTATCATGCTTACCATCATGGAGGGAATCCAACGCTTGGGTTGTTGATAGCGAACCTATACAATATCAATTACTGATTAGACAATCGTGCGATACCCAATGTCAACGTTTAATACCTCTTTATCAGCAGAGACCTTCCAGACAGCACCAAGAGTAACAGCCATACCGAAAGCAGCAACAAGGGTGTTTGTCTTCCATGTCTTGGGTCTTGACCACCAACCACCAGCAGGAGACCTATGTATTCCGTTGAGAAATGTGGGGGGAAATGTTACTTCAAATGACTCCCTTACCAAACGTCTTTAGGATAAGGATAACGACTGACAGCACCCTAGTTCAGATTTAACATTGGCGAGGTAAGATAATTGAATCATCATTTTGTAGCCAACTGTCAACATTTACCATATTATTATAGTGTAAGGATTTTTATATAACTGGAGGAAGAAAAGAAAAATAATAAAATCAAGGCAAATTAGCACTTCCGCCCTGGGGTCCAGTGGTGAATACTTGTTCGAAGCTTTGATACGTCATCTTTAAGGTAGGCACCAAGGAGGAGTTCATTTTGTGTTGTATCAATGTCTATTGCGAAATGTTCCAATTGAAAGTGAATGATGCTTATAAGAAGGCCATTTCCGACAATCTATGTGGATAGCAGGCGACGGATATACTCTACAGTACAGAAACAATGCCTCCAGTCTATGCCATTTTTGCAAACAAGTCGCCATCTAAAGATCGACTCTACATTGGAATTGGCGGACATGCCACCAGGATTTCAAGATTTTTGTGAATGCGATGCTCATAGAAAAGCAAATGTCTTTTTAGAATTTACGCTTCAGAGCATCTTGGGTACATCCTACATCTCTCAATTTTCGTAATGGACATTGAGACATCCTGCGCTCCTCTTTCAAACCTGGATTTGTAAGACATGGACATTAGCCGCTTCTCTATTAGCAATCTGTTTCGACTTTAGCTCGGCACTATGCTCCAATGCAGCTGAAGGACTGCATGGAATGCATCGATTGCACAAGGCGTTACCTTAGCCGTATCAAGCAATTGAAGTCTCAGCATTGGAAAGCTTTTCGATATAGCAATACAAGATTCTGAGATACATCATAAGATTTCCTTGCAGCTTTCGATAATCACACTTATAGCTTTATGTCAAAACTTTGAATATTCCCAATCAGTAGCCTCCTGTGCTCCTTGATCATGCAACAACCAAGAGCTCGTCATCCTGTTGACACCAAACACATATGATTCCTCGATTTGGGAATCTCCGCAACAATCATGGCGAGAAATACGTAATCGTTTTTCTCCTTTGTTTGAATCCTAACAGTTTAAACGAATCCATCCATCCATCGATCCTGTTTATTTCACCTTTCTAAACTATAATAATGGCTGATACTGAAGAAAAGAAGATTGTCGAACAAGTAAAGCATCAAATTGCAACAGATGAGACGGATGACTCGACTAACACGCATCTCATTCACTTTGATTAGCAAGAGGAGGAAGTTGAATCCCCTGATGTCCACTTTGAACCCATCATCAAATTAGAAGAGGTCGAAGTCAAGACCAACGAAGAAGAGGAAGATGTTCTTTTCAAGATGTAAATTGGTGAGAAACGCGTGCATTTTCCACTGAATACTGACATGCACATCATATTTAGGCGTGCCAAGTTGTTCCGTTACAACAAGGATACCAAGGAATGGAAGGAGCGTGGTACTGGTGATGTCAAGTTCTTGCAACACAAGGAAACCAAGAAAGTTCGTTTGTTGATGCGTCGTGACAAGACCCTCAAGGTCTGTGCCAACCATTTTGTCGATTCCCTCATGAAGCTCTCTCCCAATGTTGGTTCTGATCGTTCTTGGGTTTGGAATGTCACTGCTGATGTCTCTGACGGCAAGCCCGAAGCCGAGACTTTGGCTATCCGTTTCGCCAACTCTGAAAATGCCAATCTCTTCAAGGAAAAGTTTGAAGAAGTTCAAAAGATCAACCAAGAATTGGCCAAGAAGGGTAAGGAGGACAAGAAGGAGGACGAGAAGAAGGAAGATGCTTAAATTTCAATAAATTAAGCATACAAATGTACTATCCCCCCCTCTTTTTTTTTTTTTTCTGCAATTCTTCGTATACATATACATATATATATATATATTGGGAATCAAGAGAAAAAACACGCACGATTATATCTCAACTCATTCATCACATAAATCTCCCTTCTCTTTCTTTATCAAAGAAGATGAAGAAATACTAATTAATAAACACGTTATAGCTGAAATCAATTACTTTTATGCGTAACACTTGCATGAATTTCGGTATATTCAAGAGTGGTGGACCAAGTATTCGACCTTGAAATCTCTTTTGCCCGATGTGTGCACCATGTGAGATTGACTTGTGTCTGGCATTTTTTGATCTAGAACAGAGTTCAGATGCTGTCAAGTACCCAGAGTGCTCATATATTGAATTTGAACTCTCTTCGGTCAATAGAGTTCATACCATGGGTGATGTGCACACAATCCCAACTATATTATTAGGAGATTACTCGGTAATCCGCATGTACAAATTCAAGAATCGACATCAAAAGTTGTTTGTACATTCAAGGTCTGATGCGAGGTAAGGAATAGCACCACACGATAGTGAATTCTGTGTACGTCTATAATAAACAAAGTATGCTTACCTACTACTATTGAGAAGTTAAGAGGGCCTAGTAGACGCGTTGAGCAACATTGTATATATGGCGTTTTCAAGCAGGAAGAATATGATATCCTAAACTAGAAGGCTTAATGGAGCTGAACAAAGCAAGCTACATTTGTTTAATCTTAAAAACATGACTCACCAACATGTAAAGTATGCACCGGTAACTTGAAAATAGCGACTTGTTAAGGGAGTTATGGTATATAATAAGCTTAAATATTAACTATACATTTAGCTGGACTGGCGTTCTAGAGCTGTCATCGGCTAGATTCAAATCCATTAAAACCTGCAAGCTCCTGTTATTGGCTTGACATCAATATGAGACATATTGACACCCTTCGATCGTTTTAATGTACCGTTCTCAATAGTAATTGTTTCTAGCTCATAGCTAATTTACACAGAATTTAAATGCGCACCGAATGGTACTGGTCTTGATAGTTATTCCACAGCAGCTTGTATTTGAACAGGCCAGTTTTTCACGTTCTCGAAGGGGTTCGAAGGAAAACATGCGCTAAATCTGTATCTACTTGCCTGAAGTAATCTTTATTGCCTAGATCCAAGGTTTGCCTATGGTTTAAGGCTTTGGTCGAAGCTGTAGCATCAGCACACATTGATCTGCAGGGCGAAATAGGTTAACCCCAGCCAAATTGCCAAAAAAAACAATCGCTCAAGGAAACTAAATTTTGCTACAGTGGCGCAGAAGATAAAAACGTTTCTGTGTACCAGCATGAGTCAATGCATTCCCTAAATTTATTTTATGGACTTGAGCACCACATGGACGTTTTTGTGCTCTTGATTTTGAAGCGAAAGCATCGCAGTATTTAAACAAACGAGGCGTGATTTTGTACAGCAAACACAAGGCGTACAATTTAGTTAATAGAAATGAAGCCTGATCGAATTGGCAGTTGTACTAATAGTAGTGTCGAAACACTGGTTTTCCTTTATTATATATTGATTACTTTTACAACTTTACTTGCTCGCTTCATTATTTGATAATTAACGTAGAGATTGAAAATCTGTTCAAACGGCGTTTAGCAGCCCCTCAATGTAGTCATATAAACGTTCTGATATGAACTCTCTAACATCAAGAGGCGTAAAAAAGCAATTCTCTCCCTTTTGCTAAAATACGCTGTACAGCTTCAAACCTTTACCACACTACAACGAAGCAAGACATTGCCAAGCGGCTTACAATTCAACATTTTGCAACAGCTCATCTGTCAACCCATTACTTGCAATTGCTGATAATTAATAGGTTCTTAATATATCTAGCTCATTACTGATGAAATTTGGCTTTTCTTGAAAAATTCTCTATTTCTTACCAATAACTCATCCCATCTAAACCTCAATAATTACTCCATCGTTATTCTCGCAAAATTTGGCTGTAGGAACACGCTACTTTCATAGCTCTGGCATCATAATAGTCTAAAACTCGATTTTGATGGCCCAAACCTCGAGACAAAAAATACTTTTGTTCATCCAAAACCGTTGATATGAGGCGAAAGATAGCAACTTACTAAATTGAAACATGTTGGATATTAATGATGAACAACGCATGCTTGGCGGGGTATTTGGTAATGGATCCTCCTGGTATCTACGGTAGCGTATTACTCTACTTACATGACTTTCTTCCCCACCGCATAATATCTGTGGAATTTGAGGCTTGATAGACTAAAATTCACGGAAAAAAAAGAATAAAAAACAGTAATGTCAACTTGATAAAGGTGTATTTTATTATCAAACTGACAGGTGTCAAGTAAAACTGAAGTCTCTCTACTGGCCAGGTAGATGATCCTTCTTATATACTATAACAATGGATAAAAGTTCTATTAATTAGATTGACAAATAAGTCAACTCAGATCAACTAATGTCTAATCATGCTAAAAGACAACTCCAGCAAGCTAATCATGATTTAGCTCTGTCTGGATGAATAATTAGACTCTCATCCGAAGTACCCTGATCTATCCTTTCTATAAGGATAATTAATATCGATCTAGTAGCAAGTATCCGATAGGTACAGTCTACTTAGTCTATATTAATAGTACATATCTGAGTGTATATCGCTAAGCATACATCTTTAGCATGTATCTGGATATATGGCATGTCTATAGCATATCGTATGCATGTCTATAGCATGTCTCATATATAGTACAAGTCTGTAGTACATAAAGTATCTGTAGCTAGTATCACGGATATAAGCATGTGTCTTATAGCGTGGATCATGAAGTGCACATCTGAAGCAACAAGCTCATATTGCATTAATCTTGGTGCCTATCCAGATATGGTAAACATCCGTAGTCAATGTCGGAATACAAGTATAAGTCTATAGTGCCATCCATGTCCGTGGTGCCATCTATAGCCTATATCTTATATAGTATGAATCTTATAGTACTAGCGTATCTGAAGTCCATATCTTCTTATAGTATAAATCGATATCGTACATCTAATCCAGCGTACATACAGTTTATATCTAAATCTAGTAACTGGATGAACTGTCGGAATGCAGATCGTAGTGGATGTATTCCACAATATCATCATGTTTAAAGGGCATCCCTTACATGCAGCTGTATATTGCAGAGTAGATCAAACGATTACATCTTATAATACTTTTGAACTAAGAAGGATTTACATTGTATACATTTCACTACCTTTTTATTATTACAATCAAAAGAATCATATTAAATGCTATATCAATACCGAAACTAGCTAGTTGTATCCCTTCGCTTCTTCGACCTCCGAGCCAATCAGATTGCTTGAAAACTCCGCTGACCTGAAAAAAAAATTGCGAGGGTTTCCCCCTGTTTGGATGTGAGGCAAAATTTTAAGCGCCGCTATAATAGCAATATAGCCGCTGCTATCATCAAACTTCCCTCAGGTGCTAGAGCATGCCTTACTTACACCACCTAGCTTTAGATTCTGGCGTTGAGACCCTCAATCATCACTAAAGTAAGTAGTGATAACCAAATGGAGGCGGCCTATCTACCTCCTAGCCTCGGATAAAGTCTTGTTGAGCTTCAGGGATAGGCACATCCACACAACGTAAAAAAGTATGCTTCAAAGAAACATAATCAAAGGAACAAAGGAACATAATACTATAAGAGTATAGTAGTATGTAGGCAAAAAAGAAAAAAGAGACACTCACACGAAGCGAGTCAGGAAAAAGCATAACAAACACAACATCAAGGATGTTCAAAAAAGCTTGTTGCTGTTGCAAGAAAATGCATACATGAGCAACAACGCGCATGGTAGTAATAGTCGGATGTAAAGCAACATGACACAAATACGCCCAACTGCAAAAGCAACAGTGGTATTATAAGTTTGCAATACAACATAATGACTAATGTTGTTTCCTGTAAAGCTACAGAGGAAACACTACCAACAAAAGAAAAGAAGAAAGCGCAACAAGGCAAACATCATGAATGCATTATCACGAGAAAGGAAGCAATGATATAAGCGTTCAAAGAAGTTTTATACCACTGCTACCAGAAGAAAGAATATACTTACCACTTACTACAGCCACAGATAGACCAAAAGAGTATAGGCAATCACCGGAGACAGACCAGAGAACAAGCATGCACCAAATATAGTAAACCAGAAAAGACCAGATTAGCAGCAGCAACACCAGTACCATAGACAAACTAAAGAACAAACGCCATCAGCAGAGAGCAGACAAAGACCAAAGAAGTTACTGCTTATCACCACCAGAGGTAGACCATAAGAATATAGGCAATCACCAGAGATAGACCAGAGTAGAAGCATGCGCCAAATATAGTAGACCAGAAAAGATCAGAAAAGACCAGATTAGCAGCAGCTGCAGCAGCACCAGCAGCAACACCATAGAAAACCCGAAGCACGAGCGACACCAGAGATCCGACAAAGGCTAAAGAAGCAATCGCCGGAGATAGACACCAACCAAGGAAGCATCTACCAGACATAATAAACCAAAGATACAAACAACACAGATAACAGCAGAGAAGTAATGATAGCAGCACCGGTGTCAAACAGGTAAAAAAAATTATCAAAACCGAATAAAAAAATTCAATTAGTGCTAGTTTTACGTATGCCAGTGCTCGTTATTGAATGGTACCAACCATATTCCACTTCAAAGAAGTAGTATCAAGTCCTTTTAACACTGCAAGACCGTGTTACCAGAAGCTAGAGTGTTATTTTCAATCAAAAGTGATCCAAAATCAACGTGGTTTGATACTAAACGTGTTTTGCAAAAAGGGTAAAAAACGGGGATACGGAAAAATGAGAAAGCACCATACCCGACGTCACGGCTACTAGATTTGGTCTCAGTCTTCCTCGGTGGCAGCTGCAACTGCTGCACTTTAATTTGAAACTGTGTAGTAGGTATTTTTTTGTTCAAATTTGGCTTGATTGATTTATCAGAAATAAATTATTTATAAAAAGAGTATGAAATTAATCAGGTAAAGAATATCGTTTATTACATTGGAAATAAGAGGGTTTATATACTATTCGAATTGAGGGATTTGATGTGAGGATAAGGTATTAGATGGGTTGATTTGGGTGATAGGATAATAGATCCAATCTATTATCCTGAACATGCCATTATTCGGATCGTAACTGAATCCTGTTTCATGTCAAAGTTTATGATCTGATGTGATCTGTGCTTTAACTAATTGCTCCTACGCATTTGGAGATCCGGTTTAGAAATGACACATCATTGATGCTACACTCTTTAAACGTTTTTGCTAAGTTTGACTATAAAAATTGTCCTTGTTATACTTTATTTTCTAATGCATTTATAGAGTCAATAAAAGCGCATCGAATGATGCTGGTTACATTCAGTTTTTAGACTGAAAATAATGAGCAATTTGGGAAAGTTTCAAAACCGGTTTTCTACGAATATGTCATAATTTAGCATATACAAGTTTCATAGACAAAACTTCCAGTGTTGCATTGGATCTGTACAATCAATTTGGTCTAATATGTATCATAGAAAAAGTCTTCGTTTTTGGGTTGAAAAACGCGATCGTTTGATTTTCGAGAATTTTCCCTTGCTAATACTCATGAAAAAATGAGGGTTTTCATGAATTTGCAATGACCCAAAAAAATTGAGATAAAGCATCAGTAAATAAATCGTATCCAAGAGGAGTCGTTTGATGTTATTCCAAGCCCTTAAAACGCTTTGTGGCATGAGTTATTCGTGCTTGAAAATGTCCAGATTTGGAGAGAATTCAACTTAAAACAAAGGTGTAGTGAGGTTTATTGCCAAACGAATAAGTTAGTTACCGTTCTGTCTGATGAAACAGATGTTCTGCATTGTACGAAACTCATTTTCTAAGTAGTAGGCGCTTTTTTTCTAATTCTGAGGCTGAGGTCTTGCATTTTGAAATGCGCGATAATTACAGTGGTTTAAAGACTTGAGCTTCAATTATACTATGCAAACTTGAATTTAACATCTTGCTCGGACTGCCCAAGATGCTTGTCAGGTCTTCAGGACACTTTTGAAGGTCGTCCACAACATACAACTGTATATTTAGCCGTAAAGCTAGATTTAGTAAAGTCTATTCACAATTGTTAAGCACAAAGAATAAAAGGATTATTATTTGTAGCTTATAAAAAATGTTCAATATTATAAAAACAAGAAAAGACTTATTTGAATAAGATCAGACACAAAAACTAAAGATTTATTGATGAAGACAAGAGTTATTCTATTTATACTAAGTTCTGAATGCCAAAGTAGCAATTTATCTTGTACAACGCTTATCACATCTGGTGAACCTCAGTATTTAGATAGCTGAGATGCACTTCACTTATCATAGCTTGTCCATGTTGTTGCACAACACAGACATATCTACCCATCAAGAATACCTTAATCTTTATAGACAGTTGTAGCCCTTCTGGCACAACAAAGGTTACATTAAATCATGCTATAACGATAGCTCATCCAAGCCCATCAAGGTTACTCAAATCGACCCTTATGGCCTGTGCTCTTGCATTGATTACCACATTAAATCAAACATCAACAACATTTGCCAGATATCGCAATAGCAGAACCTATTGCTCTCTATCATCACTAATCCTATAAGCTAGTTGCAAATGTATAAATACTCTTCTTTTTTTTTGCTCAATTCCAGGATCTTCAGTTCATTTTATACACAAATAAAATACAGTTGATTTCTATTGTATTTTACCTTTGCTTTATTTTTTTTCGTGAAATCCATTAAACCCGATTTCACTGCAATAATAACGACAATATTCATAGTCAAATTTAGCAAAAACGTTTAAAGAATGTGAAATCAAGCCGCATTTGAACACGAAAATACCCACTGCACAATTTCAAATTAAAGTGCAGCAGTTACGACTGCCACGGCAGAAGACTGAGGCCAAATCTACTGACTGTGACGTCGGATAGGTCGCCCTCTTGCTTTTCCATACCGTCGTTTTTTAACCCTTTTTGCAAAACGCGTTTATTTTCAAACCATGTTGGTTTTGGAACCCTATTGATTGAAAATAACACTCTCTCTTCTGCTGACACGATCCTGTGCTGTTAAAGTTACCTAGTACTGCCTCTTTGAAGTGGAATATGGTAGGTACTCTTCGGTAACGAGCACTGGAAGACGTAAAATCAGCACTAATTGAATTTGTTTATTAGGTTTTGATAATTTTTTTGCCTGTCTGACATGCGTGCTGTTGCCATTACTTCTCTGCTATCTCTGCTCTCGGCTTCTTTGCTTTATCATGTCTGGTAGCTGCTTCTTCGGTCTCTGTCTCTGGCGGTTGCTTCTTTAATCTTTGTCTGGCCTCTGGTGTCGCTCGTTGTTCGGTTTTTCTATCCTGCTGTTACTGTTGCTGGCGTTGCTGCTCGCGTTGCCACTGGTGTTGCTGCTGCTGTTGCTGCTAATATGATGTTTCCTCGTCTACTGTCTTTGTTGTATGCTTGTTCTCTGGTATATCTGTGGTAATGGTAACTAGTAAGTAGCTTCTTTGGCCTTGGTTTGCTCTCTGCTAATGGTGTTCGTTCTTTAGTTTTGCTATGGTACTGGTGTTGCTGCTGCTGCTGCTGCTATTCTGGCCTTTCCTGGTCTACTGTGTTTGGTGCATGCTCATTCTTTGGTCTATATCCGGTGATTGTGTATCCTCTGGTCTATTTACGGTGGTGGTAAGTGGTCAGTATCTTCTTTCTTCTGGTCGCAATGATATAAAACTTCTTTGAACGTTTGTATTATTGCTTCCTTTTTCATGATAATGCATTCATGATGTTCGCTTCGTTGCGTTTTTTTTTCTTCTTTTGTTGGTTGTGTTGCTTTACATCCGACTATTACCATGCATGTTGCTCACGTATGCGTTTTTGTTGCAACAACAACGAGCTGTTCTGAACGTCTCTGCTATTGTATTTTTTATACTTTTCTTTTACTCACTTTGTGTGAGTCTTCCTTTTTTGCCTACATACTATTATACTTCTACAGTACAGTAGTATGTTCTTTTCTTATTTCTTTTATTACTATTATGTTTCTATGAAGCATACTTTTTTTTACGTTGTGTGGATGTGCCTATCCCTGAAGCTCAACAAGACTCTATCCGAGGCTAGGAGGTAGATAGGCTGCCTCCACTTGGTTATCACTACTTACTTTAGTGATGATTGAGGGTCTCAAGGCCAGAATCTAAAGCTAGGTGGTGTAAGTAAGGCATGCTCTAGCACCTGAGGGAAGTTTGATGATAGCAGCGGCTATATTGCTATTATAGCGGCGCTTAAAATTTTGCCTCACATCCAAACAGGGGGAAACCCTCGCAATTTTTTTTTAGGTCAGCGGAGTTTTCAAGCAATCTGATTGGCTCGGAGGTCGAAGCAGCGAAGGGATACAACTACCTGATTTTCTATTAATCTATCAATAAATATGACCAAATGAATACAGTTTAGAGCCTTCTTTATTTAAAAGTAGAAAAAGGTGCAGTTATTATGTAATCTGCAATCTGTTGCACAACAGTTCAAGAATGGAGCCATTCGATGCGTATTTCTATTATGTCCTAGTTTACGTGGCTAATCTAACTTTATTTTTTTGAATTTCTGAATAACTTTTATGCCTGAAAGCCTCAAAATATAGGATCTTGAGCGAAACCATAAAATGAATGTACGTTTGGTACCCAAAGCTCTCGCAGCATAATGGATCTAACCTAGAGGTATCGAATGATATTTGCTTTGGTAAGCCTGACAATTACATCTCGAGATACGTCCAAGAAAGGTGCTGTGCAAAATCTATTTTTGGCCAAACTTTGTTTGTTGGTAAAGACAAGATGAATATATCTCATGATAGAATCATACTATAGCTTTGAGACAAGACTCGTTCGGTAGTTTTTATTTTGTTCTTTACTATGATAAGTATTAAAGGTAGGGTTGGCATAACAGAAACCGAGCAATCCTTCAAAAGCTGCTAAAAAGACGCAAAAATTATTTTATCAGGAGTCAGTGGAATACTGCCCATTAAGACACTAGATATTAGTGCCATTCGATTCTCCTTCCAGTTTTGTATACGTTTTATATAAGTCTGAAGAGGTAGTTACCAACAGAAATCACATGGCTCTTAGATTGAAAGGTATAATAGATGATTCGAAAAGTCTGTCAAGTTTCCAATGGACTTTCTTTGCCAGTTAACCAGATAATGGGGATAGACGACATGTAGTTTTTATACTGTAATTACAGATAAGCATACGGACAACTATCCACAATGCAAAATATATAAAATTGTCATTAGTATGTCATGGTTTCTTTTATTTGGGATATACAAAACAAGTGGTTACTTCAAAATATTGATCAACACAACAAGATGGCTTATTATTTATACAAGCTTCGTGAACTGGGCATTCTTAAACTACTTGATCTAGACGAGCTAGGGGCTCCCATGAAAGACGGTGTACGTAACCCAGACTGCACATTCGAAGGCGATGATGATGGCTTCAGTGTTCCCATTGAGGTTTTAGGTCTTGAATAATTTTTGTTAGGAGTCTGCGGAGGGTACTTTTCTTGCTGCTGTGTTGAAGAGGCAGACGAAGAGAAAATAGAAGAGATACCAAGTGATGTCGTACTCCTTTTTGTGGTAGGAGGTGAGGGGATATGACTTGCTCTTGTACTGGGTTGTCCTATACGACTTGTAGATCTGTTTAAGTTGGTATTGCTTGGCTTACGAGCAATGGATGCTGTCGATTTTGTACGCTGTGGAGTAGGAGATAGCTTTGTCGACACTATTGGCGATAAAGTTGCCTTGGAAGACGAGGGCGCTGGAATATGTGTAGCACGCCTAGCTAATCCAATTTGTGATACTGATCGAGCAGGGAGGCGAGTAGTGGATGATAGTGTTGGCTTTGCTTCTACAACTGTGTTTTCTGATATGCTGGAGACCAATAATGGTTTTCTGGAGCAAGTCAAACGATTGCTGGTTTTGCTGGATTCAGATTTTGTAATAGGCGGCCTGGATAAGAAGAATGAATGGCTTGTTTTTGCGGTGGAATGGCTGCTCATGGATGATGTCGAAGTGGATGCGCTGGGAAACACATTTTGGCGTAGAGCATTGCGGTTTGCAGTCGTTATTGTTGACTGTGAGTTGGAGCTATTGTCGCTGCTAAAACTTCCTGATCTATCTGATCTTTGTTGATGAGGAGATGATAAATGCATGTTTGAGAAATTATCTAACGCATAAATGAGTATATACATTCACAAATGAGTTGTGTTATATTATGCCTACCGAAATCTGCAGGAGAATTTAAATCCAATGTATCCAGAAAGCTATGCTCGGTTGTCTGAATGGAAGTTTAGCGTTTTTATTTAGCATGTCAAAGAGTGTGTATACATTACTTTGTCATAAAGAGAAATGTCATGTAGATCTTCTGCGCTTGTATTTTTAGAGTCAAACTCCTCTTCACTTTCATACTTTGATCTACTACTGTTGGTGATCTTCAATCTCGATTTGTCTGTCGTAGTCAATTGAGTTGTGATATAATGATTGAATACCTGTACAAAACGATCAGTTATATTTTGGAATTGTTATGGCGGCCAAGCTTACATTATCCACCTTCCAGAAATCTTCATTGGAATCATCCAATTCTAATGATGCTAATGCCGACAAGTCGGTTTCATCATCCATGTCCGTTGTAAAGTTGGCATTGATTAATTCCTCCAAATTGATACTGTCTTCAGAGCTGATGGACGCTAGTGATGAAGGTCTTTCCTTTCTAGATGTGTTACTAGTAGAGATAAATTCATGTATTAGAAACCCTTGATCTTTCTCCCTATACTCCTTTATCATGATTTGCACTCACACTCTCACACTCTCACACACCCCTTTAAACAATTTAATTAAACCCTGCCCCTTTTCCCGACCAAAAGCATGAATTCGACACTAATACTCACACAAATTGCTCTGAATCATTATGAATCATGATTTCTCTTTGATCTTGATAATTTTCCCGATAGCCAGGGACGTCCATTAACCAACCATGGACTTGAGTAGTGGACTGATAATTTGTCATTTTGACTTGTTGTAATGTATGTTCTTTTGTGAAAGAGAGTGGGCAAATGAAAAGAAAGAGAGAGAGAGAGAGGAAAAGAGGAAAAAGGTAATAGTCAATGCCAAAATATAGAACTTTCGTTAAATTTACACACTCGGAAACAAACTTCACGTGTATCATTAGCAACAAAAGGTAATTTGCTATTAGGTGAGATCTCTTTTTTTATTGAACACGGCATAGGAGTATTTCCAATACCATAAGAAAAGGAAACCCTCTCCTTGCTAAATAATAAATATATATATGTACATACAAAACTTAAGACAAGTTTTCGAGTTTCTTTACAGGATAAAATTGATCGATTTTCGATATCCATTCTTTCATGTCTTCGAAATCATTTGCTTGAAGCAAATAAGCATTGTTGTGTGTGTAAATGGCAAATGTGTATTTCCTCTATTTTTACTCATACGATTAGAACCCAATTTAATATATAAAAAAAACCACCATCATTATGGGTTTCAAAATAACGTACCTGCAGCATGTCTTCCAAATCAGATTTGTAATCAACTCGAGCAGATGAAAGGTTGAATACGCCAATTTCTTCTACTTCAGTTTGATCTTGATAGATAATTATAAATGGTCTGTTGATTCATCATTGCGAATTAGAAAAAATCATGTTGTATAAAAATCAACAAAGCGTCTTACCGTCGAAGGACAAACCAGTGCTTCAACCATACATCATCCACGTTTTCTGGGTGTAACAGAAAGCCTTTCTTGGTGATTGTGTCACTACAGTCAGAAAATAATGAGATGGATGAAGCCATTATTTGAGAATACACGCATACCTTGGATGCAATTGCTGAATATCAGGTGTTAATTTAATTTTCGAGTACTTTTTGCTCAAAGATTTGACACTGCTGATACTATTCGTGCTAGATGAACTTGTCAATGAGGTAATTTTTGGTGGATCTTGACTAAATACAATCTATAATTATAGAACGTCAATGTCTTGTCATACATTTCATATAACATCAATATATACATTACCTCTTCTCGTGTTCCAAATTGAGTTTGCCACAATTCAATCACCTTCCTGGTCAATGCTTCAGGTTCTGTCTTTTGCTTGTCATTGCTAATGCTTTCAGATGTGCTTGCTGTGTCTGTCATATGGCTGTTGGTAAGACATTGAAGTGTCAGTGCATGGTCAGATTGGCTGCGTTGAAAAGCCTTGGTTTGCGGATGTCCTGCTAACACCAAGGAATGTCTAAATGCAGCTACACTTTCTTGATGCAGCATGCGCTGTCGAGCAGCTCGATAATCAGTAATAAGAGATACACCACGTGGCTTCCAAGAGCCGATGAATTCTTCCCCACGCACATACTTGTTGGCGGTATTCAGGCGCCATAGTTCTCGCACCTGTCGAGTCATGGGTGGTTTAAGCTGCACAATGAAGAGGCCGCTTGTCTTGTACATAATCTTGCTGACACGCCCATTGGCATCCGAGTCTCCACCGCCTAGTAAAAACTGTCGAAACATGGAGGAAGATGAGGCTGATGTGCTGATGGTGGCATCTCTTGCTTGAATCTGCACTGAAATGTCCATCTCAAAGTTGAGCGGTGCCACGCATTTATCGCACTCAATCTGCCACGAGAGCCTCAATCGCACGCGCTGGCCAGAAGCTGTAACTCGGTTCAAAAAGAGCGAGTCGTGAAGTGAACTGTCCCATGGTCCTTGCGCTGTCATGCGGGATTTGCCGTTTCTCTCAAACGTCGTTTCTTGTTGATCCGGGAACAAGTGAATCTCGACTGGGGGATGGGGTGGTGAATCTGTCTGACGTCCCTTGTTATCGACCAAGCGCACGTTGCCTATCTTTGCCTGCTTGATGCTCAGCCATTCAAACTGCTTTCCAGAATCATGCGAAAGTGTAAGAGCAATGCGTCTCTGTAAACCTTGGCGGAGACAGAACACATCTTGGTGGTGTTTGACATGATGGTTGTGATGTTGGTGATCGTTGACTTCAGTGTGCAACACTTTGACAGGTGCATATTCACCATCGTCATTCAGCTCGCAAATCTGGATCCAAACCAGCACATCGTGTTTCTCCTCCATCAGAATGCCGTCGTAGGTGCTTTGTTCCACCGAGAATCGTCTGTCGATAGAGAATCGTCTGCTGGCAGGCACATTACCGCTATTGCCGAGTTCTGATGTCACCGCCTTTGCAAATAATTCAGATTGTTCAGATGTTGGTGTGGTGGGCGACCCGTTTCGACTATTCACGCCGCTAGCATTACTTACATGTTCTACTAATCCAAAGAGATAGTTCTCTTGCGCTTGGCCGTAGACTTCAATGGTAAGCCCTTGGTTCAGAATGACATCCATCATGTTCTCAGTGATATTGACAGAGAGTGTCTGGCACTGATTGAATTGCACAGTCTCAGTTCCAAAGTTGCTAATGGGGTCTGTTTGGTAGATCTTGTCAGCCGTAGAGTAGCGCTCCACGTTGCCAAAGGAAGAAAGTCTGAACTGGGCGTGGACTTGTGTAAAGTTGCTTTCACTGACACCCTTCAACTCCTGGATGCGTATCTCAAAAACCTGCTGCTGCCCAATATGGAGTAGGTACTTTTCGCCCAATACTTGCTTTTGATCCTGTAGCACGTTGCTGGAGGAGGATCTTTTGTGGTAAAAGAGACTGGGTCGCTGTGCTGGACCCTCACCGCCGTTGGTTTGATGCTGGTGCTTTCTGGAGACAGATCGGGCAATGGGTGTGATTAACACGCGGATTTGACCCATGATTTTGCCGGTATTTCTGCAGTAAATATCGACATAGTTATCAGCATGCAGCTGCAGCGTCAGGTTCCTCAAGGGTATACGTGCTAATCCTATCAAGGAAAAGCGGGGACATGGCGTTTCATAAAAGGGATCTTCTCTATTAAAGTGTTGGCCTGTAAACAGAGGTCTGTCTGTATAGTCGTACAATCGACGCATGCGTCTTAATCGATGCTTCACCTTGGCAATAGACCATATATAAGTAGCACGGTGGACATGATCAATCACTTGCACAGCTAAACAGGGTTTGGCCTCTTTAATCAAATGTGTGTCAGGCTCTCGCAGGAATGGCTGTAACGCAGAGGTAGATTCCCAAAATGACAGAGGATTAGACGAAATGTCATCATGGACCACAATAAATTGATAGACGACATTTTTGCCTAGTTCCTTGGCCATGATATTGGCTTCCTTGAGCACCACTGCATGAATAAGACAATCTTCAGCCATCTTTACATAGCGCAATTGACGCCACTTTTCAATCGTCATCCGCATCAAGCTCTCAGCTGCATTCTTGGCAGTATATCCTACCAGTAGATTGTCCGAACTGAGTGCTGTTCCAGGGGGCAAGTGAGCAGAAATACGCTTAATCTTGGATTCGTAGGCCAGCTTCTGTTGTTCAAGCACCTTTTCCATATCTTGTTTGACTTGGGCGTATTTGGCGGCTAGTTCATCTCGTTCGCGGTTGAGTTCATCTGCCTTCATGTTGGAGGATTCCACCAGCTTAAGCTTCTCCTCATATTCCTGCTTTTGAAGTTCCAGCTGCTGTTGCATTTCTTCTGTGGCGATGCGAATCAGATGGTCCTTTTCTTCCTTGGACATGATACTGGACAAAAGCTCTTTGGCGGCAGTGTGAGGTTCGTCGTCTGGATCAGGGTTGTCAGCATGGCTCTCTTCCTCGGTGAAAATAGTAGGCACTGATGAAATGGCACTAAACCGCTTGTTGCTGGACGAGCTGATTGAAGTGCGAGGTGAAACAGTTGTGGTTGTGATGATAGAATCTGGATCCTCAAACAGCAAGTTATGACTATCGGATGATATTCTTTTCCTGTTTCGAAATTCGCGCACTTTGGTAATACCGTCAGATAACTGTTTGAGATCCTCGTCAGTCATGATGGTTAAATCCGCACTTCGTGGGCCACCAAACTTGCGAAGCGCTTCACTGTGGGCAAAATTCCAGTCTACAATGTCGGCGGGCGGATGATGATGGCTTGCGCTGGCTGCTGTCAGGTCTGTCATGGCGGTGGTGGTGCTGGCTGGAGACAGTGTGTGACCCAGAGCACTATCGCCCCTCTCCATCATGGGGAAGATGCCCGTGTTGATTTTAGGCGACATGCCAAATTGTTGCATGTGTTCCCGCTCTCGTCGTACTTCATCGGGATTGTTGAAGCGGAACAAATGATGCAATCCAGAGCCGAATATGATGCGATAACCACTATGCAGTACCTTGGGCTGAAGGATGCGCATGCCGTTGACTAGTGTTACTGATTCTTTACCGGGATGAATAGTGACAACTCTGCTAGCCATGTTTTCTTCTTCCTCTTCGTCGTCTTGTTGCTGCAAAGGCGCATCTTCTGTTGCTGCTGCTGGTACAGAGATATTTTCGAAATAGCAGTGCTCGTCTAGAATCTCACTGCCACTAAGGCGAATGTCAGCAGGCACAGCACTTCCCAATCTGCCGACACGAGTGATGCCTGGCTTGATCTGATACATCAAACATTCTGTCATGAGCGGGTCTTCGTTGAGATTGATTAAATGAATGGATTTGGGTGCATACACGCCAATGTTGTTTTTCTCTACAATGACGCCTAGTTCCTCCAATGCCTTCTCACGTTCCTTGTGAATGGCTTCAGTGGCACTCATCTTTTCTTCCCATGTTTGATTGACTTGTGACAATAGCTTTTCAGACGACTGCAATTGATCTATCACTTGTTCCTTGGTCAGCAAGCTGTTTCCTCTTTGCTTAACTAGCGGGGATTCAGGCGAAATGAGCAACATGGGAGAAGCTGTTGTGGCTCTTGTTGTTGCACGAGACGAGGCTCGACTTGCACTGCTTCCTCTGCCCGACGACTTCTTTTGCAGTGTAATCTTTTCAACTTCTTCAGGGGCGTAGATCATCAGTGTATCACGCAGTGCCTGCAGTTCCTCTTTCAGCTCTCGTATCAGTCGGGCGTTGGGATCTTCGTTGACAACAGCCTTGTTCTTGATGCGTTTCGCTTGATCTGCATATCGTAACGTACTGAGCGTTTCGTCGTAGTCAGCAGGTGAGATAGCTGCTATCATGGCAGTCTTTGAGTTACCGCCCAATGAGTCTTTGAGCAGCCATGTCAGTACGGAATCACGATAAGGAATATGGGCTGACGATGATTTCTTGTGGTTGGGCTGCGATGACTGTTCTGCCAAAGCCGCAATGACTTTTCCAAGCGTGGTCAGGGACTTGTTGATGTTGGCGCCCTCTTTCAGTCTGGCGCCTGTGGCGCCTGTACTATTTGCTCTTTCACTGCCAGCTAGATCGACTAAACTGATGCGGGCTGCTTTTTCCGTATTCAAATTAGCAACTTGCTCAAATCGATTGGATGTGAGAAACAAAGTGAAGACTGCATGGGAGCGAGATGATGTTTCATTCATGTTGGTAGCTGCTACTGTTCTGGCCTATATAGGGCATCCATTTGTTTACGTTTAGTACACAAAGTCGGTTGATAATCTAATGTCCCTCATACTTGCCTTGTTGCCCTCGCTCATCAAATGATCGATATCTTCAAACGAATTCACGACGAGACGAGAGAGGTCCTCCACATACGGTCCAATGGTGGGGTGTTCTCGCACCTTCAAGTTGCCCTTGTTGCCTGGATTCAAAAGATCGCGTACCTTTTCGTTGTAGATCTCAATGTAGGAGACTTCCACTTGGAATTTGAGAACATCGCTAGTGAGATCTGCTATTCGTTCAAACAGTTCGGAGCATGTGCGAGGTATAATGCCTTTGTCTTCTCCGTAACCCATCTAGAAAACGAACACACTGAGTGGCACACTCTTGTGACAACTGCAAAAAGACCTACCATAGAATACGATTTGCCTGATCCAGTCTGTCCATCTATGCAATAGGTTAGTGCGCTTGTTCAGTCGTCTACTGGCGTGGCAATACGCTACATGCAAAAATACAGCAATTGTATCCATCGAATGCGTGATCCAACAGCTCCCTTCCGAGGTCATTGTACACTAGTTCCTGGTCTGCATACTGGTCATCATTCTTATCTGCAGACCAATACGATCTATCAAATGTGAATGCTTTGACATTGTCGTCTTCGTCTTTTGTCTGGTGCTTCTTTTTCTGATGGATAGCGTTGGTGCTGGGTGCTTTGTTATTTGTAATGATGGTCTGGTTTCCATCCATGCGAATCAGACATGTCGCACCTCTTGCCTTCTCTGTTTGCTGGCATGAGTGGCAGTGCCATCAGACACACTGTGAAGCTTACCTCTAGCGTTCAGGGGTCGACAGCGCACGACAACTTTGATGTTTCCACTCATTTGAGTGCTCTAAAATTAAGCTGTAGGCGGGATGAGTGTCATGTCAAACAGACAAGTGTATATATCTCCATGTTACCCAAAAAACTGTGTATATTTTGTAAAGAAAAGAAAAGAAAGAAAGAAGCTTGCTCCCCTCCGTAAACGTTTCAATAGAAGAGAGAATCCAAACCAAAAGGGATGAAACGCGGAATACCAATTCAGATGCTAATCAGACAAAGTACAACAAGTTCTGGAAAAGAGAAAGAAAGGGAGAGAAAGAAAGGACAATGAAAAGAAAAAGGAAAGGCCAAAATAGCATGTTCAAATCAAGGTAATGTGACGTATTTTGTAACATGTAGAAAGAGTCTCTCTTGATAAACATTCATTTGCAATACTGTCTGTGGCTAGTTGCGTTTATGAAGAGATGCTTAAAGAACTAATCTGATTACTACTTTTTTGATCATTCTTGCGGCAGCTGTTGTTGGTAAATGATGGTGATGGTGACATACGGAATGAAACTCAGTGAATGAATTCAGGTACACACTGGATCGTCTGGGAGCTGGTTTAGCCGTAATCGCATGATTGAGATCCACAGAGTCGCTCATTCAGGTCAAGCTGCCCTGTGATCCAGACATGCAAGCCCTTACCAAGTGAACTGAGGCTGTTTTGAACCAACAATGCTCGTTCTCATTAAGCATATGCATGGCAAATGCCTTGAGACATCAAACACCATTCAGGAAGAATCAGCACATGCAAAAAATAGCTTGCATTTGCGATCCAATGCAAGATCTTTTAAACGGGGCCTTTGCTCTCTCTTTCTCCCTCTCTTTCTCTCTCTCTCTCTTTCTCTCTCTCTCTCTCTCTCTCTTTCTCTCTCTCTCTCTCTCTTTCTCTCTCTCTCAAAACTTTTACGTTTGTGTATAAATATATAACATTGTAACTGGAGTTTATTCAATGTTTTTCAGCATCTGCTACTTTGGCCACTATGATTCCATCCTTCAAAGATTCACCATCACCCAATACTGCGCATTTCAGCTTTTCCATATTAAAAGCAGTTCTTTCAAACCAGGGTACACCACTCTTGAAGACGCCTTGATCATGGTCGCAATACAAGAAGCCACGGTTACACTTGAATGTCAAGTAGAATTGTCCTGGTTCAGTGTTATTATTTCCACAGACTAACAGTGCGTGCTTCTCTGGAGCAATGAATTCATGCAAAACCAAAGTTTCGCCATCTTCTTCCACAGTGATGAGCTTGTTATCCTTGATGGAACCAATGGTAACAATATCACCAAATTGAACAGGAGAGCCGTCTTGATAGTTCATGTCGTGTTTAGTGTGTGAAGGAGATGACGATGATCAAGAGTGGAATGAAATGTTCTATTCATAAGGAGAAAGATAGATAGGCGAGTTCTAGTGAGTCATATGGTGTTCCGTAGCGAATGTTGCACAGTTCGCGTCAATCTCATCCGCAGTCTATCTCCCAAGAAGCCTGAGAAAAAGTGATAAACAGTGAGTACCAGATGGGAGCAGCGCGTAGAGATGAGATGCTAGCTCTCAACAGTATCGATGCAGTATCGCGTACAGTCAGGATGTTGGAAATGCACAAAGTTGAAAGAAACAGCATGAAACGCGACTCAATGCTGCTGATAGTATACGTCTGATACCGAATAGCTTTGTCAAGGTAAACTAGCCTAGCTTGTTCGTTATTTTTCATTTATATTTTGATAGTGAGTTTCAGGGGAACACGCGGCGAACCACTTATTCCCCCCAAACAAAAATTATGATCTCGAGACATCCGAAGATGTTCGCAGCAAGGCTAATCGTCGCTGTGCAATGACAATCGGCCTCACTGTACATCAGGGATTCTTGATACCCGATGCACGACCCAGGTAAGTATGAAGAGCATCTCAATGCAAATTTTGGACTCTTATTTATACTTTTTTGAGCACTTGTCCTTGTGTTATTCTACTGTCACAGTAGTGCATTCAGTCGTCGTTCGTGGTCATGATTGTATCACTATGGAAGCAGCATCTCTATATTGATTGGCGCATAGAGAACTAAGCTATAACAGCCGGAACATAAGGGCCAAAAGACGTTGGATTCAGGAAATCACGCATCAAATTTGTAAATGGGCATCGTACCCGCAATGATCACACTAGCAATCTCATCACTATCTTTAAACAACAAACAAGTTTATTTACATTGAATGGATGCACGTTGGCATCATAATTCACCTAGATTGTCTCGCCCTTCTCTCCCGGTTGTGCTAAACGGCCCAAAAACTCCTTTTTGACACGTTTCCATTGATGGTCTTTGTACACCAGTTCAGTTCCTAGACTCAAATCGCCTTCATCTTGGTTGCCCCGCTTTTTGATCTTGTCATTCATCCAGTACAGCCACAACAGGTTGCCTGGGTTGCCCAGACTCTTCTCTTCTTGCTCTTCTTCTTGCGCCTTTTCTTCTAGTGTGGGAGCAATGTAGGTGAGATAAGGCTTGGCGTTGGACGGATCAGGATAAGTCGGTCTCTTTTGATTGTTGTAATGATAAGAAGATGATCGAGGATCGCTAGATGAGGAGGAGGGCGGCGCTGTATTGCTGTTGTTGCCATTCGCATTTGGATTGGCGTGGTTTCCTCCTCGACGAGACTTGAAGTTGGGATTGTGTCTTGGACCAGCAATGGTAGTTGCTATGGATGGTTGCTGCTGCTTCTCTGATTTAAACTCTGGTAGATAACCGTGTGCAGCATCTTCTCGCTCTCTGAGAGACATGTTTTCGTAGCGATTTACTTGACTCCATGCAGCATCCAAGGCGGTTGCTGTTGCAGTTTCATCTGGTTTGACCTGCATTAAAGAAACATCGTTAACTTGAAAGTAAGAGTGTGTCTTTTCTTCAATGACAGTGTGGATATAGCTGCACAACTAGTAGAGGGTCAATACCAGGTTAGACCTCAAGATACCAAGGGACTTACCTGCTGATGATTAGCGCTGTCTTTGGAGAACCTTTTGCCGACCAAGTAGAGCGCTACCAGCAGCTTTTTCGACACGAGTCTTGCATCTTCTTTTCTGAGCCCTTTGATAAACAATTTCTGGCCAGATCCCTCCATGCCGTTGACCAACTCGGTGACAATCATGGCAATCAGTTCCTGCGTTGATTTCATCTCTTTGGCGTAGATAATGTCCTTGAGAATGACATCTTGCAGTTGTTCGAGAAGATCGCGTATCAGCCCAACAGCAACGCCAAAACCGGAACTGACAGGAATGCCATTCAGCACATCGATGGCTAAATCTTGAATCGGTCTTTGGTTTTCATAGAGTATGGGAAAACGATCTGTCCCCTCGCAATCACGGAAGCAAGTACGCCATCGAGCTGCTTTCTCAATAGAACGTGATGTACACAATCCCTTCTCTTTGGCAGTGGAATGCATTATAGGCAGGTGATGTGAAAATCTGGAAGCATCAAAAGTGACCGATTTGCACAGGTGGTTTCGAACAGAGGCTTCTAGATACTCCTTGACGTTCTCGTACACATTGGGTCGAACCAGCGTATCGAGCAGTTCAGTTGTTTTGGGTATATTGCCGGTTGCAGTATCCAGCGAAGGCGGGTTGATGAAGCCTTCTACTTTGATGTTGGCCAGTTGCACGGTGTTATTTTCTGCCTCGACAAACTGCTGCTGGAGTTGGCTGTTGAGACAGTGTAGAAAAATGACGCCTACTCTCACAGTAAGCTTACGATAGCCGTTTGTGCCATGTAGTAAAAATTACCTTGTTGGGCCATCAGAATATGTGTCCATGTCTTTGTATGGCTTTTCTCGGGTGTCACTAGATAGGAGATGCTGCCTGAATGGAATTAGTAGTTGAATTTCTCATGGGCTTTGAGTATTGGGTGGAAACTGTACCTTTGGATGTCATGTCTAAATAAACCTCTGTTGCCATATCATGAAACTAAATAAGCACGAGTGAGTGGCTGCAATGGAATGAAAAACAGAGATACTTGCTTTAAAAGGTGATATACTATGCATACATGTACACCATTCAGACTCTGTTTGTTCATAAGTATGCCAGTGAAACTACAAACAATAAACATCACTTGCCTGCCAGTGCCTTCTTGCTTCGTTTGGAGTAGATTAATTTTGTTTCTCTGTATTTCAGGTAGGCCGGATCATGCAAAAGTAAATTCCTGAGAGGGTCTTGTTGGTTGATCAAATGATATCCATTTGCTTGGTAATACAGCGTTACTGTGTGTGTTGATTGTGCCTGTTCTGCGGACTATGGCCATTGGCCTCAGTGAGTATGTGAGCCATAGCTACAACTCGCTTGCATACCTTCATGGGGATGCTGGATATATGCAATACGTTGATGTTGTAATACAGTTGTGCCAAGTGACGCATTGCGTGTTTCAAGTCCTCTTGTCCGTTTGGAATGTTGTAGATAGACATGGTGATTCGAGAAGATACCTGTTTCGACAGGATGTTGGGCGGGATACTGTATTCTGCTGATGCAACGCAAGGCAGCAATCGCAGTACGTCTACTTGAACGTGGTCAAGGCTGGGATCCACACTTGCAACTGCCTGGTAGACCATGGCTCTCACGTCTCGCACTGGATCATTTGGATTGTTGTAAAACCTACTAGCAGGGTCAGTCAACAGCAAAGCAAAAGCGACATGTACAGTTTACTCGAATGCTCTCTCCGTGGGCTGCTTTGCAACGGTAACAAGGATGATGCGACATCGCTTCAATGCAGTGCTGTGTTTGTTGTGCTCCAGAAAGGTGTTGATTGCAAACTCAATGCTTGGTTGCATTCTGTCATGTGCGTACGTTTGCCGAGGTTGAGCATGTGGAAACTGTTGTTCCAAGGCTTGTATGCTTTGTCTTGTGGCATCATTTACCAAAACTGGAGTTCCTCCGGCTACCAGGACATTGACCTAAATTACTCTAGCCGTTAGCTGGACCAGATCATGGTCATCTAGGTTCTGCAGTACACGTACCAGGTACGGACGAGTGTACTGAATGTCCCATACAATGCGACAGAACTCAATGGAGCTCTGCACCATGCTTGCCCATAACGGGAAAAGAGGTATTTGGTCTAAACATGGTCATGTAAGCAATCTACGTGTTTATTTGCTTTTCTGCTTGTCCACTTGCGTGTTGGATCTGCTTGATGCGGTGCTCTTGTCGTTGGATTGAATGCATGAGGATGCCCATCCAGTATGATAAAAGTATGTGACATGAAAGTTTGTATAGCAAAAGAGCGGGGGAGAGAACGAGGGAAAGAAGCAGAGCACAAGACCCCCAAGTGGGCGACATTTGAAGAACAGACATCAAAAAAGCCTTTTGTTGCACAACCTCTTTGTATACAAGTGGTATATAATAAGCCGGTGATACTCATTTTTAAGTAAAACAGACACGTTTCTCGTTTTCATAGACATCCATAGGGCTTTTGCAAAGGACAAAACTCTAATTTTATTCACTCGGAAGCAGCTGCATTAGGCAAATGCAACATGAATGTACATATACCATCGGCGCCAATAGGCTCTCCTCGATCCCGTATCTTGATGTTTCTTGTCAAAGTATAAAAAGGCTTTGTGTTCTTCTTTTCGTTTTTTTCCCGCTTCTCCTTTCACTTGTTCTTCTCTTTAAACACATATTTCAATGCTTGTCAAGGCCTTTGCTGATGATTTCGACCTCAAATTCAGACCTCACCAGGTCGAAGGTCCTGCTTCTCCCAGAGACTATTTGGATTGGAATGCTCGTTTGAGAAAGCATCGTCTTGAACAGCAAAACAAAAAAGAAACACACATTACCTCTGGCCATCAAGTCCCTGAACTCGGATGGGTGCAAAGCAGCTATGTCCAGCCACATGTCATGGCGAATGATTTGTTCTTGTTTGATCCCAAAACCAACAAATACACTGTGGATAAATATGTGCAAGGTTTGTATTCCCTGTGTATTTGTAGAAGCTGTATTATTTACATAGCACACTAGATGTAACCGAGCGTTTTGGTACCATTGATTCTGTCGTCGTAAGTGGCTATTGTTGATGTCTACACAAACAACAGATCTTGCATATTTATTTGTGGTTTGACGATTAGATTTGGCCCAGTTTCCCTAATCTTGGTTGCGATAGTCGTAACTCTGAAGATTACTACAGATGCCTCCCTGGTGGCACGCTTGGTATTCGTTCTTTGGTAGAAGAATTTCATGCCAGAAAAATTAAGGTTTTGTTTCCTGTCATCGGGTGGGACAACGGAACAGTAAGTTGTTCAACATGTGTGTATCGACGTCTCTTATTCATCTACTGGCATGTCATTTCAGCGTGATCCCAGAGCTGCTTGGAGCTACATCTTGCCTAGATTATTCAGTAAGTGGTTGGCATTTGCTGCAGTGTGTTTGACAGCGTACTCACATGGTCACCTCCAGAGGAATACACTATTGATGGCATGTCTGCTGAAGTTGCTTATTTCAGTGAAGATTACTGGATGAATTCTCTCGCTATCGGACATCCTTTGGCTTTCCAATCTCAAGCTAGCAGCGAGAACAAGCTCGGAGATGGTCCCGAATTAGATGATACCTCTGTAAGGCATTTTGTAATTTATGAAAAAAGAAACCAATCGAGCAATAACCTTAATTTTAATTTTAGATCATGCAATGGAATACTATGGATATGGGTAGGTATTTTCAGCATGCAGAGGCCGGATCAAAGGACTAACTCGACTTTCTATTCACCATAATAGCCAAATTTGACACCAATACGTAAGTGGATTTCCCTTCCAACTATCCAATAGCATACTCATACATGTGTCAAATAGTCGTGTTCCCACTGTTGCATTGAGAAAGTTCATTGAACCTCAACATATGACTCGCAGCTGTGATAAATGGTCCAGAAACAAGACTGCCATGATCCAACACGCCTTCTTCAATGGCAAGTAGCTCGATACACTGCATTGCCTTGTTATACTAACGCCATGCTACAGGCTTGGGCATTGAAATGTGGGAAAACATCTTTGGTACTTGGAACCAGCTCACGCCTCGCGATGCCGAGGCTTTGCGCAGAACCACCAGCATTCTTCGATGCTTTGGTCCCGACTTTTTCGCCTCTGCTGAATGGGAGCCTCATTGTCCATGTGTTCGCTGGGAAACCGTGTTCTCTAGTAAGTTCCCTAGTCGCAAAATTGAAGACCAAGTTATCTGGACCTTTGTCAACCGTGGTCCTGCTCATGTCACTGGCCATCAAATTGTTGCCAACTATCACATTGGTATCCAATTTTACGATGTCTGGCACGGAACTGAAATTCAGCCCACTGATATCTGTGATGGTCTTGCCACACTAAGCTTTGATATTGAACCCTATGGCTACGGTTGTATTTTTGCTACCAACGATGTATCTCCTTTGCCCAATAACTTCGAGTCTCTCATCAAGACATTGCATCATCGCTCCAGAACACCCTTATACCAAATCCCTATCTGTAGTGCTGTCTTGTGGCAAGAATTAGACGAAGTGGTTGTCAGCAAATATACCAATGAAAACGTGTGTGGTATGGTCCGCATCGAAGGTGGATCCTATGACTTTAAGGTCAAGGGTCTCAGTGCTCACCCTCATAGCAAAGCTGATTATCCTGGCATCGATGTCAAGTATCCTTGGGAGTTCCAACCCTCAAGACACCACAGTACAAAGCATATGCACATCAAGACCTTTTACATGGACGCTTATCCTGTGACAGAAAGCCAATTCAAAAAATTCTTGGACGAAAGTGGCTACAAGCCTGCTGATCCTACCAACTTCTTGAAGCACTGGTGTGGTGGTTGCTATCCTGCTTATCGTGCCAACAAGCCTGTCACTCATGTCTCTGTTGAAGATGCAAGAGCTTATGCCAAATGGGCTGGCAAGCGTCTCCCTCATGAATGGGAATGGCAATATGTTGCTCAAGGTGGCCATGAATATCGCACTTATCCTTGGGGTAATGAGTGGGATGAATCCAAGGTACCTGAGGTCTACAGTGGTCGTGAAAGATTGTACCCTGATCACCCTCCTGCTGATGTCGATGCCTTCCCTGCTGGTCGCTCTTGTATGGGTGTCTATGATCTCGTTGGCAATGTATGGCAATGGACTGATGTATACCGTGATGATCATACCAGAGCAGGTAACGTATTTTAATACATGTTTGATTGATACCGATCACTAAAGCAGCCCTCAATAGCTATTATCCGTGGTGGTTCTTACTATCAAGCAAAGGATGGCCAACATTACTTCCCTCAAGCCTACCGTAATGATCAACACGGCAAATACCTGCTGATGTCTCCCTCTATCGATAGATGTGCTACTATTGGTTTCCGTTGTGTCAAGGATACCGAAGAAAGTGCTTCATATCTTGGTAACTGCTCTTTTGAGGCTGATGATTGCTTTTAAAGTCGCCTTTCAAACCATCCGTCAAATATGAACAAATCTTATCCTATGTAATATTCTAATAGTAGTCTTTTTTTTAATACATCGCTTTTTATGTCAACAAAATGATCCAGTTGCATTGTGTTCAATCATTGTTTCCTTCGTATGAGCCTCATAAACACCAGCTGCCTTTATAAATATCAATTTTTGCCAGCAAACCCCAATTCAATCTCCATCAATTTGGTACTCTTCAGATTGGCCATTTTTTGATCAAAATCGACTTGTTTGAATTACTTTGCCAGATTTGATTATATAACAGGTGATGATCCTTCCATACTTTCTAATGCATTTCTAATGCACTTTTCAAGGCGCATCCAGTGGTGCTAAAAGCCAAGAGTGTTCTGATTGATCTTTTTGAGCAATGCCAGAAAATATGAAATGAGGTTTTTGACCATAATGTCGAAAAATTACATCTGAGTGTATCACAAGCAGAGTTTCAGGGGCTGCTATGAATTGAGAGAAACTTTTTGATCTATTACATGCCATAATAAAAGTTCTCATTTTGGAGGTCAAAAACGCGATCGTTTGAATTTCGATGAAAACCATGAGGGGTACCTCATGCTTTTTGGTCGATTTTGGACCATGTTTTTTTGGACCTCAAAAAAGTAAAGAAAGATGTCAGGAAGTAAGTGCTGAATGAAAACAATCGTTTGGGGCTATGTTGAGAGTCTAAAGCGGCTTTTAGCGCGAGAAATCACGGCTCAAATACATAGGTTTTGCATATTTTCGCGTGGTAAGAGGTAGTACAAGTATACTACCTTCTCGTTTATAAACCAATCTGAATGATATAAATGTGGAGCATTCGAGGAGAGTCATGCCCGCAGCTGTGTAGGGTTTCAGTGTGATGATAGAAAGCAAAAAAGCCTACGTTAATGGGCTTTTCTAAGCAGCTTTCAATATTTAAATGAGATGGACAAAGGAGGTTAGCAGTGTTAGCCGCCATCACTGCGTAGGTTGGTTCTCACCCAGTCAAAACAAAGATAGAAAGCTACTCGAGCGTAGGATCACACATTTTCCATAGCTACATCTTCACTACATGTCTTTTATAAGATCCTTGTGATATTTGTTAGGTTTGCCGACTCTGCCACAGACAGGAGGGTTTGTATTCTGCAATCTGAATCGACTGGTGCTTGCTTTTAAGCATAATGCTTACTGACCATTCCATAAATGTTTCGCATTAAAGTTTTGGCCATGTCAAACATTAACGTAAGAATCAAAAAGTGCTACATGGCGTTGATTACACGATTTCTATCTGTTCTTTGCGGCTGTTTTAGCCTTCTCCCTAAACCACCCTTCTAACATTTCAAGTTAATGCCCATTTATCTTGAGCTTGTCTTGCTGTTACCGTATGCTTGATATCAACCTTCCTCTACAGTAACAATGTACAGCGTCAAAATGACAATCATCTATCTCAATTCCATAAAACGTTTATCGGCAATCGCCGACCGGCAAGAGATCAGGGGAACATGGTTCCATATAAGCTAATGTGCTTTTTCTGGAACACACATATATATATATGAAGCAAGTCTATTTGGAACACGCGCGCTTCAAGTTTCACATGCAAAACTGGACATTTGCAACAGCAGTGCACATTTAAAGTATGATGTTGATGTTATGAAACAAGCCAAGTCCAAATTTAGTCATGATTGAATGTTTACGTGGTGTGTGGGCGGTGTGAGGCAGGCTAAATAGGGAGAGATAGAATCAAGATGGTGTATCAACCAATAGGAGAAAATGGAGGCTCAAGTGCAGCAGCGAAAGCGTTAGTAGTAGCACTAGGAATAAAAATAACACACGCCCATTACAATCTCCCCCCCCCCCCCCTCCATCCAAACTACCAGTGTGAGCAAAGTTTATATATTCAGACTGGAAATGTAAGTTTATTCTCTGAACAGAGACAGAGAGATTGAAAGAGAAAAGACATCAAATGACGTTATTTGCAATAGGAGATGTATAAAATTTTTATTATAATTTGTGTATGTACAACATGAGACAAGGAAAGAACGTGGCGGCAATCTAAATCGTTGGAAAGCGAAAGGTTTTGCATAGAAAAGAAAAGGAAGGTATTATGCGCATAAGTATATAGCAATGTCATATACTAGGTAAAGGCGAGAGGTGATAAAATTTACATAGGTTGTTTCTTTTTGGTTGTTAAGTTGGTGGATGAGGAGTCAGATCTTTTACGTTTCCATTCGAGTACGACATGATGATGTTGGGTAACAGGTTCACAACAATCATCTTGTCCTACTACGATTTTGAATCTACCCTTTTGAATCACGCCAGGCACTGTCATATTATTGCTGTTCTCCATACTCGAGGAGCAAGAGCGAAGTCTTGATATAAATAGGGTATCGTTATTATTGTTATTAGTATTTGTTTTTGTTGTGCTGGCGGTGGTATTTGTATTAGTTTTCATCAATTTGTTGTTGTTGGTGCTGTTGTCGTTACACTGCCAGAAATCGGAGTCCCAGATCTGGTGGCAACTCTTACTTGAGAGTGCTGTACGTGTGGAAACAGATGTCATTTGAGTCGTCATAGGTTCATCAACAATAGAGAGATAATGCTGTTGTGCTGGTGCAGTTGTTGCTGTTATAGACACAAAATCAATCATTTCATCATCTCCCTCAGCAACATCCACTTCATCATCATCAGATTTGATTTTGATGCCCGCCATCTTTGCAAATTCTTTTGCTGTAAGATCCTCGCATTTGATGTGGTTGTGATGAGGAGGGCTGCTGTTTTTGCTGTGGCAAAGAACTTTTTCGGTGGCTGCTGCAACTGTTGTGGGTGAGCATTGATATTTTCGTTTATGACTATATTTTGAAGATAATAGAGCAATCCCTTTTTTCCATTTGCTAGTAAAATTTGAATTGATGGTCGTTGTCTTGACCTTGCTACTAGCAGAATTGGTGGAAGGAGGACTATAATAAATTGCAACCAAGGTCATTGAAATTATCGCTATTACTGTTGATGTTGTTTTTGATTTGATTTATAGTGGGTTGATTCATAAATTAATTATTAGAGGTTGCTTAGATGTGGATGTAGTATTAGATTTCTTGGCTTATGTTGGAGTATTAAATGTTGGGTAGAAAGAAAGAAGGAAGAGAAGAGAGGAAGAGCAGTGGATCTCATCAAAAAGAGAGTCGATTCGGGCGTTCAATAGCGCTCTCTATGGCAAAATGTATCTTGCAACTACTGCAAATTACAGTTCCAAAGGCAAAATCACCTCAATAGCAATGTATTTCATTTACAGAAATAGACTTTTCTTGTGCCTCATTGAATAAAATAGCTCAAATGACCCGAGCTTACCCGGTTTCGATACATTTGTGTCACTGCCACAAGAGAATGCGACTTGTGCAACTGGGCAATATGCGATCAGTTGAGCTCATCTTCTCTGTCCCTCTGTGTGTGCGTTGCTCGCCATCACAATTTCAACGTCATGTTTTTTCTTAATTTTCTTGCCATTGTTGTGCATCTAGCAATTCCTGCTCATTTCTATTGCCGGCCTTAAACATTTTACCTGCATTTTATCTCTTTTAACCTTGTAAATATAACATTATTACCTTGTCGCTCCACGCATAATTCTATCCACTGAATGACCGAAACCGCAACCATCAACAAATCTACGGAAAAGCCAAAAAACCCATACAGTATCTATGAGCGTAAGGATGATATCCACCACATCTTGTAACTATGATTCTAATTTTGGTGTACAATAGATGAAAAAGTTTTGCCTCTCGTATTGCCTGTGCACAAAGAGCTTGAGCAAGTCGATTTTCAAGTGAGTCATTGGAAGATTGAAGACTGGACAGCTCTAGAAAATCGCAGCCATGGGCCCATCTTTGAAGCAGCAGGCTATCAATGGTGAGTTTCGTATGCATAATCGTGTGGATGGTAGCTAAACGATGCTTTGTTTTCTCGAAAAAAAAAAGGCGTGTATTGTTGTTTCCTAAGGGAAACAGCCAGCATGAGGCGGCCTCAATCTATTTGGAAGTGGTGATGGATACCAAAAAGGAGGGATACGACAAAGATTGGTCTGTTTGTGGTCAATTTGCAGTTGTTATCTCTAATCCTGATGACCCAAAACACTTTTTCACTAACCGTGAGTGTTGCCTTGCTCTATGACTAATCAAGCAGCGAATGCTCACCCGAACAAATCATAGATGCGCATCACCGTTTCTGTGGAGAGGAAATTGATTGGGGATTCACTCGCTTTCACGATATTAAAGCATTGACCAGCGCAAAAGAACCATACGTCAATGCAAACCATCAAACTGTGATATCGATATTCTTGCGAGTAGTGAAAGACGAGACTGGAGTGTTATGGCATAACCTGATAAAGTAAGGCTTTTGGTTATGTAGGAAAAAAAAAGGGAGGAGGAGACGCTAACAACTTTGCGCAGTTACGATTCTCGCAAAGAAACAGGCTACGTTGGCATCAGAAACCAAGGCGCAACATGTTACATGAACTCACTGATACAATCACTCTATTTCACAAACACATTCAGAAAAGCCGTGTACAAAATACCAACAGAGAAGGAGGATCCAACAAACAGTGTCGCATTAGCATTGCAACGTTGCTTTTACAATTTGCAATTCTCTGACGAATCAGTTGGAACAACAGAATTAACAAAGTCATTCGGCTGGGACTCACTAGATGCTTTCATGCAACACGATGTGCAAGAATTCAGTCGAGTATTGCAGGATAATTTAGAGCTGAAGATGAAGGTAAATGCTAGTATCGATGGTTGTTGCTATTGTCTAAACATGGCGTATTCAGGGCACTATCGTGGATGGTGCTGTGACAAATATATTCATGGGCAAAATGAAGAGTTATATCAAGTGTATCAATGTAGATTATGAGTCATCACGTATAGAAGATTTCTATGGTAAGTTTTCAAGCATATTTTAATTGCAATTGTGTAGCTAATACGCAACTTGCATAGATATCCAGTTGAATGTCAAGGGTTGCAAGACTCTAAATGATTCGTTCAAGAAATACGTGGATACGGAAACAATGGACGGAGAGAATAAATACATGGCAGAGGGTCATGGTCTGCAAGATGCATGCAAAGGTGTTTCATTTGAGAGCTTCCCTCCTGTCTTGCATTTGCAATTGAAGCGATTCGAATATGACATGCAACGAGATACAATGATCAAGGTGAGATAATCCGAAATGTATTCCTTTGGCACATACTAACGGGCCGACACAGATCAACGACCATCATGTGTTTCCAGATCAAATCAATCTAGATGAATTTTGTTCTACACCGAGTGCAAATCCGAAGGATCGCAATTATGTGCTTCATGGGTAGCTATAACCAATGCGAATGTATGGATGGGAATTACTAACTACTTGTATACAGTGTCCTAGTGCATAGTGGAGACATCGATGGAGGCCATTATTTCGCTTTATTGAAACCTGAAAAAGACGGCAAATGGTAAGAGTTGCATAAATCCATCCATACAATGTAACACTAACACTACAATAAGGTTTCGGTTCGATGACGACCGTGTAACTCCGGTCACATTACGAGAAGTCTTTGAAGACAACTATGGTGATGATCCATTACGAGAAGCTAGTGAGAATGACGCTGATCCCAAATTCTCGACTGAAGATCAAATCAGATGCACCAACGTGAGGTCACTAAAGAGATTCACCAATGCTTATATGCTTGTTTACTTTCAACAAACCAAATTAGACGAAATACTATCACCCATTGCAAATGAAGAGATACCAAAACATCTGAATCGCTCCTTGAAGGACAACGCCAAAGCATTGAAAGATGATGTGTTGAATAATTTGATATCTTCTCAGCAGCCACAGCAAACAAAATCTGGCTCCCCGCCTAAACAAAATCATATCAGATTAAAAAAGGCAGAGAAGACTGTAGAGAAAAAGTGTCAGATTATGTAGTTTACCCCCCCCCCCCTTTGACGTATTGATCACAACTAATAAATATGCCCTTTTTTTTTAATTATGCTGCATTTTGAGTTGATGTAATCAAGATTTGGTTCGATTCGAGATGAGCAATCCTTTTTATTGGATCTATGTGTTCACACTGTCAAAGAGCCAAAAAAAAAAAAAAAAAAAAAAAAAGTCCTTCTCTTATTCTAACAATCGAGATGTTTGCAAAGACGCCAAGCCATCATCTTCATCGCCTTGAGATGTCATCGATAGCTGTGAAGAGAGTATATCGTTTGGCTGACCGTCATCGCCATCCTCTGTCTGAGAAGGCATTGGGAATGAAATGTATTCATTTGGTTGCTGCTCCTCATCATGCTCCTCTTGCGGTTGGGGTTCAGCAGCCTCCTTTTCATCTGGCATGCCCCTATCTTTCTTGGCCTTGCAATACACAATGCTGCCATACTCTTCACTCTCCTTCATGATGCGTTTCGCTTCTTCCAAATCAATCTTACCATCGCGATCTTGTCGAATCAATCGAAGTCCAGCTTCAGGAACCAAAATTTGTTGAATAAATTCAATGGGTGTCAATGGTTTAACATTGTTGATGTTGATGATGGATGTCTCCAAAAATAGTGGAAATAATGCTTGCATGATTGCGTCTGCGCCCTTGATACCATAGTAGCCAGGCTAAACATAGTGATCAGGAGAGCGTTCAACCTTCTTCAAAAGGGTGTACGTACCTTGAAGTTTCCAAAGACGGCAAGCATTTCTTTAGCACTTCTCGCCTTCATGCCCATCTTTTCAAAACGGTCATAAGCGGCATCCAAGTATGTACTAGGCACCTTGCGATCAACAATACCCAAAAGTTCATCTTGAAACAAAGCGATTCTATCTGGAATGGCATCAAAATCAATGCGCTCAGGATATCCTTTCTCTTTAGCCAAGGGTTTGAACTTCAATTCAATCTGATGTGTCCTACAGATCAATCGTTGGTCGTTCTTTGACAATCCAATGTCTTTCAGAATAAAAGGCATAATGAACATGTTGTTTCGTTTGCATTCAATGACCTCTAATTCATATGCTTCACGTTGCTCTCTTTCATATTGAATTTGATTCGCTTTCAATTTCTTGATCAAGCGGCCAAGTTTAGAAGGATAAGGTGGGAAAATGGATTCGCCACAATAAGGGCAATCAAAGCCTGTATTCACCACGATTAAACAAAATGCAAAAGCACATTTCCCTACATGTATACATACATTTTTTCTCTTCTGGCAATTTGCCTTCTTTCACCTCTTGAAGTGTAGCTTCTGATATGGCTTCCTTTTTCTCTTGAGGCTTCACTCTTCTCTTGGGCAAAATTAACTTGTTTCCACGAGCACTTTTGACACTGAACGGTTCCGTTTCGGCAGGAGGAGCATCCTTCTTGTCGATCGTTTTTGACTTTCTGGCATCGGGCCGCTGTAGCGTGGTTTTAGCAGGCCTCTTCTTTGAACTGTCCATGATTCGCTTTCAGCTGCGATTGTTAATATTGTGTATAATTCGTGGAGTAAGAGCAAGCAGCAGTTAGTTACTTCTGGAAACGTCCAATTTGCGTAGCATAGCAGTCATAATGTCGTGTGTTGGGTGGTGAGATCATGACATGTTTGATATCTAAAACATGACTCTATAAAATCAGCACTACTTATAAGGTATGTAGCATGGTAGAGAAGAGAAGAACAGATGAATGCGTAAGCGCTTGTATAGGCTTTTCATCATGATTTACGTGCCATTTGAAGGAAATGCTGGCTTGTAGGGAGTTTGGGCCTATTTTTCGTACTCCGAGTATTGTTTCTGTGTGATCTCCAGATGACATTTTTGGACATCCATTAGACGTTTTTTGGATTTTTCTCCACAAATAAAATAGTAAGTGCGCCTGGCTTCTCTTAGGTTTATAACGCTTGTTTGATGCTGCATTGAATGATGTCCATTTTATCTATAATTCTGTGCCAAACTGTCTCGCAATTTCAAAAAATGTGTATTTACGTTTTTGTCGCAAAAGTCAATTTTCTCACTAGTAACTTTCCAAATAGACAGTGGCACATAAAGTACTGGACTTGTAGTAGTATTTTGAGGTTAGAAAACCCTACTCAAAAATCCCGATTTCAAGATGAAAACTCGCATCATTTGAAATTTGCGATTTCGGACGTGTAGATGCAAGGTGAAAATGACCAAAAACCTATTTAAAAATTTTGACAAAAAAAAAATCGAGAAAACATGATGGGATAGTAGAGTCCAATGCGAGAAACGGTTTGGGACCCTTTTCAGTGGTGAGAAACGCCTAAAAACCTCACAATCAAGGGTTTAAAATGACACATGTTAGGTGGATTTGGGCCATTTTCGCCTAGATAAAACAACCGCTCAAGCAACTCTGTGGTTTTTTCTAAACTCACAATGTAACTCTGTTTGTTCAAAGCCTATGTAGTATAGAGTACGGGAGAAATGAGCTCAACACCTGGAGAAAACGCGGAAATTTGATCTGGCCAAAAGTCTCAAGTGCCTATAAAATGAGCTAGAATGGCCAGCAACAAAGCTTTTTTTCCTAGATTAAAGCTTACTCAGTAGTACTGGGCACACTCAAAAGTACCGGCATCACTTCTTGGGGTACTTTTGTATGAAGCATGTAACGTTAGCAATCGTTGAAGGATGCGTATTTGAGTGAAAACAGCTAGTTTATATGCCGCTGACATGGTGCTGGTGTAGCATTGTATAACGGCAAGCACTAGCTATACCGAGCAGCAACAGATGGTTAGCTACAATCATTCCTGACTCATGTAGTTTAAAAAAAATTACTATTTACTGTATGATTGGTGTGTGAAAACCACAACCAAGTCAGATCTTCAACCTTTTCGAAGCATTGGTTGATGAGATCAAGCAATTGTCAAACGGACAGTTGTATGTGACGTTAAATAAAATGGCAACTCGCTAAAAGAGTAAGTTTTTTTTCTTCTTCTTCTAATTCTGAAGTTTGCTTTGATAACGCGTTTTCATATTTTACAACATGAGTTACGATAACAGAGGCGAAAACAGAGGATACAGATCTCGCCATGAAGGTATGCTGTAAATGTACCTATTGACAGTGCACATCCAATTGACATGCTTGATTCCGTTGTTCATAGGCGGTGGCAATCGTTACAGAGGCGGTGGAGGTGGAGGAGGTGGACCCAACCGTTATAGAGGTAATGTTGGCGGTTGTAGGGCGCTTCGATGTGGATATACTGATTTTGTTCATTATGCCGTGTAGATAACAGAAGAAGCAATTACAACAACAATAACAACAACAACAGCTATCAACGTCGTCCCTATGATCGTCCTCCTCCTGAGAGCAAGGATGATGAGATGGAGGACATTGAGATTCGTTTGAAAGGATTGATCATCAAGATTGGAGACAAGGTAATTATACACGTGGCATTGCGAGAAGAATGCAGCATACTAAAAGATACATACACATTCAACAGATCACGCCTGATTTACAAGTCAATTTAACAAAGATGAAGAACATCTTGGACAACGATTATTCTAAATATCCCACCACTGTTCAAGACACTTTGAAAGCATGGTAAAGCCATACACTTTGGGACACACTCGCCAACATGAGCGCTCACATGTTTATATTTAGTGTCACTGAACTTCCAGCCAAAGCACCTGTATACGGTGCATTGATCGGTCTCCTCAACGCATCCAACCACGAAGTTACTGAAAAACTGATGGAGGAATTTAACAAGACACTGGAACAAACGATTGCAGATACCAATTGGTTCAAGTTGAAGCAGTTTTTGAGATTTTATGCTGAACTTGTCAACGCCAATGTAATTCTGCCCACAACTTTCTGCAACTTGCTCAACGACTTACTAGCAGTGATGGATCAACCTAATCAACTGCGCCAACGCTTGGATTGTGTGGTTTATATTATTTTGGCAACCATTCCTTGGTGTGGAACGGAACTGAGTGAGCGTTGTCCTGCCGAATTGGATCAGGTTTTCAAAAAGATTGAAATTTACATGCAACGCAGAGGAGACGTGCCTGTATTGGCCATCTTGAAGCAGTACAACGGTATTCAATACGATGCTGCAAAGGAGGATGTAAGCCTAGAACAAAAGGAACAAAATGGAGCCTTTAACTGATCTTGTTGTGTATATAGCTTTTGGCACACATCTGGACACTTGTTCAAGATCTTCAAGGCAGATCATGGGATGTAAGTCTTTCTCGATGAGCACTTCAAATAATACAGCCGACTTATATTCTATCCTAGTTGCCCTTCTTTCCCAAGCCATACAGATGGTTTGATAAAGAATTCACTGCAGCACTTCAACATGATGTTCCCAGAATCACCGTACCCAATCATACTCCCAGCATGAGCTACATTGGCCCAGTATCCACAATGAAGCTGTTGGTAGATGAACAAGGATACTCACTGCCTAATATTCCCAACCACCAGAGCATCGAATACTTTATTTTGCAAGAAATTATTTCTGACACCATGAACCTGTTTGAGGTGAATCGTAAAGACTGCGCTCGTTATTTGTTGAGTATCTCTACCAGCTTTGATCCCAACTTTTTCAAATCATCACCACCTCCTCCTATCAATGCCGCGGACGATAAATCTGATATGGTCAAAGCAGAATCCATGGATGAAGACACTGATTCTGAAAAGTGGAATTTGTCCGATTTGTTAGTAGAGGTAATTGCTGCTCGTGCTATACTAGGTAGACTGCGTGTGCGCTAAGACCGTGTTGTGTATATAGGCCATCTTCTCGCAGATGCTTCGTCTTCCTCTCCCTCCCGTTCGTCAAGTATTCTACTCGTGCGTGTTCATTGAGCTCTGCAGAGCAGAAAGTGGCACCTTCCCCATGGCCTTAGGTAGAGGCATCAAGACATTGTTTGACCGTTTAGCTTACATGGATGTGGAATGCATTGCTCGTCTTTGGAGCTGGTTCTCTCATCATTTGAGTAACTTTGGTTTCCAATGGGACTGGAAAGCCTGGTCCTCTGTTTTGACTCTGGACCCTAACCATCCTCAAGTTTGCTTTATCCGTGAGACACTTGAAAAGGAAATTCGCCTTAGCTATTATGAACGTATCAAGTCTATCATTCCTGACGAGTTCCATGCATTGGTGCCCTCTGCAGCACCCGCACCCAACTTTGCTTACAAGGATATCAAGGACCCGTTGCACGCTCAAGCCAAAGTGATCATCGAGAGTTTGCGTACCAAAAAGACGGCCGATGAAGTGCGCACTCTTTTGGATAAATACAAGGAAGAAGTCAGAGCAACCGCAGGAACTGACGAACAAGAGCAAAACCAACGCGTGCGTGAGATGTTTGTTCAATGTTTGTTGCTGGTGGGATCCAAGAGTTTCTCCCATATTCTGAACGTGGTGGAGAGATATCTGGATGTGTTGCGATTTGTGAATGCTACACCTGAGGGCCGTCTCCATACAGTGCAGATTGTGGCATCATTTTGGGAGCATAACACACAATTCCTGGGCATCTTGTTGGATAAATTGCTGAATTACCGTGTGATTGATCCCGCATCTGTCATTAACTGGATATTCGAGCCAAACCAATTGCAATTTGTTGGAAGGTACACAGATGATAACACACAGACACAAAAACAGAGTAAAAGTAAAACATTTTATTTAGAGCATTCATTTGGGAGATCTTGAAAAACACGCTAAGCAAAGTCAACTCGCGTGTGTTACAAGTCAAGGCAAAGCTTGATAGCTTCCAGAGCCTCCATTCAGCCAATAAACTTAAACGTGCTGAATCAGAGCATAATGAGTGTAAGTTGTGCCCTGACACAAGAAAAAAAAAGTAGGGTTTAACCGATTTGATGATTAGTGGCCGAAGCGGAGGAACAACAAGAGCTTGACTCTTTACGGATCGTAGAAAACTCGCTTGCCTCTGTCTCCAGAGAGCAAAAAGAGGTTTTCATGGCAGTCTATCAGAAATTTACGCAGGTGCTTCAGGAATTGATCCAGACACATGCTGAACCAGAGTCAAATTGGACGTATAGATGGGTATTCGGATGGTTTAGAGAGATGCTTCGTGTGGTAATACATTCATATACACCAATCAATTTGTACACGGATACTAACTAGTTTGCATCATAGCATTACAAAGAGTGCGGTGGTTTCATGACGACCCTGGAAACCCTGGTATTCACCTCTGGTTTGGATCCTCGCGTCAATGATGTGTTTATTCAAGTCAAGGCCTTGAAGGAAGAGGATGAGTTGCTGGTTTAGGTGGGGATCAATACATGTAGTATATTTGAATATAAATAAATAAAAGCCTGTTAGTATACTACTTAATCAAGTAAATTTTCCTTTCTTGTGCTATTAATTTACGGTCATAGACGGTTACACCACAGCGCACGTTTGTCGGGTGAAAATATAGTCATTTCTCAGACATATTCCAATCAATTTGTTGCAATGTATACACCTGCAAATGTCCCATCTCAATGCCAATTTGTATATAAACTGCCAAAGCAAATCGCTCAGAATCCACATCTTTATCCATCACACCTTCCCAGTCTCATCATGGTCCAAGTCGCTCTTAACTCTCTCATCACCGTTGTCGCTGCTGTTGGCATGGCTAATTGTCTCGCTATCAAACATGACAACCACCACCACCACAAGCGTACTGCTCCTAAAGGTAAAGCCTTTGATCACATTCTCCAAGTTTGGTTTGAGAATCAAGACTACTCTACCATTACCAAGACTGCCGGTTTTACCAATCTTTTGAAGGAAGGCATCTTGTTAAACAACTTCAATGCTGTCACCCATCCCTCTGAACCCAACTATGTCGCTGCTGCTGGTGGCGATAACTTTGGTATCAACAATGATGATTATTACAATATTCCTGCCAATATTAGCTCCATCTATGATCTCTTGGAGAACAAGGGCTTGACCTGGAAAGTATATCAAGAAAGCATCCCCTCTGTCGGATACACTGGATACAAGGCTGGAAACTATGTGCGCAAGCATAATCCTGCTGTCATTTTCGACTCTGTTGGATTGAACGCTACTCGCTCTCAAAACATTGTTGGAGGTATGTGTATGAGTTTGTTTGGATAGCCTAGTAGATTGACGAACCGCTCTCTAGCTGATCAATTCGTCAAGGACATTGCTGATGATAATCTCCCCAACTGGATGTTGTAAGTCTTTGTTGTACATGTGCAATCAAACTATAGTATATTTATGCGATCGCTTTATTTGATAGTTACACCCCTAATATGTTGAACGATGCTCATGGTATGACAAGATAGCAGTTACGAGATCAAAACATTGTAATTAACACATGTGACATGTAGATACGTCTGCTGCTTATGCTGGTAACTGGCTTACCACATTCTACCAAAACACTTTGAACAACAGCAACCTCTTGAGCAAAACTCTTATCTTGATCACCTTTGATGAGGTATTAATATCCATACATTATCTACGCTTTGCGCATGTGTATAATATACTCACTCATTGTATCACTCAATATTAGAATGCTAGTTCCTCAAAGAGAAACCAAGTCTGGTCCCTTCTTTTGGGTAACATCCCTGAAAACCTCAAGGGTACTACTGACTCTACTTTTTACACTCGTAAGTTTGAGCTACTTTGAGTAGGGCCTAACACTAACATTTCTATACAGATTTCTCCTCTCTCAGTACTGTTGAGGTAAGACAGCACGTAGTTCTATCATAAAGGCATCAATCACTGACCTTTTTATTTTAGCACAACTGGGATCTTGGAAACTTGGGTCGTCAAGACACTAACAAAAACCTTGCTAATGTCTACAGCTATGCCGCTAGTGCTTTGGGCTATACAAATGTTGCTGTTACCAACATTCCCAACAGTAACACTGCCATCACTGGTTTGTTGACTGGAAAGTCTTATAACCAGACCCACCACTAAGCTATTCCTACCAATAAAAACTTCGCATTATCAACATGTACTATCAATTTAAGCTTCACAGTTTTCTGTGATGTTCGTCAATAGCTTTGTATATTCAAGGACATTTAGTATTGTGTGATTCATTGCCATCACATTTACTGTCCTTAAATAGCATGCTTTTCTTTGAGGCTTAAACCTGCGGAAGTAGTGTATCAAATACAGTGTAACAGACGACGAAGCCATAGCATAAATACAACTTGAAAAACTGCTTTCAGCCCTCCATAACAGAGTATATCTGTGTGACCTATCATGAACATCACGATAAAATGAGGGTATTCACTGCTTTGATATTAGCGTACGCCATCATTTAGTATCTCAACCCTGCTGTTTCTTCTTTATATTTCTTGCTCTGTATCAACAAGCCATTTACGCAGACTCAAAATGAACGGATTAGATATTATTTGCACTATTTGTCTAGCTGAACTTGCTTTGTCAGATATACCAATGCAGGTTCTTGACTGTGGTCATGTATTTCATAAAGATTGGTATAGTATTGCTACTACAAAACTATTCACTCGCTAATATGTACGATTAATATTGAAACTTGACTACGCACCTCTTCCAACAAATGTCCCGTTTGCGAGCAAGTGTGCCCCAAAGGAGGCAAACGACCTATTTACCTATCATCTCAACTAGCATTCGAATCAATGATGAACAACATGCGAGCTGAGCTTTCAGATGAAATTAAAAAGGCACACAAAGAGCTACAAACGTCAATGGAAAAGCGTATTCGTCTGTTGGAAGAGTCATTATTGGAGGAGGTTCGCCAGATACACGAAGAGTTCAATCAACAACGTTGTCAGACTAAGAAAACCAAGAAAGATTGGCTCCATTCATATACCCAACTTCAAACTGTTGTTGTAGTATTGGCGGCTTATGTTGCATTCAAGACTTGTGTCGAGACTTGTTTTGGAGCATTGTTTGTCTTCTTTGTGCTCGTAGAAGGAGTTCTTCTATCCACAGAAAAAATATTGCAGAAATTGAAGGATGTCATTAACAAATAAACCTATAAGCAAGATGATGTTAGTTGCCAACGCAACAAATGAAGCAGTTCAAAATATTCAAAGCTACTGCAATGCCACCATGAATAATATAATCATAACATGGTAAATGGTCAGTCCCTAGACACTTTTACAACCCTAATACGAAAACTGAGTTGCCAGGCATTTGTCCGGCATGGCTCATATATGATTAAAGATTCTATATTAAATCACTATCGATCAGCAATCAAGTTTCTTCTAACATTCTGGCTATTATTGATTTCGCAATATTAGCCAAAGGCCTACAGCAGTGCGAGCCACCTAAACGTAAGTTATTTTCCTAATCTTTGCTTCGCTTTGGTGGAAACTAACCGAGGAGCCGAAATGCTTATCGTAACATAATACATTTATGGTCCTACTACTAGACACTTTCAAAGCCTCAAAAAGGAAAGAAGCTGATCTAACAAGTATTTCGATAGACTGGCGTTATTAGATATAGAATACAAGGAAAATAGAATGGCTAATAATAATGCTACGTAGTTTGCCACCTACTTCCATACGCTTCAAAAGCATCCATTACTATATTGCCTTCATGGTTAGAGGGGGGCATTGAATTTGCCAGATGGTCACACCAGCCAAAATGAATTCAAACCCAGACTTTCAGTCTACTTCAGATTGGACAGATTTTGATATCTTTCGACTTGATCCAACTGTTTTTCCAGATTCGACTATGTAAAATATGATGATCATCTTATGCTCCTTTAAGCTTTCTTGGAGTGCTTTTCAAGGCGCATCCAATGGTGCCAAGTAAAATAAATGATCTGAAAAAACTTATTGAGCAAATTATGAAAATTCAAAAAGAGGTTTCTGGCCAAAAAGTCAACATTTTACATATCAAGGTCCCACAAAGATAATTTCAATGGCTACATTAGATCGATAGAGGCATTTTGATTCAATATCATAACATAATCAAATGTTATTCTTCTCTGTAGTAAAGCGCTAAAACAAAAAAGTGACACTTGACGAATTGCGGTTGCTACAATCGCAAATGTCATTCGGTGGATATCATTGATTTTATCTGGACGTGCCTTGTGCCGCACTCAACACCGAACAAATGTCTCTTTGTCATAGACTTCCATATCACAGATCAAGACTATGGAATGACTAACAAAATTACTGCTGTCGTCTTATCCGGAGTTGCCCATTAAATGGGCTTGATCATAGGAAAAAATTTCATGGTATTAGTTTTTTTTTTTTGATAGACCGAAAAACCGGTTCCAAATCATCAAGGTCCACCAGTAAAAAATAGCATATGTAAAGTGTCAACAACAAAAATCATACGATATATGAAACGAACAAACAAGATATAAATTTATTTGATATATTCAAATTACTTATTGTTCCTTCTTTTATTCTGCTTCAGGTCCATATCTTCTTTCACCATGTCACCTTCAACTGCCGAGATCAGAGCTACCAGCAATAAGGAAGATCGCACCAATGTCAAGCGCATGAAGAAGGAGGAAGATATTCGTCAGTCCATCAAGGACAAGTTCTATCCTGGTCTCTTTGATCAAGCATCTCGTGAGGCTGTGCGTCAATCTGTTCAAGATTCCAAGCCTTACCCACATTGCAAAATTTCTAAATTGATCAACGATGATCTCTTACGTCGTGTGCACAAGGAAATCTACAGCAAGCTTAGTTTCACCACCAAGGAAACTGATATCTACAAGGTCAATCAAACTGGTGACCTCGCCAACATGGACGGCCTTAGCGAGCAAGAGCGCGGTGAGCTTGCCTCTCTTTTCGAGCTTCGTAATGCCATCTACTCCAAGGAATTTAGAGAATATGTGCAATATGTCACTGGCTGTGGGCCACTTTCTCCTACCAAGATGGACATGAGTGTCAACACGTATACTGAAGGCTGCCACCTTTTGAACCACGATGATGTGATTGGCACCCGTCGTATCTCATTCATCTTGTATATGCCTGGTGAACCTGATGATCACTGGGATCCTTCCTTTGGTGGTGCCCTGGAATTGTATCCTGTTGTTGAGCGTGATACTCCTGCCAATGAACCTACTGTGTCTGTGCCGCCTCAATGGAATCAATTCGCCATGTTTACTGTATTGCCCGGCTACTCTTTCCATTCTGTTGAAGAAGTCGTTGTTGAAGGTAAGCCTCGTCTTAGTATTCAAGGCTGGTTCCATTTCCCTCAAGAAGGCGAGCTTGGTTACAAGAAGGATGCTGAAAAGAGTGAGTCCCTCTCCACTCTTCAACAACTTGAGACTGCTGTAGATGTCAAGGAGAACTTTGAACAGTACAAGACTGAATTGACAGAAGAAGGCACGTTGGGTCTGACTGAGGAAGATTTGACCGAACTTGCTACCTGGATGAACCCTGTCTATCTCAACACTGAATTTATTGCTCAAATCACGGATAAGTTCTTGGATGAATCTGCTGTTCAACTAAAAGAGATCTTGAACCAAGAGCTGTTTGATAAGATCAAGGCTGCCACTTTCAAATGTGATGAGATGGATAACTTTATCAAAGGAGTAATGCCTCCTCACGGTACTGGCGTGCGTGGCGATTGGACTGTGCAAGGTTCTCCTGTGTCCCAGCGTTTCTTGAAGTTGAATGACCATGTCAAGTCGGATGAAGAAACCTCTGTCTTGTTTGGTCAGCTACGCTCTCACTTCCAAAGCGAAGCATTCCGTCACTGGCTGGCTGTCTTGTCTCAATTACTTCCTACAGGCTACAGAGGTATGGCTCGTCGTTTCCGCCCTGGACATGATTTTACTTTGGCCACCACCAATCTTCGTGGTCGACCTGTGTTAGATGCAACCCTTTGCTTGGCTACCACTCCCAATGCTGAAGCAGCTGAAAAGTGGGAATCCTGTGAGTATGGTGGCTATGAATGTTACATGGCTGCACATGAAGGTGATGATGACCCGGCTACATATCGCTTCAACGATGACGATGGTGCTTTGTTGACTATGGCTGCTGGTGCTAATGAATTGTCTTTGGTTTTGCGTGATGAAAATGTCATGCGATTTGTAAAATACGTTAGTGCTAGATCTCCTGGTGCTCGTTGGGATGTCGCTTTTGAATACGATCTAGTAGAGGAAGAAACTGAGAATAAGTTGTAATGATTGAAGCCGCATACTGTAAATAGCATATTTAACCCCACTCATACAAAAAAAGTATATCATTGAATAAAAAAAAGTAATTGAACTTACAACTGCAGAACAGACAAGTGTCAGCCTTTGATCCTGGGTTTTGCTAGTTTGCAATATGATATGGCAAGTGATGTGTAACATTAGTTTACTGGTTGTTATGCAGTAGATTAACGGTCTTTCAGTTCAAAGATATATCATTAGCACCCCATCAGAAACAGCCTGAATCCTTTTGTGTTGTATCAGTAAATGCATGGATGTACATGATCTCTGTGTCTCATAATAGCACACTTGCATCAGCATCGTTATCGGTTTGACACAGAAACAAAAGTTATAATTGTGTATGAATTGCTTTATATCATTTGATTATTGATTGCTTGCCTTACCACCATTGTATCACTTGTCATGACGGACTTCGAGAGAAGAACCTCACAATAGACTGTTGTTTGAGGCTTTCTTAGCGGACCGATGCAAATTGTTGGATCCAGGCACAAAATATTCATGCCAGTATGGAGCTTTGTACTACGTGCTAGGCAAACAGAACATAGTTGCTGAAATCCATGTGCTGGGTATGTGCTGTTCGAATAAATGTATGGACTTGCCAGTATTAGTAGACTGAGGCGCCATCACAGTGGGAGCTGTTTTGTGGGCAGGTAGCTCCAAAGAACCAGCAGATTTTCTCATTGAAGTAACAACAGGATTATCTTTTGATGGCCACCCATCTGAAATATGCTGGATCTGTTATATCCAAATACAAAGTATTCACAATGTTGACATACATCTTACAAGCAAAGATAGGCAAATGACATCTCGTTTTGATTCTTTCGTTTTATTACATTTCATAAGACACTTTTCTATTATAATCTGGCATCAATATTATACTTTGTATGAGAACCCGAATAGCATAAACGATTATTTTGATCGTACACTCTGGTGAAGATATTGGCTAACGTCTTTCCAACTCTTTGCACTTCACATTCCAAACGAATCACATCACCTTCAGACACGCCACTCAAATAAGCAACTGAAAGATCTGTAGACACACCAATCAAGCTCCATTGCTTGCCTGTACTAACCAGCACCGCAAAACTACTGCAGATATCAATCAATGTAGCGACACACCCACCATGGAGATTGCCCAATCTAAAAGCCCAGCATGAATACTTTCTTCCATGATCTACATATGGTATCCAAAGCTTACTGATTGCAATGAAGTTCTTCCACTGTGAATTCCCAAGACAAGACGTCAGGTTTGGCAGCAGTGATGCTCAGGTACTGTTCAACACTATGCTCCCAAAAAGTGGGTCCATCTGCCTTCTTGTTGTAGTAGTCGACCATTTCTTGGAGTCTTGGGTATGCATTGGCAGCTTCTTGAGTGATCTTCATTTTACCCTTTCGATAAATAATATTTCTAGTGGAAAAGAAGGATTGGACGAAAGATGAAAGTTGCTGATAATTTATATCGAGGAATCAAATTAGTGAGAAATTTAATGACAAAGCATCATGTATATTGAAAAATTGTGTGGGGAACATGCGGAGAAAGCAGTTGTGAATGGGATTGAAAGTCAGGGTCAGGTTCAATTGTGTACCATATGAAGAACGAATGGTGTGTGTCAGCCATGATCTACAAATTACTTCTGACAAGCGCTGATATCGTTGCATTCGCATATTGACCAACTTTTGTCAGCTTCCAACTTTGACATCATCAAGTTCTATTGACCAAGCACAACCTCCACATCCAGTGATACCTTCAGTAAAAGTGTCTCATTTATTTCAGTACGAAAGAAGAGAAGGAAAGTTTATTTATATAAGCTAATCGATACAACGTATTCCTCAATCTTCTTTGCTATCGGTATAGTCCTCTTGGTGAAATAAAGATGGTTTCCGGGTTGACTCACTGACCTTCGTCATGTATAATTGATCTCGTGTAAAAGAATACAGCAAACCGATCCGTCTTTTGGAAATCATACAATTACAATAGAGTTTATGGAAAGAACAAATCGTCGTGTCGAAAGTCAAAATGAACATCTTGAATCTTATCACCAAAAACATATAACCCAGTGGACCTGCTGCTTGTGTTTGATAGCGAGTTGTCGTCTGGAATCATAGAGCTATATGTACCATCCTGTACTATAATATATAGACATATAAACCTTTCTGAGCCGCCGGAATGACGCCAAACAATTCTACTTGAGTGGTAGTAACTTCCTAACACATTTGCTCGACTTTTTTAGAATCTGAAAAAATTGGCCAAAATCTGACCAAAAACCACGAAAGGTATCTCATGGTTTTCATTGAAAATCAAACGATCGCGTTTTTCACCTTGAAAAGGAAGACTTTTACTATGGCATATATATTAAATCAAAATGTTTCCTTCGATCCGAAGCAACCTCTGAAACACCTTTTGTAAGGCCTTCATATGCAGAATCTGGCTATTTTCGCTAAAAAACCTCATTTCATATTCTACCAAATTGCTCAGTAAATTCATTCAAAACACCTGTTAGAATTAGCATCACTGGAAGCGCCTTGAAAAGTTCTCCAAGAATGCATTAGGAAGCTTAGGAAGATCATTACAATTTGTACAGTCGAATTTGGCAAAATAGTTCGATCAAGTCGAAAAAAAAGACGAAATTTATCCAATCTTGAGCAGAAAGAACAAACCGGGTTTGAATCAATTTTGGCGGCGGCGCTGCTGTTGGCTGACCCAAATGCCTTTCTGATGATGACAATAATGATGATTAAATAGGGATCATGGAATTATAAGGATAATTGTTCAGCCCAAATCATTTTCTGTTCTTGAATGAGAGTGTTTTCCTACTATCAAGGTGTATTTTGCAATGAAAATCTCTTGAAACAGTCGCTGTAGATCTTACACAAGTCCTATATTTAAGCATGGCCAGCTTTATGCCGCCATCTCAAGAGCAATATTAGCGAATGAAAACCTCCCCCTCCTGACTCTGATATAACTTTTTTTTTACTATTAATTAATTGTTTAAAATCTACTTGATATGCCAGATCTTTATTATCCCTGATTTGAAATGTATCGACGAGAGCTCGCCGGTTGTTTTCCACCATGGTGATTTGTTCTTTCCGGAGTCTCTCTGAACTGCATGATTTCAAAGACACGGTCGATTTGCTGTATTCTTTCAAACGACATCAGTTGAATTTGAAAAGGATTAATGAAGCAGCTTATCATCGCCAACTTGAAGAAAGCAAATTAGGCTATTACAGAACAGAAGCAAGCAGAGAGAACAGCTCTAGCCCAGAAAATTATAGAAAAAAAAAAGGCAAAAAAAAGCGAAGAGGATCAGAGCAAAAATGATGATAATTAGGACTCATGGTTGTGTTGATTACGCTTTATTTTGCCGATGTCTTATAAATACTTCTATCGAACTTTATGAAAAAGCCTATTAGCATGTAGCTTCAGCGCCTTGATCATTGATTCCGCAACTCATAAAGAGAATAACCATTTACCAAGATATTACCCCTCATAGTCAAACAATCAAAGTAAAATAAGAATGGCAGGGTTTTGAACTTTCACAACTGAACAGGTTCATAATTCTCATTGCTTTTTACCTCGACATCAATGTCGGTAATCTTCATTAAAGCAGGGTCACATCATTCAAACCCTCACATCCAAACCAGACTGTGGATCTTTCCCTCATGTTAGAGCTTGATCCAATTGAACTTGCATTACCAATCACCTCTGCTAGGTATTCAGGATAAATGGTGCAAGAAAAGGAAGGCGACAGCGATGGCATTGTCAGTGTTTATAGTGTTAAAAGGGGGCATCTTTGGCAATGCAATTCCAGCCAAGGTGCAATGAAAGGGTGGCCAGACATCGAAGGTTGCTATACAATCGTTGGCAAAGTTGATTTAGCAGTAGAAATCAAGAATAAAAAGTAGTTGATCCAACCAATTGATAAATTTCTTTCTTCAGTTTTTCATTTTGATGCATTCTTTTGATCCTAATGAATGTCAATGGCTGATTATAAGATCTATATGCTGGAGGTATGGAAACAAGTCTGTTTGACACCAGTCACTCTAGTCGAGCAAGGTATTTTGGCAGGTTTTAAGCTTGGGTCCATCATTAAAACCTCTTTTTTTTTTTCTTTTCTTTTCTACACACTTCAATAGAAACAAAGATGTCTCAACCTCAATTCAGTGAAAACGATCAACGTGAACTCGCTCAGGTAAGATCATATGATTCAAGGATGGACGGATCTTTGATGTGGAGCTCTAGGAAAGAGAACAATGATGATTGACATTTGGTTCATGTCTGTAGTTCCTCGAAGCCGAACAAGCTAAAGCCCGTGTTCAAGAAACTGTTCACAGCATGACTGACAACTGTTGGGTAAGTGGAGGGTCGATGCAGAGGAATCAGTGAGAGCAAAATGCTGATATATCATGTTTTGTGGGGTTAGGATAAGTGCATTTCCAAAGTCAACAACAAGTTGGATCGTTCTGAAGAAGCATGTCTTGCCAACTGTGTTGACAGATTCTTGGATACCAGTTTATTCATTGTTAAGCGCTTGGAAGATATGAGATCAAGTGGCATGTAAATACGAACTGTATATAGACGAGATTCAAGAATAAAACCATATTTTATATAATACACAATGATTGTCTAACAGATGAGTGACGCTACACCATGCATTTCCTCTCTAAGTTCATCCCAGACTTCATAGACCTTGTCGGTAACCTCTTTCACACTATATTGTATCAGCAAACACGAGCCATTTGTATATGTCTTTCCGCAAACTATTAAATATTACCTTTCTTGTTGTTGCTTGATCGTCTCATCAAAGTCTTTATCCGATTCTTTGGCTTGAATGATCAAGATTTGTAATTTGGCAGTCTATTATCATTGCATGATATCAATATCTATACTCCCACCTCATTCCTATGCTACCATTATATACCTTCTCTAATCTCTCCTTTTCAACATGCTGCAATTGTCGAATCATACCACCAATTACTTTATCAGATTCATTGACACTCTTTTCAACATCCTGAATTTCTTGAGATACATCTTGGAAACCCTCCGTAACAATTTTGCAAACGGAATGATACTGCTCAGCAGGACACTTGCCGTTCAAGTAATCCTTGAATGCACTGCTCTATCGATCAGTCGTCGCGTCCTCGTGTTGATTAATTTGAAAACTTACATGTCGAATTCTCGATACAATTCTAAGCGAGTGTCTTGGGCCTTCAAGAGCTTTTGTAGTTGCTTGGATAAGGCTTCGTTTTTGGCTAAGACTTCGTTCTTTGCTTCCACCATATTTTGTAAGTTGGTTCAGTGCTAAAAGAAGCGTTTTGTGAATTGCCGTAATCCTGCTGTCATGAAGGGTTTTCATCTTGGAGCGGAGCCTTTTGTGTAGATGTGAGACAAAGTTTCATTTGGTTTTGCATGGTTTTTTGACATTTTATTATCTAGGCAAAATGATATCAGGTTGCATGAGCCACGCACAGCAAATCCTGCTTTATAGAGATGAGGAAATAGTATACCATTATAGTACATACAAATAGCATTGAAACCTGCAAGCATTTGGAAACAAATATAAACTATACAGTCCAAATCTCTCATGAAGGAGGCCAGTAAATTAGATCTGCTAGAAACGCATATTAGTATACTAGCTTTACAGAAGTTTCATGTGCATTTATGGATAGGGTGACAACCGTGCGTTCTGTACGTCGAGATTCGTACTTTTATGACCAATCTGCATCTCAACCTTGTTGTATTTTGCCTACTTTTGAGCTGAAAGAAGTAATACAAGCACAATATTTGTCCGTAGGATTGTCCCTCTATTATAGACGTGAAGGATTGTAATAGAGCAAGATTCTCGAGTACGGCAAGGTTAGGGTAAGGATTATAGTTACCATATACTGTATAGTGATCCGAGTAAACTTCCACGTACAACAGCTCTATCTCATGCGACCATGTCATATTGCTAAGGGCGAAGTATCAAGACATTTGCGTAGAAAAAGAGGTGGCCAACCTATACCATATTGTTCAAGTCCAAGCCTTGACCGCAAACTCAACATTATTCTGCATAAAACCTTCAAAACGCTTCGAGTTTGCACTGCAGTACTTTTGTAGGATCCTTTAACCAAGTAGTTATTAAAATTTACAAGTAAAATGTAATGGAAATGTGATATTTTACAATGAGATGCATAAACTAGGATGAAAATAAAGGCTCTAATTTAAAAATGTGCTGGTATTCTGTTCTAAATGGATGTGTTATCAAGCCAAAAATCTCTGGCGCAATTGGATTTGTGTTGCTAAACGACGAGGTTAATAAGCGTGCATTATCACCAACAACCACTTGCACTAGCTTTCCCTACACAAAATAACACGAGTGTCAATGCCTTGTTGCATGCGATATATCTAATAAAAAAGCACGTACTGTCTCGACATGTCGGATCTCTATGAATCTATGATCAAATGCCAATACATAAGGGAAACGGTACGCCACAGCATGAGGGTGGCCTTCCCATTCAATCCTAAAATGCCATTCGGTCAGCATCGCTTTCCATCACTCACCATGTATACATACACATACCTTTTAAACCTTTTCACGTAATCACCATGTGTAGTAATCAAAAAAGCGAATTGATCGTAGCACATCAAGAAATTGTCTTTGCATTTGAACATGTTGAGAGGTTTGGCATCTGAAGTAGCAACAAAATTGAAATCACGATGCTCTAAATCTGGCAGATTTGGCTTGACTTCACTCAGGTGGTCTAGATCAATGACTTCAAAACCACGACTACATGCCACGAGAACCTTGGATTTCAAAAAGTGAACCGCCACAGACATTGTGCCAATGTAAAACTCCTGTTTTGTTGCATTAATATCTCTATGGATGCTAGATGACAGTATGTACTTACCTTGTATATCTTGAACCATGCTGGTGGAAGTTTGCTCATAAACGAAGACTTTTTCGTCACCAGATATTTAGCATTTCTAGACTCATTCAGATCCCCACAAATTGGCTCGTATGCTTTGAAATGACTGTCAGGTCCCTTTCTCTTCATGGTCACTACCAGCGTTCTTCCATTACATGTCCCTGAGTTGAAAAAGGAGACATGATTTGCCAATACGCGAAAATGGACGGTGCTTTTGGTGGAAGATGGGGAAATGTAGGATGGCGATGTAGGGTCCAGCTGCACCAAAGGATATGCTGTCAGCACCTTGTCTATGATACATTGATACATTAGTCAAAACAACACATGGATACACGCTCACGCAAAGAACAATTACCAGCCAATACCAAGAGTATATTCTGCAATTCTAGTACACCGATCTGTGCCACATCATTTACCATCAAGACTCTTGTCAAGCCATTTGTATCACCTTCCTTTCCCATCCAAATGCCTTGCTGGGTGCCAAGAACCACCATTTTTGCTCCGTTACTTGCGACTATTTATGGCATACTGATTAGCATCTCCATGATGCTATCATCAATGACTATAGATACATACCAAAAGGTGCTATGCATGTCACCTTGCCATAGTTATTCACGCTGCCTGACAATGCAAATTTAGTATCACTGATGGTAGACACCTTGAACGCATTATCTGGCTCTTGCTTGATGACTAGATCAGTTTGAGCTCTGATAATCTTTTGTTTCCAAACCAGCCTTGAACTTGGCGTTTCAGTATACAGAATGTATTCGCCACCATGTCTGCCTAAATGTCGAATATTGAGGGAAGACTGGTTGATGTACTGCGAGTTGGGTGTCAACACTGCTGTCGCTGAATCTTCAGACATGGCTGCAGATGCTGGTGTCAATGGTGACGAAGCAGTTGAGGGTATCAAGGAGGACACACTGGCACAAGTTCCTTTGGTGGCGCTGTTTGATCGAAACGTGCTAAAGATGAAATTCTCAGCAACATCATTGACGACCAACATATTCAGCGGTATTGGGTTTTTGGAAACAACATAATGCTCTACTATGGAGGCTCCGCTCTTTTTCGGCTTGGTCATGAGGAGCAAATGATCAAACAAAAACACATGCAAATCAATCGACTCGACTACCAGATGGGAGCGACGCTTCAAGGGCCCCTCATAGATCAGTCGACGTCCAGGGTTTAGCAGCTCCAAATTGTACGGCGTATGATTTGGCTTGAACAGAATCTTGTCGTTGATTTCTCGAATGCGCAACATTTTCTTGGCTTCCACTGTCAAACTATCCACTGTGGCAGCCACCGCCTTCATACGGTCGATGCATTTGGTAAGCGTCTGCCTTTCAAATTCTACGTTTGTTCTCTTGAGAATAGCGTCCAACAGTAACGGATATCGTTGCAAGCGGGTAATGGGCAAGATGATGAAATGTCGAAACGGCAGCTTGCGAGTCTCAGCTTGCTTTTCCTTTTCCCGTATAAAGTTTTGGAACAAAATGTTGCTTGCAGCTTCTCTTTTCGCTGCATATTCCGCCATGATGAAATGGGGTCCGTATTGTGTGTAAGCGTGCATAAAGTGATCGACATGACGAAGCACAATGCTGCCAATTTCATCGACAAAGCCTATATTCCCGCCTATTTCTTGACTCGCCAATTGATGGTCTCTCAGCTCGCGATACATGTTGCGATGAATGTCTGCTATCTCCATGTAATTTCCAAACAGCTCGTTGCAAAAGTCTTTTCGTCGATCGAATTCTATGCATTGCGCTCTCAAAAGCGGTTGTGCAAATAACTATAAACCATCGTAATATTCGTAAGGGGGGGGGGGAGGATGTGTGATTTATAGGCCAATTAGCGCTGTCATGCCACTTACCTCATCGAGAAGGTTGAGGTCTCGAACATAGTCTTCTTCGGTGTAAATGAGTTCGTAGATGGCTTCCTGCCGCTTCATTTCCTTGGCGGGCGTCTTTTGTAGTGTTTCCTTGGATACTGTGTTTGACCAACATCTGGACACCAACTACACATCATGCAGACAGTGTCAAGGACTTTTCTTTACTTGATTGTGACACACTGGACTTACCGTATCTTGAGAAGATGCCATGGACGATGTCAATGAAATATTTCTCTGCAATTCCTTCTACCATTCACAGCCATGAGTCAAGCCACTACATACTTTCATAAAACGCACTTACATTGATAATGTTTGATTTCGTCAAGAGTTGCAAACCTCTGTTTGGACATGTAGGAGCATAGCACCCGCTGGACACTCCCTTGACACAAAACGGTGTGTAACAATCCACCAACGGCATGATCAAGGACTGTGCAAATGCTTCATTTTCACTCGACTCGTTCAATGTGTACGCTTCCTTGGATGAATCGTACAAGGTGTTGTTTTTCAATGACCTGTCAGAGTAAGCGATGGGCGAGAATAAAGCTGGTTTCTCCATCTGCATCAACAGTCGAGCCAGGTTCCGATACTCTTTTCTGCTCCAATCAAGGCCAATGATCAAAATGAGGATGTTCACTGCCTCCTCACCGGTAAAACTCTTGGGATATTCCGTTGAACAAAATATGTTTCTAGATGCCACCAAGACATTGACTCTTTGTACAAATTGCCTAGACAGTTCTGATAACAGTGCTATGGATGGCCTGTCTTTGTCGTGATGGCATTGGTCTTCTGATGATGACATTTGTGTAGTGGTAGCGGTCGAAGCTGTGGTGGTAGAGGAGCTATTGCTGCTGCCGTCCATATCGTCCATGATGACACCCGCTATCTTGAAGCTGAAAGAAGGCTGTTTGGTAGTGTGCTTTCTATTGGCTTTGGATGCTGTTGTAGTCTAAATTTATAGATTAATATTAGTGCTAATTGAATTGGATGTTATTTGACTCACAGCGACAGCAGCAGGTGGAGAAGCAGCAGCAGGTGGAGAAGCAGCAGCAGCAGCAGCAGCAGAAGCAGCAGCGACTTCTTTGTCTAATTCCTTCATGTAGAGATCCAGGTCCTTGTACAGAGTTTCCAGCGAAGGGCTATCACCAATGTCTTTGGAGGCAGGCGCAAGTGTAGGCATATATTGCGAAATTAAAAAAGAAGCAAAGGAAAGAGAGAGATGCAAAAGAATGGCAAGTTTTAGATTCCATTTAAGCTCATACAAATGTGTAACAGAAGCGCCACTTGGTTCACTATAATAACTTACATTTAGCTTTTACAATTGCAAGGCCTTCTTTTTGAAAGAGTCCAAATATAAAGACATCCGTTTTTGCTGGCCGTTTATTGAATGCTTCCTAACCACATGGCTTTGAGTTTCTTTTGATGTGATGATGACAGCAGAATGCAAAAACCAGCAGAAACGATCCATGGCATGAAAGCGTCTTTCTATATTGCAGTTATTGCTCGATGGAGCCGCTCTTTTGTGGTCAAGTGTATCCAAGTTGCTTTGTGGCTTCGTCTTTATGACATGCATGGTGTGTACAGATTAGTAGCATTTGCCTTGGGATGCTGTCAATGACACATTACATAAAACGCGGTAATTCAATTCGTCTATCTATCATTACATTCACTACAACCACATTTTCATTTCACAATGCTTTTCTTCTAGTTGGTCGCCATAACACCACGCTATGAGGTTTTATCTGACATTCACTTTGACTCTAATAGCAAATCTACTGTCGCTTTCTTATGCCTACATTACAGACATCAAGGCTGTCTCTTGCGATCTCAATCACGCTTGTGCCAACTATCCAGGATACTACAAAATACCTACTGATTTGAATCAAGGTGTCGACGGTGCTAGTTCCGTCTTTTTACACTACAAAGAAGATGCCACTCAGGAGCCGATCACTGAACTACAGATAGTGCAAGGAACCAACCACTCTCATATACCCAACCTTGCCAAGTGGAACAAGATCAATGTCGACCTCAACTTGAGATTAGATGTTGCAGAAGCAGGAGACGACAAATCCCTGTGGCTCTACTACACAAAGGACACATCCATATCGAATAACCCAGTAACATCTATCATTGTGAAGCAAGGCACCAGCCCATTCGTTTCAGCAGAATACAGACGCATTCCAGTGGATTTGAATCAAGATGTCGGTGGATTTCATCTGTACATGTATTATAGTCAAGACAAGGCCAAAAGTGGGTGTAAATGTGCAACAACATGTTGTCAGCGTAACTCATGATGGCATAGATCCAATCACTGCAATTACTGCCAAACAATGCTTCACCAGTAACTGCTTCTTGGATGTAAGTTTTATAGTTTTCAATTTATCAATCGGGCCACTAATGGACGATACAGGGTTGGGAAAGAGTGGAAAAGGACTTGAATAAAGGTGTTGTTGTCGGTATGAGCGTATACTTGTTCTACAAGAGAGAGCCCAAGGAGGATCCTGTGACAGAGTAAGTGACATGTGTTGCATGTATGCAACTAAAAGATAGCTGGTATTTATTTTGCGATCAGTGTGGTAGTCATCCTCAATGAACAAACATCTCCTCAGGGGTACACCAAAGTGGATGTCAATCTCAACTCCATTCTTCGTGGCGATGCTATCTATCTATGGTATAGAACAACACCACCCAACCCAGATGTATTAAGAGATGCGATACAAGAATTAGCAATCGAGTTTGGCAAATATGCTGTGACACCTTATGGATGGTCCAAGATCAAGGTGGATTTGAACAGTGCAAAAGACGGTAAAGAAGGATTTGGCGAGCCTACATTTTTGTACTTTAGAAAAGGGTATAAAGGTAATGTGTACATGTACAGTCTGTAGACGAGTTTGAGAGAGAGAGAGAGAGAGAGAGAGAGAGAGAGAGAGAATGGCATCATCTCATTGATGATATGACACTACTAGAGCTACCAAAAATGAAGCCATTGTCATTCAACGAAAATGGCGAATTCAAGATATTGCAACTAGCTGATCTCCACTTTACCAACGAAGAGGGAACCTGCCGAGATATACCAGTAGATGTAAATAGTATAGACGTCTAGTGGACACTGGACTAATCCACTGCCTTGTTTAGATGGATTGCAAGGGAGACGCTACTACTATCGAGTATGTGGAAAAGCTACTGGACCGAGAAAAGCCAGATTTTGTCGTATTCTCTGGAGATAATATCAATGGTGGTAGCGTGAGTGATGCCAGGGCTGCTACATTCAAATTTGCTGAGCCTGTTGTGAGGCGAAAGATACCGTGGGCTGTTGTATTTGGCAATCATGATGATGAAAATGATCTCACCAGAGAAGAACTGCTACAAGTCATGAGACGGATGCCTTACTCGTTAACGGAGAGAGGTCCAGTGGATCTTCCAGGCATTGGCAACTACATACTCAAGGTGTTTACAGACACCACAAAAGCAGCGTAAGTCAGGGCCAGCGTCGTTTCAAGAACATCCGATTAACACAGACTGCTTACTGCATAGCACACATGCTTTCACCATGTATTTTCTGGATTCGCATGCCTATCCTGAAAGCGATGATCAAGACGGATATGATTTTATCAAGTCTGAGCAGCTGGATTGGATCATACAGTCTGCTTCTACTTTTAACAAGCTCCCAAGCAAGCCCAATGCAGCTGCCTTCTTCCATATTCCTATTTGGTAAGCATTGCGCATGCAGGATCCCATGCTGAAGCTTAACTGCTTTCTATAGGGACTACCATGAAGAGAGCAATACCAATAAACCAGTTGCGAAATTGGGCGATGCTCGAGAACAGGTATCTAGTTCCAAAAAGAACAAAATTTCTGCTCTGGAAGCGTTCAAAACAGGTGAGCGAGTGGACGGATGGGAATGTGCTTTTACTAATACGGTGTCTATAGCTGGCGATATCAAAGTGACATCCTGGTATAGTATATCATTTATATAAATCAAGCATTGGCTGACTTTCTTGTATATAGTGGACATAATCATGTCAATGATTACTGTCTGGAGAAGGAAGGCATTCAATTATGTTATGCTGGTGGTGCTGGTTTTGGCGCTTATGGTGCTGAACATCTAGGTTGGCCCAGAAGAGCCCGTGTGTTTATGATCAGTGATTTTGGAAACACCATACAAACTTGGAAGAGAACATTCAAGGATAATTTGCCTATGATACATTTCCAAACGATTTATTCTGCATAAATTTATCTTTATTGTTTCCACTTATTGATAGAATCCACAATATGGCCAAAAGAACTCAACAGTTGGTCTCTGTATCTAAGACCCACAAAAGTAGCAGCAGCCGTTGCAGTGACAACAGTGGTGGACACCATGGCTACATTGAGCCAATGAGTTTGGCGGTGCCAACGATCAATGGCCTTTGAATAAGGGAGTGTAGAGAAGCTGACCATGGTATACAATGGAATGATCACACGAGGGAACACAGCATGAATAGCGCCTTCCAATTTCTTTCTGGCCAAGAATCTATAAGAGGTCACTGCATGTCTCATTTCATAGTAGTTGTACATGGCCAAATCGCAGATAGCATGTGCATCCTTCACACGTATGCTGGAATAGTTGTCCAAGGCCTTTTCCAAGCCGTCAATCACACCCTCCTTGTTAAGTTGAGGCTGGATGCCATGCTGGTCCAGGATCTGGTGCAATACTTCCACATCTTGGAAGCCGCAGTTCATGCCTTGTCCGTAGAATGGCACCATCGCATGAGCAGCATCGCCGATGATGATGGATTTATCCTTGTAGTTGTGGGGGGATGCCTTGACAGTGACCAAGGAGCCACGAGGGTTGCCAAAAAAGTCAGATTTCAAAGCTGCCTCGCCAATAAGTGGGATGGAGTCATTGAAATGCTCTTGGAAAAAGGACAATAGTTGATCCTCTGTCTTGATATCCTCAAACATCTGAAAAGGCATGAATAAAGTGCAGGTAAAGGAGAAATCAGGGTTGGGCAATGCGATCAACATAAAGGTATGTCTGGGCCAAATGTGCAAATGGTTGGGATCCAGTGCAAAAGTAGGCTTGCCATCAGGTCCTGTAGCAGGAGGCATGGAGAGTTCGCAGTAGCCAGTATCAATGTACTGCTGATTGTAGTCCATTCTCATACAGCGCATCATCTGTGTTCTGGTCTTGGAGTAGGCACCATCAGCACCGATGATAAAGTCGACTTTGTACGTCTTTTTGCCCTCACTACCCATGCTATCAGTCTCCAGATCCCTTCATCTTTTCCCTGTATACGCTACCTGGTCATGAATTCAACGGTATTGTTGTCGAGATCAGCAGAAAGTAGTCTGTGTTCAAAGTAAACGGTAACATTGGCCAATGATTCAGCTTCGTCCAGCAAAAGTTCGTTCAATCTAGCTCTGTCGACAGCATTGATATGCTATTGCGTATACGGCCATGGTGAGCTGACGATGCATGGTGATGACGAAAAGCCCCTTACCTGTCCGTTGACATCGTACGCTTGAGACATTTGAGTTCCATTTTTCCCAATATGAACCATTCTCGCTTTCATAGGCACAGATGCCTCCAAGATGGTCTTTTCAAGGTTCAATCCAGTACCTCTCAATGCACTCAAACCTCTTTCTGAAAGAGCTAAATTGATGGACTTGCCTCTTCTACTTTCTCGGTGAATAGGAAGTCGCATATCTATCGTGGGAAATTAGTCAACACCCCATTTATACTATTTGAAAGTGGCAGAATGCTTACCGGGACGAAGCTCGTAAAGCTCGACTTTCCAGCCTCTTTGAGCAAAGTAAATTGCGTTTAATGCACCGACAAGACCTCCTCCTACAATACCTACAACGGCTTGCTTTTGCTGATGACTATTACCTGACATGGCTATTGAATGTGGAGTAAGTATGTGTGTGTGTGTGTGTGTGAGAGAGAGAGAGAAAGGGAGAAAGGTGATTTTAAATCCTGTTGTCCTTTTGTCTATCTGTACCTCCCCCCCCCCACTCACATTGCATTTCAGGCACCGCGTTCAGATGTAACTCTTTGTTAGATGGCGATTGTTATTACTCACAAGTATAACGATGATATAAGTATTTAGCCGACGATGCTCCTTGATATCTCGTTAATCTTTGTTTCATATCTGATGGCTAATTTGTTATGATGGAATATCGACCATACAATAAATTACCACTGATTATAGATTACTCATGAGTGGAATACGACGATTTAGCAAAAACCATCACTCCAATTCATGACGATTGAATGCAGATTACACATGCAGAGGCATTTAACTGGATTGAATGCATTCGAGAGCATTTGTTCAATCTCTGCTGACCCGTTCTGGGTGACAACCATGATAAGATGCGAATACGGTACTATGACACCACCTACTCTTTGTGCTTGTGATGCATTTGAAGCAGCCATCAAACTCGAAATACACCCAAGTGGATCAAGCAGCTAGACATCGACATCCCTAATAATGCCTCGAGACAAAAAAGTAAGTGATACAAACCGAGCAGCTCCGCGTACATTTCCAACCCATTACTTGTTTGAATTAAACATTCGTCATAGCTCTTCTTTTTATCTTATTACTATACTATCATCTCGAAAAAAAGTAGTCGACTGACAAGAGTCCTCTTTTACGCTTTTCCGCTTGTATTGTAGTTGTATCCATATAAAACAATGTCTTCACCCGCTGTCTACGATCTTACCAACGCTCCCATCACAGCTCATTCTTTCAACACGGACAGTAAGTAGCCCTATACATGGAAACCGTGTTTTTTCATACTAGTTTACTCACACAACATGCAGAGTTGGTTGTCTGTGAGAACACCAATGATGCCAAAATCTACCAATATGGCCAATCCAACTCCAAGTTGGAAGCTACCTTGAAGGGAGTAAGTACATCTGAATACCGTAAATTCATGCCAAGACGACTCACTCGCAATCACATAGCACGATAAAGTCATCACCAGCATTGATTTTGCTCCCAACACCAACCGTATTGTCACTTGTTCCCAAGACAGAAACGCCTATGTTTGGACCAACGAAGGTGGCATTTGGAAGCCTGGACTTGTGTTGTTGCGTATCAACCGTGCCGCCACTTTTGTTCGCTGGTCTCCTAATGAAGAAAAGTTTGCTGTTGCTAGTGGTGCCCGCTGTATTGCTGTCTGTTACTTTGAGGAGGACAATGACTGGTGGGGTAGTAAGCACTTGAAGAAGCCTATTCGCAGTACGGTCTTGTCCATCGACTGGCATCCCAACAATGTCTTGTTGGCTGCTGGTTCCGCTGATATGAAGGCTCGTGTCTTTTCATCTTTCATCAAGGGCCTCGATAAGAAACCTGCTCCTACCGGTTGGGGCGACAAGTTGCCCTTCAACACGCTATGTGGTGAGTTCAGTAGTGGCCGTGGTGGATGGGTTCATTCTGTTGCATTCTCTCCCTCTGGTGACGCTCTTGCCTTTGCAGGCCATGATTCCTCTGTCAATCTCGTTTATCCTCAAGCTGACGGTAACCACACTTTCTTGTCTATCACTGCCAACACACTGCCCTTCCGATCTCTGATCTGGACGAATGAGCAGCAAATTGTCGCAGCTGGTTTCGACTGTGCTCCTATTCTCTACGAGACCAAGGACGGACCTCAAGGATGGCATTATGCTGGCTCCCTTGATGTAGGTCGCAAGAAGATCTCACATACCGCCTCGGTTTTGTCTCGTTTCAAGACCATGGATTCTCGTGGTGAAGCAGAAAACGATACCACTTTGAACACTGTTCATCAAAACACCATCAATGAAATCCGTGTCTATGCTGGTGAACGTGACAATGTCACCAAATTCTCCACCTGTGGTGTAGATGGCAAGGTTGTCATCTGGGATTTCGAGCCTAGTCAACTCGTAGCCGATCTTTCCAGTCTTAAAATTTAATTAAAAAGGGTGTTCTACAAAGTGTATGACAACAACAAAAAAAATCTATTGTGTGGGTGGGTGTGAAATATCTAAAGGAAGGTGATGTGTATAGTGTAATTAAGATGTGAAATGAAGGGAAATCTATATTATTTAGCATGCATAATTTCTTTACATAGTTCATAAGAGTAAAATGTAACGCCCATGGCAGGTGCTACTTTGAGATAGTTGGGCAGTAATCCTCTATAGAGCGATTTGAATCCCTCTTTCTGTGCCATCGTCTTTAGCGCATGCCATGTGCCGTTGTACTTGTAGTCCATGCTGTTCATGCCACTCACTTGAAATCTGCGTCGCAGTACATCCAAGGGATATATGATGGTCTGAGCAATCGATCCAGCCAACGCACCGCAAAACAGCTTTCGAATGTTTCCGTGGTCTTCTTGTATAGGAATTAAATAATCTTTTAAGACTTCGTAACATTGGAAGTTAAGTGCAACATACGGAGCGACGCCCTAAAAAAAAAAAGATTGTATCAAATAAGAGTTAATGCATTGCACTACAGTACTCAACACGCATCCACCCACCAGCGTCGTTGGCCATAGACCTCTATACAATCCACGCAAACCGCCCTCTGTTTTATAAATCAACTGGACAGTAGACACAATGCCTGGTAACTTTACTGGTACATTGCTATTGGTGCTGATAGAGAGCGATGCAGACTGGATGGATAATCGAGTGCGGACAAGGTCTAATGGGTAGGTACATGCTACCGAAACAACGCCAGATAACCCACCAGCTACAAGTCGTCTTGGGGTATCTAACTCTGATTTTCCTGGCTCCATCAATGCTGATTTGAACTGCTCATAGGCTGCAAACTGCGATGCGCTGTACGGGATCATACGAATGACATTGGTGCCATTTCCTCTCATAAAACCTCGCCATCCTTCTTCCTTCCACATGCGGCCCAATGTCGACCATACGCCAGTGTAAGCAGGCATATTGGGGCCTTGTACCTGAATTTTTTATAATAGTTAGTGCCTGTCATCCTTTTTTATATATAAAAATGGGCGCATGAAAGTGATCCATGTGATATCAAATGATATTCATTACCTGAAATAGGATTTTCATTCTTTCCATTGGACTCACAACAGTACGAGATACCGCACCAGCAACACCACCTGCAATCAAGTGTTTCATTGTATCAGAGGTCAGCATATCGATAGTCTTGTCGTATAATTTAGGCTCTCTGTAGCTGGTTGAAGATGACGACGGAACCGACAAAGTATGAGTAACCATTATATTCATGATTTTTCCGAGGTGTTCCGACTTGAGATCATTTTCTGTTATTTCATGTCTATCCAGCAGTGAAGCAAACTCTGAAAATGCAATTGATGTCTCGTCTCCCACTTGATCCAACAGCGTATTCTGTAGAGTCCATGGTCTGAATTAAGCGCTGTATTTAATCCAGTTTTGCATGTAGATAATTACCGCATTCTCGCTTGCCAGTAAATGTGATACTGCTTTCATATCATGTACATCAATGTATCCATCTTGATTCTGATCGAGCAAACCAAATAATTGATGAATACTCCAACTATTCGAATTCATTCTTTATCTCTTGTCTGTGTGTCCTCTATTTATCAAGTCAAGGTAGCAAAGGGGATAATCAAGCTGGAAAGAAATGTTAAAAAAAAAAAAAAAAAAAAAGAAGAGGCTCTTGTTTTTCAATCATCGAGGCAAGTGTTAAGGGGGGTGTGTTTGATGTGCAAAATGAGTGTGATTGGATCTAAATCGGCGACCTAATAGCCCATCTGTACTTTGAAATAGCCATTAGTGATGAAGTTTCATTGACGGGAATTAGTTTACTCATTGTGTGTGTATCAATCAGGCGATTGGCTATTAACAAGCTTGTATGAATATGAAACAGCATCAATGTCTGAAAGCGCCAATACCCCCCCCCCCCACAATTTATTATCTCCACTTGTCGTATCGTCATTTCCGTGATTTTATGACATTTCAGGGCAACCAGAGGAAAAATGGAAAACTTTATAGGATCATTAGAAAAAGTCTTTTTCCATACATGATATTATAGAAACAATGGAAAGCATTAGAATGGATCTTCATGAATATATATATATATATATATATATAATATGAACCGATAATGGCTCGATGGCCTCTTTCCCCTGCCTTTTCAATATACATACCATTTAATGATCAATCTTTATCAATTTATACGTAATACACGCTCTCATTTTCTACTGAATTGGAATCAACACACATCAAAAATATGTAAATTTATTTTATTATCAGTGCTCAACTTGATATTGCAGGTATTTATATGAACGTATTGTAAAAAGCCCTGCAAGTGCTAAATCATTTGTTTATATGATGCAGATCATCTTGATCATACGGGCACTGTATCACACTAGGCAATTGCCCTGTGATGGATCACTGAGACTTTACTTGATTGTACACGCGATACGCACATTGGTCTCCACCTTATTCAGCATTTATGTGCATATAGGAATTCCAATGCTGGATCAAAAAAGTCGTAGTTCAAAAAAAGCGTTGAAGAGGTAATTCATAAGCTCTGACAGTTTAAAGAGCGTGCTCTAACGGCTCTATTGAATACAGTTGGCAGTATGCTATCAAAGTCTTCTCTATTGCTTGGTTTCTATATGGAAACTATTTGGTGCTTTACAGCACAACAGTGACATGTGATTTGACAGCACCAAGTTTATTCAACCTGGCTTGCATTATCGTACTGTACGGCTATATCCTATTTGTTACCCCTCTCATCACTTTGTTCTTACAACATGTGTTGATACCTTGCATCATTGGTAAGTCTATCAATGGGAGTGTATTGCTCTACATAAGGCGCTCATCTATACAAAATACCAGACATCTTTCAGCTGCTGCACATCATTGAAAGAGATAATGGCGACGAACCTCTTTTCAATTGCTCAGGAGCATCCAACAAAGAAATAACAGAGCTACCAACGTATCGCCTTTTATCCACTGTACAAGATGAAAAGGCACCTTCGACGGGTTTCTTGGTTTGTCAGAGTGATGCTGACATCCCAGACATCTCAATCTCGAATCAAGACTGTATATGCGTTATATGTCTATCTCTCTACCAAGAGAATGATGTGTTATGTAAACTCTGGTAAGCGACATTTGTTTTCATGTGGCATCAGCTCTTATGACATCTTTTTTCACAGGTGTAAGCATTATTTCCACAAAAAATGTATCGCTGAGTGGTTAGTATTGAATGCTTTATGTCCATTGTGTAAGCGCGATTGTAGAGATCATGCAATCGCGCCTGCCACTTCAAGTCGCCTTCGTACAGAAGTGAAAGCTCCCACTTTGATGCTACCGCTTTAAAGTGAACTCTGAACGCTATCATGCGAAACAGCAATAAAACGAGGCATCCAAAAGTCAATTTGCTCGTTGCACCTTTCATAACCATTTAGTTACCCTTGATATATGTATATATATATATATTAAATTTACCACATTATCTAAACAGATTTGTATGGCATACGAGTCTTTATGTTTTGGATGGCTCTTTACTTTCGTTTTGCTTCGGTGAGAGCCAACCTGCGCAGCGGCAGCTCGCGCCACCGATTGCTCTTGTGTATCTTGTCAAAATACTACTACTTTCATTTTGGCCATCCACTTACACATGAGAACCCTTCATATTATCTGTGGATGTGTTTCTTATGTGGTACTTTACATTCATATACACGTAGCTACTTCAAATACGGACAAGCAGCAAGCTGGTATTTCCCCCTTTTTAGCCCTTAATGTGCCTAATACAGCAAAATCTGAATGCATTTGAACTGCGTTTTCTTGCGTTCAAGGCCGTTTTAGATGGCCAAAATAGCACCAAATAATTGCTCTCATCTAGCACTTACTTCCTGACACCTTTGCTCAACTTTTTGTGGACCAAAAAAACATGGCCAGAAATTGACCAAAAACCATGAGGTACTCCTCATGGTTTTCATTGAAAATCAAACGATTGCATTTTTCACCTTGATAACGAAGACTTTTACTATGGTATATCTTGAATCAAAATGTTTCTATCGATCCAACGTAACCTCTAAAATCATCTTTGTGGGGCTTTGATATGTAAAATCTCGACTTTCTGGCCAGAAACCTCTTTTCGAATTTTCATAATTTACTCAATAAGTTTTTTCAAATCATTTATTTTACTTGGCACCATTGGATGCGCCTTGAAAAGCACTCCAAGAAAGCTTAAAGGAGCATTTTTTTTTTTTTTTTTTTTTTTTTTTTTTTTTTTTGTAGGGGAGTCGAGCTCCAGGTTTTATTTAAAGTCCTTAAAATGTCATACTGAGGGAAAGAAAAGACTGTTGGTGGACCCAATGTCTGCAAAGAAGGGGAATAAGATATTTTTGAATTAAGTTGGGAAAGAAATCTACTACTAATAAGGTGCGACACCTAGAGCCAAAACAGTCTTGCGGAAATCGTCAAAATATAGATAATGGATAGAGTACAAAACACCAAACGAGGACATCAGTACTACTTCAAAAAATCAAACAACTTGCGTTCACCAGGATTTGAACCGGGATCCTCCCGTTGGCATACGGGAGTTCTACCACTTCGCCCTACCACCAGGGACAGCTTAAAGGAGCATAAGATGATCATCATATTTTACATAGTCGAATCTGGAAAAACAGTTGGATCAAGTCGAAAGATATCAAAATCTGTCCAATCTGAAGTAGACTGAAAGTCTGGGTTTGAATTCATTTTGGCTGGTGTGGCCATCTGGCAAATTCAATGCCCCCCTCTAACCATGAAGGCAATATAGTAATGGATGCTTTTGAAGCGTATGGAAGTAGGTGGCAAACTACGTAGCATAATTATTAGCCATTCTATTTTCCTTGTATTCTATATCTAATAACGCCAGTCTATCGAAATACTTGTTAGATCAGCTTCTTTCCTTTTTGAGGCTTTGAAAGTGTCTAGTAGTAGGACCATAAATGTATTATGTTACGATAAGCATTTCGGCTCCTCGGTTAGTTTCCACCAAAGCGAAGCAAAGATTAGGAAAACAACTTACGTTTAGGTGGCTCGCGCTGCTGTAGGCCTTTGGCTGATATTGCGAAATCAATAATAGCCAGAATGTTAGAAGAAACTTGATTGTTGATCGATAGTGATTTAATATAGAATCTTTAATCATATATGAGCCATGCCGGACAAATGCCTAGCAACTCAATTTTCATATTAGGATCGTAGAAGTGCCTAGGAACTGGCCATTTATTATGTTATGATATTAGAACTCTTTGTATGATGTATGATGGCAATAAGTAGTGCTAATGTATGTATTAGGTTGGCTATTGCGCTGGGTGACGATTTTGTATTTCGCATTTAAGTATGCCATTGACAGCATGTAATCATGTAAATCTGCACCTAAAAGCAAAAGAGAGTAATCAAGCCAAATTACAGTGCTTTTAATTCGCAACCCCCTTCTAATAAGCTTCAGAAATAGCGCCTCTCATCTTCATGAACAAAACTGGCTCTAATATTGCCAGCCAGCAGCCAAAATTGGTTTAATTCCCGCTCACCATTCTGCTTTGATTTGTTCAATTCTGAAGTTTTTGGACCCTTTTGGACCTATTTTGCAAGATTCGACTATGTAAATTGTGATGAACCTCGCATGGTTCCTAATGCATTTCTAAAGTACTCTTCAAGGCGCATCCTTTGGTGCTGCTTGAAATAAATGTTTTGAACAAGCTTATCAAGCAATTCTTAAAAATATAAAGTAACGATTTCGGTGAAAATGTAAAGATTTTGAATACAAAAGTGACACAAACAAAGTTTCAGGAGTTACCCTGGATCGATACAATCAGTTTGATCTAATATATGCCATAGTGAAAATCTTTATTTTGAGGGTCAAAAACGCGATCGTTTATTTTTTGATAAAAACCATGAGGTACTCCTCATGGTTTGGGTCGATTTTTGGCAATCCCAAAAAAGTCGAGCAAGGGTGTCAGAAAGTTAGTGCTAGATCAGAGCAACGGTGTGGTGCTGTTCTGGCGGTCTAAAACGGTCTATAACACGAAAAAAACACGGCTTAAATGCCCCTGAATTCCAGTGCAAGTTGCATGCGACTAAGCAGTAAGAAGCACTGCAAGTATACTATCTATCCGTATATGACTGATTCCCATTAACAGAAACAAAGAGCATTCTAGTACTGGTAGATCCACAGTTACAGGCCGTTTACGGAATGTCCTCACATAATGGCAAAAGACTAATAAGCAAATTTATGTGCATATACTAAGAGGATCCGTTTTCCTTCTGTGCTCTCATTTATTGTCCAGAGTTAGGCTATCACCTTGAATAATTAATTTGTGCAACTTGAATGCATGGATCGTGTACCTGTATCCATGAACTCTTGTGAAACCCTTTTTCTTGAATGAATCCTATCCAAATCGCTCAGCATCCAACCTATAAACGGTTAATATGGCAGTTTTTGAGTTGTTTAGTAGCTTCTGCAAACCATGAGTTACATTACTAAAGTAATATTGAAACTGTGAGCAGATGGAGCGTATACATGTGCCGAATAAAGTAGATGGCAACGCTTTGCGTGGCATTGACCATTCATTAATACAAACATTTGTACTAAACTTTTCTCTTGCGGACGTAAATCATCCGCCTGCTGTTGCACGAGTGTATATATTTGGCGGACCAAGATGCCAAAGATTGATATAGTAATCTACGTATGTAAAGGTATCTACAGATAAGCTATATACACATCAACGATGTGGTGATGCATACGACAGAACTTATTTTTATGTACGATATAATATGGAGTTTATGATTGCAGAATTATCTGGCCTTTCAAGAAAGCCCATGGCTCGTACGGTCGAAATGAGATTTGAAAGAGTCTCAGAACCAAGCTTCTGCTAGCCTAATGTATATGGTTTTGTATACACCCAAGATTCTGTTCTTGGGGTACCTTTACTGTCAACCCAATCATTTACCAGAAATGTCATAGCTATCAAACATGGATGGCCTGTATGCTGTTGTAGGTAATGGCCCGCCCAGTCCAGAAAAAAGCAGGAGGACTCAGGCCCACAGGCCGCGCCACACAAAATGCAAAAGACCACGTCAAGCAGAACTCAGGATGTCGACGGAAGTCAGCATAGTGTTAGGTTTGCTTTCTCCAATTCAAGCAGTAAATTAGGGCACGTTTGCATTGAAAATCAAGGGATATGTATTTCGCTCATGTATTGTCTGTGATTCCGTAAAGAGCAGTTATTGACTATGGCCTCCTTTTTTAACAGTAATTTGTATTATAGACTTTAGAGACACTTTACGTTCAATAAATCCCTACTTTTTTATCAAATTTAATAATTTTCGCATTCATTGATTTAGTACCACATTAGAAAAATGTCATGATTTCATCGTGGCGCACATAGATGAGGAGAATGGAAACCCAAACCATGTCGATTTTTAGGGAGGTTTTGATATACATTTTTCTATGGCTTTGTTGAATAGTAAAATGCACATTATTCCTTGATCTCTTTTGAAAGAGGAGAAACTTAATAAAAAGGAGATTTGCACATACACAACATGGGAAGTATAGGATTGATGCTGATATTAATGAGAGAGAGAGAAAGAGAGAGAGAGAGGGGAGGGGGTAGAGGTCACCTTTGTCATAAGCTTGTGACAGGCTGCCTCATTTGCGCTGCTAGTGTTGATGCTCTCATATGTTTGCTACTAATTTTGATGGATTCATTTATAGGTTGCCTAGAACTAAATTTAGATTTTCTTTTCATCTTTTCGTTGTTTCTTTTTCGCTCTCTCTTTTCCCTTTTTCTTTCTTACACATTTCTACAAGAAAACCAACATGGCCCGTCGACTTGCAGATAACATATTTCTCTTGACAACAATTGCAGGTGCTTTTGTAAGCTTTACGCCATTTAAGAAACAACTTGGAAAGCTTAAATACTCATTCCATGTGAATAGATTGCTTGGCTAATTGCATTTATTGGCGCTTGTATCTTTAGAAAAGGTGTTTCAGGTGGTGCCTGGTGGATTATTGTATACGAGCTCTTGTTGATTGTGGGTATCACTGCTGTATTAGTGACCAATACCTATGCCCATTATCGACTGATGGTACGTACAACTATGCCCTGAATTTCCGGAGCCTGATATTAACCTGTTGTTACTAGATTTTAACCTTCTTGGCAGCCAGTATTGCCATGCTGACCTTGCAGCTCGATTATGCTTTACCAACTTTCAAGTTTAGCTTTGGCTACAGAGGTGGTGCCGGTGCTTATGCTGCTGGATATATCATTCTCATCATGATTGAGGTATGCTTTAATTTGGAATGCAGTCATTTTCTGATAGAATAAGCTTTTCTTAACGTCATACCATTGTGATGTAGTTTTTGTGGGTCATTGTATTTGGTAGTGAGCCTGAAAGTTACGTTGGGAGATTCGCACCCGCACATTATGGCAATTCTGTAGGCATTGTTCATCATCAGCACACTCAACATCAACCACAACCTTACGAGATGACAGGTGACAAGACAGTCTTGACCGACTCAGCAGCAGCAGGCGGAGCACATTTTGGTAGTGTAAGCAGTTATCCAACCAATACAACAAACAATCATGTATCCTCTCCTCCCCTTGCACATCCTGCCACAACGGCTTCTGCACAACAAGCAAACACTAGTTTGGAGGCTGCTCAGCCGACCATGGAATACAAAGAAAAGGTCCAAGCATTACATGCCTGTAAGTTGAATAAGGGTACAGTAATTCATTGTACATTAATTAACACGATGATAGATCAAGCAAACCCTGACGATCCAAATGAATTGAGTTTTGCTAAAGGAGAGACCCTTGACATCGTGGATAGAAATGGCAATTGGTGGCAGGCCAGAAAAGCTGATGGATCCGTTGGCATTATTCCTAGCAACTATGTAAGACGCTGATCTGTGATTTGATATTAAAGGTGTAGTAAGCTAATTTGCATCATCTTGTAGTTTGGTTCATCCGCCTAAACAAGTCATTACTAACTACCATTTACTGAATCAAGACGCACAACACACATTTGCATCAATATATCTGTCTCTCCCTTCTTCCTAATCTAATGTATAATCAAATCAACCAACTACTTTTTCTACAGCAATAAATGTATTTCCTTATCCTCCCTCCTTCTTGACTTTTTCGCATATTAGAGTTAAAAAAAAAAAACTGCAGAGTAACGAAATGTGAACTCACCATCATGGTGAATGCAAAAATATTTTTTTTTGACTGTTATCAATGTAATTAGTGTCACCTCCTGAAATTAATGTTATTGAACAATGTATGTACTCAGAACTATGCTGCTACTACTTAGCATCTGCATGAAGTGTGATGACAAAAGATGCTTTTGATCCGCCTCTTGTATGACTCATCAATCAGCACATGTAGGGATGCGATCAGCCATCTAGCAATCGTTAAGCATTTCTTAATGCCTGTAATATGATCACGTAAATCGCTCACTCCATGGGTGACTCTGATCCTCGAAATTGAAAACGCTACTAGCAATTTTGGCTCATGTACATGTTGATCACTAATGTCATGTGCAGGTATGACAAAACGAGAACAGTAAACGGATGAGCGACTATGAGTTTCTTTATATTATTTATGATGCAAGTGATGTGTAGGCAGTGTCAGACGAACCATGCTGGTAGACGTATTTATCAGTAGCGTTTGGCTATGTCTACTCTTATAAGATCGACATACATACGCAGTGGATCTGGTTCATTACACAGAGAGGGCTCAGCAGTTTACCATTGGTGTCTGAAACAAGAAAGTATGACAAACTAAAGCAAACCTGCATCTATAAAAATACAGGCCGCTCAGTTGTTTTAATTTCTCTATTTTTCTCGACACGAACACTACTTTACAATAACCAAAATGAACATCTTCTCAAGAGACAAGAAGGAAAAGGGCGGCGAAGATAACGATGCAGGTTCTGATTCTGGATCTGTGGTCTTGATGGAAGGACATAACTTTAATCGCAATGATATCCTGATCTGTGCTACTAATGGAAAACTCTACGCAATTCACAAGAAAGATGGATCACGCTTATGGCGATCCAAATACCCCACAGGCGCTTACGGCGGTATTGTATCTTTGTTTGTCACAGATACCGACAAACTGCTGGCAGGTGCTCAAGGAAAAACAGCCTGTATCGACATGATGACGGGAGAAGCACTTTGGGTGAACAAGATGCCAGTAGGTTGGAGCTGATCAATTGAAAAGCACATGTATTTAATCAGATATCAGGGTTTTGGCATTGAAGAAGTATCGATTTTAACCACACCCAGTCGGTTCCTATCACCAAAGAAGCATCCCAATGATATCGCCACCGCAGCCTCGCATCATGACCAGGACGAGCTACCACCACCGGGTTATGACCAGGAAGGGACGCAAGACAAAGCTGTTGTCATTGCATGTAGCCGAGGAAAAGTGATGGGCATCGATATTGATACAGGAGACACGCTATGGGTATACAAATGCCCAGGTGGCGGTTTCAACATTCCTGTGTCTATCGTTGAGCCGCCCAGTCTGGAGGATGACAGGCCACACCAATTAGTCTATGTGGGTTCTGGTAAATGGGTCTACTGTCTCAAGGCCAATACGGGTGATGTTGTCTGGAGTGCCAAGGTGTCGAATGCACACTGGGGATATAGCTACATGACATTGGCAACACCTTGGAGCTCTCGGCTTGCTGCAGAGGCATACTCTGCGTTCAGTCAAAATCCATCTGCTCAAACAAGAGACAGAATCCGCCAACAAGAGAATTCTCAGTAACCAAGTTAAGCTGGTGGTACATCTTTTAAGGCGCCAATCGAAAAACTAATGTGTTCGCCCTGGATCAATTATACCACCTTGCAAAATAAATGCTGGTGCACAGAAAGCTTATTTCTTTCGTTCATCTTTAATCTACTGCAATTATTAAACTAGCTCTTTTTTTTTATTGCGAGTTTCTCCTATTCTATTAAATACTGCCTTTTCATTGGGATAAACCATCTCTTGCTTGTATAAACCTCGGTCATCCTACATCAACATATTTCGTTCCAGTTGCATATTGTGTAAAAAGTATGAACAGCGAGACGCAAAAGACGCCATCTATAGCCATCATAGGGTCAGGGTAAATCAGATGCATTTTTGGTGGCTCGATTACAGTAGAATACAACTAAATCTTATCAGCATAAGTGGCATTTGTGCTTTTATCCAGATACAGAAACAACTTGGCATTACAGCGCAAGTATACGAAATGAACAAGGATGTCGGTGGCACTTGGCTGAACAATACATATCCCAACTGTCGATGTGATGTAACGAGCCATATGTACTCGTATAGCTTTGAGATGAACCCTAGTAGGTGCACTATGTGTTGCTGATTGTACCACTCATATTTAACAAAACACACATCATACCTAGACTGGTCGCAAACCTTTAGTACACAGCCTGAAATCCTTCAGTATCTCAAAGACGTAGCTCAAAAGCACACCATGCTTCCACATGTACAATTCAAAACAAAAGTGACACATGCTGTATGGCAGCAAGATCGGGAGCAATGGCAATTGAAAGTACTTGATTTAACGAGCAGTACGACACACATTGTGAATTACGATATCATATTCTCGGCTATGGGGACGCTGCGAATTCCCAATATACCCAGTTTGTACAAGAAATTTACAGGGCCTCTTATGCACACAGCTAAGTGGGATGGATCAATTGATTTAAAAGGCAAGCGATTGGCATTGATAGGCAGTGGAGCAAGGTTTGTGCCCATTGAAATAACTATGACTAGTCTCGTGGTACTCATACAAATGCCAATAGTGCCGTGCAAGTCATACCCCATCTCGCTATAGAGTCAAGCCAATTGATATCGTACCAAAGAACTTCGCCCTGGGTAGTGCCACAAATCATCTCAACCATATCGGACGGCACCAAGCAAATGCTTTCCAATTATCCGATACTGATGCTCATGTACCGCTGTATACTCTTCATCCTTGTACGTAATCTCAAGCTTAGAATGGATAACCAGCAATAACTTTTAGAATAGTATGATCTTCTCTACATATTACTGGGTTATCCCAACTCGTTTCTGACAAGATATTTCGAGAAGAAAGTTGCAACTGATAACAAGGAGACGATCCTAGGACTCGGCAGACCCGACCTGGTAGACGAGGTATTGCCAACATACCCATTGGGATGTAAACGCGGTGCATTTTCCACAAATTACTATCAAACCCTGGCTCAACCTCATGTCAGAGTGACCAAAGATCCTATTGTGGATATTCAAGACAGGCACATCATCACAGAAGATGGCACATCAGTTCAGGTAGATGTGATCGTGTTGGCTACTGGTTTCCAGACGCATGACGGCATGCTAGGTGACATTTCGAGTAAGTCTTTCTACTAAAAGCGCTACTGTTGGTTACTAATAGCAAACTAGTTGTCGGTAAGCACGGCCAATCCTTACGTGAGATGTGGAAGGAGCAGAGACCCCAGCTTTTCAAATCAACTACTATCCACGGATTCCCCAACTTGTTCATGCTGCTTGGTCCGTATTCCGTCCTGGGCCATCATTCACTTGTATTCATGGTTGAAACGTAAATAATCCTTCCAATTAAGAAAAGCCTTGAGTATGGCAATTAACACCACTCATTTTTGATAGGCAAGTTGCTTATGCCATCCGCTGTATCAAGGAGCTGACATTGATCGAACCTAAAAAGTCGGCACAAGACGACTACATGGCTCGCATCGTCGCCAATTTTCAAGGCACGTCCTGGCTATTATCCTGCACCTCGTGGTACAAGAACGACAAGGGCGAAATCATCAACTTGTATCCTAGTTCTGCCACCAAGTTCAAATGGGAGTTGAGTCGGTTCAACAAGCAAGACTATACTCGACATGATGAAACAATGATACTTGCCGGTCGTACGGATCCAAACTAATATATATATAAAAAAAAGCCTTAAAAAGGAGTATTCTCGATGATTGTTTTGTTGTATCAGGATTGACATGGTTTTTAAACAGAGATGAGGGGTTATGGGGGGGGGGGGCTTTTTCTCTCTTTTCTCTCTTTTCTCTCTTTTTGTTTCTATTCCAACAAAACAAAATGATAAATCCATTGACTGGGTTTCTAAGCAGTGCCATAGGTCTGCCAGAGCCTACGCTTCGATTACTATCTACTGTCTTGTTGGGCTATGGGGCAGCCTATGCGTACAAGCAAAAATTCTCGGATAAAGCAACAACAGGCAAATCTAATGCCTCTGCCGCACAACGCACACAATACCTACTCTGCTGGGGATTAGGCCTCAATTTCTTCTTCAACATGCTTAGCATCTATCACAGTTTGGCTACAGTAGGCGTTAGTTACGGTATTTGTCTTGTCGTGGGGGAGCAGATGAAGGATCGCAAATTGGCTGCTGCTGGTGTTTGGATCTTTAACGCCGTCTATTTGCTGCTCGGTTACTATTACATGCAGACAGACGACTACGATATTACATGGACCATGACACAGTGTATCCTGTGCTTGCGTATGATGGGCTTTGGATTCGATTATTACGATGGACGCAAATTAGTGCCTGTTGCAGGCCCTCCCTCACAAACCGAGCTCAAAACGATGCCCAAGGAAGAACTTAATAAGGCCGCCATCAGAGAAACTGCCAACAAGAAGCCGCCTGCTGTTTTACCCTTGTCCTTTTTGGCAGATACACCACTTGTGCAATTACCAAGCTTCGTTGACATGCTTGCGTATGCCATGTTTCCCTCTGCTTTCTTGGTAGGGCCTCAATTCTCTTTCTCGTTATTCAAAAAGTGGATCAATCACAATGATCGGGATGTGTTGACAAGCGAGCAAAAGGATGAACGGGATCGTGCGCAGACCTTGTATGTTTGGCGTTGTGTGGTGTTGGCCATCATCTATTTGGGTGCTCAACAAACAATTGGTGCTAAATACTCGACTTCTTACTTGCTGACCGAGGAATACAGCGGATTGCCATTGTGGCAGAGATTATTGATCTTTCCCATTGCTGGAAAATTCGCATATGTAAAGTATATCGGCATTTGGTTATTGACAGAAGGTTCGTATTCCAATAACACAAAGGGGAGAAGGGGGAGGGATGTGTGATACAAATATAAGGTTTTTTTGGGTTATTGGGGATTAACACCCGGCTATTTTCAGGTGCTTCTGCATCATTTGGTATTTCATATGAAGGAAATAACGAGGAAGGTCATGCTCTCTTTGGTGGATTAGCAAACGCACTGCCCGATACCTTTGAAACTGCCACTTCCATTGATCATGTCATTGCTGCATTCAACATCAATACTAACCTCTGGAGCAAGTACTATGTGTTCAAGCGTCTCAAGTTCCTCGGTAGCAAGGAGGCATCTCAGTTTGGTACTTTGGCTTTCTTGGCCATCTGGCACGGTTTCCATGCCATGTACTTTATTACCTTTTTGTTGGAATTCCTCTACGTTCAATGTGAACTTGTGCTTCGTAAACGTCTTGTGCCTGTTGTGCAACCCTATACCAAAAAGAACGATATCTATTACAAGGTCTGGAAGTTCACTGCTTGGGTCACTTGTCAGTTGTGTATCACCTATGCAGTGGTTGGCTTCGAGTTATTGAGCTTAAAGAAGTCTTTCATTGCTTACAAGAATGTCTATTTCCTTGGCCATATTGCTATCGTCGTGATTCTCGGCGGAAACATGCTCTTGCCCAAGCCCATGTCTCTCAAGAAGAAAAGTCAGTAGATATTCCACCTTTTAGATAATGGCGATGATGGGAGCAAAGTATGTAGAGCTTACTTCAGTGCCTACTAGTAGTATATATATATATATATTTAGAAAGAAGTAAAGCGTTGATTTTATTTAGTATTAGAAGAATCTCTTTAATCCCTTCTTTTTCTTCTTTTCCTTTTCTTCGGTATTGTTGGTTGATGTCGTGCTGCTGGTTTTGTCTGACAACGACAGGTTGGAACCTTTATGACTCAAATGAGACGATGAGCTATTGATATGCATATGCGACATCAAAGAAGCAGTTTTGCTCATGGAATCGCTTGATTTGGGTGTAATAGGTGTGGGTGGCACGTAAGGTGGAATCACTGATTTAGGCGTAGGCACTGGTAGTCTGAGATGACCTAAATGATCAATGAATGAAGAGGGACGCAGAATCTCGGTGGTGCCAATATAGACATCTCGATTGAATGCGTCTGCAATCTCGTATACGGATCGAATTTCGCTGTAAGTTGCACCGCCAATAACAAAAACAATCAATTTGGCACCATTGGATGTACGAGGAGACCCCTAATCGTCATGAAGAACATAAGATGCATGTCTCTACTGCTCACTTAAAACGCACTTACCATAGCGCCTCCATTGCCTGTCTTTTTCGACCATGTGGGTTTTGTTGTGCGAAGTGAAACACCACTAAGAGGAATGCCGCCCTGACCAGGCGCATGACCATGTCCACCGTCTTCAGATGGTTCCATGTCTGACTGTCTGGTGAATGCAAATTGTTTGGGGTCCAATATATTTGTCAAATGTGCCTATCGTGCGCCCATAGTGAGTCTGCGAACCCCTCGAATCCTCCTATCTACGACTTACATCCATCACCTTCTTAATGACAGGTACGTAACGAGACAGTTCATAAGGTGTTTCCTCATCCTTGTTCTTCTTTTGCCTTCTCTTTTTCAAAAACGATGATTTTTCTGGTTTACGAACACGAGTCAATTTGACACCAATCAGTGGTAGATTGTTGATAGCATCTCGTAACTCGCCCTTGAGTTTTGCGTGTTCTAGTAGTTTCTTTTTGTCGTCTTCAAAGATGCCGCCTTCTTTCCAGATAATGTATAGCATCAACAAACGGGCCTTATCCACAGGGCTAGAAACAATATATGAGTTTCAACGTGGTTCCTGTGCACAAACCTCGGTATTTACCTCACATGGGGATCGTCTAATAGTGGCACCATGTCGAGCACAATCGTCTTTGGGGTCTCTCCATCTGCTGTCTCGCCAGTAACCATATTTTGCTCCAAATTACCCACTGAATTCAGCTTGTGTCTTTCGAAAAAAGACATACACTCTTGCGCAATGCTCAAATGAGCCGAGTACTTGGCCTTCAAATCCTGATACTGAGGCAAATTGGTCAGCATTTCCTTCATCTCTTTCAAACTCTTTGCTGAATCCTTGGGCCCGGAACTTCTATCACTGTTTGCAATCCATCAGACACACTGCATCTTATATCTGCATTCACACTGAAGAACGTACCCTGAGTTGGCAGCCGCTTTGTTCTCTGCCAAGAATTCATTGAATTTCTCAATCAAACGATCTGAGCATTCAGCAATATGCATATGACGAATTGATTTATACACGTTGTCTTCTTCATCCAGTGTCACTTCTTTTGCGTCCAATGATCCATCTGCTTGATGATATTCGTACGAGTATTTGATGCCTTGATGGTTCTCTGTTTCCTCAACTGGCAATAAATCATTGATCATGGCTTGGTACGTAAATTCATGCAATAAGGGTGCTGCAGGGTCAATGGAACGATCGACAATCAATAGCGTTGCTCTTGGTTGAGGTGGTTGACGAGGAGGCTTCAGGACTGTGCGTTAGGCATATCTTTCTCTCCCTCTCAAGAATTCCAATGTCAGGACTTACTGGGAAATTGGGATTGAGTCTACAGAAATTATCCACTTCCTTTTGCACAATATGGGCTAGTTTTCCAGCGGGTGAGCCTTGAGGATGAATGCCACCTTCTGATTGTGATTGATATCTAATAATGGGGTCTTCACCCAAAGTTGCACATACAGAAAGTAGCTGTTTAAAGAAAATCAACACATGTTTTATTTTACCACACATTAGGAACTTACTTGTTTGGCGGTTGTCCTCAAAGAATCGTCAGGATTTGACATATGATCATCGCCAAAGACTGACAGGAAGCTAGTAATAGGATCTACGGTGAAAACAGCGGACTCCTTGACTGTTATGACATTTGTTAGAGCGTTGTTGACATTGGCGCATCTCACATAATCATACCCATAAAATCAACGTAGAGCTCCTTTAAACTCAAAATGTATTCAGACGCACCCGTTGATTTCAACCGTCTATTCAAATCGTCGAATAACTGATCATTTAAGCCTAAACTCCATGCGTGCCATCATCAATAGTTGCTCTAAACCTAATCGTTTCCTGCCTTACCACTTGTGAAATGCACATGGGCTGCTTTGTATGTGGGTGGTTTTGTTGAGAAATCATCGACAAGACGTAATATGGACTCTTTGCAAGGTGTCAAAAAGTAGATGGCTTCCAGAGTCGGATAAGGCTGTCTCTTTCGTTCGATATTCTCGACCACTGTGCAATCTACGTTAGTACAGCAAGTATGTCAAATGAATACAATCTACATACAGGTTACCTAATTGAATGCATTGTCAATAAACCTCTTACCACTGCGATTGCTGCACTTACATTCTCCTCTAAAATATCATACATCTTGCACGCAGCATTCAGAATTTGGTTGCTCTTGGAATCCACGACAATAATCTTCCATTTTCCCGGTGGCTGAATGGATCTGATGGAATCCATCAATCCTACAAAGCATTGATTACTATGACAATCCGCTTTTTGAGTGCGTTATAGACCTACGCTTTCGCATAATATCTGTGATGCTAGACATTATGTATATTCAATCTGTACAGAATGAGTGAGTTTCATGTCCTACTTTTTCGGTTTCTTGAGACAACTACCAAACCTATTTCTTTATTCCAAAGCGAATACAATAAAAAGGAGAAAAGAGGGAAAAAAAGAGCAAGGAAGGAGAAACAGAACCAAATATGCAATTTTTGAATTTCCACAAATTACTTTTGTAACACGCCTCCTAGAATGTTATCATGATGGCTTTCGTTTGTGCAAGTGGCGGGTTTTAACATATGATTTTGCTGCTGCGATGTGACACTTGAAGCAACATGGGCTTGTTTATCGCGTTTCATAAAGTTTCAAGTGATTCATATAAGATGTAACATTTGAGTACTTTCCTCTCTCTCTCTCTCTCTCTCTCTCTCTCTCTCTCTCTCTCTCTCTTTCTCCTCTACTCTTTTATTTTATATAAAATGTCTATTGTTACCATGGCAACCAAAGTTATGTCTCCGTCAAGTTATTCTTTTGAACCTCGATTAGGAGCCGGAAGAGAGTTCAATACATGTAGTCAACAAGCCAATGGTCCATATCATCGTGCCACTACCACCAGCACTGTGACAACAGCAGCACATTTGAAATCGACTTCATCATCCACATGTAGCAGTGCATTTGATGAAGATGAACAGGCCAAAAGAAACAAGCTTATCCAAGCTGCAACCAACCGATTGCGACAAAAACGTTTAGAAATCAAGCTCCAAGCCATGATGGCACAAGTCGTTGAGATGCAATGCCAGTTGGATATCATTAAATTGGAAACATCGACTTCACTGCAACTACTGCCCTCATCCAACATCTCGGAAACACAATTGTCCCATTTCGAAAAGAGACTTGCACAACATAGAGCAGATTTACAGCATGTATTTCAGTGTAGCAGCAAAAGAGAAGAGTCTGTTGCAACGATGAAACCCAAAGAAACAAAGGCATCAAGCACAATTTCCTCACTGCTGTCCAATATCTTATGCTCCAAAAGTAACAACAATGGTGTGATGATGAGAAAGGAGCAACAGCCAGATTCAGACTATTCTATTCTTGGCGGTTCAATACATCATCATCAGAAAAGAAGAAAGAGAAGACACTCCCAGCAACATGGATCTATGCAAAATAATGTAGTCGGCATATCGTCGCCTACAACAATAACCACAAGTGCTTCATCTTCTGCATCATCTATGAAATTAAATGGCGATGATGATGGTATTGGCCCTGGATCCACTGAAACAACATCCTCAGTATGCTGGCCTTCCTTTGATATGATGAGTGATAATAACAGCATGTTAGTGCAACCATTACATCAAGAAGTGATAACAAATGCCAGAAATAGACATGAAATACTAGTGTTACACTCGATCCCTCCATTCTCTATTCAAGCCGCATCAGAATCATCAAAATCAGCCGTAGATCGTAATGCACTGGACGATGTATTAAGCTATTTAAATGACATTGAGTTGAACACACATGATGATAGACTTGTAAGGGATATATATGAAATTTTGGAACAGGAATATACCTTCAGTAAGCTACCAACAGCCACCCAACGTACCAGTATTCCATTTCCGGCTTTCCACCTGCTGCAAAAACTGCTGGACAAAAGCATGAAATGGATCAAGTTTGTCATTGTCATGATAATAGCCATCCTTATCAATTTAAAGAAAGGGCCCAAATCATTTTTATAACTGCAATAAACGCACACAGCCACGTATATTTAGACCATCAAATCTTATTTTTAGATGAATGTTCGCATGGTGCTTAAACTTTTCTGAAACGCATGTGCGCTATAAAAAGTGTTGCGCATGTGCATTATATTTCTACTTTGTAGGGTATACCATGTCTCCAGTGCCAAATTGCGCTTTCTGCAATCTTAACCTATATTAAAAGTAAAGAAGCCAAAATCAATACAATCTATCAGAGAGCCTCAGTTCGCAGACATTCAGCGAATATCTTGATGGCCAATATTTCTTTAGCTTTTCAGACAGTGACAATAGCCACTTTTAAACGAATCAACGATGCCCACACTGTCTACATGCCATGTTGAAATGCTACAAATTATGATTAGGAAGTTGCGATTACATATATTTAGATGATGAGCCAGGTTGACTGGCGTTATCAGAAATAAAAATGTCTAACAAAAACAAAAGAAAGTATTTAGATTAAGTGATGTTCCTTTTGAATTCATGATCCCTATTTAATCAGCATCCCAAACATCATTGTCACCATCAGAATGGGTCAGCCAGCAGCGCCAAAATCGGTTTAAACGTCGAACATCTTTTCTACTCAAGATTGGACAAGTTTTGTCTTTTTGCGACTTAATTGAACTATTTTGCAGAATTCGACTATATAAATTGTAATGATCTTCCTAAGCTTCCTAATGCATTCTTGGAGTACTTTTCAAGGCGTTTCCAATGGTGCTAAATCTAATAGATGTTTTAAATGAAATTATTGAGCAATTTGGTAGGTTATAAATGAGGTTTTTAGCGAAAATAGCCAGATTCTGCATATGAAGGCCTCACAAAAGTGGTTTCAGAGGTTGCATTGAATCAAGAGAAACATTTTCATTTAATATATACCATAGTAAAAGTCTTCATTTTCACAGTGAAAAACGCGATCGTTTGATTTTCGATGACAACCATGAGGGGTACCTCATGCTTTTTGGCTGATTTTTGGCCATGTTTTTTGGGTCCTCAAAAAGTCGAGAAAAAGTGTCGGGAAGTTACTACTACCCAAGTACAATTGTTTGGCGTCATTCCGGTGGCTCATAAACGTCTACATGTCAGCATACTAAGGCTTGAAAACGGTCAAATTTGGCTGTGTTTTATACATTTGCTTGTCAATAGACGCGTTTTGTTATGATGCAAAGGCGTAAAGACATTGTATGCATTGATCTAGAAACAAGATGTACTCACTTTGGAGAGGAGGGCTAGTTGGGTTAAACATCAACCCGATCGAGATGGTGACAATGTTGAGGAAGACCGATGACAGAAAAAAAAAGTGTATGATCAGCTCGAGCCACAGGTAGGTCTTGAAAGAACAACGTTGGTGGGAGTTACGGGCGGTGGAATTAGAGGTCTTCTTTTCCCCTTACACAATGCTAGAAAGCTACAGAAGCTCAATCAAAAGCTTTTATGTGAAAGACTGCCAGGCGTTTACCATCACAGACGCAACTCAACATCACATACATATACACAATACCACGACAGCGATAAAAGTATACAGCAGTGCATCATCTTTGTTGTTTTTAAGATAAAAAGAAACGCAACAAAGCAAACAATATCAATGCGGTATCACAAGAAAGGAAGCAGTGCAAACGTCCAAAGAATGTTTGGAGTTCCTTCGTTTTTTATGGCCAATACACGACAGGTCTTTTTGCGAGAGGACGCTATCGATCTTGAAGCCTTGAAGCGGCTGCTCCCTCCATTCCATCATCTTGACAGTGTGAATAACTCTGAAGTGGATTTTACCAGCACCACGAAAGCAAGGAAATTGCTTTATTCGCTCCTTCTCTATTTAAATGCTTGCAAAATTGATGCTTTGTCTATGATGCAACGTGGTTTCTATAGCGATGCGACAGTAACTCTGGAAAATACTGGCATGAAAATACAATTTCGCTTACGAAAGTAAATGTAGATACGTTTTGATTGTTCATATTCTATTTAAAAGCATCGCTGCAAAAAGAAAGAAGGAGTGTAAGAATTTGTTGATAAAAAGAGCAATTACTCTTTCTTCCATGCGAGATGATACCGCAGCTCTTGAAGACAAAATCACTTAATCAAAGACACATCTGGTACCATGGAAGCTACATCTGAAAGCGTTGTTCTTCATGCTCTCAAATCATTAGCATTCTATGTTTTTACATTTTCGTACTATGATGAGTAGAGTACGAGTAGTGCAAAGGTAAATATTGACATGCTATTTGTTTTTTTTGTTTATTTGGATTGTATTATTAAAATTGCTTGGGGGATCAAAATTCGATATATATATATGTACTTTGCAAGAAGCCATCATGCCACTCAATGAATTGCTCTCCACCCTTTACGAAGGTTGTCTACCTCTGCTGTATCTGTCTCAATCACTTCAATGATATGCTGAACACCGTTATTTTGTTCGTCCAGAATCTAAGTTAGGGATGGTCAATACACATTCTCTCCTCTGTGTAATCAATACCAATAGGCTTACCTTGGTAATACCACGCATATTCTCTTCACTGACTGCATCCCACTCGTCAACGCCGTCAATTTTGCCGTACTTTCTCCCTGATTCCTTGATAAATTGTAATTGTGCCCATAGTTGACTCAATTTGCCATGGAATTGCTCTGATCTTTGTAATTGGGCTTGAATATTCTCGAGTCTAGCACGCATTACTTCTTCATCTGGTGTGATACTTAGACCCTTGTTTCGTAAGACTTGAGCATATTTCAAAAACTAGATGATTTGACATTAGCTCCAACTTGTCCATGTCCAATATCTAACTAAGCACCTACCTTGATCACTCGTTGTGCTGCCTGCATGTGCTTGCGTTTATATTCATCCAATTTCACTGCTGTTTCTAGTTGACTCTTCTTTTGGATCTCTTTGATCGTAGTTTCAATCTCTGCTAATTTGGCGCTGTGTGCTTCGCTCAATTTATGTTGTTCATCCATACGCTTTTGGACATCATCGAAACCGATGGCTAACGCAGGCACTCGTGTCGTGCGATCAGGGTTGGCAGCTTGAGCAGCATCCCAAGCAGCTTGGTCATGATCAGCAGGCTTTTGATAGAGATGGGCCTCTTGTGGCGATACAACGTTGTAAAAATAGTGTTGGAATCGACAGTTTGGTGATTTAGGATCCCACCAGCTCTTGAGCAAAGCCAGCGCATGCCACACATTCTCAGGCTTATAGTCTTCACTATTGATGGCAGGCGCAACTTGTGCTCGTGCTTCTTGATCGATTTGAGATAATAGCTGATATACTTGTTGTTCTCTTTGCTTTGTCAGGGCTGCATTCTGCTGTTGCGGTAAATTCAAGCCAAATCCAGTGGTCCCTGTTGTGCCCAAAGTACTGCCACCAAAGAAGGATGTCGTCGCTGGCTTGCTTCCAAACAATCCGCCTGTAGTACCAGCAGTAGTGGATGGTGTGGTTAAGCTCAATGTAGGTTTGTTAGCTCCAAATCCGCCAAAGCCTGTTGATAGAGTGTTGGTACCAGGTGCTGTAGATGCTGCTGGTGCTCCAAACAATCCAGTGGCGGGTGCCGTTGAAGTGGCAGTAGCTCCAAATCCTTTAAATGTGTTTGATGTAGCAGGTTGAGCTTGCGTAGTGGCTCCAAATCCTCCCCCTCCTCCTCCAAACAAGCCAGATGTAGGTGCTGTTGAAGTAGCTGTATTGCCTCCAAATCCACTACCAAATCCAGTTGTGGGTGCTGTTGATGTAGAAGACTGCCCAAACCCACCTGTAGCTGGTGCAGCAGAAGTAGCACCGAAGCCAAATCCACCTGTGGATGGCTGTTGTGTGCCAAAGCCAGTTGTTGCAGAAGCGACAGGTTGACCAAAAGCACTGGTCGTTGCTGGTGTCTGTGATGTGCCAAATCCACCACTACCAGCGCCAAATGCACTGCTTGAGGGTGTAGGTGTTCCGAATCCAAATGACATGCTTTGTAGATTAAAAAGTGAAAGAGACGCGTATCTAATCAAACTCCAACTCTGCTTTGATGAGTAACACTCACATACAGACACACGAATACACACATGGCTACAAAATTTTTGTATTTAACAAGTCACCTTGCGACATGTTGACTTGAAGCATCTGGCATGAACATGGGCCTGTAATTTGTGTGTTTTTTTCTCTCTCTCTCTCTCCAAAAAATCATATAAAATGGAACATCAACCTACTCGTGAAAAGCTTTATTCTACCTCAAAGGGCTATGGCTTTAGTCCTGCTTTACAAAGAACTCGCAAGCCATTTGTTGTTCGCAATCTACTCACCTTGGCTGGTCTTGTCACATTTACAGGCAGTGTTTGTAAGTTTGGATGGGCAATTTTTCGCAGTAAATAGAATTAACACTCTTGGCAGACGCATATTCCCTCCTCGCTGTAAAGCAAGATGATTTCAGCGATGTACCCATGCCTTCTCCTGAGGCCACTGCTGCTGCTCTTGCTGCTGAAAAAGAAAAGTAAACCCACCACATCAACAACAACATGATAAACATTGTATATAAAATATGTATTTGATATAAAGAAAAGAATAACACGTTAAGCAATAAATTCATATTTGCGGTTGGTTGCTCTTTCTCTCCAATTTGGTTGAGCTGTAGCTGCAGGATATGTTGGCTTTTTCAAGCTTGGAGGTTTTCTAGGTCTGGATTTTGTGAGCTTGAAATAGAGGTGAAGAAGAGTGAGATTCAAATGTCTGGGCAAAATGGCATCAGCTTACATGAACTAGTCCCCTGGATTCTGGCTGTTGAGTCTTGGGCAGTTGCTGCTGCTCGATGAAAGATGCTTTGGTGGAGAGTTTTTGCTGAAACATGTCTAGCAGTTTGTTAGAGAGCTTTTGAGGAGCAAGAACATTAGCCACCAAGGGTCGTTTGGGTGCCACTTCAGGTTCAAATATCTTTCTTGTCTCTGCAGCAGGCACATATTTGTCTCGGTATGGTGCTGTGTTTACTTTTCTTTCTACAGTCTGCTTTGTTTTGATGGGATTTTTGGAAGAAGGAGTCTCCGTAGACTTGTTGCTGACGATATCATCGTCTGATGCTTGCTGCTCGGGAATGTAAGTCAGTAGTTGATCAGAGAAGGATACCCGCTTCTTGATTTCTGGGCGCTCCAAGATGGAAGCCACCTCCACATCCAGAGGCTCATCATCTTCGCTATTTTCCTCCTCTTGTTCACCAGCAGAAACATCCTCCAATATGCTTTCATGGAATGAAATTTCAGGAGAAAGCTGAGGCAAATACACATTGATTTCGTTGCTGCAAGGCGCGCTTTCTTTTTGAGATGAAACGGAAGACGATATCTTAGTTTCAGGCTCACTTAATGTTGCTTGCTTTTGCTGTGGCAAAAAAGCTGTTGTCATTGGAAAGTAAGAGTCAGTAGGTACAACAGCAACAGCGAATGGAGAAGGCGTCGACAGGGCGGGCTGTGATAGCAGTAGGGTCAGATATACATGATGGATCTAGTATTCCATGTAAAACTTACAGAGCTGACGGTGGTCGTTGGCGAAGGCATTACTGCCTGTCTTCTAGGCTTGACTGGTGGCAGAGGATCATGATTAGACTCTAACCGAGAAGAGCTTACAGGATTATAACTTTGGCTGGCGATGGGTTTGACATCTACTAATGCTCTAGGCTTGGTGATGTGATAGGTTCTGGTAGGTGTGTTTGAAGAGGGTGCTTCGAATGCAGAGACAAAGGAGGACTATCGTGCTACAGTTTAGCTTGCTTTGAAACAGGATTGCGCATGCTCTTACTTACTACTAGTCCCTTTCTTCGTGGAGGTGCTACTGGGCCGTCATTTTCAGGGACTTTACTACTGGATTTTTCTACTTCTGGCTTTACTGGGGATAGTTTATGCTTGACTTCAGACAGAAATTGGTCATCTCGATTCGATGCTATTGATCTAGGCTTTGCATTGATCAATTTAGGTATTTCTTTGGGCGCATCTTTAGACATGTCACTATTGTTGGAAGCTTTAAATAGTTTTGATCTTTCCTCAATCAAATTTGTCTTTACTGTTGGCTTCGGTGGCTGTTTGCTGTTTTTAATGGTTGGTTTGTCTGCGATTGCTGACCTTTTCAATGGTTCCTTGGTAGAAATGTTGTTGATAGGCTTCACATTTGCATCAGCCTTTTTAGCTATAGGTATCAATACATCACTTGGCGATGCCAACTGCATTACTGGTGGCGTCAACACAGCTTTTTCTCGGAGCTCTTGCTTTGGTTGGGGTCGGGGTAACGGCGGGCTGGAGCGATGTCTTGCAGATCGTCGCTTTCTGCGTTCATTCAGTTCCTACAAATGTGAAATATCAGTAATAATAAAAATACGAACCATGTTCAACCTACATCTTCTAATATCAGTAATCCTTGTGGGTTTTTATATATCCACATTGTATCGTTTCTTCTTAACGAGCTAATTTTTTGCTGTCTTAATGTCATTATTCTATACGGCTATAAAGAGTGTTAATCGCATTAGTCGATTTCAGAAATGTGCAGAAATTTACTATCAATTCTTTGATTTTGATACTGAATGAAAAGAAAAGAACTAATTAACACGGTAGACCAAAAATTATACTGTCATAATGCTTTGTTTTCATTTCACTTTATAGGAACTATCTCTTTTGAGTACAAGAAAACATTCATCCTAATTAAGAAACATCAACGCCCATTTAAGAATTTTATAATTGGACATTACACAAGCACAGATGCATATGTACTTTCTGAAATGTCATTAAAAGGTAAGCAGAATTTCGTCATAGTTTGCTCTCAAGTCTTATATCTGTTTCAGTTATTCGCAAAAGCTGAGATGAGTCCTTTCACCCAAGATTTGCATGATCACGATGCACTTGCTAAGAAAGATGAAGGAGCCAATGATACCGACAGTATCGTAAAGACAGTATAGATTCGAGTTCCAATCAACAAGCTAACTTGATGGAATTGCTGTTGCTATTATATTTAATGTTGAGATATTCTATTAGTTACAAGTTTATCATGCCGTGATAATTCACGGCAACGAGGGCAACTTCTCATTTTCTTTTCTTTAAGCACCACATGACTTAAGTAACTCACATCAAATACTTTAGTTGTTATATTGTCATTATGAAGAAAAGGACGTAAACAGTCGAGTATGTCCAAAATGTAAATGAACATACTTGATGAAGCATATCATCCCGTTTTAACTTAATCCTCTGGTTCCCCTGGTGGTGCGAAACTCAAATCAAATCGTCTACATCATCAGTAGTAGTCAGAATTAATATCAAAGAATGGAAGAAAATAAGATCTTGCATCTGCGATGGTCTTAGCTTAGACAATATGGAGCAAAAGTGGTTTGCATGGAAAACTTAAATGAGGAGCATAATAAAAAGTCGTTCATATATAAGAGCGCAGTCGAGGTTTTCAGAAATATCGTTCAAAATCAGAATACAATAAGAAAAGTACGAATAATGACAAAAACTATCGTTTGATACAATTAATAAATCATTACTTCCTTATCCAACTAAAGTCAAAAGTCTTTATTTTGTTTCATTATTAATTTGACAATGGTTTCTCTCCTTGTCAATACGATTTGAACACAATTCCTGAATATTAATATCAGATCACTCTCTTTATTCTGCTGCTGTGCGCATGTAAATCAAGCTGTTTTCAAATGAATCAACAACTAGTTGTTGTAGACCTTTTCTCTTTCAACCCCTGAGCCAATCAAATCGCTTGAAAACTCCGCTAAACTAAAAAAAATTTTGCGAGGGTTTCCCCCTGTTTTGATGTGAGGCAAAATTTTAAGCTCCGCTATATACGGCAATATAGCTGTTACTATCATCAAATTTCCCTCAGGTGCTAGAGCATGCCTTACTTACATCACCTAGCTTTAGATTCTGGCGTTGAGACCCTCAATCATCACTAAAGTAAGTAGTGATAACCAAATGGAGGCGGCCTATCTACCTCCTAGTCTCGGATAGAGTCTTGTTGAGCTTCAGGGATAGGCACATCCACACAACGTAAAAAAGTATGCTTCAAAGAAAGATAACCAAAGGAACAAATGAACATAATACTATAAGAGTATAGTAATATGTAGGCAAAAAAAAAAGAGACATTCACACGAAGCGAGTCAGGAAAAAGCATAACACAACGTCAAAGATGTTCAAAAAAGCTCGTTGTTGTTGCAATAAAATTGCATACATGAGCAACGCGCATGGTAGTAATAGTCGGATGCAAAGCAAGATGACACAAATACGCACAACTGCAAAAGCAACAGTGGTATTATAAGCTTGCAATACAACATAATGACAAATGTTGTTTCATGTGAAGCCACAGAGGAAACACCACCAACAAAAGAAAAAGAAGAAGAAGAAAGCGCAACAAGGCAAACATCATGAATGCATTATCACGAGAAAGGAAGTAACAATGTAAACGTTCAAAGAAGGTTTATATCATTGCGACCAGAAGAAAGAAGATACTTACCACTTACCACAGCTAGAGATAAACCAGAGAACGAGCATGCACCAAAGACAGTAGACCAGGAAAGACCATATCAGCAGCAGCAACAGCAGCAACAAAACCAGCACCATAGAGAAACCAAAGAACGAACGCCACCAACAGAGACTAGTTAAAGACCAAAGAAATTGCTTACTAAACCTATCACAGCCACGGATGGACCAGAAGCGTATAGGCAATCACCAGAGATAGACCAGAGAACTAGCATACAGCCAAGACAGTAGACCAGGAAACATCAGATTATCAACAACATCAACAACAACAACAGCAGCAATACCAGCAGCAACAGCAACACCAGCAGCAACAGCAACACCAGCAGCAACAGCAATACCAGCAGCGTAGAAAACCCGAAGAACGAGTGACACCAGAGACCAGACAAAGACTAACAAAGCAACTGCCAGAGATGAAGGCCAAAGAAGCAGTTACCAGACATAATAAACCATAGAAGCAAACAGCAGAGATAGCAAAGAAGTAATGGTAGCAGCGCCCACGGCAAACAGGTAAAAAGAAATAATCGAAACCTAATAAACAAATTCGATTAGTGCTTGTTCTGCGTCTTTCTGTGCTCGTTGTCGAACGGTACCTGCTATATTCCACTTAAGAGAAGCAGTATCAAGTGCTTTTAACAGTACAAGACCGTGTTACCAGAAGCTAGAGTGTTATTTTCAATCAAAAGGGTTCCAAAACCAATGTGGTTTGATATTAAACGCGTTTTGCAAAAAGGGTAAAAAAAAAAAGGAGGATATGGAAAAATGAGAGAGCGCCCTATTCGACGTCACGGCCAGTAAATTTGGTCCCAGTATTCTGCCGTCGTGGTAGCCGTAACGGCTGCACTTTAATTTGCAATTGTGCAGTGGGTATTTTCGTCTTCAAACTTGACTTGATTTGACATCCTTTGAACGTTTTTGCCAATTTAACTATGAAAACTGTCGTTGTTATACTTTGCCTTCTAATGCATTTATAAAGAGTCAATAAAGGCGCATCGAATGATGCTGGTTACATTCAGCTTTTAGACTGAAAATAATGAGCAATTTTTAAAAATATGAAAACAGGTTTTCTATGAATATGTCAAAATCTAGCATATAAAAGTTTCATATAAACAGCTTCCAGTGTTGCGTTGAACCTTTACAATCAATTTGATTCGATATATATTATAGAAAAAGTCGTCATTTTTGGGGTGAAAAACGCGATCGTTTGATTTTCAGGAATTTTCCCTTACTAGTACACATGAAAATCATGAGGATTTTCATGAATTTGCAACGACCTAAAACATTTTGAAATAAAGCATCAGTAAGTAAAGCGTGGACAAGGAGAAACGTTTGGCCATATTCCGAGCTTCCACAACGCTTCGTAGCATGAGTTATTCGTGCTTCAAAATGTCTAAATTTGGAGAGAATTTGGCCAAAAATAAGGCGTAGTAGGTTGTGTTGCCAAGGGAGTCAGTAAATCACGGTTCTATCTCATAAGCCCGATGTTCTGCATTGTACGGAAATCAATATCTAAGCGATTAACGCTTTTATTCTACTTCTGAGAAGGTTCAGGTCTTCCTTTTTGAAATGCGCGACTACAATAATTTCTGTTAAGCACAAAGAATTAAAGGATTATTATTTGTAGTTTACAAAAAATGTTCGATATTATAAAATTAGGAAAAGACTTATTTGAGTAAGATCAGACACAGAAACTAAAGATTTATTGATGAAGACAAGAGTTATTCTATTTATACTAAATTCTGAATGCCAAAGTAGCAATTTATCTTGTAAAACGCTTATCACATCTTGTGAATCTCAGTATTTAGATAGCTGAGATGCACTTCAATTATCATAGCTTGTCCATTGTTGCATACAAGCATGCATCTTAGGCTACATTCACTTTCTCCTCAAGCCACCTTTTACAGTGTAGCAGCATAGATGGTGTTTATCGCATCACATCACATCTATGTTTACAAGTCCAGTCAATTGTGTGTGCACAGGTGCCTCAGGAACTACAATACATTCAATCTCCCCAATGTCAAGATATCGAGATCCACCTACACTACATGAAACATATCGACTTAGGTGGCCTCTCAACAAGCTATACCAACAATCCATAAGGCCCCAGTGGCCTGCTATTTATATACCATCTCAACGTAGTAGTCATTGACCAGGGATCTACCATATTTAAGCAAGCTAGATGCCCTGTAATAAAGAAGCTCTTTGCTTTCGTTTTAGATACAGATGACAACTGATTATTATCATCGACTTATTATTACGAATTCATCATTTTTTTTAATCAAAACCTTGATTGTATCATTACTACTACTACCTCTCAATTTTGTATACTCTGATGTCTGCTCAAAGTACCACCACACCCCCCAGTTCCGAATCTAAGCCTGCTGGAAACACTGAGCTGCGTCCTTCAGACGCCAGTGCCACCAAGGCTGTAGATATTACTGGCCCTTCTCAGTTTTTTCTCGCTGAAACGTCTCAGAAATTGGGTGGTCAAGCTGGCGAAGCTCCCACTACTACTGCTAGTGATGCGATGGACCTCGATCCCCCTTCCTCTGTTAGTTCATCTTCTAGTGATGTGGATCTTCAAGGTCGCACTGATCAGTTGAAGCTAATTGTTGACAATCAGCTCGCCGAAGTTCAGCTTCTCTCTACGACCTTGCTCCTCGAGCAAAGTGACGAGGCCAGAGCCCAGGCCCTAGCTCGGTTGATCCAGTTGAATACGTCCATTCAAAGTATCATACAGATTCGAGATTGTTTGCTTGCATCCAAAGCTACTGCAAATGATAACCTCGTTTCTTCGGCTGCTGCTTCGTTTGGCTCATCCTCAGTCGATGGAGTCAAATCCAACAAGAGCGCCTCAGTACCGGTTTTCTTTCCCAACAACTTACCTGCATTTCAGTGGGTTGGTATGGATGAATTCGACCCCAAAAGCCCTATATTTCCTACAGTCGACGCTTGTCTGTTGAAGTTTGAGGATGTCATGTTCGACAAGGAATATGCTCGCTTAGTACCACCTGTGGAATTTGAGGCTTGATAGACTAAAATTCACGGAAAAAAAAGAATAAAAAAAACAGTAATGTCAACTTGATAAAGGTATGTTTTATTATCAAACTGACAGGTGTAAAGTAAACTTGAAGTCTCTCTACTGGCCAGGTAGATGATCCTTCTTATATACTATAACAATGGATAAAAGTTCTATTAATTAGATTGACAAATAAGTCAACTCAGATCAACTAATGTCTAATCATGCTAAAAGACAACTCCAGCAAGCTAATCATGATTTAGCTCTGTCTGGATGAATAATTAGACTCTCATCCGAAGTACCCTGATCTATCCTTTCTATAAGGATAATTAATATCGATCTAGTAGCAAGTATCCGATAGGTACAGTCTTCTTAGTCTATATTAATACTGTAGGGGGAAAAACTGTCCCGTTCGTTCAAATAATCTTGACTTTTACCCAGTATATTGCCAAAACTCAGAAAACAAAGCTACCCCATACTGCGTTCGATAGAACAGCCTATAGGGATTACAGCAGCATAAAAACCTTATGGCGGGACTATATTTTAATCCCAGTATAACCAGCTAAAGTGAGTCGTGGCAAAAACGTTAGGTGGGTAATTCTAGATGATATAAAATGGTTGATATCTTTACTTCCAATAGACGTATTGAAGAAATCTAAAGAACTACCCGCGGTATGCTCAGGATATCTAATATCCCAGGAGCACTCTAAAAGTATAAAAGAAGCTAGTTTCTTCATGTTTTTTCTTTATTTCTTTGCTTTCTTATTTTTTTTTTCAAAACTTTCATTTTGCCTGCTCGTTTAACACAAGATTTGCGCAACATTCTCCAATCTTTGCTCTAACGTGGTCTTTCGCTCTCAAAGATAAAGAATTTGTATCCAGAAGTGGGTAATTCTACTCTTACAAGGCTCAGAAAACTATATTGCCCTGACCCAGCTAGACCTCTTGGCGGAAGACCGAAAAAACTTGGTGCTAAAACTATGTCCCTAGTGTCAAGAGGACTTCGATCAGGTGCTTTAGATAATCCCCGAGCAGCACAAGAAATTTTAAGATTGATGGGCCATGATATGTCAATTAATGGCATCCGCAAGTCATTGAGACGAAATGGACTTAAATCTCGTAGAAAAGTAAAGACCAATTCTGTTAGCAAGACAAACAAGCGGCTTCGACTGGCGTGGGCTAAAAAGCATAGGCATCTTACTATTGCTGATTGGCGTCGTTGGGTGTTTTCGGATGAAACAAGAATAAACCTTTGGGGCTCAGATGGTAATTCTTTTTACTGGACGAATGGTGGTCGAATCATGCAGTCGTATCAAGTCAAGTCTCAGTTGCAGGGAAATGACGGTGGGGTCATGTTCTGGAGTTGCATAACAGCGGAGGGGCCTGGTTATGGTACTACCATTATTGAAGACGCAATAAACTCGGGCTTGTATGTCGATATTTCGAAGACATCATTGAACGATACTCTTGAGCACTTTGGGAAGACACCATCTGATGTGCGATTTCAACAAGACAGAGCAACACCGCATACATCGGGCATTACTAAACAATGGTTCACCGACAATGGGCTTAACCTAGACGAAATTATGGATTGGCCACCCCAAAGTCCCGATCTTAATCCCATTGAACATGTCTGGCATCTCCTAAAGCTTCGTCTTAATAAGTATCCCACTAGGCCCTCTACAAAAGAAGAATTAGAGCGGCGTACTAACATTCAGTGGTACAAAATAACAGAAAAAGAGTGCCAGAAATATATTGATAGTATGCCTGCCCGAATCAAGGCTGTCATCAAGAGCAAAAGTGGTTCAACTCACTATTAATGATTTTATAATAAAATGTACATTTTTCTATATTTATTTTTTAACCAATAAAATCATTGGATTTAGTTTTTGAAAAAGTTATAATTATGTATAGATAGCACTACTTTCTCTCATTCAAACGATATATATTTCGACTTTGTATACAAAGAAATGACCAAAAACTTGTGCAAAAAGACAAAATTTTAAACGAACGGGACAGTTTTTCCCCCTACAGTAGTACATATCTGAGTGTATATCGCTAAGCATACATCTTTAGCATGTATCTGGATATATGGCATGTCTATAGCATATCGTATGCATGTCTATTATAGCATGTCTCATATATAGTACAAGTCTGTAGTACATAAAGTATCTGTAGCTAGTATCACGGATATAAGCATGTGTCTTATAGCGTGGATCATGAAGTGCACATCTGAAGCAACAAGCTCATATTGCATTAATCTTGGTGCCTATCCAGATATGGTAAACATCCGTAGTCAATGTCGGAATACAAGTATAAGTCTATAGTGTCATCCATGTCCGTGGTGCCATCTATAGCCTATATCTTGTATAGTATGAATCTTATAGTACTAGCGTATCTGAAGTCCATATCTTCTTATAGTATAAATCGATATCGTACATCTAATCCAGCGTACATACAGTTTATATCTAAATCTGGTAACTGGATGAACTGTCGGAATGCAAATCATAGTTGATGTATTCCACAGGGTCATTAAACAGTACTACAATTCACTGGCTTCTTTGACAACATAAATTACTACATCTCATTTTTAGGCTAAATTCTGTCGAAATCTCGTCATTTTCAAGCACGAATACCTGATGCTACAAAGCTTTGTGAACGTTTGGAATAGATCCAAACAACTCCTTTTGGATACGCTTTACTTACTGATGCTTTATCTCATTCTTTTTGGGTCATTGCAAATTCATAAAAATCACAGTTTTTTCATGACTATTAGCAAGGGAAAATTCTCGAAAATCAAACGATCGCGTTTTTCACCCCAAACACGAAGACTTCTCCTATGATACATATTAAACCAAATTGATCGTACAGATCCAATGCAACACTGGAAGTTCTTTCTATAAAAACTTGTATATGCTAAATTCTGACATATTCGCAGAAAACCGGTTTTGAAACTTTCCAAAATTGCTCATTATTTTCAGTCTAAAAGCTGAATGTAACCAGCATCATTCGATGCGCCTTTATTGACTCTTTATAAATGCATTAGAAGGCAAAGTATAACAACGACAGTTTTCATAGTTAAATTGGCAAAAACGTTCAAAGGATGTCAAATCAAGTCAAGTTTGAAGACGAAAATACCCACTGCACAATTGCAAATTAAAGTGCAGCCGTTACGGCTACCACGACGGCAGAATACTGGGACCAAATTTACTGGCCGTGACGTCGAATAGGGCGCTCTCTCATTTTTCCATATCCTCCTTTTTTTTTTTACCCTTTTTGCAAAACGCGTTTAATATCAAACCACATTGGTTTTGGAACCCTTTTGATTGAAAATAACACTCTAGCTTCTGGTAACACGGTCTTGTACTGTTAAAAGCACTTGATACTGCTTCTCTTAAGTGGAATATAGCAGGTACCGTTCGACAACGAGCACAGAAAGACGCAGAACAAGCACTAATCGAATTTGTTTATTAGGTTTCGATTATTTCTTTTTACCTGTTTGCCGTGGGCGCTGCTACCATTACTTCTTTGCTATCTCTGCTGTTTGCTTCTATGGTTTATTATGTCTGGTAACTGCTTCTTTGGCCTTCATCTCTGGCAGTTGCTTTGTTAGTCTTTGTCTGGTCTCTGGTGTCACTCGTTCTTCGGGTTTTCTACGCTGCTGGTATTGCTGTTGCTGCTGGTGTTGCTGTTGCTGCTGGTGTTGCTGTTGCTGCTGGTATTGCTGCTGTTGTTGTTGTTGATGTTGTTGATAATCTGATGTTTCCTGGTCTACTGTCTTGGCTGTATGCTAGTTCTCTGGTCTATCTCTGGTGATTGCCTATACGCTTCTGGTCCATCCGTGGCTGTGATAGGTTTAGTAAGCAATTTCTTTGGTCTTTAACTAGTCTCTGTTGGTGGCGTTCGTTCTTTGGTTTCTCTATGGTGCTGGTTTTGTTGCTGCTGTTGCTGCTGCTGATATGGTCTTTCCTGGTCTACTGTCTTTGGTGCATGCTCGTTCTCTGGTTTATCTCTAGCTGTGGTAAGTGGTAAGTATCTTCTTTCTTCTGGTCGCAATGATATAAACCTTCTTTGAACGTTTACATTGTTACACTACGGCCCAACTGATGTTCTCACAGAACATGGATGTGCTCTTTTGGGAACATCGATGTTCTCATGAGCACATTGATGTTCTCATTTGAGAAGGTGTAGTTTTCCACATGAATAAAATGGTTTGAATAGCTAAACTATAATATTGTAGGCAATAGAAAGACTTTTATTATCTGTAAGATTCATAAAATTACTAAACGTATTATAAATTGCACGAGAAAATGGCAATTTAAAGTTACCTAATAACTACTTATTAAAGTAAAAGAATATATTTCGATAAGATATTCGGGTAGTTTAGTGGGAAGAACGTCAGATCCACAACCTGTCGGTTGTGTGTTCGACCCCGGTAGGAGCATTCTTTTTTTTTAAATTTCTGAAAATCGATGTGCTCATATAAGAATATGAATGTGCTCACATGGGAACATTTCGGATGTTCTCATAAGAACATCGGCCGACTTATAATAGATCTTTAGGAACGCCGATGTTCCCATATGAGAGCATTTTTCACCTTTCGGGAACATCGATGTGCTCATTTTGGAACATCAAATAGATTCTCATATGAGCACATCGATGTTCTCATGAGAACATCAGTTGGGCCGTAGTGTTACTTCCTTTCTCGTGATAATGCATTCATGATGTTTGCCTTGTTGCGCTTTCTTCTTCTTCTTTTTCTTTTGTTGGTGGTGTTTCCTCTGTGGCTTCACATGAAACAACATTTGTCATTATGTTGTATTGCAAGCTTATAATACCACTGTTGCTTTTGCAGTTGTGCGTATTTGTGCCATCTTGCTTTGCATCCGACTATTACTACCATGCGCGTTGCTCATGTATGCAATTTTATTGCAACAACAACGAGCTTTTTTGAACATCTTTGACGTTGTGTTATGCTTTTTCCTGACTCGCTTCGTGTGAATGTCTCTTTTTTTTTTGCCTACATATTACTATACTCTTATAGTATTATGTTCATTTGTTCCTTTGGTTATGTTTCTTTGAAGCATACTTTTTTACGTTGTGTGGATGTGCCTATCCCTGAAGCTCAACAAGACTCTATCCGAGACTAGGAGGTAGATAGGCCGCCTCCATTTGGTTATCACTACTTACTTTAGTGATGATTGAGGGTCTCAACGCCAGAATCTAAAGCTAGGTGATGTAAGTAAGGCATGCTCTAGCACCTGAGGGAAATTTGATGATAGTAACAGCTATATTGCCGTATATAGCGGAGCTTAAAATTTTGCCTCACATCAAAACAGGGGGAAACCCTCGCAAAATTTTTTTTAGTTTAGCGGAGTTTTCAAGCGATTTGATTGGCTCGGGGTTTAGCTTCGAAAATTAGTACACTGTCATCCATGATGTCTGTAGTTTGGAACAACTTTAGTATTAGAAGGGAAAGAAAAGGCACAAATATATACTTTTATAAACTCTCATTATTCAATTATGAAGTGAACTAGACAAGATTTCCATCATAAACAAGATACAAAATAAATGTCATCTCAATCAAGCCATGCTATTATCAACAGATAAGCATACGTAGTAGTAATAGTGTTAGCATGATGATAGCAAGGGTAAAATACTTTAAAAATAAGAGATAACAACAGATACTAAAGTAAATGTCAAGGGTATTGTAATGTGTTGTAATATAAATAAGCCTACAAAAGATGCATGATGCTCAACAATAAAGAGCTATTCTTTATGCATGACTCACAAACCATATATTGAAATGCTGTTCTTGATCCATCAAACCAACAACAAATAAATAACCCAACAATAATATACTAAATAATGGAATCACTGGCAGCTTCGAAGCTGCTGCCAGATACGAGATATAAACCAAGTGATATAAACGGAGACGTAGAATATACATTTTATTGCACATTATTCTAATTTCGAATAAAGAAGGATTTTAACAGTATTCTATCTATTTTTTTCAACCCCTTTTTTACTGCAAGTTAGTTACAATTCATCATGAACAGGCTCTGAAGATTTTTCCATAGCTTCGGAATCACTATCCTCTACAATATCTTCATGGAGAGGTGCCTCACTTAATTTCAATGCACCATTATAAGACCAAGCTTGAACGCGACCCGATCCAATTTGATTTAACCACTTGACAAGATTATCCTCACTCCAAGAACCAACATAGTTTCTAAAAAGATTCTTGCTAGGATGTACAATGAAGATGGAAGGATAGTCTTCTGATAATTGCAAGGTATTGATAATTTCTTTGGATTGATTTGCATGAATCCAGCCATATTCAAAATTCAAATTTTGTTGTGATGGCGACACTTTGTCTTTGAGCGCGTTAAGCGTTTCTAAGGTATCTTGCTTGTCCTCATCACCAGTAATGGCAATCACACAAACCGAGTTGCCGGTGAGTTTTAAACACTGTTCCTCCAAGACTTTGTCGTTGTCAAAAGCAATGACTATAATGCATCTGTCAGGATCATCCTATGCACAATTAATCGTCCTATATACCTTGCTTGGCCTTCTTCTTGGGTATTTCAGTTGCCTTCTTTTGTGGCGGAGGAGAAGGAGGACTCTTTTTATCACTTGGTAGAGCATACTTTTCCATAAACGCCTTGAGGTTTTCGCGATTGAGTTTACCTTCAAATCTGACAGTACCATGTTCAGGGGAAATGATTAAAAGTGTGGGGAAGGATTCAACACCGTATTCACTGACAATGTTTCTCTCTGATTGCTTCACCTCACCAGTCAACATGCGATCTTTAAAATCGACAGACAATGCTTTATATAAAGGCGTAGTTGTTGGCTTATTGGTAAACAAAAGAGCCTTGGGAAGTGTCTCGTTCTAGCTACGATGTTAGATCTTCCCTTGGTGTCCTCCATCACACACACTCCAATATACCTTTGTCTGTAAAAAGTTTTCCAAAGTGATACTCTTCTTGGATTTGACATCCCTTTCATTCCACTTTACAAATTGAACGTTGGATGGCTGGGATGACAGGAAATAATCAACCATTGACTTGGCATCTCGTGGTCCTTGGTAATCTATTCAATCATGATGAGGACATGCAAGTATACCAGGTTCAGGCACATGGAATAACTCACCAGTAGGCACTTTGGTCATTTGGCCAGTACGCTTATCTTTTCTTAAATCAGGACTGAATACTTTGATAGTAGGGAACCCTTTAATTTCGTACATGGCACAAAGGCCTTTGTTGGTCTCGACATCACAATCAACAGCACCCACATTGACGAGACCCTTGAGGTTGGTGGCCACTTTCTTCCACTCTGGTGCTAGTCGTTGACAGTGGCCACACCAAGGAGCGTAAAACTCTACTGCGACTAGTTGCTGTCGAACAGTCAGCATGAATTACAAGGCGTGGCATTTGCAAGACTTACATCTGTATCCAGAATAGCAGGACCAAAGTTGTGTGGCGTCAATTCAGTTACATCGTCTCTGGGACCATAGAAAGCTTGAGTCAAGGCAATATTTGCCCATACAGCTAAAAATGCACCAACAAATTGTGTCTTCATTGAGATGAATAAAGAGAATAAAGAGAGACACGAAGATGTTGTGATTATATAGCAAGATCCAAATGGTCAATTGAACCTCAGTTTCCCTTGATTTTGACTTGTTTCCAGATTATTGGCCGTTTTTGTTTTGTGGACCTTGATCGTTTGCATTGCATTAATTTGTAACAAGCTGTGCTACATTCAAATTATGTAAAAAATTGGAGTAGCACTACCTTTCATCAACAAGGCTTTTTTGATATATAGCGATCTATGTTCATGAAGTATCTTGCTTTACCAAACTTCATAGATCTCTTTGAAGGTTCTTCTTAATTGGCATTTGTGGATTCTGTCAAATACAGCAAATATATCATACAACTCCAAAAGACAGTGATCTATTATTTATTTTATAAATCTAATATCCCAAGTATTCTCTTCGCAAGCTCAATGCATTTTTACGAAGATCCTTCCATTTCTCTGATAGGCGACCCGTTACAGGATGATCTGATTGCCAACCCTCTCTATCAGCATCAGTCCAGCCCTCAGCCCAAGCACCTAGTCTTTCATCATAGTCAAACTCCTTTGCAACGCCCATGATAAACTCTAAGCGATTGTCATTGTCATCTGCACTACTAGACTCCTCTGATGTAGGAGGTAGCATAGGAATCCTGCCACTCCAATACCTTGCCATGACGATACTTTGACGCTGCATTAATGGCAGTGGAACTACTCGAATTGGTAGACCCAGAAAGCACAGCGTAGGATTGTTTTGATAGAACATGTATTGAGTGAGGTGATGCACTTTTTGTCCAGTTTTGATAAGGTTGTCCTTCTGGAAGGGTAAAAATGGGAAACTGTAGAGATAGCCTGTGCCAAATACAACGACATCTACATTTGCTAGTTTTGTGTCGTCTTGCAATTCAATACAAGGAAAGCCAGTGTCATCAACGCTGAATTGATTTACGAGTGCAACTTGATGGACATTTGGAGGATTTCTCTCGACAGCTTGACGAGAGAGTTCTGTTTGAGTGCGAATACACTGATACACTTTGGTTGCCACGGTGGATGTCTCTCGTACAATATCAATGGCTGAAGACCCACCGCCTATCACCAAGATTGTCTATCGTATAGCATCAGTGTCTGCTACGTCAAGATCTGCTATTTTATGCAACATGCATGGCAGATGACTAACCTTCCCCTTAAATTCTTCAGGTCGACGATAATCCCGCGAATGAAGTAATTGAATCTTCTTATTTAGAGCAAGCGTTTCTAACCCTGGGATGTCAGGTACGTAAGGAACTGCATAATGACCGGTGGCAACCACAAGAGCGTCAAATTCCGCAGTGTAAGCTTCTTTATCGTTCTTTACTGAAACTTTCCAGACGTCATTTTCGAATACAGCCTTTTCCACTAGTGTCGAAAATCGTATACAGGGTAGCAAATTCTCATTTTTTGCTAGTTCACTAAGATAGTCCATGACATGCGTATGCGATGGAAAGTCGGGTGTATTTTTGGGAAAGGGTGCATCTTGGAAACACATGACAGAATGAGGCAGATTTGTATGAAGATTAGCATAAATGGGTGAGTGTAGCTGATCTAATTCCAGTGTTGTGTCTACTTTTAATGCGTCTGTAGAGGGAAATGGTGGAGGCGGATTTCTCTCGGGCGAGTAACACCTAATGTTTATTATGTGAGCTCTGTTAGGTGTGGAGAAAGAGAAGGCTCTACTTACCATGTGCCGCCTGTATGATTGTTTCTCTCGAAAATTGTAATAACATCAAAGGCATCTTCGTCACGCAATGCTCTAGCAGCGGCAATACCACCAGGGCCACCACCGATAATGGCTACTCTTTTGATAGTCTTCTGAATGACATTTGCCATGTTTATTAGAGTTGATTTATGCAATTAGAAGGAAAGATAGAAGAAAAGGAGCAAGCAAGCGATGAGCTCATTTATAGATTTCGATGAAATGTGAGGAGATTTAATCTGATGCCAGTGATACACTGCCATCCGTCTACAGCAAGATGATACTTGCATCATTGTTCTTTGCTGATGGAGGTAGGCTCGATAGCATGACAGAGCTTGTATTGGAATCCTCAATATGTGTTGGCAGCGCCGAGTTGACCTTGGATGTTCTTGGCGGATGTATCGATATTTCAGGGCGAATCATGACGAAATTTCTTGAATCATTGACAATTTGAGAAGCCCAGAATCCCTAGAGTAGGTATTAGTTTATACACAAATGTCTATCAAATGTATTGAACCACTTACAAACACAAACACAAAGAACACAAGAAACATGAACGAGAGCTTCACTTCGGTGTCATGTAGTTTGTAGCAGTTGAATCCTAGTGTGTCGACAGTTTGCGTGTCTAATGCGAAGGCTGTGCTGTTTTGAAATGCGTCTGCGGATCGATTCGTACACCAGCGTATAAATTCGTCCTTCTTCACTGCAAACAAAATGCAATTGACAAACATGTCGATAAGAATAGCTGATACAAAGCAAGCAAACAGCTTTGCATACTGTCTGTATCTATTCACAGATCGGTAAATGACATGCAATGTGTAGCCGTATAGAAGCACCAGCACAAACAAGACATTTATCACACCAAATACAATGGTCGCAGGTGCACTGAAATATGAAAAGAAGGCTACTTTGGAGTGAGATGTCTGCTCTTTTTTTTTCCATCTTCTAGTCAACTTACGGCTCTTGTTCATGAATGAAAAGCTAGCAAAGAACAAGCTCACTGCCTGTAAAACTGAGTTAGTTTCAAGCAATCGTTGAATCATGCGCTGTGCCTTTTTACCTACAATCCATGCAGTCAGTATTAAGGGCACGCCAATTCGAGTCGGTATACACATGCAGCATTTTGAGTGATTGATAGTATTATACATGATGATGCCATGATGCTGATTGAACGGGTTAATCATATGCTTGCTTTATTATGTTGTAATGAATTATAAAGAAGAATTGAAAAAGAGGGAAAAATCAACTCGTGTGTATGTATTTATATGAATCGAGAAAAGAGAAAACAAACAACAAAAACCTAAAAATGGTATGTTTGGGTGATCCAAGCTAGCTTTTTGTCATACATATTCATTGTTGTCGCTTTGATATAAGGTTCAATAGTATTCGACGGATTGCGATTGAGTCATCATTATCTGGGTGGGTGTCATGTCTTCTTTCGTCTCCAAATCTTGGATGTTAGCCAACACTTGTTCTCCTAATCTTGCTTTACGAGCCTCCATATCCGTGGGGTTGAGGTACATCCATTCATGACCTTGAGCTTCCTCAATACTAATACGCTTGCTAGGATCCACAGTGAGCAGTTCCTTGATCAGACCCTTGGCCAGTTCTGATATGTGACCCCAATAGCGATCAGGAAAGTCGTACTTTCCCATCTTGATCTGAGCCTTCATGGAAGGTGGCGCATTTTCTTCGGAAAAGGGGGGATAGCCGCACAGGCAAATGTAAAGCATAACGCCCAAGCTCCATAAATCACACTTTTTGTCATAGGCACGGCTGTCAGATGAGTTCAAGATCTCAGGGGCAACTAAGCATAATGTTTTGTTAACCAAAGGCACTTTATGGGAATGTGCAGGTGCCAGCTTACCGTAGTTGGGTGTGCCACATTGGCTGCCAAAGCTTTGGTCTCTTTGTTCAGTTTTGGCAAGCCCAAAATCAGTAATTTTGACCTGCAATGTGTCTCTATCAGCAAGAAGCACTAGTTGGCATTAAGAGTGAGATCCAAGTATCATTCATTGTCAAAGCAACTACACACTCACCATTCTCTGGTTTCAAATCTCTGTGTGCAATATTGTTGTCATGCAAATACTACAAAGATGTGTATATGTCAGCACATCAGCGAATATACCATGAACGGAACATGTTTACCTTCAAGCCGGTGAACAGCTGCCAGAAAATAAATCGTGTCTTGTCTTCATCGATGGTCTTGTTTGAAGACACAAAGTCAAACAATTCGCCACCAGGCACACTTTGATAAATCTGCGTAAGTATAGAGATGCCTTTGGATTCGACATGACTTACTATTCCAAAACCAAGTAGATTGTATGTTGTTCATTGAAGACTCTATCAATGTTTACCACCAAAGGCTAATCATGCTGGTTATTCAACGTATTCATCATCAAAGTAGATGAGCGTGTCAAACTTACATGCTTTCTGAGCGACATCATGATACTGACTTCCTGAATGATGGCCTGGATCATTTTTGGCTTCTGAGCAAAGCGATTCTTGTTGAGAACCTTGATGGCAACCGTCTTTCCGGTGACGCGATGAGTTGCACGCTTTACACTTGCAAAATTGCCTCGACCTAGTGTCTGCTGAAACTCGTATTCATGTTCGCATAGCTAAAACATCCATGTAAATACACGTGATTCTGCACACCTTGGTAGTACACTTACATTGGCTTCAAATACTGGTGGGAATAGAACGCGGTAAACTACAAATCCAGTGTTAGAGAAAGACGCGTATCAAAAAATTATGCAAAAAGACAGCTTACATCTGTTGCGAAGATCGGTCTCAGGGTAGGATTTGCGTCTAAACAATTGAATCTCGTCCTTATTTCTCAACATTACGCGATTTTTGCAGCCAACCAAGATGCCATTCACATAGGTGCCATTGAAGCTGTTTAAAAAAAATCAGGAACCGAACACCAATGCCATTTGTAAGTGCCATCTTGTTTTACCTATAGTCTTCAAGGAAGATTCTGATGCCTTTTGCTTTACCGTTCGAACCCGTCTCCTACGCATGCAATGTTCATGTCAGACATGTTTTAATATATTCGGATCTTGGATTCGCTCTTCTCAATTACCATGTATATCAGGCAATGCTTCTTGCTAATCTCATTTCGTTCGAACCTAAACAAGAGTGTCAATGAATAGGTTTTACTAGCAGAGAGAGAGAATGAACACCTACCGAATGTCACTGTCGCTATTTCTACCGAGCAGATAACCAGCTCTCTCATTACCATCAGACTCTTTCTTTACAAGATACTTATTGGGGTATTTGGGGTTTTGCGATTGTAGGAAAGCCCATGCCTTGCTATTTGCTGACCAGTCTGGTGTTTCCAATTCAAATGGTGTGTTCTCAACCACTGTGAAATCGTTGATGGATGAGGCATTGGGCAATAGAGGCTTGGAAACAGGATTGGGTGTAGTAGGTGTGGTAGGCATAGTTCTGTCATTGTCGTTGTCATGAAACGTCTTTTGCTGTTTGATAGCTACAGTTGGCTCTTCTTCATTACCATCGTGCCTATCTTGTCGCTTCAAGCTTGCGTCTTGCTCATCCAATGAATAGAAGATGGTGCCATTGGGAGATGGATCCGCAGCAGCAACAGTTGTGCCATCCGATGTAGAGTGTCTTGATATGTTGAGTTGTTGTGGCATATCTGGTGTAGTCATGATGTCGTTACGTATAAATGTGTGTGTGTGTGTGTGTATGGGCGATCAAGCTGGTATTCACAACAGAGAAGGTTAATAAAGAAGTGTGGTATGAAGATGATAAAGAAAAGGATGCTATTTTTTTTTTTTTTTTTTTTTTTTTTTTTTTTTGATTGGGAGGTGTATAACATGAAAGGGAGATTCAACCACAAATAGACTTTGTAAAACGCCAAACCACTGTCACGGTGATTCACGTACGTTTGAATACATGAAATGGTGTAATGTCTATTGGGAATATTCTCCATAGTGATGCCATTTGGCATTTCCAAAGCCGTGACGTTCCATCTCTCACTTGTCCTGTCATTTGGTTGATTCTGGGTATACATTCCAATCATATCAAGTAATGTGATTTCAGGAGTTGTTTTTCATTAACCTTAAGTAGAAATCTACGCCAAACCCAGACCAAGATCCCTTTCATTGTCGTTCACAACAAATAAAGCCGTCTGTCTAATAGGCCATCCCAAATTCACAATCAAGAAGAGAGAAAGAGGGAAAGAATACATCAGTAATTAATGTATCAAAGGTGCGTGCCCTGATTATCTATTACAATATTTCATTAGCTGTATTATGTAATGAGATGAGATTACTTGAGGCATTCGCTTGTGTCATGCACAGTGTGCAATGGATTGGCGTAGGGTCTTACAATTTTGATTGATATATCCGGTGATGTTGAGTAGCGCAGTCGCTAGCTTATACTAATGACAAACAAACTACTCTGACTGATCTAAAAGCAAGCGCATTGATAGCTTCTATATACTCACAGATTTGAGAGTTCAAGAGATGGTATGTAACATTTATACTAGTACCGTCCACAATTAAATTGTATTTCGCGATTAAGAAAACAAGAAAATTAATATAAGAAAAAGCATGTCATTGTGTGAAATACAAGCTAGACTGTTTAAAAATTGCTTTTTGCTTGCCCGTTGCTGTTCTATTGACTCTAAGAGCATCCATTGTCTTGAAGTGAAAAGCATTGATATTGGCAGCCCACACTGATTTGAGCTCCGGTTACTGTCGACTCAAGATTGGTCAGATTTGATCGACTTTGACTCCAAATTTATCTATTTGTTAAATTCGACTATATAAGCTTTGGTGATTTTCCTTTACTGTCCTAAGCGTTTCTAGAGTACTTTTCAAGGAGCATCTAATGATACTAATTGTATCAAGTGTTTGTAAAAAGCACTTTGAGTAATTTAAAGAAGTTTAAAATGAGGTTTCTGACTAAAATGTAGAGATTTTCCATATAAAGGTTTCACAAACAAAGTTTCAGGGGTTGTCTTGGATCTATACGATCATTTTGATTTAATATATGCCTTAGTAAAAGTCTTCAATTTTGGGGTAAAAAAAAAACGCGATAGTTTAATTTTCGATGATTTTCATGAGGTACCCCTCATGCTTTTTAACAAAAATTAAACGATTGCATTTTTCACCTTGAAAATGAAGACTTTTACTATGGTATACGAGCCTTTCAGCACTTCGGGTGGTTTCCTGACCTACGCTTCGCTTCGGTGGAAACCAACCTACGTTCAAACGGCTCGCGCTGCCGCGGGCCTTTGGCTAATATCCCAAAATTAATATAGCTAAAATGTTAGAAGAGGAACCCTGATTGTTGATTGATATATAATCACTAATCATATGAGTGTTTATGCTTCGGATGGTTCTCACCGAAGCGTAGCGAAGGTAGAGAACCAACCTGCGCAGCGGCAGCTCGTGCTACTGATTGCTCTTGCGTATTTTATCAAAATACTGCTACTTTCATTTTGACCCTCCACTTACACATAGTAACCCTTCATATTATCTGTGGATCTGATTCTTATGTGATGTTCTACATCCATATACACGTAGCTACTTCATATACGGGCAAGCAGCATACTGGTATTCCCACTTTTTAGTCCTTAGTGTCCCTAATACAGCAAAGTATGAGTGCATTTGAGCTGAATTTTCTTGCGTTCAAGGCCGTTTTAGATCGTCAGAATAGCCCCAAATGGTTGCTTTCATCTGGCAGTTCCTTTCTGACACTTTTGCTCGACTTTTTGGGGACCAAAAAAACATGGTCAAAAATCGACCAAAAAGCATGAGGTATCCCTCATGGTTTTCATCGAAAATCAAACGATCGCATTTTTCATCTTGATAATGAAGACTTTTACTATAGTATATCTTGAATCAAAATGTTTCTATCAATCCAAAGCAACCTCTGAAATCATCTTTGTGGGACTTTGATATGTAAAATTTCGACATTTTGGCCATAAATCTCTTTTCATATTTTTACAAATCATTCAATAAGTGATTTCAAAACATCTATTTTACTTAGTACCATTGGAAGCGCCTTGAAAAGTACTCCAGGAAAGCTTAAGGAAGCATGGGGTGATTATCATACTTCACTTAGTCGAATCTGCAAAAATAGCTCGATCGAGTCCAAAATTATCAAAATATGTCCAATCTGGAACAGACTATGATTCTGGGTTTGAATTAATTTTGGCTGGTAGGGCCAGCTGGAAAACTCATGCCCTTTTCATAAGGCAATACAGTAGTAAATGCCCTCGAAGCGTATAGAAAGTAGGTGGAAGGTCATAGCACTATCGTTTATAATGATATTTTATTGCCTTCTATATCGTTCATAATGATATTTTATTGCATTCTATATTTAATAACGTTAGTCTGGACATTGACAATGCATGGGTTGCATAAAATGTCTGCAGTAAGTAATGAAATCTCTGAGGCTCTGAGACGTCGCTCAAATAAAACATTGACAGCATTGAGCAGAGGAAAGAGGGTAGAAATAACAGTGGTTTTTGTTGATTGATTGTAAAATCATTATTCTCATATGAGCCAGGACAGATAGATGCCTTGAAACTCAGGTTCCATATTAGGATTGTAAAGTGCAAAAGTACTGAACATTTATTATTTTTTTTGGAGGTTCCAAAAAAAAAATTGGGTTCCCAGCAAAATTGGAATCCGATTGGAGTGATAACTTTTGTTATAAGCCAATACTTTGTCAAATAACAATTGTTATTGATCTTTGGGTTCCAGTTTTCGTTCCAAGTGTGTATATTTGACATTTACATAAAAAATATTAGGATTCAATACATTCTAATGATATGTGCGTTATCCAAGGCCTTATCATAAAAAATATATGTATTCTTTTGGTTAATTAACACCTGAAAGAACTTTTTTTTTCGCTTTTAGTTTGTACTTATGTTCCTGAAATTTAATCAGAAACCCACTCTTTCTAGAATTTCAAAGGTATAAAGCTTTTTTTTTTTTCAAAATGAAAACTGTGTGTCTGATCTTTTTGCTTGATTTATAGAAAAGCAAAAGCTCACGTTGAAGAAAATGAAGTGCCCCATTCATTAATTATTGAAAGATTTGCGCCTGAAGTACAAGAGCAGCTTTCCAGCATCAACCGAAGTATAGCAAATACAATGCGAGAATTGAAAGAACGTCAAAAGAAGTCGGATGAAATCCAGCAGCAAATGCAAAAAGTGTTTGACAATATAGTCACCGGAAAGCAGCAACTGCAACTGTCTTTTAGAATGGACCAAGGGAACCAAGCAGTAGCGACAACAGGCGCTGTCGCAAAAACCTCTGCCTTGCCAAGATAAGAAGATGTATCGCAATCAAAACAATTTTCGGAAGAATCCCAACAAAGCCCACCACCACCAGGTTACAACAACACCGCAGTTGCAACTATTTCACTTCCATACAATCAAGAAGGTGTACCGTTATACAAAATGAGTCGACAAGTGACAACTGTGTGTGATCTTTGGGACGAGTGGACAATAGGTCGAGATGGATTCTGGTCTGTTCAAGAATTAGAAGACAAGTGGGGCGCTAAATGGAGAAAAGACGACAGAAAATGGTTCAATATCCGTAAAAAAATCATTGATTCCGTTGAAGACCTTCAGCTGGATCTTGGTCTCTCCCCCACTTCTGCTGTAGGCGCCCTACAAAAGGTGCTCAACACTCGCCACTGGTCTTTGGATCGCTTGGGCACCGAGCTCCAAAAAGGCGCTTTTTTTCCTTACGAAGAAACGAAAAGAAGAAAATTGCAACACTTCTAGCTGAGCCTTTTTTACCATCAATAGTTGCATTTTCATTAATAAATATCTTTGTTTTCCTGTGGATTTTGTAAAAATCGCTTAAAATGTGTTATGTAAATCTGGGTCCCAAAATAGCAGGGAACCCCAAATGGCACCCACTACTGAGAGTTGGTAAATAATCCTTTATGATATGAGCCAGGACAGATAGATGCCTTGAAACTCAGGTTCCATATTAGGATTGTAAAGTGCAAAAGTACTGAACATTTATTATGTTATGATATTAATTCAAAATGTGTCTCTCGGTCCAAAGTAACCTCTGAAACCACTTTTGTGAGGCTTTCATATGCAAAATCTGGGTATTTTCGCTGAGAACCGCATTTCAAATTTTATTAAATTGCTCAATAATTTCAGTTGAAACATTTTTTTACAATTGGTACCATTGGAAGCGCCTTGAAAAGTACTCCAAGAATGTGTTAGAAAGCGTAGGGTGATCATCACAGTTTATATAGTCGAATATCATAAAATAAATTAAAGAAGTCGAAAAGAGACAAAATCTGTCCAATCTTGAACAAAAAAAAAACTGCGTTTGAATCAATTTTGGCGGCGGCATTGCTGCTGGCTGACCTAAACGCCTTTCTGTTGATGACAATGATGATTGCGATGCTGATTAAATGGGGATTATGGAATTGAAAAGACAATCGCTTAGCGCAAACACTTTTTTGGGGAGTTTTGCCTCATGATGGTGTCTTTTACAATGGAAATATCTCAAAAAAGTCGCTGTAGATCTTACACAAGTCCTGTATTTACTTCTTATGACCAGCTTTATGTCGCCATCTTATTAAGAGCATTAGCAGAAGCGAATAATATGACAATTCTATTACCAGAAAATGGCGATTGTGATGTACAAATGCTGCATAAAGCTTGAATTTTCTTTCACATTGTCCCAATAATAGGCTTCGTTTGATATCAGTGTAAGCAAAAAGGATGCTGAGGGAGATACCTCCTCTTCTCTTCCTAGCTCTGACATAACCTTCGCTTTACTAACTAATAATTGGTTGTTTAAAATCTATTTGATATACCAAAATGTTATAATATCTGATTTAAATGTCTTTGCCGAGAGCCTACAGGGCGACGCCGACATCGAGCGTAGCGAGAGAGATCGGCTAGTAGAATAGATACGCTAAAACAGCATTTTGACAATAGCTTTTCTATTTGTCATATAACGATGATAGTGTATGTACCAAATAGTAACTGCAAACTGGCAATGTCATATTGTAGAAAATGGAAAGCAATAGCCACGAATCGGAAATATGCGGGCAATTTCATGATGTCAGAGCGTAAAGGTCTGTTACATCCTTCTGGTTTGTCCTGATGACTTGCTGGTACATGGAATGCAATTGAGAAGCGATAGCATATCTCCGTTCAAACGTGCACTTGTTGTTGTTGTTGTTGTTGTTGTTGTTGTTGTTAAAGTGATACAAAGCTAAAAGGCATGAAATGGAGTCTTCAGCAATACAGCTTGAGTGCCATGAGAGACATCTTATTGTTACTCGAAATACATCAAGTTTCAATATCAATTCAAACTAATTTAATGGCCTTTTACCAATGGTACTCTGTCCTTCATGCCCCCCCTGATAGAACTTTATCTCTTTACAATAGGGAAAAGGCGGGGTAGTTCACTCTAGATCAGATCATGGCTATTTGATGTCTGTGCAGGACAAAGAAAAGGAAAAAAAATAGTATATATATACTTTGGTACAATTCTCACATACGTTAAATTCGTACTTTCTTCCGTCAACTCATCAACATGTTCAAGTTGCAAGGAAAGGCTTTGTTCAGGGCATCAACTCTGTTGGCTGCTGCTGGTTTCGTACTTTTTGGTTATGATCAGGTACATGCATATAGATGCTTGACGGATGTCCATACTAATGTTTTTTACTGTAGGGTGTCATGTCAGGCATTCTACCTAATGAGCATTTTCTTGATCTCATGGGACATCCTAATTCAGTTCTCATCGGCCTCAGTGTCGCCATCTACGAGTTAGGTTGTCTAGTAGGTGCACTGGCTACCGGAAGGCTCAGTGACATGCTCGGAAGAAGAAACGCTATAAGACTTGGCTCCACTATTCTTATTGTAGGTGCTGTTCTCCAGACTAGCACCGTCAGTCTTGGCATGACCATCGCCTCTCGTATCATTACTGGTATTGGTAATGGTATGAACACTGCCACTGTCCCTGTGTATCAATCAGAAATCTCGCCTCCTAAGAGTAGAGGTGCCCATGTCTGCTTTGAATGTGCTCTTATTGTTGTAGGTATTGGTATTTCTTACTGGCTTGAATACGATCTTCATTTTGTGGGCGGTGAATTTGCTTGGAGATTCCCTTTGGCTTTCCAGATTCTCTTTGGTCTCATTCTTGTCGCGGGTACGTTCATTATCCCAGAAACGCCTCGCTGGTTAGTGGCTCATGGTAAAGACGACGAGGCAAAGGAAGGGCTCTCTAGGCTGTGGACAAACGGCGACGTCAATCATCCTCGCTGTATCTCAGAATATGAAGAAATTAGAGATGGTATCGAGCTTGAGCGACGTGAAAATGTCTCTTCTTACAAGGATTTGTTCACTAAAGGCAAGTTCAACAACCGTAAAAGAGTGCCTATCGGTATGCTCAGTCAAATTATACAACAACTGGGCGGCATCAACGTAAGCGGTTGCATTGAGTTAGGGTTGGTTATGTGCTTTAACCATGATCCCATATTAGATTACCACGTACTATCTGACTGATGTCATGCTCCAAGCTGGTATGGATACTGATATGGCCATGTTGATGGCTGCTGTGGACTCTATTGTCTATTTCATTGGCGCTATGCTACCTGTCGTCTTGGTTGAAAGAGTGGGCAGAAGAAAGATCATGTTGTGGGGCCTGCTTGCACAGGCAGTGACTCTTTGTTGTATTGGTGGATGTCAAAAGGCAAATACGGATAGACAGACAACTGCTGCTGCTAAGGGTGCTGTAGCATTCACTATGTCGTACAATTTTGTGTTTGGAGCCAGTTGGCTGGGCATGTCATGGTTGTATCCAGCTGAAATCTTTTCGACAGGCCTTCGCGCAAAGGGTAATTCTCTGTCAACAGCTGCAAACTGGCTTGGTAACTTTGTTGTTGTTGTTGCAATGATTGCACCTGTTCTCTTTGAGTACATCACTTTCTGGACTTATATTCTTTTTGGATGTATGAGCATTGTATTTATACCCATGGTCTACTTTTGGTTCCCAGAGACCAAAGGTCTATCGCTTGCACAAGTGGAGATCCTCTTTGCTGTGGATGACATTAAAGCAGATATCCAGCCTCTTGCCTCAGAGCGCAATCACCACACATATGAAACTGAAAAGAAAAATGACGTCGAGAATCGTATGGATGAGTACGATGCTCCAGCTCCGTAAATCTAATCACACCATTCCACATATACACACCTAATCTACTCTATATTCTCTTGTATATTTAATCACTACTAGTCAGATTATCATATAAATAAACCATCTGGAACCATGTTACACCAATAACCAATGCTGCTACATAAACGGTTCCCACTTTCACTTTCACATGCTTGATCAATGGCATGAGGGGCATTGTGGTTGGCGGCAGATTTATTTAGCCCTTCACCTCAACAAAATGATGCCGTGTTCTCATGAGTTTCCTCTTAAACGTCAATGTAAAAGTAACCATGGAGTGCCCAGCAATAAGGTGCTATTGAATCCAATGTAAAATGTAGCATGACTGCTGAGTAGAGCCAAAATAATGTGGCCACAGCAAATGCAAACGGCATATTGATTTGATATTTCCTTGCTTGCTCTCTCAGCATTGATCAGCAGTGATGCGTTTTCATTGGCCTCGTCAAAGCCTGTAGAAATGAATACAAGAGTGTGTCAACCTCCGTCATGCTAGCATCTACATCTCTCTCGAATACAAAATTTCATCAGGTGGTAAAATGAAAGACGAATACTGAGTTTCCATGCAACAAATGTGTGTGTGTAAAAAAAACATATATCACAATAGGGTTCAATGCCCGGTGGAAAAGCTGTTTATTAAGCTCAAATGCGGATTTTCCCCACATCATGGAAAGGGTCTTATTAATTTAATTGCAGTGCTCTTTTCTTTGGTCTCTCTTTCTCCACTTTATTTATTCTATTTGCTTTCTTTTCACAGACACCCCCCCCCTACTCTCACAGCTATTCGTATTAGAACAACATGGGCCTCAAGACATTTACTCGTGAAGAAGTCAAGCGTCATGCCACTGAAGAAGATTTGTGGATCATCATTGATTCAAGTGTATACGACATGAGCCGCTTCATTGATTTGCATCCAGGTGGTGCTTTCCCCATCTTGGAACTCGCTGGTAAGGATGCCACGGATGCCTTCTACGGCCTTCATCGTCAAGAAGTGCTCATCAAGTACGATCGCTACAAGATTGGTACAATTGCTGATGAGAAGCCTCAAATCGACTTTTATGAACACGGCTCTTTCTCCAAGGTGCCTTATGCTGAATCCAGTGCCTGGATGGGCTTCAAGTCACCCTACTTTACGTATGTTACTTGAGTCATGTTGTTTTGTTTGGTTGGTAACTCATTCATTTGAACTGTGTAGTGAATCTCACTTCAAGCTCCGTGCTGCTGTCCGTAAGATTTGTGATTCCTTGGCTGTCGAGGCTCGTGAGTTTGAAGACGCTGGAACCAAGCCTTCTGATGAATTCATGAAGAAGATGGGTGAGAACCACCTTTTGGCCATGAACATTGGCCCTGGCCCTCATTTGCATGGTATGATCCTTCCAGGTGGTGTCAAGGGTGAAGAGTTTGATTATTTCCATGAGGTAAGCATAATTACCAATTTCAGTAGCCATTTGAATTGACACATGACATTTGTAGATGATTGTTCACGAGGAACTTGGTCGCTGGAAGGTCCGTGGTTTTGATGATGGTGTCATTGGTGGTATGGTCATCTCTGCTCCTACCGTCCTCAACTTTGGTTCTCCTGCTCTCAAGCAGAAGGTAAGCTCACTGTGGCTAGATCAAGGCAATGGATGCTAACATGTGGACCATGTAGATTGTTCCTGAGGTTTTTGCTGGTAGAAAGCGTATCTGTCTCGCCATTAGTGAGCCTTATGCTGGTTCCGATGTTGCTCGTATCAGAACTACTGCTAAGCGTACTGCTGATGGTAAGCACTTCATTGTCAATGGTGTCAAGAAGTGGATCACCGGTGGTTGTTGGGCCGATTACTTTTCCGTTGCTGTTCAAACTGAGAAGGGTATCTCTATGCTTCTCATTGAGCGTGGTGAAGGTGTTGAGACCAAGCTCATCAAGACCTCTTATTCTCCCAGTGCTGGTACTGCTTATGTCACATTTGAGAATGTGTTGGTCCCTGTCGAGAACTTGTTGGGTAAGGAGAACAAGGGTTTCTTGGTCGTCCTCTCCAACTTTAACCACGAGAGGTAAGCTTAATTTGCCACCAACGAGTGAAACAGTTTGTCTGAAGACCTATTTGAATAGATGGGTTATGCTTACTGGTAGTTCTATCGCTTGTCGTCTCGTTATTGAAGAGTGCTTCAAGTGGGCTAACCAAAGACAAGTCTTTGGTAAGCGTCTTATCGATCAACCTGTCATCCGTAACAAGTTGGCCAAGATGATCTCCAGTCTCGAGAGTGTCCATGCTTGGATCGAAAACTTAACTTTCCAAATGAACAACATGAGCTACAATGAGCAATCTGACAAATTGGCTGGCCCCATCGCTTTGTGCAAATACCATGTTACTCGTGTCATGCACGATGTTGCTGACGAAGCCTGTCAAATCTTTGGTGGCCGTGCCATCACCAAGACTGGTATGGGCAGAACTGTTGAAACTTTGCAAAGAACATACAAGTTCTCTGCCATCTTGGGTGGTTCTGAAGAAATCATGGCTGATCTTGGTGTGAGACAAGCCATGAAGAAGTTCCCTGATGGTGCCAGACTCTAATTTACTATTTATTTACTCTTATTTATTCAATATATCATATATCATGTTGATACGTTTTTGCAGCTTATAATGCGTACATTCTATGACCACGCCTATCTTTGATCTGTAGAGTCTGCATTAGGCATCGTGACGATGTGATGTTGTAAATGCCAAGGCTGATGAAGTGTGGTAACTCACGTATACCGCTGATTGGATGGGGCTGAATTTGCATGAACGCTACGGTTGTTATTTATTCTCGAGAATTCTTTCGCCCACCACCTTTTGCTTTTTCTGTCTAAACAATCCACAAAATGTCTTACGGAAGTGCACCATATACAGCTCCACCACCACGTTATGATGAGGAATCTGCTCAACCTTTGATGGGACATCATGAGGATGATGACATGTTCAAGGAGATGGTTGTAAACAGCTCAAAAGAAGTTCGACTTCGTAGGTTTATGTTATACTTAACATGCATTGTATTCTTACTGTTCTCTCAATATAGAATTTGTAAGAAAAGTATACTCCATCCTGGCGACGCAATTATTTGCAACTACCGTATTGTCTGCTTTTTATCTCTTGAACGACTCTGCTAGAAGTTGGGTTCAATCAAAGTAAGAGAAGATTATACACCCTGTAACAATTGCGTAGTGGCCATACACTCATGATTCTTTGTATAGTCAATGGATGCTCATTGTATCTATGATTGGTACACTTGGTGTTATGTTTGCCTTGTTCTGGAAGTCGAGATCCTATCCTTTGAATTACGGTTTGTTGGCATTATTTACATTACTCGAAGCGCACGCAGTAGGGACAATAGGTACTGTATAAGCCCAGAATACATCATCGACAAGGGTGCTCATGGACGTATTTCCTATAGTCACCTTCTATAATCAGAAACTCGTCTTACAAGCCTTGATCATCACACTGGGTGTATTTATCGCTCTGACCATCTTCACTTTGCAATCGAAATGGGATTTCTCGGGATTAGCACCTTTGTAAGTAGACTCATTTGCTTGGCTATTTAACCTGGCTGACTTACACGGTCCTTCATGTATAGCTTGTTTGCTGGTATTTGGATTTTGGTTATTGCTGGATTCGTTCAGATGTTCTTCCCCTTCTCAAAGGGCATTCAAATGGCATTTGCTGTTGGAGGTGTCATCATTTTCAGTGGCTACATCTTGTTTGATACCTATCTCATCTTCAACAGATATTCAGCTGAGGATTACATTATTGCATCTGTTAGCCTTTATTTGGATTTCATCAACCTTTTCCTCCGTATTTTGCAGATCCTGCAATTGTCAAGCAGCGATAATTAGTTGGGAGGAGTGGCTCACAATCCATTGATATCTTTATTTGGCAAAGCAGTTGCCCTGACAAGAGACATCAATTGATTTTTTTTTTTTATGAAATAAACATTGCAATCAGTGCAAGCGAACGCAATTTGGCTGCTCTACCCTTAAGGAAGAATGACATGCTCTCAAGAATACGACTATAAATGTTAATTTTGTGCGTGGAAACATGAATCTATTTGATATTGCAAAGTGTTCTTTACGCAGCCCCTTTATGTTATATTTGAAGATGATGGTTCTATGATCCAAGAGAAGATACTTTATCAAGACGAATTTGTGAGTGTTGTAATCATACACTGAAGTGAAAACTCGACTGTTTTTCAAACTTTGGTAGGTAAGATCTGCAACATTGAATCGTCTTTCAAGAGAGCTTGATCTACGATTTGTATATGCATTTACATTGTATATTGAATTGAACGCCTGCAGATGCTGGGCACGCATAATTCATCAATGAAATTTTGATCTGTAGAGATGTCAAATAGAACAAAGCAGTGAAAAATGGTCACGAGTACATTCGCGAGGTAAATGAGGCACAAATCCGATTGTTTTTGCGCGTTTCAGTGATTACCAAAGAATAACTGCATAATGGGCATACCCTTCGAGAATCTTGTGCGAAATGTCCAAAGCAAATTGCATATTCTCTTTCTCAAAAAGGCAGACAACAATCCGGGAAGATCAGCGATGGTAGAGGCAGCCAAGATACCATGGTACATTGCTTCAACAGTGCTCATCACATCACCCGTGCTAATTGACAGAGGATAGGTCTTGGGTCGCCATCAACATTGCCAAAGTGCTTTCCGAGTATCCGACCGGATTGACAGATGCAGTGCTCTTATCCATGCTGGAATTGATGGTAATAGAGAGCACAATTGCGAGTGTCCATGCATTCATCATCATTCATGCTATTTTTTTATTAGTGGGAAAAGACATTTATTCAACGATTCAAAGGCTTTGACAAGAGTAAGGTCGATCTATTATCATCAAGCAGATACATGGTCTAATGCTCTATCTATGGCAGGCTTTAGCACAATTCAGGCAGTGTATGATACAACATTAGCCGAATCACTTATCTTGGAAGTAAAGACAACATCTTGGGAATTGATCGAAGGCGCCAAAAATTATATCCTTTTTCTTCACATTGTGTGATTCTCTACTCCTTATATGCTATTACTCCTTAACCAACTTGCTAACACATCAAATTACAGTTACAGACGAGGCAAAGAATCGTGAATTAGACATTTATATGCATCCCAGATTCAATGATTGGATTGCTTATTCAAACGATAACCGCCAGTTCTTTGCAGATCGAAAAATCAGAATCATCTGTCCGCCAAAAGCCAATGCACCCATTCTCGCCAAACACAAGGATACCAAGATAGCAAGAAGATATCGAGTAGCACTAATACCCCCTACTGAGCTGCTATTGATCATGCTGGACCGAACCGACAAGGCATTTGTATTACGAGAGTTTCCTGATCGCATTCGAGACATTAGCGCAAAATCCAACTATCGATTTTGGCTCAAAATCATCCATGTTGAGGTGTTTGTACATATCACCCCTACACCCAATCTAGACCCTACAGAAGAAGCCAAGTCTCAACGAACAGACATCTTTCTGGTGGACATGAGCAGTGATTGTGTCCCTGTCGTTCTGTCATTGTATGATAAACAAACGAAATTAGCATCGATCTTTCGAAGAAACGACTACATTGGATTACATCAGCCTGTTCTCAAGCAAAGCACCGGATCACAAGAATTTGTGTTTGAGTATGCCATTGATACAACTATTTTTCTGATGCCTGAAAAAGAAGCACAGGAGGCCTCTCTAGCAAAGGTCAATCTTACAACTTTGGCTAGTCAAGATGATGCCTTTTCGTATACAGATCCTAAAAAAGACATTGCGGAACGTGATGAAGAGGTAACAGCAAACAACATCTTCCACGGTTTCTGTAAATCAATCATCTATGCCTTTTGTAGGGTTTCATGGATTGCTCAAACTACACGCAGCGCATCTACCTTCAAGATCTGTCTCATCGTATGCTTAATGTAACCCTGCTGGGGAAGGTTGTTGGTTTAGCAAATAATGTATGTATGTGCAAAGCAGCATGGAACAAGGATTGCAAGTGTATTAACTGGTTTCAGAATCCTTTTATTAAACAAAAAGATGGTGGAACAAGTCAGAAAATGGATAGATATGCCGTTCGCTTAACGGACTCAACAGGTAAACAGCTTTTTTATATTGCTACACGTGCATCTATTTTTACAAAGCACCATCGATACTAGATACGATGGACATCACACTATGGGAGGAAGCGGGCCATGATTCTCGCCGATTGCGTGTAGGGCAGTACGTACTACTGGATCACCTCGTTACCTCTGACAGACATCAGTCCAAGACAAACAACAAGATGATTTGGTATATCAATGGCAGTGTTGTATGCGGCACTAAAATCTACAACAGTAAGTATCATTGCAACCACGGCTGGGTCAGCACTAATGGCATGACAGTATCCACCTTGAGCTGCTTGATCACAAGCTCAAGCTTTCGTTCCACTATTCCGTTATGGCATGCTAAAGAGAACAAGATGGATCACTTTCAGGCAGAAGGCATGATAGTGGGTTGGGAGCTATTTCTGAATTCAGGGCAGAAAGGGCAATCTGTACTCAGCAATACATGCTCTCAGTCCACCGAAATCGACTTTTTAGACTACTCATTAAGTGATCGTATCACCACCTCTGCTCGTAAGATAAACCAATGGCAAGATATAGCCCTGTTACTCACACCTTCTTTATAAAGACGCAAGATGTTTACTACCACGAAATGGAAATGATTGTGAATTTTGCGGTTGTCAAATTGGAAATGAAGTTACACACATCTTTAGACCTAAACCAGCTGTGGCAGATGCTGCACCAAACAACAGCAGCACAAGCAGTAGCAGCAGCAGCAGCAGCAGCAATGTACATCAGCGTGGCTGGGAAGGTTGGCTTCAATGGACTCTTGATGATGGCACTAGTGTATGTAGCATATATGGAGGAGAGGAGGTAATGGGCACATTTGTATTATTAGACCCATTCAATAGGAGTTGTCTGACAGTGTCTCTTATTACAGACAATATTGAATGTTACAGCCTCTCATTTCAAAAGCATGTCGCACCAATCCCAAATCCAGCTGTTGAATAGTGTGTTAGGCACTCAAATCCTCTGCTCTCTTAGTGTAAGCTTGTTTCTAGTACTACATCTGATCAACCAAGAAAAACTGATATGTATACATTCTAGGGAAATGGTACATCAACTTACAGATTGGAGCAAATGACCCTATTCGAACCAACTGAACAGGAGTGCAGGTTCCTTTTAGAAGCACTGTCTAAAAAGTGAATAAAATAGAAGACTGAGAACTACTCTTCTTTTTCAGTTACTCTAAACGTGTTCTCAATGTACCACAAAATGTACAAGGATTATTATGCTTGTTTTACAGTATAAATTCAACCTGCTTTTTCGTCTTCTTTTCTCTCTTTTTGCTTTTTCCAGTATACACACTTCCCTTTTCCTCAATCACTCTCACTCACTTTCCTTAATACTATTACAATGAAGTTCTCTCTCCTTACCGCTGCTGGTGTTCTTGCCGCCATTAACCAAGCTACTGCTGTCACTGTAAGTCGCATTGGTTTCTTGATCTGTGCCTGTGCGGTATTTAACATTTTTGTATTAGATTGTCACTCCCTGGGCTAGCTCCGTATGGGTAAGTTGTTTTTCCCTGCTGTTCTGATGTTGCATGAAATGCTAACATTGCTTGATTTCTAGTCTGCTGGTGGACATGGTTTGATCACTTGGAATACCACTGCTGCTGACGCTAACCTCAAGTGTGATATCTACATGTTGAACGGTGAATTCACCAACTCCAAGTAAAGTACAATGGAATTACAAGCTGCTTCATTCGAATTGACCCATTTTCCCATTAGCATTGTTGCTCAAATCACTGATCCTGCTACTCCTGTTGCCTGTAGCGCTGGTAGTTACGATGTAGGACAAAATTAATTGTGTGTTTTCAAGGAATCGTGAGATGCTTATTGTGCTAAATTCCAATAGATGTATCCTTTGAACGACTTTGCTTCCGGTTCTTACTGGATCCGTATCGGTCAAGCCTCCACTGGTAACTGGGCCTACTCTTCTCCCTTCAAGTTCAACGGTACTGGCACTGCTAAGCCTGTTTGTAAGTAGACATTGTGCTTTCATGATCTTCAGCAACTAATATTATGCAATTAGCCGTTGTCAGCGGTGCCTCAGCTGCTGCTGTCCCCACCAACAGCTCCTCTGTTACTGGTACTGCCGCTGCCGCTGCTTCTGCTGCCTCTGCTACCAAGGCTGCCACCACTGGCGCCTCTTCTGCCAGCAAGTCTGCCTCCGCTTCTGCCTCTGCCTCTGCCAGCCCTGCTTCTTCCGGTGCCTCTGCCGCCATGTCCATCAACGCTGCCGCCGTTGCCTTGGGTGCCATTGCTGCTGTTGCTTTGACTCTTTAAATTCGCACTTGAAGATCCCTCATACACTCACCGATATCCCTTCATTATCACCTTTCTTTAGAGAAATTGTACGATTATTCACTTTTTAATGCTATATAATTTATATAAAAAAAGAAATCCAAAAATTACAATTCATGCATGATTGTAATTGTCCTATGAAGATATTACACAAAGTAGAACAACTAATCAAATTTGTACAAATGATAGCAGTGGATGATCAGCTTTACAGATCACAAAAATAATAACGGTAGTGCCACCATGTGGTATATTAGGGAAAGTGGATAGGGGTGGCAAATGACACAGCGTTGTCTTGTTTTAAGCTATTGTTGTCTTGGCCAACCATGTTTGCCACTAAGAGAGCTTGTGATAGGGAGAAGTGGAGGGAGAGAGGGATTCAAAACAAAGGGGCAGGATCAGACAGCATGTAGAGCACGCACCACTGACCAAACACATATGTTGTTTCATTGAATTCAGAAGCATGTCTGATCCATGACACGTTTTTCATTTTCTGATTTGATGTTTCAAATGAGTAGTGTCCAGCCTTCTCTGTCATTTTCCCCCTGTTGAAGATGGCGAGGATGATTTGCTATTTCGTATCACATCCATTGATCTAAAGCAACAAACAACAAACCGTTCAGGGGATTTGTAAGGCATCAAAAAGGGGACGTTTGAAGGGCCTTTGAAAGAGAGCGTTGCAAAAAAAACAAATAATACCCTGTCTTGGTTAATAGTTTTCTGTTACGTTGTTGATGCAGCAGGCAACACAAACATACACAAACAAAAGGTGTAGGATTCCCCTCTTTTTTTTTTTTCTTATGTTGATGTTTCCAGGAATACCTGATTTTCCTATAGTTGTTATTATTTTCTCCTCTTTCAGTCTGCTTTGGGCTGCGAGCCTCCTTTTATTCGTTGCAAAACAGAGCAGATCTTGTCGTTTGAGAGGTTGAAGATCTGCCTGTTTAGCTGCTTTAACATCATATGACGGATGCTTCTCAAAAAAAAAAAAAAAAAAAAAAAAAAAAAAAAAAGTAGAGAAAGAGAGACGCAAGCAGATCATTTTGTATGTTTATCCCACTTAAATGTAGCATGGGCTGTTTTGTTGTTTTATTTATAATCGACTCCTTGATATGGACATAAACAGAAAGCTATCCTCACCTGCATTTTGTTTCGTATAAAAGTTTGCCTCTCTTTGTTCTCTCTCTCTCTCTTTTTATCCTCTCTCTCTCTATCTCTCTCTCTCTCTTTCCCCCCCCCCCTATTATAGAACAGCTGTACCATAACAACCCCTTTTTTTACTGTCAATATACATACAAATGACACTTTCATTCAAAAAAGCCCCCAGTGTAAATCAAGACGAAAAGAAAAAGAGACATGTAGAGAGACAATCATCCAGCAACACCTCAGCGACCGTCACTGCAAACAACCAAGACAACTATCTGAACGGCATTGGATCGTACGAATTCGTGAAATCACTGGGAAGTGGTAAATTCAGCCGAGTTATGCTTGCATATCACCTGGAAACACATCAGCAAGTGGCCATCAAAGTAAGATCACTGCCCATCTTTGCAAACAAGCACTAACCAATACTGCAGATCATAGATAAGCAGGCTCACGATTACAGAGTCATGTCAAGATTGGTCAGAGAGATATCCATCATGGAGCTACTACAGCATGATAGCATCGTGAAGCTATACGAAACGTTTGAGAGCTGTGATTCGCTGTTTTTGGTGATGGAGTATGTGCCTGGATGGAACTTGGATGAATACCTGCAAAAGAAGTCTGAGGGAGCACTGGATGAGCATGAGGCTCGTCATCTCTTCAGACAGCTAGTAGCTGCTGTGGATTATTGTCACCATAAATGGGTGGTGCATCGTGATCTAAAGGTATGTTGATATGCAAGCATTTGTATCAAAGATACTCACATGCCAATGCTGCAGACTCCAAACATACTGATCACACCAGATGGAGATGTCAAATTAGCTGATTTTGGTCTAGGGAATCGATATGGCTTGCAGAGACTACGAACGATTTGTGGCTCTATGCTGTATTATAGCCCAGAGATTATCACGGGCCAGAAATACTATGGCCCTGAGGTGGATTGCTGGTGTCTAGGCATCACTTTATTTCGAATGACAGCAGGATTCGAGCCATTTTCGCATGCTCACAGTAAGTAAATTCGCATCATTAGAGTATGTGCACATGCTCAAAGTTGAATTGTATAGCTGTAGGAGAGCTTAAGCGAGATGTATGCAAATGCAACTTTCCAATGCCGAGTACACTTAGCCCGGAATTACAGGCTACAATTAGAAAGTGTCTGCAAGTGGACCGCAGAAAGAGAATGACAATAAGACAAGTCTTGAAAGATGACCCATGGCTCACCAATTTTGGCAAATTGCCATGCCCTGTTTCCAGTTTGCCAAAGACAGTATTCGAAGAGACAATGGTAGTAGACGATGAAAAGGAGAACAGAGACGAAAAGACCCGCAAGCAGTTCATGAAGGACCTTGAGAGAGATGCGCAGAATCCCAACAAGGTGAAGAAAACCATCATCTACCACCCAATCAACCCATCCACCTACTACACCACAAAAGCAGGTTCATCTCAGTCAGTGGCCTCATCGAATCAGATACAAAATGTGGAACTATTGCGATCTGAACTGCTGCAGTCTATCAGGTCGCGTGCTCGTCGTTTAGGCATCAAATCAGCAGAGCGTTGGGAGTTGAGATCACCTGTCAAGTTGCTATTTTCGACTTTGAATCCACAACATAAAAAGAAGGACATGGCACCTCCTGCAACAGCAGCACCCAATAGATCAATTGCAGAAATAGTACAACGCATAGCAAAAGACCAAGTTTACCACTTTCAATTAACCAATCAGCATCTAAATAACATATCCCAAAGCTCTCGCCCTCCTTCACTTTCTTCCTCTTCAACTACTGGTTCCTCTATTTTGAGCAGCATGGCCGATGACAGTGCATTAGCAGCTATAGATGACGGTGACCATGAGAGGAAATCAAGCCGAGATGTCATGGCCTTATTGAAGCAAACATGTCAACTTATGGGTATCACCTACGTACAAGACTCGCCTACATCATTGCATTGTGTGCTGACGTTGAGAAGTGCACCCAAAAAGACAATCAATAACACGTCCTCTACATCCACTGCTGGGACACTCAAGACCACATCAACCTCCACTAACAATGCACCGACAGCACCAAAGCACACACGCAAACAGAGTCAGACAAGCAGTGTAGGCACTAGTCTTGGAGGCACTACTGATGATTCTCACAATGGCGGTAGCTCACGACAATACAAGCGCATGTCTCTACCATTGATTTCGCATCTAACATCTTCCATGACAACATCTTTCTTTGGCCGTAGCAAACCTCGACACTCTATGGACGAAAGTACCACTATTACACACACACAACCACAGCAACAAATGAACAAGAGAAAGCAAAAGGAAGGCGTTGCCATGTTTACTATAGAGATTGAAGGACACAAGCGAAGAACAGACAAGGTCAACCTGAGATTCTCCAAGCAGCAAGGTTCTAGCACCGTATTCAAAATGGCTGGTGGTTGGGTTGCCGGTGTCATGGCTTTGGATGGTAAAATTGGCCGCTGAATTAGACTCTTGTATATCGTTCCGTCCCATACTGCCTATATATCCTTGCCTCATACATATATCATATATACATTCATATACTATACATTATATTTCTATAAAATCTGTAAACAAATGAACTATCATCACACATACGTACATTATGCAAAATGAAAATCAGTGCAGATAACGTGGGTTTGTTTGGATGCCTCTTTGATACATTAATTATATAGCTCATTACATAGGCATTTCATCAAAACAGTTTGCATTAGTGTGTGTTGCGTGCTGTACCGTTATCCATTTATACACTACTGGTTGTTGTTTTATCCGAGTAATTCCTTCACACGCATTGTTAGAAGTCTCTGTTTATACTTACATCAGGATCCAGGCAAAGACTTCAGAGGAGTTATGAGTCTATCAGATTAAATTGGATATCGTTCTTATAGCTGGATATACATACGTATTCGAGTGTAGAGTATTTGGGGCATATGTGCTGCGAGCAGACCTTTACGACTTGTATTAAAGTATACGAGTGTTTATGCTTCGGATGGCTCTCTACCTTCGCTTCGCTTTGGTGAAAACCAGCCTGTTCAGCGGCAGCTTGCGTTACCGATTGCCCTTGTGTATCTTATCAAAACACTGCTACTTTCATTTTGACTCTTCACTTACACATAAAAGTCTTTTATATTATCTGTGGATCTGGTTCTTATGTGATGCTCTACATCCATATACACTTAGCTACTTTATATGGGCAAGCAGCATACTGGTATTTCCCCTTTTTAGCCCTTCGTGTCCCTGATACAGCAAAATCTGAGTGCATTTGAGGCGTGTTTTCTTGCATTCAGGGCCGTTTTAGATTGTCAGAATAACACCGAACAATTGCTCTCATCTGGCAGTTACTTTCTGAAATGAAAAGGCCTCCATTGCATCACAACAGCATAACAATAAAAAGAGAAAAATATCGACGGATGACTACATGGAGAAACAGCGACATGCTTTGATTCCAGATATGATTATAAGTCATGCAAATCGCGAATATGCTATTGTAGAAGTAACCAAAAGTAACAACAGCATGAAGCAATTGATTGAAGGCGGAAGAAAATGCCCTGAAATGATGGGTCAAATGTTTGATACATTGGTGTCAAAATGTCCCCGCCAACAACGGTCAATGAAGGTATACGGTTGTCTGCTGTCTCGGTTAGAATGCACACCAATGGAGTTGTCCAGTCCAGATGGACATGTGAAGCTGATGAAAAGGGGTGAAGTTGTGGAGCATCCTGAATCAGCATTGTTGTTCAAGACGGAACTAGCGGCGCTGTTATCTTACTTTTGGAGATTTAAGCTTGCAATTGAATTTGTTTTAGAAGTAATGGTCAATGGTTAAGTTCAACAAAATGAATTTTAAACAGTTTTTAAATAAAGTTTATTAGCGATATCAAGTTCGATGCAAAATTGATACCAATAGAATCTAAAAAGAAGTATGTTTCTATCGTCATTCTTAATTATAAAGACTAGGACTAGAAGCTATTATAGACAGGCAAGGAGCCCCTGAGCTGACTGTAGAGCAAAAATCTTCCAAATTCATGAATATGCTAAATGACAATGCCCCATTCCTCAGTCAAACTATTCTATACGATTTGTTAGTGACATATATTGCCAAAATGATAATGCCTGCATCTCCAACTATTTTGATCAACTTTTGACAATCCAGTTGAATGGATTTGAGACGTATGTAGCCCAAATAGACACTTTGATTGTCTTAAAAGTGATAGTTACTTTTGAGCAATGCTTGTCGACTAGAACTTACTTGACATCCACTCTGATCTGCATTCCGGATAGTTCATCCAGTTACCGGGTTTCGATATAGACTAGGTGTGCACTGGATTAGATGTACAATATGGATTTACACTATGAGAAGATATAAACTTTAGATGCGCTAGTACTATAAGACTCATGCTATACTGTATAAGATATAGACTATAGATGGCACCACAGACATGGGTGGCGCTATAGACCTATACTTGTATTCTGACATTGACTATGGATGTTTGCCATATTTGGATAAGCACCAAGATCAATGCAATATGAGCTTGTTTTTTAGATGTGCACTTTATGATCCACACTATAAGACACATACTTTTATCAATGATACTAGCTACAGATAGATTATGTACTACAGACTTGTACTATATATAAGATATGCTATAGACATACATACGATATGCTATAAACATGCCATATATCCAGATGCATGCTAAAGATGTATACTCAACGATATACAATCAGATGAGTAATATTGATATAATCTAAGTAGACTGTACCTATCGGATACATGATAAGAGATTGATATTAATAATCCCTATACAAAGGATAGATCAGGGTACTTCGGATAAGACTCTAAATATTCATCGAATAATATGTCAACATCGTGTTTATTCCCATCACATGCCATTAGATGCCTCATCTATTATAATTATCCATGTTGTGCCAGAAGGGCTACAACTGTCTATAAAGATTAGGGTATTCTTGATGGGTAGATATGTCTGTGTTGTGCAACAACATGGGCAAGCTATGATAATCGAAGTGCATCTCAGCTATCTAAATGCTGAGGTTCACCAGATGTGGTAAGCGTTAAACAGGATAAATTGCTACTTTGGCATTCAGAACTTAGTATAAATAGAATAACTCCTGTCTTCATCAATAAATCTTTAGTTTTTGTGTCTGATCTTATTCAAATAAGTCTTTTCCTGTTTTTATAATATCGAACATTTTTTATAAGCTACAAATAATAATCCTTTTATTCTTTGTGCTTAACAGTAATGACGGAAAATGTTCTAAATGACCGATTTTCAAAGGGCCATACCTCTGGATTTTACTAAGTGAACGAGAGCTTCAAACTTAGTAGCTTCTGTTTCTTTTTCAATTCTCTATACGATGGTATGGTTATTATAGATAAATAAAAAAAAAGTTGAATATCCCCTGCTTGTAGCTCATAAAATATATGATTTTCAGCAAATTTATGAAGGGAACGTACATCTGGTACTTTAAACCCTTATATTATAATGGATATAATGTAGAGCTATCGAATGGTCCTTGTTTTGTGCGAATCCAGTGAGTATTTGTCGAGATATGGTAAAAAAAAGGGTATCATGCAAAATCAACGATTTTTCTTCAAAATCTACGTGTGATAGCAAGCGAAAAATCTGGTGACGATTTTTTGGTCATGACAAGATTTTCAATATTTCATGATAGAATTATGCCAGAGCTTCAAGCAATAGCTCATTCGATAGGAAATTTTTTGGTTTACAATGTTTAGTAATGCTTAATAGAATGTTTTGATGACAGATACTGATTAATTCTTAGAAAACAGTAAAAAAATGGCAAAATGTATCTCATTAAATATCAAGTGAACAATATACATTAGAGACTTGAAATAAATACCCAATGTATTCTTCTTGCAATTCTCTACAAGTTTCATATAAGTTTGAAGGGGTGGTTACTATCAAGAAACGCGTAATTTTAAGGTCAATAGATTTCAGAATCCCATGGATCATCATTCAGAACAATAGAAATTGAATCTCCGTTAAGCTTCCGCATGTGTATACCTCGTATCTATGAATTTGGGAAAACGTTTTTAAAATCGGAGCGTGCGAAAAGGGCCATATTAACTTGCTGGTTTTAAGTTATCAATGGATACCTGACATGTTGAAAAACCTTGTTGTCAAGACTAGACAACTGTAGCTTGCTTTATTCAAGATTAATAATTTTTCCAATTTAAAGTATGTATATTCTCCCGCCTAAAGATAGCATTTCCAGTGTCTGTTAACTTATGGGCTGAGTCCTTCCATTCGCAGAAGTTAATATGTCTATGCAACTAATATAATAATAGAGGATGTGTTTATACGGAATTGATTTGGGGGAAAGTATAACTGGTTGGATTCAGTGTGTTATGTAGTATCTCTATGCTGTATATGGTATGTAGTCGTCACAGAAATGGAGATGAGGAGCTGTTGCCGAATAAAATATCAGAAGGAGTTATTCGATTATTTGCTACTTGAACGTGGTTGAAAATGGATTCAAACGGATTTATATATTATCTAACACGTAGTTCGTTTTCAAGTTTTTCAAAAGCGTTTGACTCCAAATATACAGAGCTGTTGGACAACTTATTATCTATTGACACGGTAAAAAAAATAGCTTTTTATTTCCTGTTACTGAAGGTTAGTCTTGAGTCATGTCGGTTACTGAAAGTATTGCTTCTATTGATAGGTTTGAGGAGGTAATCATGGTCAAGTTGATGGACGAGTCTTGTTGACAGCTCGCAATTTGGATTCACCTCCTCACCCTACAATAGAAGCATGCACTTTCAGTACACCATAATCCAAGACTAGCCGCAATTCAACATTCCTCTTATTTCAATTCACCACCCTACACATTCCATCCCTCTAAAAGATATTTACAACCACAAACAATATATATCAGTGCCAATCTAAACAAATTCTATCCTTTCCAACTTTCTAAATATAATATAAATAGCCCATCCAAGACATTGAAAATAAACAACTTATCTTTCCTTCTTATTTTTACATTGTTGATATCAGTTACACTTGATTTGGTCTGTTGTCATATCTGTGTTACTGTGAATGTAAATGCGATAATGATGATTGTAGAGAGAATCAAGTGGATAACATTTATTAATATGGCTTTAATTCATTTAATGTTATATAGCCTATTACATATATTCCAATCCAACTTAATCCGAGATGTAAGATCATCCATTTTTGATCAAGCCGATCAAATATCCGAACATTCTATCTTTGCTGTTTCGCTATCTGCAAATAGATTGATAAATCAAAAAGATGCAGGCCAGGGTTTCCTTGGACAGTGTTTACCACAGCAACGGCCTTTGCAGGAGTGGCCAGAGACGTGGGAGCTGCGACAGGAGTAAGGTCTTGAGAAGATTCTACCCATTCTAACAGGGTCGGCAACTTCTCAATCGTGTTCAGCTCTTAATGGGCTTTTGGCGTGTAAGGACTAAATTCTAATTTGAAACACTTCCTTTGAAGATGTGGCAATCTCCCTTTTCGGAGATTCTGGACTGTTTCCTTTTTAGACGTTTCCAATGTTCCCTTAGCATTTGCCTTGTGATATAATGCCGTCGAGTCTTGCATAGAATATACTGCGCCGAGCTTTCTGAAATGCCTTGGCGTCTCTTGTCGTATAGATCCTCATACCTAGCAAACCAGAAGGGAGTAACAAATCTAGCCTTGAACTTGGATACAACGGATTCCTGACATCTGTCTTCAGAATCAAAAGGAAAGCTTCCTGTTTTATAACCAGCAGCCTGACTCTTAACTTCAGCGTCAAACCATCCACGAGCAAAACCTTGCAAACATCGCCTAAATAGCTCCTTCAGTCTAATACCATTCGTCTAGTTATTCCAAGAAGCTGCCTCTTTGAAATCTTCCAGGAATTGAAGGGGATCCTCCTCCACTGAGAATCCAGAGCCATGGAATTTGGGAGCAGGTTTCACATTGCTTTCACCTGTGACAACGACAACTTGTTGATTTGGAATTGACATTTCTGCGAAGACAGAAGAAGTATCCGAAGAAGAGGTAGACAGAGGGGCATCAGACTGGTCAGTGCCAGACTCTTCGATTGTCATGTTTGCTAGGCTTTACCTATTTATTTTCTGTGTTCTGTGCTCAACTGCGAGTTGATGGTATTCTTGTCTGTGAGCACGCCCAGCTTTTCCACCATTTGTTGAGAGGGCGCGGTAACGGGATAAAATTTACCTGTGCTCTTTATAGGATTACGCTTATTCAATTATGAACTATTCCGACACATCAAGTAGCTCTTATTACAAATACTACTTCTCTGGTGCACAGAATAAAAAAACCAAATAGAAAAATAAACTAAGGGGATTAAAAAGCACTCCTTTATTGATAATATATAAGATGGATATTTATACGTTACGCCCTTGTTTGCTTGTTTGCTCACTTTCTTGCTAACCTCACTGACTTGATCTTAAGTTTAGTAAGAAGCAATTCAAGAAGCTTAAGGCGGACATTACCGCTCACAGCAATATGTTATGTTGCTTCATAAAATGTCATTTCCAAGTATAACCATTTAGAAATGGGGTTCTGTCTCAGTGAACTTTCCCTGTATATATTAAGGTGCCAAATACATAAAAGTTGAAAGGAAAGCTGTTTATTATAGCAATTCAAGAGATGGACAATATATTTGCAATCTTCTAGTCACCTAACTACACGCGACCCTACTATTGACATTACTCAATTTATATCTATGACTATATACTACTATCTAATACATTGCTATAGCTATAACTATTCACCAACAATAGCTAAGCACACCACAAATAACTGAATCATATTTTCACAATGACAAAAATTGTCAAATGCTTATATATAGAGATAGTATATGCAATCTGAAATCTGTTCGAGATATATAAGTGCAGTGAAATCGGGTTTAATGGATTTCACAAAAAAAAATAAAGCAAAGGTAAAATACAATAGAAATCAACTGTATTTTATTTGTGTGTAAAATGAACTGAAGATCCTGGAATTGAGTAAAAAAAAAGAAGAGTATTTATACATTTGCATCTGGCTTGTAGGATTAGTGATGATAGAGAGCAATAGGTGCTGCTATTGCGATATCTGGCAAATGTTGTTGATGTTTGATTTAAAGTGGTAATCAATGCAAGAGCACTGGCCATAAGGGTCGATTTGAGTAACCTTGATGGGCTTGGGTGAGCTATCGTCATAGCATGATTTAATGTAACCTTGATGGTTTAAAGTGTGATGTTTGTTATTGAAGTATGGAATCCTTTATCTGGGATATTGTGCAACTATGGCAGCAGGGCATAGTTGTCATATCTGAATATGCTTGTTATTGATTTGATTCTATTTGGATAAAGATACCATCACTTATTACGACCATCATGGGTGTGATTGAATACACTGTGATCAGGAGTGATTCATTCACACGATGTGCGATATAAGCATGCATCTTTACTTTAGTATTTTTAAATGGCTTTTTGATGTACATTTGAGCGCTTTCATTAATAGATCCAAATAGCATGAATTTGAATGAGTACTATTTGATGAACTTTGGTTTTCAATTAAGTGGCGTTTGGGTGGCTATTTCATTACAATAAGGAAGTAGGTATGAAGAGTATGCAGAAAGATGTTATAGCCTTTTAATTGAATGGATAAAAAGGTGTCTTTATTACTATTAGATTTGGATATTGGTTTTATCCAATATAGTTTGTGTAATGTTGTGTGCTATCCAGGTTAATCGCTGTTTGATATTCCTGGTAGCTGGCGCTCTAGGTTTAAACCTGCGCTTCTTATTCTTGTTTGTGTTTAACCTGTCAATGATATTCTGCAGATCTAAATCACTGTCAGAATACCCTTCAACGCCAACAAAATCTGTCGTGCCTAAATTTAGGTTTAAGCCAAATTTGAAGAAAGCGACTCAAAGGCGCCAGCACATACTCGAAGGTTCTGGGAAATTGATAGCAGCAGACATTGATCTGATTATCAGTTGCTATATCAAGTATTATATCTACTCGAAAGTTCTATTGATTAAGTAACTATCGATCGTAGAAATAGTATAAATATAAGTTGTAAATGCAATCAATAAACAGTATCTTCGAACATAATCTCAAATCTATTAGTTACGCTCTAAGTTATTTGTTAACTCCTACCATTGAGTCTACTTATCAAGACGACAAATTGTTAGGGTTGAAGGGTATTCTGACAGTGATTTAGATCTGCAGGATATCATTGACAGACTAAACACAAACAAGAATAAGAAGCGCAGGTTTAAACCTAGAGCGCCAGCTACCAGGAACATTAAACAGCGATTAACCTGGATAGCGCACAACATTACACAAACTATATTGGATAAAATCAATGTTCAAATCTAATATTAATAAAACACCTTTTTATCCATTCAACTAAAAGGCTATAACATCTTCCTGCACACTCTCTATATCTACTTCCATTTATATCTCGATCAGATCTCAGATTGCATATACTACCTCTACGTATTAGCATCTGACAAAATTGTCGTGTCTAAATTTAGGTTTAAGCCAGATTTGAAGAAAGCGACTAAAAGGCGCCAGCGTATACTCGAAGAAGAAGGTTCTGGAAACTGATAGCAGGCATTGATCTGATTATCAGTTGCTATATCAAGTACTATATCTACTCGAAAGTTCCATTGATTAAGTAATTATCGATAGTAGAAATAATATAAATATAAGTTGTAAATGCAATCAATAAACGGTATCTTCAAACATAATCTCAATCTATTAGTTACACTCTAAGTTATTTGTTAACTCCTACCATTGGATCTATCTATCAAGACGACAACTGGTAGCAGCAGGACAAAAAACAAATTCAAGTTACAAAGTTATTTCTCAAGGTTATTCTAAAGGTTATCTCTCAAGGTTATTTTTCAAGGCTCTCTTGACGTTCGTTATTGGTTTCTCTACAAGTTTCTCTGGTTCTCTCTGATTTTCTCTGGTTCTCTACAAGTCTATGAACGAAGATATTACTATGTCAAGTGCAAATATTGTTGGTAACAACTCTGGTTACGTTCGCAAGGTCCGTGAACCCGATGTTTTTAATGGTGAAAGAGACGCTATTGTTCTAAACGCATGGATTTACTCTTTGGAGTTGTATTTCTCCTTGGTAAAGATTGAAAACACCCAAGAAAAGCTTTTGGTTGGACTTTCTCTGTTGCGAAATGATGCTCAATTGTGGTACTCACAGATGAGTGCCTTTGATAGTGAGCATACACCACAAGATTGGGAAACGTTCAAGACGGCATTACGTAATGAATTCATACCAATCGATGCCATTGCCAAGGCGCGCGATGGTATGGCTAATCTGGTTCAAGTCTCGAATGTTACGAGTTATATCAACGCATTCAGACGTCTACTATTACAGATCCCGGATATGACGCCTGGTGTAGCTCAAGACAAGTTTGTGAGAGGACTAAAACAACCTCTTCGTCATGCTGTGCGATCTCATTTTCCCAAATCGCTGGAGGAAGCTCAGCGTTTGGCTCTTGCCATTGAAGGTGCTGGTGAAGACGAGGTAGTTCAACCTATTAGGCCGAATGTACCGCAACCTCAGTATGAATCGATGGATTTGGATGCAATCCGTGAACTAGTCAATGCTATTAATGGTGTTCCTGGCGGTCGACGTAACTTTAATGCTGGTAACAAACCCAGAAACAATACCAACATTAAATGTTACAACTGCCAAGGTTGGGGACACATGCAAGGTGAATGTCCCAGTCCTCGCAATAATGGCCGCGGCGGTGGAAAACGATTTGGTGGCTCTTTTAATAAGCATTTAAAAGAGTAAGCGTGTCTGACGAGGGGGGAGATCAGGCACGCTCTAATAAAAGATCCCTCAACAGTATCAAGGTAGGAGATACTGTTCCCAAGACTGGTAATGATGGTGTTGATCTGTTAGATCTCGATAGCGATCACGAGACGGATGATCTAAAGGCTGACAGCAATTATTTGTTTAATTTGGAAAAGAACAATAAAGCTACTACTGATTTGCCGTTGTACTCTTTTGACCTCTGTTCTAATGATGGAACTCGTGATTGCCTCAAGCCTATCAAGGTACTGTTGGATACTGGTGCTAGCTCAAACTACATTAGTCCTACATTAGTTAATCCTACAACAATGAAGATCACATCATTACATTCTAAACACGAAGTGGAAACGGCTAATGGACAAGTATCTGTTATCAAGGAAAAGGTGGAATTTTCGGTCTCGGCCAATGGTGTTGGTCAACGTATACAGGCTTATGTGTTTGATACTAAATTTGATCTTATTCTTGGTCAACAATGGTTCAAACAGTATAAACCTATTCCCAATTGGTCTAATAACTCTTGGTCTATTCCTGGCCCTCATGGTATTGGTATGGCTGTCTTGTCTCCGGTAAATCTGGTATCTAATGCGCAAGATTTGGTGTATGTCATGTCCAAAAGACAAATGCAGCGTTCTTTGCGAAAAAACAAGATTGATGAATTGTTTTTGGTACATGTCAAAGAGTCTGGTGACTGGCACAACATGGTGGATACTAGTGATAATCTCGGAAAGGATATCTCTAAACTGTTGGATGAGTACAAGGATGTTTTCACGGAAAAACTACCTCCTGGTTTACCTCCTGATCGTGGTATCGAACATGTTATCGAGACTGGCGATGCTGAACCTGTATGCAAACATCCTTTCAAGATGAGTCCTTTAGAATTGGATGAACTACAACGTCAACTAAAGAAATTGTTGGACAAAGGCTTCATCCAACCTAGTTCGTCTCCTTGGGGTGCTCCTGTTCTGTTTGTGCGTAAAAAGTCTGGCGAGCTTCGAATGTGCATTGATTTCAGAATTATCAATTCTTTATGCACTAAAAAGCTCAACACCCCTTACCTCGTATAGATGAGTGTTTGGAACGCCTCGGCGGGGCTAAATACTTTGCGCAATTCGATCTGACTAGCGGCTACCACCAAATTAGGCTATCTAGCGCAGACGTCCCTAAAACTTGTTTTGTTACACGCTATGGTGCTTTTGAATGGCTTGTGCTTCCTTTCGGACTCCGAAATTCTCCGTCGGTGTTTCAAAATATGATGAACAAGTGTCTTTTTGGCTACATTGATCGATTCGTCCAGCTCTACCTAGATGACATTTTGGTGTATTCTCCAACTGCTGAATCGCATCTGGAACACATTCGTCTAGTTTTGGAAAGATTTAGGCAGTTCAAGTTGTATGCCAACCCAAAGAAATGTAAGTTCAATCAGCGTGAAGTGGAGTTCTTAGGCATGAAGGTTTCGGCAAAAGGCATTCTGCCTTCTGATTCAAAGGTTAAAGCGATCAAGGATTGGCCTGTTCCCACTAATGTGCAAGAGGTTCGTCAATTTGTTGGTTTGGCTTCCCATTACCGAAGGTTCATCCGTCAATTCTCGTCTGTGGCAGCCCCTCTAACTGAACTTACTAAGGGTACTGGTTCTAAACGTCGTGGCATTGTCTGGAGTCAGGAGTGTCAAAAAGCTTTTGATCGATTGAAATTCTTATTGACTCATGCTCCCTGTCTACAACCTCCTGATGTGACTAAACCATATATCATTGAGACAGATAGCTCTGACTTTGGTTGTGGTGCGGTACTTTTGCAAAAAGATGACCAAGGCGTTTTACATCCTTTGGCATTCGAATCTAAGAAATTTTCTATGGCTGAACGTAACTACCCTGCGCAAGAGAGGGAACTTCTTGGTGTTTTGCATGCTTTGCGGGTCTGGCGATGCTTCATTGATGGTGCTGACTACGTGGTATATACTGATCATAATCCGTTACAGTATCTAAGATCGCAATCTAAACCTACAGCTCGTTTGGTCCGTTGGTTATCAGAAATCGAGACTTACGCTCCTAAAATATTGTACAAACCTGGCAAAATCAATGAAGTCCCGGATGCTCTTTCCCGTCGTGATGGTGCTGACTGTGTGGCCGCTAATACTAGTATGGAACCTCGTTATTTGTACTCTGTCGAGTCAAATATAATGGTACATCCGTCGGATTGGCCAACTTTCTATTTAACCAAACAGGAGTTAGTTCCCGATTCGGTGAAATCTCTACGCGAGTCCAACACTCACAGGTTTGTCATCAAAAATGAGAAGGTTTATCGCAAGGTGAAAATTGGTGAACGAGAGTTTGAAGCAAGGTTCTGTCCATTCTCAAACCGTGCTACCTTGGTGAACAGATTCCATGAAGGGTTTGGTCATGCTGGTCAAAGTACTGTGTTTGAACTTATGCGCAAACGCTGGTGGTGGCCCAAGATGCGATCTGATATTCAAGGCTGGTTATCTACTTGTAAGGAATGTCAGTTGGCTTCTAGTTCTGGTAAAAATAAGCATCATGCTCCAATGGTTTCTCTGGATATTCCTCCCGCTTTTGGTCGCTGGCACTTGGATTTTGTTGGTGAGTTACCTCTGACAGCTCAAGGTAACAGATGGCTTCTTACTGCGGTTGATTACACTACGAATTGGCCTATTGCTCGTGCGGTACCGGAAGCCACAGCAGAAGCCGTTGCTGATTTCATCTATGAGGAAATCGTGATGCGTTTTGGATGCCCCCAGGAAATCTTGACAGATCGTGGTGCTAATTTTATGTCAAACGTGGTGAAACTCTACATGCATAGAGTCAAGGTTAATCACAAGTTTACTTCTGCTTTCCACCCTAGAACTAATGGTAAATGCGAACGTCTCAATGGTATTCTCAAGGCTATGTTAAGAAAATACGTTAACGGTGCTATTTTTATGTGGGATAAATTTGTTGACACGGCTCTCTTTGCTGCTCGGGTTCGTCATCATCGCTCTACTGGTTATTCTCCTTTTTATTTGGTATATGGTCGTGAACCACTGCTTCCTGGGGATTATACTCGTCCTTATTTCGATAAGTTGATAGCAAATGATCCTAGAACTGTGGCTGAACATACTGCTCGTGAATTGGAAAGTCTTGGTCAAGTCCGTGCTGCTTCTGCTCATCGTATGAAAATGGTCTCTGAATCCGACAAAGAACGTTGGGATGCGGCTATTGAGAAGCTTGAATTTGAAGTTGGTGATCATGTCCTGCTTAGAAACGAACAGAAATACGGTCTTGAATACAATTGGATGGGTCCCTTCATTGTCGTTGATAAAAACTCGGAAAGCCATGTCTACAAGTTGGTTACGATTGGTGGTGAACCTTACTCGTCTTGGGTACATTTTGACCGTTTAAAAGGTGTTAAGGCTGAATCCATTGATACTCCTTGGTACAACCCCACTGTGTCTCGTGCTGCTTGGCGTGAAGAAATGGGTCTCAATTCTAGTAATCAGGCTGTATCTTGTACTTCTAGTTTCTCTGGTACTTCTGGCTCTGTCGATCAAGTTGATCAGAGTCGATCAACAATCTCGGGGGGGAATGATGTCGTGTCTAAATTTAGGTTTAAGCCAAATTTGAAGAAAGCGACTAAAAGGCGCCAGCGTATACTCGAAGGTTCTGGAAACTGATAGCAAGCATTGATCTGATTATCAGTTGCTATATCAAGTACTATATCTACTCGAAAGTTCCATTGATTAAGTAATTATCGATAGTAGAAATAGTATGAATATAAGTTGTAAATGCAATCAATAAACGGTATCTTCAAACATAATCTCAATCTATTAGTTACACTCTAAGTTATTTGTTAACTCCTACCATTGGATTTATCTATCAAGACGACAAAATCGTCAAAGCGCGGTTGGTTAAGTGGTATAATCTTCGCCTGCCACGCGAAGGGCCGGGGTTCGATTCCCCGACCGCGCATTTTTGCTTTTTTTTTTTTTTTGCATCTTGTTGAAGAGTTATCAGTCAAAGAAGAGAAAGAAACACATGAGAGGAAAATATAAATATGAACGTAAATATTGATTTCGGGAAATTATCAAGAATTGTTTTATTTTGTGAAACCTGTGCAATGTATTTGATTTGGTTTGACATTTTGCAAGAGACATTTTAAACATTGATTGAAACCACAACATGGGAAATAGTGCTAATGCTGACCTCATTTGCAGAGCCGGAGGGAAATCTATAGCTTTTCTGAAATGATGTGTTGAAAACAGTTCATGCTTCTGGATGTCACTGTGATAAGATCAAATCAGCCATCAAAATTGATGCGCAGACTCATCATTGTTCTTGCTGAACTACTCTAGCCGTTGGAAATGTTTGGTAAGATCAGGTAGTTTATTGTAATTAATTGTAGTAATTCAGGCTTTTTTTAGATGGTTAAATAGATAGGCCATGCACAAGCTAGTTGGCTTGTAATTCACCTAAAACTGTTAAAATGTACTTGGATACTTTGGGTCTTTGAATTGCCAACAAGGTTAATTCACTTTCGTAAGGCAGATAAAAGGTGTGGTGTTGTTTGTTTCTTGCTAGGTTTCTCAGCAGTAACGCAGAGGTTAATGGAATACCAGAGACTTCTGAGTCATCAATGGGGATCTTTGCTACTGTGAATGTTTGCTTTGTGGGAAGTGGCTTCTTGGCTTTGCTGGCAAAGTGTGTTCGCATATGTTGGATGGCATGTTGTTTATCATCAAGTGCTCTTGTACATTTCATCCAATGACATTCTGTTTGGTCTTCTAAATGTGTTTGAATGATGTGTTTGTGTAGCTCTACAGGACTATCAAAGCTTTGATTGCACTCATTCCAATGACAAATGGGTCCTATCAAAAAAAAAAAAACCTTCAGTTATCTCAGTACTCAACACTATTGACCATCAATTTTACCATCTCTTCGTCTGGTGGGTGATAATTTCACGTTGGAAAGCACTGTATTGACTGGTTCGGGCCCATTGAACGATTCTTCCACTGAGGGTGGTTGAGGAAATGCAATCTTGAGCACTGTATAAAACTCCTTTAGCCCCAATGGCTTCTCTGTGCCGAATAACTTTTGGTATTCAGTGAATATGTCTTTCAAAGTAATTTTGTCTGTCTCTGATCCGCTCAACAGCTGATCCTTCAGCCTATGAATAAAAAGCAAGAATGAGTCCACATCCAGTTGAATCAAGACAGCAATGTCCTTTACCATCCAAGACAGCGATAAGGCTCATCCAAATATTGGTAGTTGGTTAAATCTGGAATTGTTGGTTTCTGGGAGGCTGCGGGTTCAGGTACCTTGATCATTTGTGCTGCTGGTATACCATGAAGGGTTCCAATGGCGGACGTTGATGGAGGTGCCAAAGAGGACTTGTAGGATAAGAACCCAGTCAGCAAGCCCACCAAGTTGCCAGGATAGCCTCTGATGAGTTGAGCAGAGAAGTTTCCACGTAAACTAGAGTACTGGTAGAGATATTCCAAAGTTGCAGCTGCTAATTCCTCGTCATCTATCATCAAAAACTGAGCCATACGCTGAATCACATCGGCATCTGCATATCCCAGCACACGTTCATTTGTTTCTGTTACAGCGACACGAGTCAAAGCACGGATAGCGCCCAAAATGTAGGCACGATCGTTGGTGAATAAGAGGTGAATCATAGTTGTCAAGTAAGGATCCTCACGGCTGCCAAGCGACACTTGAGGTGCAATGTTTTCCAAAATGTCCAGACAGTGTCTGCTCAATTCACCGTACTGAGAATTAGGAGGCAATGCGATGCCTTTCATGAGTAAAAACAAGAGACGTTCGTGTGTTGCTAATCGACGAATGTTCATTTCTAAGAAGCTAAAGTTGCGCAAAATGTGGAATACTTGCAGTACGCGCTCGTAACTCTCTTGTTGTGCCTTGCTGCAAAAGACGTCGGCAGTGGTTTGGTCTGCTTCAATTTGCTGCTGAAAGAAATCGATGGTGAAGTTCAGCAACAGGTCGATCAACGTAGGAATGAAATCAAGGGAAAAGTTTTCAGATGCATAGGAAAATTTGATCAGTGTATTGAAGGCCCAATCGATTTCATTTGGTAGGCTGGACTGAAGAGACAGCAAAATGCGTGTTTTGAACTCTTGGTCTTTGAATATAGCTATCATTCACTCTTGATTTAGCTTGCATACAACGAATGGCCTTTACTTTTATCACTTTACCTTGTTGATATGCCATTGTTGCTTGCTAGACAAAAAAGAGGTGTGTTGCTGGATGCGTTGCTTGGCTGGATGTTGCGAAATGTGATGGATGCTTGTCGAACGAATGATTCAAATAGTACGTTCTGGCTGTCTTGTTTTGCAAGAGATTATCTGTCTAAATTTCAGATAGAAAGGTGTTATACGAGGAAAGAAGAGAGGGGCTGCAAGTGAAAAAGAAAATTTCTACTCTTTGTTACACTTTCGCGGTTTGTATACCGCCATCTTTTTGCCAAATGACAAGGTGTCACTAAGCGACTATGAAAGTCAAGAAAGGGCAGAATGTATCACTGAGTCACAGGGCAAAACCACCACAGGGATCATGCAAATCAGTTTTATTTACTCCAAGTCGAACAGGTAGATCATAGTAAGATTTTAAGAAACACGAACGCTTTTATTGATGTGATGTGATGTGATGTGATGCGATTATGGGAGATGGCAATACAGTATTAAATGTTAATGCAGATGTGTATTATAGAGTGTAGAGGGTATAAGCATATATCAAACTGTACCGCTTTTTAGTTTCATCATAGAATAGCATAGTAACTCTTTTGAAATGTTGGTGGCATCCAGTGCAAGTGATTTAAGCGTGTGCAGGCGTTGATCGATAAAGTATCGAAATGTTTCCTCGGAAACGGTCAAATTGGCATATGACAGATCGAGTGTTTGCAGCTTTTGACAGCTTGCCAATTGGCGCAAGACAGCATCATTGATGATGACTAGATGTGACAGATTGACGTGCTCTAGCAGTGGGCTCTGCGATAATAGAGTGCTAACACCTTTCGAGGTCAAGCTGTAGCACTCCCTGAGAAAAAGACTCTTCAGGTTCTTCATCGGCATGTTGCTTAGGAGCCCTTGATCCGAGATAAGGGTATTGCCCCGTAAATCCAACGTCTCCAGTGAGGATGCTGATCCATGCAAAAAGTGTTTGATGGCACTGTCTGTGAGCATGTGTGTCAAATGAATTTTAACATGCTTCCAGGGATAGTAAGACTTATAAAACAAAGGGCCGTGTATCTTTTCATTTGGTTGTCTGCTGGGTGCGGCTTGATATTGGTCAAATTGCTGACAATACCTGTTTCTTTCGTATTCAAGGTGCTGCAATTTCGGACAGCATACTTGCAAGATGTTGAATACAGGGATGATATTGACGAGGCACCGGTTCAGCACAAGTTTCCTCATGTCTGGGCAGCGAACCACAATGCTTGCTAAATAACTTGCTGTCAAACCATGAATTCCAGTTAGCTCCAATGATTCAATGTGCGGTAGCAGGCTGAGGTCTTCAATGATCTTTGTAAATGTGGTAGGAAATCTATCACCAAAGTATTCTAAGCGGTATGCAGCTCCGTTATGCAGTCGAGCATCATGAAGCGAGGTAAAGCAATCTTGCACTGTAAGATGTTTGAGTTGAGGGCACATTTGAGGCAGCGTATCGATGATATCATTTAAGCGCAATGAAACTCCACCCCAATGCAATTTGTCTAATGTCGATCCAATGTATTCCAATGCATTAAAGAACAGTGCAGGTGTGCAAATCATGTCTGATATAACTAAATGAGGACAGGTGAGATACATGGCTGGTGCATAAAGGGATCCGTATTACATACTCAGCGTCTTTAGCCGGTAACATTGTCTCTGAGCTAATGCCATGAGAATACCATCACCGTCAGACTGTTGGTGTCCAATTACCAATTTGGTCAAAGGCATTTTTCCCAAGCGACTCAAGTAAGCATTGATAGTTGAAATTGGAAGATTTGCAGCCTGTTTTGAAAACTCCAGTTCATTCCAAAGTTGTGGACTGTATACTAGATACTGCCTCCAGCGTTTCGATACACGAGTACACCTCACCAATGAGGGTAGATCCAGGCACAAGAAAACTTGGATGGCCACATCATAAGGTAGTTTATCCAGAATATCGTTACGGCGAACACAACTGGCATGCTGGATTCCTTCATATGCTAGTCTTTTAGCATCCAGGATACTGGCAGTGTCGGGTGCTCGGTTCAGTGTTTCCCAAGCCAGCGTATAATCGCATCGGTTCATGTAGATATCGGCTGCCATAAGATACCACTGGTCAGAGGCAGAGTTCTTTGCCTGATCCAAGCAAACAAGCACTGCCTGATGCCAATGATTCAAAGCGAGTAGGCATTGGATCTGATACCACGCACAAGTTGAGGTTTTGTATTGCTGCTGCTCACCCAATGCGTGGAATATACGATATGCCTCGCTGTATCTTTGCTCATGCCACAAGTACTTTGCAGTGCTGTAAATGTCTTGCAATGACTGACATTGTTGTGGTGGAGAATGGATTATGCTAACGTGTGTAATGTCACACGAGCCATCAATACACAAGACCATGTAAAACCTGTCTGTCTGTTGAGCCTACCTTGAGAGATATTGAGATACAAAGCATAATGTTGCCATGGTAACATGCAATAATTTATTTGAAAATGTTGGTTAATGTGAATCTTTTGATACCGAGGGAGTGAATGAAAGGAAAAAGAAAAAAGAAGTGGGAAAGAACAAGAGGCGAATGAATATTTATATGCAGAGGAGAAGTCTCACTAAATGAGTATGGCTACCATCCCTTAAATTTTAGGTATGATGCCAATGTGCCATGAAAATCTTCTAATAGTACTGTCCTCGTTTTCATCTGTGTGAAAATGAACACACCACACTCGCTTATGGTGCTGCACTGTCTCTACGGCTCGTTCATTCTCGATTGCGGTCAGAATACGTCGACTGCGATTGGAATGGTGGTGTTCAAACGGCTGTGCTGGTTCTCCTGATGTTACCCCTAATTCATGCTGAAATTCATTGTCTATTTGATCTTGCTCTTCATCCTCGCCGTCATCGAATGACACCGAGTCGCTTCCCACCACAATGGCTGCTAACGTGTGACACCACCTTAGTAGCATCCATAATCCCTCTGCTTTTACTGCTGGCACTACTAAATACCGTAATTTAGGACATTTTGACACAATCAGTCGAGCGACAGATGAAGTCAGTACGTCGTAAGGGTTTAATGTCAATGCTAGTAGATCAGAACCAAATGTAGGCAAAATGGCATTGCTGAGCGCACCGGGATGATGGAAATAATGCGAGATTTGTGTCAACGTTGGATTCTTTTCAGGCACCAATTCACTGGGGAAAATGAAGAAGGAGGCACAACATGGAAAGAAGGTGGTTGTCTTGAAGGCTGAGCTGACTATTGCCAGATCTTCGTCTAGCAGCAGATGCTCTGGTATGTCTGTTGCCATGACACATGTAGCATGACGCATCTTGGGTATACATTGCGCCAATTGCTTTGGGTATATGTTGCTCTGTATGAATTCCAGTTTCGGGCAGAGCGTTAGTATCAGATCGTACACAGCGTCTGAAAAATAGCGTGCTTGTGGTAGTTTCATGGTGGTAATGGAAAGGCCGTAGAGCTCACAGAATGAAATAACGTGTGTCTCGTCAATGTTCTTGTCGGGAAAGATGACTTTTTTATACGCTCGTTGTCGTGCTAAATGAAATGTGTATTTGCACACAAATAAATAAGGTGTCAAATAAGCTTGCTCTGTTAAACTGATAATGTGTTGTATCAGCTCGTTTGGTAACAGAGACATTATATAAGGGGGGGGAGGAAGAAGGCAAAAAAGAAGGAGGCAGAAAAAGAGAGAGAGAGAGAGGCACATTTGTGATTTTGTAGTGTCTCTTTTGCCTGCTGTTGCTAGTGCTGCCACATGCTTAAACACCGAAATAAGTGTGCTTGCATACGTTTTTGAGTTGATTGGCTCAGACGGCTACATTGGAATCGAGTTCATTTAGATCGACCAAGAGCCGCTTGATCTACATTCTAACAGGAAGAGAAGAAGCCAAAGATCAATGATACGTTTTTCTGAAAGCACTCTGTCATTGCCTTGTAGCTGATAATGCTCCAACGGCATGCACTCTTTCGACTCTAAAACAATTCTGTAGTGCAGATTAATCAATGCTCTTTCATCCCTTCCTTCCTTTCTCCCAGTCAACAGTACCCATCTTACCTGAAAGCTCGCAAGCAAAACTGGTTAAGCCATGACCCTTGCCGCAATGTTCTTCTCTAGTCCCTTGGGGTCCTGAGTTATACTACTAACTTGGCCCTCTTTGATCATTTTTTGTCAAGCTCATAGGTCACATCTCTCTATACCCTTTGGCCTTGATAAGTGCCGCGCTGACAATGTCATGGTTTATGTAATCAACGGGGACGTGATCCATATGGACCTGCTTCATTGAATCGATACTAAATACATGCTTAAACTCTGACTCGAAATAAGCATGCTGCAATAGATCAAATGCTTTGTGGTACTTTTTATGATCCCTGATGGATAATAGCAATATACAAAGCGATAAGATTGGATGGAGATGGGCATCGTATCATCAAAGGGAACCTTTTTGCTTCATTTACACCGAGCCAACTCCGCGAAATTGCATTTCCTTTTCACTCTTGTCTTGTCTTTTCAACACCCCCATCATGAGTACCGCTCCAGCAACATTGGATGGAAATACAGCACAACAGCCTCAATTCTCCAAAGAGAAGCTCGTAAAATACTTTAAATCCAATTTGTGCATGCTGCCTACTCCATATACCCAAACAGAAACCAACAGGTAGAATAGCTTGATTCCCTTCAACATCTGTACACAAAAGACTCACCCCACACCTCTAAACAAAGAGTGACACTTGCCTTCTTTTGTCTGGGAGCTTTGAGTTTGTTAGGAGAACTGGATCATTGCGTGTCAAAAGAGAATAAGCAGGACTGGATTGAATGGATCTATGCACAACAAGTGTTACCAACAGGTCAAGAGCCAGATGCTAATGAAGCGTTGTGTGGATTTAGAGGCTCTTCTTGGTCTGGAAGGAAGTTTGACCCTCATGCTGTAAGAGATACGTGTCGAAAGGCACAAAAACAACACTGCTCATGCGCTTTATTTGTAGCAAACTTGCCAATTTCAACATTATGATTCGAGCCATATTGCCAACACCTACACTGCATTGTTGAATTTGCTGATTTTGGGCGATGATCTTTCGCGCGTGAATAGAAAAGCCATTGTGAGAACGTTGAGCTTATTACAGCAAGAAGACGGAAGGTAGGGGTTTCATCAGAGGTCAATGTGCAACTAGACAGCTCATCCACCCTCTTCACAGCATTGCACCCACGTTTGGAAGTTTGGAAAGAGATGTTCGATTTATTTTCTGTGCTTGCTCTATATCCTACATGTTGAATGACTGGTCTGGCATCAATAAAGAGGTAACAGTACAACATATCAAGCAACTTCAGGTAAGCACGCTGTTCTGCAGGGACGTATGAAGTAAATAACACCACTCCAAGTCATTTGAATACGGTGTAGCGCAGTGTCCTGACCAAGAGGCACACGGCGGATCAACATTTTGTGGCATTGCAGCATTAGCATTGATGGATAAATTGGAAGAGGGTATTATCAATAGAGAGGAGCTAGTGAAATGGTGTCTGTTTCGCCAGATCAAGGGATTTCAGGGCAGACCCAACAAATTAGAAGACGTTTGCTACGGATTTTGGGTGGGTGCATCTTTGGATATCTTGGACTCATTTGACCTTGTGAACCACGAAGCGCTCAGAGACTTTCAATCCAAATGCCAGCCCAAGATGGGCGGATTCGGCAAAGACCCAGAGTCCTATCCTGATTTACTACATTCTTACATGGGCGTCGCTGTTTTGTCTCTCATGAAAGAGCCTGGCATTGAGCCTATCCATGCCGCATTGAATGTGCCGTTGTCTGCGTATCAACATTTAAAGGATAACAGTGTCTTCTGGAAACAACAGCAATAAAAATACTGATTTTTATTTTGTATGAAAAAGCGTGCCTGAAAATTGCAATGCTCGATTGGAGGCATTTGCTTTGTACTCTTGTTTGAACTGAGAAATATTGAACAAATGGCGCATGGTTGGTCGACCATGAGGGCAATTCTACAAGTCCTTAATACATGGCCGTATATATATATATATTCATTCAAATAAGGACACTTACCCAAGGTTGATCAATTTCGCCCATGTGTCTCACAATCTAATTCACACCAAGGGTCAATGGACATGATCCAAATGCTCTCCTTCTCGCCGCGCCCTACCTTTGTCATTTGATTCTTGCTCAAACTATCACCTATGCGTGCTGCTTTATGGCACGCTCTTGATGCAAACATGGCTCTGTTTCGACTACATCTTACCATCTCTCCCGGATGCTCTGTGATAAGATGGATGAGCTCGCTGAAATCTCGCTTATCAAACATGGTGTTTTTGCTGACAGGCTGCGAAATGACACGTATCCTGGTGGTAGGTGGATTATCGGGGAGAATTTCAACATCGAAGCCATTTGCCTTAAAAATGTCCAGATTATCCATCACAATGAGTTCTTCTGCTGCCGTCAAATCCAGAATGGGCGAGCTAGTAGCAGCAAGTTTAACATGAAAGAAGTAAGAAAAAAAAACACACTCAACTGTGCCATCTTACTTGCCTTATCAGTCGTTGACCTTTGATATGCGTTGTTTGCTGCAGTGTCTCAAAATTATACTTTTCGTCTGAAGCGTGCTGATCAATAATGTACAAATCCTGGTCGTCTAGCGCAGTAATCATGAACCCGAGATTAAATTGACCCAGCACTTCCATTCGAGCGAAATCAGGTTTACTAATCACACGGCTCAATGCTTTTGTGGCCTTTTCATTGTCGTCCGTGTTCTTGACACTTGCATTCTGTAATACTTGCACTGATGTCTGTACTGACTGAGAGGCATATGCTTCATTGGGTGTGATGATGGCTGGTTGTGATTTGCGCAAAGCAGCTAAATCAATGGATTTTACAGTCTTTGTGCGTCCTACCGTTCTCCATAATCCCTTGAAAGAGGAGACGTTGCTTACGGTAGGCACATATTCCCTCAAGTCGGTGCCTGGTACAGACTCTTCTGTTGTACTGTCGAATTGATCAGGTTCTTGGCCACTTGATTTCGAAATCTTGGAAGGCTCAGCATCAGTATCAGCCTCCTCACTCGATTCGTCTAATTCATCCACCTCCATTTCTGTTGCTTCGGACGCTGCACTGCTGGAGGCATCCACCAACATGCTCGTATCTTGACCACTCACTGCTATCGCTATGTCATCTCCACCTGCTGCTACATCTACTCTGGGCTTCTTGCTCACGTAATTCATCAAGGAACTTGAGATGACTGATGACATTGATCTTTTACTACTACTACTATTACTACTATTTGACGGCGTTATTTTGGTTGCACCTCTAGCAAATGAACTCAAACTGACAACCCGAGGCGATGGCTGCGGCAAGGGAGCTGCAGATGGGGTAGATGTGGATATATTTGCTCGAGCATCAGGCTTTAGCGGCAAGGGTTCTTCTGCTGGCTCCTTACGCGACATGAGCGAGTTGACGTTAAATATAGATCGACTCGGCTCCAACTGCTCTTTCAATTGTTCTTGCAGTACATCGGAAATCTTATTTTCTTCATGAAGATAGATGGTTCTCTTGTCAGGACTCACATTGACATCGTAGGTGTCTGTAGGCAACTTGAGGTTGGCAACGACAACGGGGTATTGGTTGGTGATGAAAATACGGTAGACATCGTTGATGGCTTTTGCAACCTATTAGACACGTACAATGAGCATATAGTCTTGTTGTATAAGCATGCTAAAGAAATCCTTACCTTAGGAAGCACACAAGGTCTGCCGTTTACATAGAAATACTGTCGATCTGAGGTGCTTCTGCCTAATCCCCACTCCGGTTTTGATATGAATCCTTCCACAGACCCTCCTTCCAGCGCAGATCCCAGATCCACATTGAAAGGGATGATTTGCGACGTCAATTTAGATCCAAAAATGTTGGTGATATTGTCACTCATTTTCTGGTTCTTGCTGGTAGACATGATTTTGATGCTAGGCTTCGTGCCTGTTTGATTGGAGACGGTGATCTTGACATTGGTGGATATAATGGAATAGGCTTGCAGGATGATCAACGCTTTACCGAATTCTCGCTTGATGTTTCGTTTGAATTCTTGTCGACGCACAGGCAGAGAGTGAAATAAATCCGTCAGCTGAAGTGTAGTGCCTGCTGTTCTTGATTGAGGCGCCTTTGATTTCAGAGATCCAGCTGAATCGTACTCTAATTTGACGCCCATTGGTGCTTGTGTCTTTGTTGCTGTAACTACGGTTAGATGAGACAGTGCGCAAAGTGAACTCAATGCTTCTCCTCGAAAACCAAATGTCATGACCTTTTCCAAATCCTCAAAGTTGCTGATCTTTGATGTATAATGCTTCAGTGCTAGCACAAACAAGCAGGTCAGCCACAGAACAAAAGCTTTATCTTGGATGCCTTACCAAGTGATTCATAATTCAAAGGATCAATGCCACAGCCATTATCCACTACTTCGATGCCTCCAATGCCGCTATCTACAAAATTGACGTCTGACACATGCTGCGTATTAGACAGAGTGTGTGCACGGTTGAGTGACAGGGGCTTATGCTTACCTACTGAGGTAGCTCCCGCATCAATACTGTTCTCAACCAGCTCTTTTACAGCAGTGGCTATATCAAGCACAACTTGCCCTGAACAAATCTTATGCACTGAATGCTTATCAATAGCACTGATGACACTCATTTTGCGTAGAAAAGATAATCCAAAAGAGAGGAGAAAGAAAGACGAGTTTGAAGTACGCGCGCAGGCATGACATTTTAACACGGCTGCGCGCCCACCAGCTTTTAGTGTTTATGTTACACGTTCTTTAATGCGATTTTTTAACAGACCAGAAGCCCAAAATATAATTAAGTCTAATAAGTAGTAGATCAATAGCCATCTGCATGGAATCCATCATTAGGTTCACTTTGGAGCCATCGATTTCGTGCCATGTAACCTGAACTTCTGAAATTGGCATCTTTTCAAGTTGAGCAATCATGAGACACTCAATGTCGAAAATCCATCTCTCCACATGCATGTTGGGGAATATGATTTGAGCTGATTTGCGAGTGAACAGTTTGAACCCACATTGCGTATCTTCAATGCCTCGAATACCGAGCACATAGACCAAGGTATGGAATCCACGCATTAAAAAGTTTCGAATAAAGGATCTCTGAGAGAGAATAAGACTCCCATCGCAACCATACAAGTTGTCATGCTTACCTTGACAACAGCCTCTGTTGTGACGAGATGAGATCTGGATCCAACAACAACACCTTGGCCATCCTTTTCAATTTGCTTAATGTCCTCCACAAGCTTACCAAGATCTGAGAATTGGGTTGCACCGTCTGCATCCACCATCAAGCACAGTTCACCACGCGCTGATAACATGCCCTGATATTTGACACATGCTTTAATATACCAGCTGCTTGCATTCTCTCTCCAAAAGACCCACCTGAGTAACAGCACCGCCTTTACCTCTGTTTTTATCCAATGCAAGAATACGAATATCCACGTTGGGTCGTTTCTCAGCGAAATCCATGGCTACTTGCACAGTGTTGTCTCGACTGCCATCATCGACAATGATAATCTCGTATGTGTAGGTGGCATTCTTCTTTTTCTGCTCTTCTAAATACTCGACCGTTTCCTTGAGCATGGTAGGCAATCGCTTGGTTTCATCAAATGCAGGTACGATACACGATAGCTTCAAAGTGGGCTTATCGAATATGCTGGGCAGCAGTTTCCTGCCTTTTGATGTGGCATCTTTGTAGTACTTTTCGTTTTCGGTTCTGTCTCTTGGTTTTGGCGAGCAAAAAAGCAAGAATCCAATGAGCTACACAAATGAATTAATGTCTCAGGCTTTGCTGCAAAGTGTAAATGCTGAGGCTTTTACCGATGCAATGGCTGTGGTGGCTATCACGAACAAGAATTGAATCAATGCCATGTCTTGTGGGTCAAAAAGAGTGATGTGTGCTAAACCAAGAAAACAAGGGAAGAAGGGGGAAATGAACCCAATACCTCGTTTATTTTTATAGTTGAGCCAAGAATAGACAGTTTCCTTGTTTCAGCCAATAGTTTCATGAAAGGTGCAGACCTCGCTTTCACCGATTTAAGCCAATGAATGGGCATGTCGAGCTTCATGTTGGTGGCTGCTGCTGCTGCTTAAATTAGCTTGAAGGCTGTTGCCGAGGCTCTCGTCTTGTCACTGCTTTATAAATTATTTTTCTCTCCTGTTGCTGTCTGATCACACTCATTAGACATGTCATTGGAAGCAAATAACCCGTCTGGAAAGCAGAAACGAAGAGGTGAGCATTTGACAGCAAAACGAGGCCTGAATAAGAACGACTTGTATTGACATTTGACGATAGAGAGAAACAGATCCGTGCGTGAAATCGGCAAGCATAATAAATTAGACAACAAGCTTGGTATATCTAATTGACACATGAGCTGCATTATTAATGACTGATGCGCCTGCATTTAGCTGATGATATACCAAAAGTGAGCGGGCCCATTGAAGCCAATCGATATGCGCTTGCTCGTATCATGGAGATCAATGACATGCAACAGGCCATCAAGAAAGCAAGGTAAGGCTTACAGTACCCTGTGACATGGCTGACGTCTGATCCAAGCACCTTGCAGTTACGCATTGAACGAGCTCGCATTTCAGTCGCTGCCTCGTGGTCTCCGTCGCCGTGCAGCGAGTCATAATATCAACAGATTGCCTGCTCGATTGAGAGCAAAGGCAGCAAAGGAAGTACGCATGATGTGACATCCAAAATGCAAGCGAAACAACTGACATGTCACCATCTCAACTTAGGCCTACAGCTCTGCACCCAACTCCAAATTGATCCGCAAAAAAGTGAAAAAGATCAAGACACCTAGAAATACAGTAGAAGAGTTCCTTCGACGTCAAAGTAATTGCATTTCATCTGCAAAGCGACTCGCAAGACATACTCATCTTTTGTGATATAGAGTCCAAGAAATGGCTCGAGACGCACATGTGGCACGCAAAGAGAATGAAGATGAAGGACATTTGGGGCTACAGAATCGCATCTCGACCCAACACCAAATCAGTGCGCATCACCTATCGGTCCTTTACTCGTCTATCAGTGGCTCACGATGCCTCTTATATGGCTTGCATTGAATTGAAAGGCGATCAGAGCGAAATTATCGCAGTGTTGGATACATTGACTGATAAAGGAGCACCCTCTGTTGGCAGTCAAAGGTAAATTAGGATGAGATCATATATCCAAAGTGCATGCTGTTGACCACAGGCGTGTAGATTCATCAAGGGAAACCGCCTTGGCACCACCCATTTGTACGAATACATGGGATATCCTGCCAAGCTGATCTGTCCCATTTCATTCTTGTGGAAGCCAAAGACAAACGATACCATTTGGCTGTGGATCCACCCATCTGCCATCCACGAAGCACTCGCCTTTATCAAAGTCGCTATCAAGGAAACACATGCGGCCCAGGTGGAGCTGAATGACCTGCGAAACGAAATTTTGAAATTCGAATTGACTGGACCTCGATCTACTGCTCTGTTGCAAGCAATTCTGGATCCTGTGCCAGATACAGACCTTCGAGGAAACGCAGTATGGAAGGATTTGAGTCAGTTGCGTTCATCTTGCTCCTTGTCTCCTGGAAGTGTTCTTGGTCTGCTTGTTCAGGATCCTCGCTTAAAGTAAGTGTGTGCGCTCTGACTCAATAGGCTAATGCTGATCCATGTTATAGGTTCCCTCAAAAAGTGCCGCCTCGCAACAATGACATATCACCAGCAGAACAGCGCAAGGTTCAGGATATTTTGACACACTGGCCAGCAGATGCAGCAGAAACAGCCATATGGGACAAGGATCTTCGCAAATCATTGATTGACAAGAAAATACCTGAGTACGGCTTGAATTTACGCCGTGAGCAGAACCTGATTCCAGGCACCAAACTAGAGCCCACAGCAGAGGACAGCCAGATCCCAGTTCTCCTCATACAGCGTGGAGGGCCCTGCTTCAACACGTTAGATATCGCACAAAAACCGCTCTCCTCGCACGAACTCATTGAGGGATGGACAGTCATCATCCCCCGTGGATTCGGCCTCGCCTTTTGGAAATCACTGACGTTTGCCGGTGCTCGTGTTGCAGGATACGACGATGTGCGTGCCATGCATTTTGAAAGCGGTGTACCTTGCTTTCCACACGATTACCCGGGCACAAGAGCTTTTGAAGTGCAACGTCAATTGACCAAAAAGGCAGCAGAAGAAGTGTGGAGCAAGAGACCACCTGGCAAACGCGTCAATTTCAGCAAGCGTGGCATTGAGCATCCATTTGAATCCGCCTTTGAGACACTGTCGACTGTAGAACACATGCAAGTGGAGCCAGAGCACAACTTGGCTGTGCGACCTCATTATTCATTAATTTGTGGAGAGCGATTTGTGTCCAGTTTCTTGGCTCCTCCCTGTGCTAGATCTGATGCAATTTTGACAAAACTTGGCATTGATGTGCTCCATTTAAGTTTGGATGACACGCTCGTCAAGATCAGACTCAAGTACGTAGATAGAGGAAAGCCTGCTGCCCATGCCATGATTTACATACTGCAGAACCAGCAAGACTACGACAAGTGTACGTTTCATATCAGACACCAGTCTCCACTTGTCAAGAGCAAGAGAAAGCTAAAGGAGCTGATGGAAGTCAATGCCAATGCTGCGGAACAGGTAAATGAAATGAAGGCTTTTTTTTTTGGTAACATGCCAACTTAATATGGACATTGTAGATCACTTGCGACATACCCCCCAAATCTCAGCATATTGGTTACGTTACAAATGGAGATTTCTCTCTATCCCTTGGCTATGGATTTGGTATCGGAGCATGCACTGTTGCTGGCTTGAAAAAGCTTAAAGAAATCGATGAAGCGTAAGTGTAATGCACTCAACGATGGTGGATTTGACGACACTCACACGAAACGAAATAATAGACAAAAGCGATCGCTCAAGCTGCTTGTGCTTGTGAGAAACCCAACCTCACTGGAAGTCAGACCTGCTCAGTTGGAAGTGTTGTGTTGAACACCATGGAGATGAAATCAATGGTTTGCAAGCGTTGCTCGATAGCCAATCAACGCTACCCCATTCGTTTCAAAACGCTAATAAAAAGGGTGGTGGGATGTGCTGTGCTCTTTTTTTTTTTTTTTCTTCTTTTTTTCTTGCTTGGCTTTAAATTTGACGTAGAGCAAATGAATGTTAGAATTATTCCATGTACAGGTACACACACGCACACACACGCACACACATACATCATGCCATGTTTTGTACTTGTTGAGCAGTTGGACAGTAATGCATTCATGTAGAGTGTCGAAGAAATCGTCGGAAATGTGTTCGTCCCAGCGTTAGCTCTGAGTGCTTGAGATGCAAAAAGCTAGGCAAGATGTGTAAGCAACCACTTACCAAGCAGCAAGATCAGCAGCAAGAGTCGACCGACATTGACAGAACGCAGGACATGATCAAACTAGGAAAGCAAGTGTTGCAACTGGAAAAAGCCATAAACTACATGGAACAGCAATTAGGCATGTGCCGCATCAACAACAGCAGCGATCCTGCATCCGCCAACACAATGATCCAAGGCGTATTTCAGAATTGGAGGTGCAGAATAGCAGATGGCACGTTTCAAATAGAGACAGGCATTCGCAACATTAGTGAGCTACTGCAGTTTAACACATCCATCTCCTATCTATCACCGTTGAACTATGACAGTGCGTCGTCAGTCAGCAGCGATGATTCATGCTATCGAGGGAGAGATGCTGGCATTGTGCTAAACTTTCAAAAGGAAGTCAACGGCAGCCTTATACCATTCACCATCACACTCATGGCAAAGACAATCACATCCGCACCATCCATTATACCCTCTGCTTTGTTGATTCCAAGCGCACTACTGTTGGATCCGGAGCCGCTGATAGATCAGCTTGTGGACACTTACTTTCGATGCAACAATCTATTCAGCCCACTAGTGCACGAAAGATCCTATCGAGATAAACGAGCTGCCATCCACGATCCATTGACAGATCCAGTGACACTCAGCATATGCTCCTACGTTTGTTCAACTCCTTGTCAGGCACTGCCATTTACGCCGAGAGAGAGACGCAACATGGGCGACTTTTTCTATGCCAAAGCGAGAGACATTATCTTGGATCAATTCGATATACCTGAAAAGCAGTTAGAGACCGCAATGAGCATCAACTTGCTGATGCAGTACATGCACATTACGCTCAAAATAGGCGAAGCCTGTCGCATGGTGTCTTTGGCTTATCAGATTTTGGTGGGATTGAGAAATGCTTATCCAGATTTACGGGTGCCTACGGATGTCGATGATGCAACGAATGTACCAGACCCCTCCTATTCCAAACAAGATACCGAGGAAGAACCTATTGAAAATGTAGATAAAGTGCTGTTGGCTCGCCATTTGACAGTTGCAGCAGTATTGAGTCGTTTGTTGGATTACATTGTAAGTGGTTCCAGCGATAAAAGAGGATTTCATTTCCCGCTTTGGACCTATATCGCAGATGAGCCCGAAAGTACAAAGCGCTTTGTACGCTCGCAGAATTGGCTGATTCGCTTGCACAACCACACATTTGTGAGGAACTTTTTGGTATGTAGGACACACATCCTTTTACCCAAAAGCAGCTTGTTATCTGACATGACTTTCTAGGTGAATATTCATCGTCTTCAATTGGGAAAATCGTGCGCCTTTAGTTTCGAGTCTATTCTTGTGATGGAGGAGCTGATCAAGGAATACACAACAAATGTCCCTCCAGATATCCGATTGTGTGCTGACATGAACAATGCACCCATGTGCTTTGATGCGATAGACAAGACCAAAGACCCTGTTCTCTTGATCAATTTCATTCACTTTCACATTCTTCAAATGAGCGTTTATTCTTGCTTACTGCGACCGAAGGCACTGTCAGATCAAGGCCAGCAAATCCTATCATTGGTACAAGAGCATTCATTGAGCAGAGCATTGAAGAGCTGTCAGTTACTGTTACGCGCTATTCATCGGCTTGCTATTACTGAACAGACGTCATGTGAGTATACGACATCTCTTCCATCAGCTTAAATTTTGACTGACTTTTGTATAGGCAATTACTTTATATCAGCAAGTGAATACTTGTTCCATGCCATGGATGTGCTCATTATATTGGCGCTGTCATCCAACAAACAAACGGCAAAAGAAGCGGGAGCCATGATGAAAACTTGTCTCCAAGAACTCCAGATGATTGGAGTTACTCAAGGCAATCATATGGCAGAAGCAGATACAATGCCTCCCGATGAACAGAAATTCAGGATGAAGGACGGTAAATTTGACATTGAATATTATGACAAATTTCCCCATCCTTGGTTTGCAATCATGTATGATGCTAGTCATATCATTTCATCTAAATAAACCATCCTGTAGCCCATCCCACTGCCAAATCGCTCACAGCTGCTCATGAATGTAAATCATATGTAAGGTTTCGAAATCAGAAAACATGGCCAATCATGGCTATCCTTTTCTAGACATAAAAATAACTTTTCTTTGAAATTTATACCTTTCTTTACATTTTGACATAGCAAATGAGCACGAAAACTACGCCCTGTGCAGGTACTTGCTTTACATTGCTATCTTCACGGCATATCCGTACTAATGCAATGGCTTAGAATGTAGATTACAACGGCGGAAATGCTCTCGCCCTGCCTCTGATCAAGAATGCTTTCGATGCAAAAGACTAGGCATCATATGCAAGCAACCTATGAAACTAAAAGAGCTGAATGAAGTCGATACAGCTCAAGAAATGGACGATTTACAGAATCAAATACTACAACTCAAGGAAGCCTGCCATTTCATGGAGAACCAACTCAATTTGTATCGAAAAGAGAACTGCAACAACAGCAAGCAGATTACAGCCATATCGAAGAATGCAATGCTCCAAAGCCTATTCCAAAACTGGAAATTCAAAATAGTTAATGGTGGATTTCAGATAGAAACAGGCATTCGAGATTTGAATGATCTATTGATGCTCAACACATCCATCTCCTATCTATCACCGTTGAGCTACGATAGTGCATCTTCCATCAACAGCGATGATTCTTATTACCGAGGGCGAGACGCCAGCATTGTGCTGAGCTTCGGAAAAGCGACAGCTGGCAGCTTGATACCATTTACAATTAGAACGATGGCGAAATCTTTGACGTCGAAGACATCACATATACCCGTAGCTTTATTATTACCCAGTATTTTGTTGCTTGATCCGAAATCACTTGTAGATCAGCTATTGAAGATTTACTTTCAGTGCCATAACATTTACAATCCTCTCGTGCATGAAAAGACGTATCGCGACAAGATGACCGCCATCTCAGATCCACTAACAGATCTTCTCACACTCAGCATATGCTCTTACGTCTGCTCGACGCCCTGCCAGCATTTGATATTCACACCTCGAGAGCGACGCAATATGGGCGACTATTTTTATGCGAAGGCCAGAGATATCCTCTTGGATCAATTTGATTTACCGGAAAAACGTTTGGAAAATGCAATGAGCATCAACTTGCTGATTCAATACATGAATGTTACACTCAAATATGTGGAAGGTCGTCAGCTGATATCCATGGCTTTTCAGATCCTGCTTGATTTACGGAACGAGTACCCTGAATTCCGCGTGCCGGTGGATCTAGACGTGGTTGATGTAGAAGACACACCATATTCGAAGCATTACAACTATGAGATTAACCAAGAACCCATCACCGATGTCGACAAGGCGCTATTCACTCGACACATCAAAATAGCAGCAATCACAAGTAGCCTATTAGATTATGTTGTAAGCAATTCAACTGACATGAGCGGATTTCACTTCCCCACCTGGAAGTACCTTGCCGACGAGCCTGAAAACACCAAAAAGTTTGTTCGATCGCAGAACTGGATCATCAACCTCTACAACCATAAGTTTGTAAAGAATTTCATGGTACGTTTACAGTGGCAAGTGATGTAGATGATATGAAGCAAATGACCTAATAGCCTGACATTAGAAAAGCATTCATCGTGTGCAACTAGGAACGACCTGTGCTCTTAGCTTTGAATCTATTCTCGTCATGGAAGATGTCATTAAGGAGTATACCAAAGCAGTTCCAGCCGAATTCCGACTCTGCGATGATCCCAATAGTGCGGAAATGTGTTACCACGCCATAGAAAACACAACAGATTCAGTGCTTTTGGTGAACTTTGTGCAATTTCATATTCTGCAGATGAGCATTTACTCTTGCTTACTACATCCAAAAGCGTTATCTAGTCAGGGCCAGCAATTGCTATCTTCAATACAAGAGCATTCTTTGGAAAAGGCATTGAAGAGCGCTCAATTCATTTTATGTGGAATTCGCAGGCTTGCTGATGCTGAAACAACTTTATGTAAGTGGTGGGTATGGTACTCGATTTGAGAGTATTAAAATGAAACGTCTGTATAGGCATCTACCTAATTTCAGCGACGGAATACTTGTTTCATGTCTTGGATGTGCTTGTCATGCTGTCGCTTTCACCGAACAAGCAGATTGCAAAGGAAGCCGAATTGATGATGAAGCACTGTCTCGACGAGCTAGATTTTGTTGGATCTACACAAGGCTATCAACCATTAAAATCTGACGCTTCCACCAAGAAAACTCGCAAAGTTAAAATGAAAGATTGCAGATTGGATGTTGATTACTATGATCAATTTCCACATCCTTGGTTCGCAATGGTCTCTGATGCTAGTCATTACTATACATCTCGATAAATATACCTCATTAGCTTCTTTATTTTACACAATTCTTTCTCAACAGCGAGTCTTTTCGCAACTTAGATTGGTGTCTGGATCAGCTTTGATAGTCTGTAAATAAAATGGTCGACGGGTGTACAGCTAATGAAAGTTGTTTTAAGAGCACCAATAGAACCAGCTGATAGCTTGGATACTACTACATCCATCAAATTATGTTTGGCAGTTCAGGGAGCAATAAAACCAGTGCAAGTAACCGAAGTGTCATTGATTTGATTTATAAGACGAATTGCATTAATCGATTTACTAAAGTCCGTTGCTTTCATTTAAAATTGATATTTGTATACAAGACAGCACTCAAGGCGCGACCAAAAGCCAACTGCTGCAAAGAAATTAGGAAATCAGTTAAAGAAGTATAGATCGAGCTCTTCTATTTAATGTTAAGCGTATCCCCAGTCCGTAACAAGTTTGTGCAAAACTAAAGTGCGCATCAAATAGTGGTACAACTCGATAGTTAACCCATAGCTTCTATTAAGATAAGTGTATTGTTTTTCAGATATTTTGAGGGTTCTCAAAGGAAAGTATGCACCAGATATGTATTGCCAGGTTGTAATGATTCGCATTACATATGTTTCAACCCGCATGATTGAAATAATATGTGTAGTGTGGCGTACAGAATTTTTTTTTATGCACTGCCATTAGTCTTGTCACGCCCTAAATTTATATATAGACTTGAGCACCACAGGGGCATCTGGCGCCAAGAGAACCTGATATCCGGTATAAAAATACTGTATCTGTATAACTTTTCCCATATGATATCAAATCTAAAATACATTCCACATATAGAATTGTTTAATGCATGCTAAATCAAATGATTGCACCTTATTAGTTGACTTTTGAATAAAGAAGGACTTAAATTGTATTCATTTGGTTACCCTTTTATTACAAAGACAAAATCATAAAAATGACAGATCAATAGGGGATCAATAGCAAATAAACTAGTTGTACCCCTTCGTTGTTTCAACCTCTGGGCCAATCAGATCGCGTAAAAACTCCGCTGACCTAAAAAAATTTTTGCGAGGGTTTCCCCCTGTTTTGATGTGAGGCAAAATTTTAAGCTCCGCTATATATATAGCAATATAGCTGTAACTATCATCAAATTTCCCCCAGGTGCTAGAGCATGCCTTACTTACACCACCTAGCTTTAGATTCTGGCGTTGAGACCCTCAATCATCACTAAAGTAAGTAGTGATAACCAAGTGGAGGCAGCCTATCTACCTCCTAGCCTCGGATAGAGTCTTGTTGAGCTTCAGTGATAGGCACATCCATCACAACGTAAAAAAGGTATGCTTCAAAGAAACATAATAAGAGAAAGAAAAGGAAGAACAGAACATACTAATGTACTATAGGAGTATAGTAGTATGTAAGCAAAAAAGGAACACTCACACAAAAAAGTGAGGCAAAACAAAAGCATAACAAAGACAACATCAAAGATGTTTAGAACAGCTCGCTGTTGTTGTTGCAACAAAAATGCATACATGAGCAACGTGCATGATAGTAGTCGGATGTCAAGCAACACAAACACGCACAATTGCAGGAGCAACAGCAGTATTATAAGTGTGCGATACAGCATAATGACTAATACTGTTTCATGTGAAGCGACAAAGGCAACACAAACAACAATCCACAACCATATAACAAAGTAGTATTACAACGGCAATACAGATATATAGTAGCACATCATGCTTGTTGTTCATACATAAGAAGCAACAACATTGCAAGCATCCGTTGAGCTGATCATATCACAGTCAACAAAAAAAAAAAAAAAGCGCAACAAAGCAAACATTACGAATGCATTACCACGAAAAAAGGAAGCAATAATACAAACGTTCAGAGAAGCTTTATATCATTGCGACCACAAGAAAAAAAGATACTTACCGCTTACCACAATCACAGATAGACCAAAGAATAGACAATCACCAGAGATAGACCAAAGAACAAGCATACTGTTGCATACAAGCATGCATCTTAGGCTACATTCACTTTCTCCTCAAGCCACCTTTTACAGTGTAGCAGCATAGATGATGTTTATCGTATCACATCACATCTATGTTTACAAGTCCAGTCAATTGTGTGTGCACAGGTGCCTCAGGAACTACAATACATTCAATCTCCCCAATGTCAAGATATCGAGATCCACCTACACTACATGAAACATATCGACTTAGGTGGCCTCTCAACAAGCTATACCAACAATCCATAAGGTCCCAGTGGCCTGCTATTTATATACCATCTCAACGTAGTAGTCATTGACCAGGGATCTACCTTATTTAAGCAAGCTAGATGCCCTGTAATAAAGAAGCTCTTTGCTTTCGTTTTAGATACAGTTGACAACTGATTATTATCATCGACTTATTATTACGAATTCATCACATACAACAGAGAGAGCAGACCAAGAAAGACCAGACTAGCAGCAACAACACCAGTAGCAACGACAGCAACACCATAGAAAAACCGAAGAACGAGCGACACCAGAGACCAGACAGAGACTAAAGAAGCAATTGCCAGAGACAGAGACCAAAGAAGCAACTACCAGACATAATAAACCAAAGAAGCAGACAGCAGAGATAGCAGGGAAGTAATGGCAGTAGCACCCACATCAAACAGGCAAGGAATTATCGAAACCTAATAAACAAATTCGATTAGTGTTTATTCTGCGTCTTTCTGTGCTCGTTGTCGAACGGTACCTGCTATGTTCCACTTCAAAGAAGTAGTATCAAGTACTTCTAACAGTACAAGACCGTGCTGTCAGAAGCTAGAGTGTTATTTTCAATCAAAAGGTTTTCAAAACCAACATGGTTTGATACTAAACGCGTTTTGCAAAAAAAAGCAAAAAAGCGAGGCCATGGAAAAATGAGAGGGCGTCCTATCCGACGTCACGGCCAGTATACTTGGTGGCAGCTGCAGCTGCTGCACTTTAATTTGAAAATGTGCAGTGGGTATTTTCGTATTCAAATTTGACTTGATCTGACATTCTTTAAACGTTTTTGCGAAATTTGACTATGTAAACAGTCGTTGTCGCACCCAACTCTCTAATACATCTTTAGAAAATAAAGAAGCCGCATCGAATGGTGCTAATTACATTCAGCTTTATGACCAAAAATAATGAGAAATTTGCAAAAATATGGAAACAAGGTTTCTGTGAATATGTCAAGACTGACCCTATACTAGCCTCATAGAAAGAGCTTCTAGTGTTGCACTGCATCTTTACGATCAATTTGATCTTATATGTATCATAGAAAAAGTCTTCATTTTTGGGGTAAAAAACGCGATCATTTGATTTTCAAGAATTTTCCCTTACTAATACGCATGAAAAAATGAGGATCTTTATGGATTTGCGATGATTCAAAAAAAATTTAAGATAAAGCATCAGTAAGTAAAGCGTGGACAAGAAGAGACGTTTGGCCCTATTCCAAGCGTCCATAGGGCTTTGTAGCATGAGTTATTCGTGCTTGAAAATGACTAAATTTGTACAGAATTTGACCAAAAATAAGATGTAGTAAGTTGCGCTGCCCAAGAAGTAAGTAAATTAAAGCTCTGTCTGATGTCCCTGATGTTCTGCATTGTACAGAATTCAATCATCCCTAAGTTATTGACGCTTTTATTCTAACTTCGAGACACAGGTCTTTCTTTTTGAGATGCGCGAATACGGAGATTTTATAACTGGAGCGTCAATGGTATTATGCAAATTTAAGTCGAACAGCTTGCTCGAATTGAACGAGATGCTTATCAAATTAATAGGACACTTGGGATGGTTGTCTACAACAAAGATGCTGTTTTTTGCCCAGAAACTATACCTGAAATCTATCCACGATGTTAAACACTCCTATTTAAGGAGAAATGGCTGAAGCCGGACAGGCTGTCAATGTCAGCACAATTGGGGAAGCAAACAACCAAATTCTGTATCAAAGTCGAGCGTGTTCAGAATAACGATATATAGACAGAGAAAATACAATTAGAACTGAATATATCTATTATGTTATTCCAAGATTAAATGACAATTAAAACTAGGGTATATTTCGAAGGTATTTATAGTTATTTGACAGAGCCGCAGCAATAGAATCTAGATCTTGAACGCTGGATAATTGTATAAGCCTTGAATCAGTTAACGAAGATTTGCTATGTGAAAGCTCATAAACCACCAGTCAGGAACAGACAACAGAGATGATCCAGGATGAAATGTTCTTCCTAGTAGATTTAAGGGAAAAACATTTGTCAGAATTAAAACTCGCTTCCAGAGACGAAAAATTACAGGCTTCGGTACTTCAGGAATAACCAAAATATAGATTAGCCATTTGATAGCACTGTTGTGCCAGAAGGGCTACAACTGTCTATAAAGATTAAGGTATTCTTGATGGGTAGATATGTCTGTGTTGTGCAACAACATGGACAAGCTATGATAGTTGAAGTGCATCTCAGCTATCTAAATACTGAGGTTCACCAGATCTGATAAGCGTTGTACAAGATAAATTGCTACTTTGGCATTCAGAACCTAGTATAAATAGAATAACTCTTGTCTTCATCAATAAATCTTTAGTTTTTGTGTCTGATCTTATTCAAATAAATCTTTTCTCGTTTTTATAATATCAAACATTTTTTATAAGCTACAAATAATAATCCTTTTATTCTTTGTGCTTAACAAGCACCACTTATGTTCCTTTGTGCTGCTTTAATAAAGAAATCTCAATCTACTACGCATCTCTGCTCATTCTTATATCTTCTCCTGTAATATACGTTGTATAATACATTTCCCTCTCAGAAATGATCCATATCCTAAACAGTATGAATACCATAGTACTAACGTACTATCTGAAGTTCATATTGCAGCGAAATCATGTTCGAATAGATTTCACAAAAAAAATAAAGCAATAATAAAAATACAATAGAAATCAACTGTATTTTATTTGTGTATAAAATGAAGTGAAGATCCTGGAATTGAGTAAAAAAAGAAGAGTATTTATACATTTGCAACTAGCTTGTAGGATCAGTGATGATAGAGATCAATAGATGCTGCTATTGCGATATCTGGCAAATGTTGCTGATGTTTGATTTAAAGTGGTAATCAATGCAGGAGCACTGGCCATAAGGGTCGATTTGAGTAACCTTGATGGGCTTGGGTGAGCTATCGTCATAGCATGACTTAATGTAACCTTGATGGTTTAAAGTGTGATGTTTGTTATTGAAGTATGGAACCCTTTATCTGGGATATTGTGCAACTATGGCAGCAGGGCATAGTTGTCATATTTGAATATGCTTGTTATTGATTTGATTTTATTTGGATAAAGATAACATCTCTTATTACGACCATCATGGATGTGATTGAATACATTGTGATCAGGAGTGATTCATTCATACGATGCACGATATAAGTGTGCATATTTACTTTAGTATGTTTAAATGGTTGTTGATGTACATTTGAGCGCTTTTATTAACAGATCCAAATAGCATGAATTTGAATGAGTGCTATTTGATGAATTTCGGTTTTCGATCAAGCTGCGTTTGGGTGGCTATCTCATTACATTACTGACCTGCATCTCGTTCAATCCGAGCAAGTCATTAGATTCAAGTTTGCATAGTATAATTGACGCTCAACAAGTCTTTAAACCACTGTAATCGCGCATTTCAAGAAGCAAGACCTGAGCCTCAGAGTTAGAATAAAATCACCTACTACTTAGAAAATGAGTTTCGTACAAGGCAAAGCATCTGTTTCATCAGACAGAACGGTAACTTACTCGTTTGACAATAAAAATCACTACACCTTTGTTTTAGGTCGAATTCTGTCAAAATCTGGCCATTTTCAAGTACGAATAACTCATGCCACAAAGCGTTTTAAGGGCTTCGAATAGCATCAAACGACTCCTCTTGGATACGCTTTATTTACTGATGCTTTATCTCAATTTTTTTTTGGGTCATTGCAAATTCATGAAAACCCTCATTTTTTCATGAGTATTAGCAAGGGAAAATTCTCGAAAATCAAACGATCGCGTGTTTCACCCCAAAAACGAAGACTTTTTCTATAATACATATTAGACCAAATTGATCTTACAGATCCAGTGCAACACTGGAAGTTTTTTCTATGAAACTTGTATATGCTAAATTATGACATATTCGCAGAAAACCGGTTTTGAAACTTTCCCAAATTGCTCATTTTTTTCAGTCTAAAAGCTGAATGTAACCAGCAACATTCGATGCGCCTTTAGTGACTCTTCATAAATGCATTAGAAAGCAAAGTATAACAACGACAATTTTTATAGTCAAACTTAGCAAAAACGTTTAAAGAATGTAACATCAAGTCAAATTTGAACACGAAAATACCTACTGCACAGTTTCAAATTAAAGTGCAGCAGTGCAGCTACCACCGAAGAAGACTGAGACCAAATTTACTGGCCGTGACGTCGGATAGGACGCCCTCTGATTTTTCCGTATCCCCGTTTTTTACCCTTTTTGAAAAACGCATTTAGTATCAAACCACATTGATTTTGGATCACTTTTGATTGAAAATAACGCTTTAGCTTCTTATAACACGGCCTTGCAGTGTTAAAAGGACTTGATACTACTTCTTTGAAGTGGAATACGGTAGGTACCATTCGATAACGAGCACTGCCATACGTAAAATCAGCACTAATTGAATTTTTTTTATTAGGTTTTGATAATTTTTTTGCCTGTTTGACGTCGGTGCTGCTGCTATTACTTCTCTGGTGCTATCTGTGTTGTTTGCGTCTTTGGTTTATTATGCCTGGTAGTTGCTTCCTTGGTTGGTGTCTATCTCTGGCGGTTGCTTCTTTAGCCTTTGTCGGATCTCTGGTGTCGCTCGTGCTTCGGGTTTTTCTATGGTGTTGCTGTTGTTGCTGCTAGCATTGCTTCTGGTGTTGCTTCTGGTGCTGCTTCTGGTTTCGCTACTGCTGTTGTTGCTACTGGTGTTGTCGCTGGTGTTGTTGCTTACTGCTGTTGTTACTGGTGTTGTTGCTACTGGTTTTGCTACTGGTTTTGCTGCTGGTTTTGCTGCTGGTGTTGTTAATACTGGTGTTGCTGCTGTCTCTGTTGTATGCTTGTTCTTTGGTCTATCTCTGGTGATTGTCTATTCTTTGGTCTATCTGTGATTGTGGTAAGCGGTAAGTATCTTTTTTTCTTGTGGTCGCAATGATATAAAGCTTCTCTGAACGTTTGTATTATTGCTTCCTTTTTTCGTGGTAATGCATTCGTAATGTTTGCTTTGTTGCGCTTTTTTTTTTTTTTTTTTTTTTTTTGTTAAGCACAAAGAATAAAAGGATTATTATTTGTAGCTTATAAAAAATGTTCAATATTATAAAAACAAGAAAAGACTTATTTGAATAAGATCAGACACAAAAACTAAAGATTTATTGATGAAGACAAGAGTTATTCTATTTATACTAAGTTCTGAATGCCAAAGTAGCAATTTATCTTGTACAACGCTTATCACATCTGGTGAACCTCAGTATTTAGATAGCTGAGATGCACTTCACTTATCATAGCTTGTCCATGTTGTTGCACAACACAGACATATCTACCCATCAAGAATACCTTAATCTTTATAGACAGTTGTAGCCCTTCTGGCACAACATTGCCCCCCCAGATTCAGGTACTTCTTGTGGACATTTCGTAATCCCAGATTACAAAACATCATGACAATATAGCACATAAAGCACTTTCCAATAAATAATTACCAAATGACACTGCATCCGAGATCAGTCAGTAAAAACCTTGTGTAAAAACCTTTCATAGGACAAAAATGTAAGGAAAAGACTTGATCCCATCATGCTAGTAGCCATTTAAGACCTGTTTGATCTACCACTCTGACCAATTTCGCGAGTAGTAGTAGTTCGCCAGTTAACTGTTTGAGGAGCTAACCTACGTTTACCAGCAGCCTTTGCACCTTCTCTTCGAGCCCAATACAGCTCAATGTGTTTGGCCGAATCAAAGTTTTTCACAGGCTCCCAAGTATCTTCACTAGGATCATCGAACCCTTTCCATTTTACCTTATACTCATAGTTACCAGGAGATCCTCTATGATCAATCACAGCTTGAATTTCGTAATGCTCTGCAGAGAATTCATCAATTGTGATTGGCTGAGGATTCGCAGCGACTTGGTACTTGATATGATGGGTAGGCACATCTCGACTAAGGAGTGCACCCGTCTTGTCAGCCAGCACATAGGAACCTTTATCGGTTATACTATGAATCAAATAAGGTCCTTCATACCGTTCATCTAACTTATTTTGACGATGAACATTTTTAATCGTAACTTTACTACCAATAGGATAGGGTTCGGCAATGACCTTATGTTTCTTCGCAAAGTTAGCATGATCAGCATTTTGTGTATCCACAATACGCTTAGAAATAGCCGGGATAAGAACATCTTGTACAAAACGGTATCGTTTGTCAATGAGTCTGTTATCAGCTTTCTCCAAACGTTTGGAATAGTCCACCTTTGAGTAATCAGCCAGACCATTTGGTTGACGATTAAACAAAAGTGTATACGGACGAGATTTATGTAGCCGAGCATACTTGACATTGATGCAGTAATTCACCCACGGAATGAAGTGCTCCCATTGATCCCTCTTACCTTTTAACAACTTGATAGTCGTTAACTTACATATTTTGATAAATGACTCAGAAACCGAGTTACCCAATGGATTGTACCCTAATGACAGGCGATGGTCTATCCCACTGATGTCCATCATAGCACGGACCACCTCATTTATCCATTCCAGGCCTCTGTCTGAAGTCAACTTGATTGGCCATCCAAAAAGTGAGAAAACTTGAAGCATTTCCCTGGCAATTGTCGTAGCCTTCTTGTCTGGAATGCATCTTATCACAGTAAATCTCGTAAAGTAATCAGTAAGGACAAATAGAAAGTTGCTGCCGAAAGAGCTAGTAACACCCATATCACCGAGATCCATGCACCAATGATCCAAAGGTTGGGCTGCATTGACACTACGGAAAGGATGATATCCCTCTCTAGCGATATTGTACCTGTTACACTCGTCACAATCGGCTAATATTCTTTCTATGTCTTTCCGAATGTTCACCCAGTGAAACCCTTCATGATGAATTGCAGTTTCAACATGTTTGATCCCAAAATGTCCAACCAGATGCTGAGCAATGATCATATTGTCTCTTTCATTAGCAGGAGGAGTGATATAGTCAGCAAACCTAAGCGTACGCAATGTGAATTCCTTTTGCTTTTGCGAGACAGCTGTGGTGGTGCCATCTTTGATAAGAGTAGCGTTTACCGCAGTGCGTGCATGGTTGCTAAAAGAATTAGATCGTAACGCCTTAGTTGTCTTGACCAAAGTACGTTTCATTGGAGGCGAAGGTGTGACAACCTTGAGTTTGTTTTTGGAACCCTTTTTCTTTCTTTTTACACTTTCACCACCATCAGCATAGTACCTGCCCCCCAGAAGATGTCGTGCTGAAGCATCAGCATCCGAATCTTCGTAAAGTCGAGATAAAGCATCAGGAATTACGTTAAGGACACCGGGCAAATGCACAATATCGAAAGTATAAGAAAAAATGGTCTCCCACCATCCAAGCATGAGTGCATTGGGGACTTCCTGTGTATTCAAGTAGATCAGACTCTTATGGTCCGTATGTAAGGTAAACTCTCGCATATACAGAAAACGATGAAACTTAACCAAGGCATAGCAAATCCCTAGCAATTCCCTTTTCGTAGTACTGTAGTTACGCTCAGAAACAGACAATTTACGAGATACGAGACCTACATATCGAATTTCATCGTTGACCACTTGATATAAAACCGCGCCAAGAGCAGTTAAACTAGCATCAGTAGCCAAGTGAAATCGAATCGAAAAATCAGGAGGTGACAGCACAAGTGCCATCGTAAGTGCATCCTTCAAGTCGGCAATCGCTTTTGTATGAGACTCATTCCAAACATCTGTTAGATCTTTGTACTGTTTCAAGCTATCAAGATCTCGAGTCAGACGAGAATAACATGGAATGGCAGCACGAAAGTACGACATTAAACCCAAGAAAGATGCCAATTGACGACCAGTGGTAATAGCCGGCCAATCTGCAATGTTGGTAAGTTTTCTACCGTCAGGCAGTAATTTACCATTAATAACACTCCATCCCAAGAGATAAATACTACGCTGAGCGAAGACGACTTTCTCAGGATTGAGCACCAAATTAGCATCGGTTAAACGACGAATTACCTCAGCAACCAACGCATAGTGATCTTGTAGGCTCCCATTACTACTGCATAAGATGTCATCTACATAGCAGGAAACCGAGTGATCACCATCAGTAGGAAACGAAGTAGAACTAGAGCTTGTATTCAAATCAGAGAGCAGTGTTTGCAATGTGCGTACAACCACCGATCCGACATGGCGAATTCCATAAGCAGCCTTTTTATGGGTGTATTGGATATTCGTGAAGGGACAAGTAAATGAAACTTTATGAGCTTGCTCTGGATCCAAACCAAAGCTAGTAAAGCAAGCATGGATATCGAGACAAGTATGAATCATTTTCGTACCAATGCTCTGATGGATATGAGAGATCAAAGGTAACTGTTGTTTGTCATCCACTTCCAAGATAGCATTCAACTTACGAACGTCACACACCACTCTAGGCTTAGACATTGTGTAATTACCATCAGCGTCCTTTTTCTTTACAACCAACAATGGATGATTGAAACGTGTATGACTAGCAGATCTTTCAACAACACCCTCATCAAGCCATATCTGAATTTGTTTGGCAACAGCATCACGATAAGCTTCAGGCAAAGGATATTGAGCTCGCCAAGCGACAGCACCTGGTTTAGTATCAAGCTTAATAATCGAATCCGGCAGATTACACTGAGTATTCTTCATATCAATGCGCGAATTCTCTTCTAATAACCCCTTTAGTGCAAGTAGAAACGGCTGTCTCTCTTCCTCACTACCAAAAGGATGTGCGTTTGGAGTAATACCATCATCAATAGGGTCTGGTACACGAGGACCTGATTGAAAGCCATGTTGACTCACCAAGCCCGTAAGACCAATGCCAAGCTTGGACAAAATATCCATACCAAGCAATACAGGTACGTTTTCCTCAGAATAGAATGGAAATACTTCAAACAAATGGTTTTTATTTGATTTATTGTAGCTAATGTGCAAACGTACCGCACCTATTCTAGGCACAGTCGTTACTTCATGAGCCATTTGAACAAAGCTCTCATCATCATCATTAGCCTCAAATCCAGCAAGAGAGGTTCCTCCTAAGAATTGAAAGAACTTGTCAGTGACGCACGAAAACGTAGCACCCGTATCCACTAAGCCAAAGCAAATGACATTTTGAACCACAATAGGAACACAAATAGCATTGGTGGTCATAGTAGGTGGAGCACTAAATCTAGCATCGAACTTACATTGCTGAGCAAATATATTTTGTAGCGTATCGTCGTCCACAGACATGCTACTCATCTCTTTTTCAAGAAGAATAGACTGGGCACGATTCACCAGGTCAGTATCCTCAAAGATACCATGAGCTTCACTCATCACAGCATCTTGGTCAACATCAACATTGTCACTATCACCAGAAGAAGGAGCAAGGACAACCTCATCCACCGATTGTTCAGCAGAGGAGACAGCAGGGGAAGAAGCACCTTTCTCAGCTAACGCACGATCAACACGAGCAGAGAGAAAAGCAGCTTGGATTGCAGCATCCATCGAATGTTTGCCACCACGTTTCTTAGTCATGGCACGCAAAACTTTTTTACCACCATTGCCCTGATGGGTGTTACCACCACCAGTACGAATAGCAGTGTTGCAGTGATACATCTGCCCCTTTGGTCGAGGACCGTTACATTTGGAGCAAGTCCCTTCAGCAACATGTTCAGCAAATGTTTTGCCAAAACGATTAGCACTAGAACGTGGAGAGTTGGACGAGGGACCATTGGATCTCGACGAAGAGCTACTTTGCAGAGCGTTTCCACTAGAAGAAGGTGCGTACCGAGACTTCTTTGCTTCGTTCGAAACAGGTATGTCAGCAGCGCGTTTTCTTCCATCAAAAACAGAGCCCAAAGATTCTTGACCCGTCTCAATAGCCATCATATCCATCTTGCGCACGAGAGAGGACACATAATCAATGTCATAAAATGACGATTCTGGTGCCTGACTCATAGCAACCATTAGCAACCTAGCGGTAACCTTGGGGAAAGCGTCAAAAAACACCATCGCTACGACACCCTTATCACTGATGTCAGCTCTATTTCTCAACGTCTTAAACCGCTCTACGAAACCATCAACGGATTCTTCGTTTTCTTTAGTACAACGAAGAAACTCCCTAATTCTTTCGAATCTGAGCTGTTCTTTTGGTGTACCAAAACGACCGATGATAGCTCCCTTCAAGGTAGCCCAAGACACAGTGGAGCCAGATGCTTTCACAAACTCATCAAGCCAATTGCGAAGATCGCCGGGAAGACAAGGAGGAAGCAAACGATACCAGTGTTCGTCAAGATCAAGCGTGCAACTGCTCAACTTATCGGAAAACCGGCGACAACACTCCTCAATGTTGGCAAAAACTTCCTTTTTTTCATCTTTGACACGTCCAAACCATTGGAACAAAGGAAGATCATCAGGTACAGTTGAACTATTAGCCGCACCTTGACTAACCACTGTTACTTGGGAAGGACTCTGGTTAGGTGTGACCATAGAGAGAGCTTTCTCTATAGCCTCCAAGTTAGAGCACTTCTTTGACAGGGCAGCCTTCAAAGCGTCGACCTCTTCGTCCGACTTGTCCCCACTGTTCGCAACTTCAGCGATCAACCCATGAACCTCCTGACGAAGTCGCTCTACAGCTCCTCCGTATGAAAGCTCGCTTCCAACAGCTTGAACATCTGAACTCTTGTTCTGTTCTGCAGGAGACACAGTAGAATCATTCATAGTCATATTTTTGGTTTAAATTAGATAGGTAGGTTAAAATCTGGAAGATTCTGATTTACACGATCTTAAAAAATGTTAAGCACAAAGAATAAAAGGATTATTATTTGTAGCTTATAAAAAATGTTCAATATTATAAAAACAAGAAAAGACTTATTTGAATAAGATCAGACACAAAAACTAAAGATTTATTGATGAAGACAAGAGTTATTCTATTTATACTAAGTTCTGAATGCCAAAGTAGCAATTTATCTTGTACAACGCTTATCACATCTGGTGAACCTCAGTATTTAGATAGCTGAGATGCACTTCACTTATCATAGCTTGTCCATGTTGTTGCACAACACAGACATATCTACCCATCAAGAATACCTTAATCTTTATAGACAGTTGTAGCCCTTCTGGCACAACATTTTTTGTTGACTGTGATATGATCAGCTCAACGGATGCTTGCAATGTTGTTGCTTCTTATGTATGAACAACAAGCATGATGTGCTACTATATATCTGTATTGCCGTTGTAATACTACTTTGTTATATGGTTGTGGATTGTTGTTTGTGTTGCCTTTGTCGCTTCACATGAAACAGTATTAGTCATTATGTTGTATCGCACACTTATAATACTGCTGTTGCTCCTGCAATTGTGCGTGTTTGTGTTGCTTGACATCCGACTACTATCATGCACGTTGCTCATGTATGCATTTTTGTTGTAACAACAGCGAGCTGTTCTAAACATCTTTGATGTTGTCTTTGTTATGCTTTTGTTTTGCCTCACTTTTTTGTGTGAGTGTTTCTTTTTTGCTTACATACTACTATACTCTTATAGTATTATGCTTCTTCTTTCTTTCTTTCTTTTCTTTCTCTTATTATGTTTCTTTGAAGCATACCTTTTTTACGTTGTGATGGATGTGCCTATCACTGAAGCTCAACAAGACATTATTCGAGGCTAGGAGGTGGATAGGCTGCCTCCACTTGGTTATCACTACTTACTTTAGTGATGATTGAGGGTCTCAACGCCAGAATCTAAAGCTAGGTGGTGTAAGTAAGGCATGCTCTAGCACCTGGGGGAAATTTGATGATAGTTACAGCTATATTGCTATATATATAGCGGAGCTTAAAATTTTGCCTCACATCAAAACAGGGGGAAACCCTCGCAAATTTTTTTTTAGGTCAGCGGAGTTTTTACGTAATCTGATTGGCTGAAATTTGGAGCCAGAAGATACAATAAAATGTTATGTTACATGTGTCAGCAGCTTGATTCATACGAACAATAGAGCGTCTGATGTCGTTTATGATTCTATAATGCTTATTACAATGTCAAGCAGCCCATCAAACAGTTCTGTCGATGATAATTGGTATTCCTGTTTACAATTGCATATTCTATAGTCCTGATAATAGTACCGTTACTGGTAACTCACGTCCAAAATTCTGCAATTTCCATAAGGATAACAAAGCTAGAGTGGGTGTTACAGTGCTACTAGAGGGTAAATTGAAGTGATGCTTACCGGCATTCAGTCTCGACTGCAGCAGGTTGGCGCAATGCAAGCGAAAAGAGAATTGGCTAATGAAAAAAGTAAAGATTACATTTAATCATGATAATTGAAAAGTTGATGATGATGATGAGCGCCTCCAATTTATTTGAGATCCAAAATAAGACAGCTAATAACTAAATGTTTCTAAAGCAAAAGCGAGGAATTATACATTCAAACTTTTCCAAGTGCTAACTTGAAGAATCTATGTTTGATACAACAACCCAAGTTTTGATTCGATTAGCTTCTGAAATGCTGATTTCTTTAGGTAGTTTCAGTAAAAACGGCAATACTTTGGTATGAATAACTCTACTCAGTTGAACTGATAAAGTCCCAAGTCTTCATCCAAGCATAGTTTTGCTCACTTTATCGCTTTGATTTTCAAGATCGAATTATATCAATTAAATATGCAAACTGAATTTTAGTCGTTATAGCAGGGTACATTGAAGAGAAAGGTAGCAACCTGCTAGTAGAAGGCCGTTTATTTATAGCCGATTTTGAACGTTTGCTAGGACAATCTATGATTTAACAATGTCGCCACAGGAAATGTAGAGTTTTCTACACGACTCAAAATGAGCAATCAACAGTGCTTCTAACATATCTCCAAAGCCAACGTTGTTTAAGAAATCGTTTTAATCGTGACATACGCTCTTTAACCACTAAATCAAGCACTGTGATGCAACCCGTATTCAAGGAAAAGGTGATAATACAATAATCTGGCTACTATTTATTCATCTTAAAGTAATCCTTCCTACTTCCTTCACGCATGTAAATGCAGACTTCACGTTTGGCTCATTTGAACCAGTATATACTTAGATATATGCCTCATACTCTTATTCTATACTCTACGTTTTACTGGCACCTCCATTTCAAGTCGCAAGCAGACAGTCGTTTATTATCAGGTTATACACCATTAAAAACGTTGCTGGTGTGCATGTCATAAACTAAGATTACAAAGAACGAAGGAGTCTGTTGTATCATGAAGGACCTGCGCAGACATAAGTGCATCTGAGATGACAAGACGAAAGCCCCCCATTTTAGAACAAAGCTATACATGTAGTGAAACAAATAATTTCAGTCTAGAAAGTGCATGTTGATTAATTGAGCTATAACTTATAGTACAGTGAATTTATTGACTAAACAATATTGTAATACGGCTTTGATGATCCAGACTTATTTTTGCCCAGGTAAAAGAATACAGAGGAGACAGCCATTGCGCCCACTGAAGAAGCAATCACGATCAGAGTTACTCCAGTGATATATATTTGTGATCCAATAGCTCTTTTAATAGATTCAGCAATATGTCCTTCATCCACTTGGTTTGAATTATTACTCTTTGACATGGAATGGAGCAGTAAGATACCTACGCATTACAATTGCACTTGAATTAGTATTTCATTGCATTTGACAAAAACAAACATACCTGCAGCCACCCAGATTGCATCAATGGCAACATAGCTGATAGAGTAAATATTGACAACACGATGCTTGTGCTTTGCAAGTACACTAGGCTTGGTGTTGGAGTTTTTGTTGTTGTTAGCACCGCTGTCTGCTGTGCTACCATAAGTAGACTCGTGTCGTTCCGTTTTGCCTTTGCTCTTATGTGTCATGACCATGAACAAACCCAGACTCACCAGGGCAACTACAATAGTGCCTGACAAGAATACGACAGGCATTGCATCATGATCAGAGATAGCAATTGCATGTTTCAATACCAAACAAGACCGAATTGCATTGTAAATGTTGACAGGGAGCAAAGCTATCAGGGAAACCAAGAATACAGCCAATCCTGAAAACGCCAGTATAACGCCCAATACTGAACAGATGCCAATAGCCATTTTATGTGTATAATATGTAACAGAAGAAAGGAAAAGAAGCGGAAATACGGTTGTCAATTGGAAGCTTTATACACATAATGGATTTAAGTTGGTGCTGCGACTCAGCATGTCTCTTTAAGGTTCAGGAACACAAAATCAAATCAAGTAAAAACTTGGTAACAATTCCATCTCTCCAGAGGTGGATGAAAAGGCGAAATCTACTGGCTAGTCATACTAGCATCATTAGTGTGTTAGTGCATCATATGCGAAAGCGACCAAAATCCAGTGGTACCATGTTGAATAACATATGATTTTCTTTACCAAGTGCAATCCAACTTGCGCATACTCCTTAAACCGCATCACTGTCTGGATCCTCATCGTTTAAAACCTACGATACTTTTCTGATAATTCCAATTTTATTTACACTGGACAGTACGATACTCTAAAATCCACCATTTCTCTTTCGCTCTTCTGCCATCTGTCTAAACATCGCCATGGTAGCATCCTCCTTTGCTTTATAATCGTCCATCTTGCTCATAATAGGTGCTAATCGCTGTTGCTGTCTCTCAGCTCGTCTTGATTCTCTCAACTCGTTTGCTTTTCTTTCAGCTGCTAATCTACATGAGGATATCAATGCCATGTTCTTAAAAAATCACACTTTCTCCCCCCCCCTACCTTGCTTTAAAGTCATCGCCACCCATTAAATCCTGCTCAGATAATTCGACATCTGGGCTGCGTTCTCTTTTGTGGTAGGCATTGAGAGCTCTTTTCTTTGCTAATGCTGCTTCGCGCCCAGTTTCCTTTGGTGCTACTTCATCCAGCATTGCCTCTCGCCTTTCATTTCTTCTTTTGGATTCATGTTTGCGATTCCATCTTTCCTTCTCATATTGGTCTTCCCTATCTGCAAAAAGCATCAGCACATTACTCATGTAATATTGAAAAAAGAAAAACCATACCAACAGTATCTGGCATACTGGGGCCCACAGCCTGCGATCTTCTTTTACCAAATACTCTATCATCTCCACGACTTTGGCTTGTCATGCTGTCGACATTATCACGAATTGTATCCATCTCCATCTTGTTGAGATTCTTTGCAAACGACCACTTGTAACGAGTTGTATCTGATGATTCCAATTGTGCTGAATTCAAGCCTTTGTATAATTTTTCTATAACCACAAATGTCAGGCGTTGTTATTTCGCCTTGGCAGTGCGTTGTAATCATACCGTCCAGTTCATAATCATTCCATCTTTTGACAAATTTCTTGAAATATCTTCTTGCTTCTTTTGAGCTGATCTCATCCAAGTACTTGTGCTTTGATTCCTTCAGCCATACTCTAAACTCATTTGCCTTTTCAAAATAGTCATCCTCGTCAATAGCTACGAGATGATTAGTACAGGGAGCAATCTGCCCAGAAGAGTCTACTCACGTTGAATGCTCTTTTTCAACGAATCTGATATTTTACTATGTTTGCTAGATCTTCTATCGGATTCTTCATCGGATTCGTGTCGTCTCTTGTGGCTGCTACTGCTGCTACCGCCGTGTCTTTTAGATGAACTCATGATGTGTAATGTAAAAGTAAAGGCCAAACTTTTCGTAGCGCTGCATTGATTTTGTTGAAACACATCTAGTCACATTGAAGCTGATTGTCACAGAAAGCATAGCATGCAACTGTCCTTGGCACCAAGACATTGCCATTACAGACTGGTGCTTGTATGCCATTCATCCAAGCGCTTTATGTTCACATTCTATACATATCCCAATATGGATCGCAGCCATCTCATCAGAGACACAACCAGATATCACATTCAAATGCTGATTGACGTCATTTCGGCTAGATACACTAAATCACAGGTGATGAGATCCCATAAATTGAGAAACCAAGCCCATCATGACATAATTTATGTAGTCGTGGATTATGAAAGTACACACACATGCGGCACAGGCAAAAGTTATAACAATAACTTGTTAGTTTAGTATGTATTAAGTTCAAGGTATGAGGAGTGATCTCGATTCTGTTTATGGTGGAACGGCACCGTAAGTTTGGCCCTGCGTGGTAGTAGCATACACTGGCTGGTTTCTCAACTGGTGCTCTTCTCTTTGCTTGATCAATACGTAGAAAGCGTGGATATGTCCAGGGAGATAACCTATAAAGCGCCATGCAAGATGGTGAGCTGCCCATCCCTCACCTCTAAATATACTGCCCTTTTTACTTACCGAGGATTGTAAGGCACAAGTTGATCCAGAAATCAGCTCCACAGCCCTTCATGAGGAAGACACCCAAAGGAGGCAACAAGATGATGATGAAAATAAGACAGCAGGTACCGATCATTGTATATAAAGCAAATAAGTTTTGTTTTCAAGAGAAAAAGGTAAAGAGATACAGAGGAGATAAAACATCGCCTTTTATATAGGTGAGAGTTTCAACCTATAGGCTTGGTTAGCTTAAACGGGTGTTCGATTAGGGGATTGCAGTCGCATTATGTAATACGATTGACGTAGCATTCATGATGTGCAGCGAGTTGTTTATGTACCTTTCAGTCTATGTCATTTAATCCACTGCAATCACTTTCGAAGGATGATTCTCTATCTTCAATGCGGCTTTGCTGGTGCAGTGCTTTTGTAATTTCAATGCGCTGGCTTTGTAAATGATCTACATTAGCGTGCTCCTCATTAGCAGGGCGAAGAAGGCTTATTTCCAGCATAATACAAAGTAAACTGCCAACTGCTGCCAATGCATGTCAAATCACCAAAATCTGTGGACCGATTTGTAGCGCCCACAAAGCTAACACATACTAAGACGTAGCTATACCAACATGGATAGTGCGTCACCTAGATAGCGATTATAATGTTGATGACAGCTATCATATAGTATCGTCCAAGTTGATAATCATGATATTTATTGACAGAATGGCTATATTTTTGGGAAGAATACTTCCTTCAGGTTACCAATAATACCTTTATCGTAGATATTAACAATTTCATCAAAGCTCTCGACCCTCTTTTCCTCTTTTACTGCAGCAGTGCCCTTGCTTTTGTCGTACTTTTTGGAATAACCTTCAACTGCAGTTGATGTGCCTGAAGATTCCTCCTCTTTCTTCTTGTTGACTGGCACCATCTTGAACAGTTCGCCTCTATCAATGGATTCCTCTATCATTTCCCATTTAAATGCTTCGTTTGTTGTGATTCCTCTACTAGCTAGATAAAGTCTGTACATGGTTTAGATACACACCCACATCGTTTCATGCTAGATAGCACTTACTGGTAGATCAAGAATATGAGCACTACAGCCGAAACAACGGCAGCCAGAATACCAATGGCCCCTATGATTCTATCATGATGAAGAACGTACTAGTGTATGCATGAGTTTAACGTTGTTGCAGAAGCGATGTCATGGCACATACCAAAAATGCTCGGCGAAATGTAATGACAGATTGCTCTCCAGTGACAGAGTCCTTTACCAATGCTTTGTCCAGCCCCCATTCAATGATCATACCACGGTACACTTGGAAGCACAAATAAGCACCGTACGCACAGAATTCAACCAACATGTACAAGAACAAGAAAAAATAGCGCTGGTTATTTTCTCCTACACATTGATTGATCCAAGCGCAATGATGGTCTGACCTTCCAACACATGCTTTGCACATGGAGCAATGCTTGGAGCGAGCAGGTCTAAGTAATGTGTGTGTGTGTGTGTGTGTGTGTTTTCAGTCCAATTTGTATCAATGCCCATCCAATCTAAATGACACTTACTTTTGCATTTTACAGGTAATGCATGTCTTTGGTTTGTATATAAGTCCATCGTATTTGTAATAGTCTAAATGCTGTTGCAAGTTTTGGGGAGTAATGATGCCTGGATTAGATGTACATGCTATGTAATAGGATGCATAAATGGATATAATTTGAGCGGGAATAATCAGGCTAGTCCATGTCGAGGTCAATTCGTTGTCAGTGCATGTTACAAGGGCAACTTACAAATGAATCTTGTGCAAATAGGGTCCTGGCATATGAGGTAAAGCATTGTATAAAAAGCCAGCAATAGAGACGGATGACAGCGATACGAAAAATATCTACACAGCAGCATAAATACCTCTCCGTTTGGATGGTCATTGTAGATGGTAATTACCTGCAAGAACGGATTTCGACTTTCACAGCAATATGCCCAGCATGAACCAAATCGATTCAAGTTTCGTTTGCCAATGGTCTTGACAAGCAACCATCTGTATGTATCATGTCAGTAAAAGCCCAAGCGTCATATCTGTGTCATTCCATTTACGATAAAGCTCTTGGTAGTTTCTCTGTCAAGAATCGATTCAGCTTTCCTATAATGCCATTTCTACAGAATGAATTCTCGGTTAAACGGTGTTGGTTGATCCAATGTACATTCAAGATACCTCAAAGAGGGTGATTCACCAAACAGCAAGGTGAAGACGATGAACCCAAAAGCTGTTAGAAATAGAACAAGATACACAACTAGTTCCTTTGAGGGACCTCTCATTTAGTTTCCATTTGGCACTACTGTAAGATCAATTTACTCACCATTCTAGCCGAGGTAATGAAGGATCCAGACTAAATATTATTGTTATAGGTTGAGAAAAAAAAGGTACACAATTGCGATATTGGATGTGCCACCGTAATTTCCATGTGTGCAGCTTCGACCTTTCAAAAGCAGTCAGTTCAATGATGCATGTGGTATCACATTGTTAATTGCACAGCAGTTCAGTATGAGCGATGCCGATAATGCAATCAATGAGCATATGTGTTGAGATGTAGAAGGTGTCACTGCAGCCTTAGCTGGGCTAAATGGCATGTAAAAAAAGCGGCAATGATCGATAAGCAATGATGATGATGATGATGATGATGATGGCAATGCCATTGTCCAGAAATCAGGTACCGCCCAGATTGTCTCTGATGATAGATGTAAAGCCGCATAAAAGGAAGATTCAGACACTGTGCAGTCAGTCATCTACCATCTATCTTGTTTTATGTTCATTAGAGGCCAATTGCGCACCATGCCTCACAAGCAGAGAGAACTGAAACACCTAATACCAGCTCAACGTAGCCGACGAGTAAAGAACAATATCAGATCAAGTGCAATGTAGGAACCAAGACAGTGGAATATTTATTCGATCATCTCTATGCCACGATGCGCAATGCATTATCTATATGTATGCATGCCTTTGTTTATACTGGATATATACCTGACTCGTTCCGAGACCTTGGAGGAAGGAGGATCAATGTTGAAACAAATGAGCTCTGGTGTGACACACACACACACACACACACACACACACACACACATACATACCCTCTCTTTTCGTCTGTTAATATAAACCCTTTTAACGAAACTTGCCGCTCTTTGCAATAGGCCATGCCGAAAGAGATGGTTAGATTTACCACGTGTATGATCTCATACGCAACCCAGGAAGAGGGAACCATCTTGCTTGTTCTTCTTTCGAATCAGAGAATCCTGTTGAGAATCCGACAGTGATCCTAACAACATCTCCCGCGGTGGCTAACTTGGTTCTCTTTCTTTTTCTTTCGCTTTCTTTCTTTTTTTTTCCCTTTTTCCCTTTTTCATTTATACAGACATTACAACGATAGGAATAGAAAAGTATGGCAGAATCTGACACATTGTCTGATAGCAAGGACATTGCGAGGAAATCACCATCACAGCAACAGCAGCAGCAGCAGCAGCAGCAGCAGCAAGAAATCACTATTCCACAAATCATATTGACTGAACCGCCTACTCAACATTCTGATGCAAATACCATCAATACCAGCACATCGCCACACGCTCTCTCTCCTAAATCAGTGCCTCATAAGCCATCACCTCCAGCTTCTTCTACTGTGATATCATCCTCTCCATTGCCATCCCCTTTACCATTGACAAAGGATTTGCTGCAGAGAAAGAACAAGATGGATAGATTGCTATCTCAAAAGGAGAAGCATCGCTATCATCGTCAACAGCAACAGCAACGTTCAGCCGATTTCAATAGTAGTAGTGCCGTTGACGAACGAGTGACAGCAGGACTGGGTATATCCACTCCTCACAATGATCATGGTTCTTCGTCGTCAATGGCTGCTGGTGCTACAACAATATCAGGCCTGCGATCCCGTCGCTTCAGTTCATCTCGTTTATCTTCCTCCAACCGAAGTGAACCCGAAAAAGCCATGTTTAGTCCATCATCCCTTGGCCATCAAAGTGAATGGAGCTATGATTTGGATGCATTCAAGTCGAGCACGTCTGGATCTTCCAAGGGACATCATCCTCATCATCACCATCATCAGCATGCCAGTAGCTATCACCATGCAACATCTGGCACTTCAGTCAGTGGATCATCCAATCGAAACAGCGTATCCATGAGAGCATACAGTGCCAATCATCGCTATATGGATCGACATCACGGACAGCATGGCCATACCCCTTATTTTGAAAGGCCAGATCAGCATTTGAATCGACATGATGAATACAAAAGCAAATACTTTTTATTGGATTTACTGATCCATGCTGTCAATCGAGTTGTGAATTCAAGGGCACCTGAATCCAAGCAAGTGTCTGATAAAGAGATATTTGATTTTGATACAAGCACAACAGCAGCAACAGCAGGCCTTCGTGATACCCCTAGTCCACTTCCACTGAACGAAAAGTCCATGGAACTAGCATCACCTCACATTATGACACCTGCAACAGCCAACACGGCGACTAACACAACAACAAATAGAAATAATAGATATTCCTGGCTATCCATAGTCACTAGTTTAGACGAAAAGTCATCCGATTTTGACAACGATTCCATATTCCCCAGCGAAAAGAAACTAGCATCAGTGCATACCATCGCTCACGATGCTCACCAGCAACTACAACCGCCACCACCACCGCCGCCAATACAAATGACAGCGAAAAAGCCATTATCACTGTCAGATGAACTGCTGCCCAATCCATTGCAAGGTCATTCGCTGTATCTGTTTGGTCCTACCAACAGATTTCGCATCCATGTTTGGAAATTCATACGTAAAAGGTATGTTTATTTTGTTTGTGTATGTGTGTTTGCACAGATCAAATGGGGCTAAATCATGGTGTTTCAAGATCTGTGGAGACGTTTATTTTCCTTTTGATGATACTTCACTGGTTTCTACTTGCATGCGTGCCAATCACAACAAATCAAGAGAAATCACAGTTTGGAGGGCAGTGGACACATTACCCTATATTATGCATACAAGCCTTATATAGGTAAATTATGCCATATTTGCATGTTTTTCAGGAGAGATGCTGATTTGTGCCTGTAGCATCGAGTCGATTTGCAAAATCATTGCCTATGGACTCATTATACCACCAAAACCACCCACACTAGCGTCACTGAATCAACAGCAACAAGAAGATCAGGAAGAGTTGGTCAAGAATTGGAAGCGAAATCATCGCGCCTACCTCAACAGTTTTGGAAATTGCTTTGATACAGTGTCCATTATCAGCTATTGGGCTGATCTGATCGTCATGGTCTATGAATACCCTTATTTATCACTGTTCAAATCATTAGGAGCTATACGTCCAATTCGACTGTTATCCATGTTACGCGGCACAGCTGTAAGTGTGTCAATTACTTGGGTTGTGTGCAGAGAATTGCTCATACATGTTTCTTACAGGTCATTTTGAAATCATTGGAAACAAGTTGGGATATTCTACTCGCTGTATCTGGCCTCATCTTTTTCTTTCTGCTGCTGTTTGCTCTTGTTGGGTTGATTTCCTTCCAAGGTGTCTTCTCGAGACGGTGTTACTATACAGCAGAGGACAACTCACTGCAACTCGTTGAGCCTGCACTGTATTGCTCAGGTTATATGAATAACACGGCGGTGGTAGGTGCTTATAATGTGGAAACAGGCGAATCCAGCTACCCTGGGTATCATGGTTATCTATGTGCTGCTGGTCAGATTTGCTTAGAGAATCCTGTCAACAACCCCAACTACGGATTCGTCAATTTCGACACCATTTTCTTTTCGTTTTTGAACGTATATACCTTTGTGTCTCTGGAGTTATGGACGGATCTGATGTACCAGACGCAGGAGGCAGACTCGACTGTCGCTGCCTTATATTACTGCTTGGGCGTCTATATCATAGCCTTTGTGCTTACATTTCTTTTGTTTGGTAAGTTTACTTTTGCGGTGAATACACACAGTGCTCATTTATGCTCTCTGTAGCTGTTATCACATCTGCATTTGCACGTGTTCGCGCTGAAAGTGCAGTGAGTGCATTTACAGCAAAGAAAAAGGGATACCCGGTTTTAAGGGATGCAGAAGGACTGGATGATGAAGCCATGTGGATGTTTGATAACCCACCTGACGACTTGGGAAAAGGTGTTACTCGACTCAAGCTGCGATGGTGGATTGTGAGGATGGTCAAGAGTCGAGCCTTCTTTTACTTTGGTGGCTTTCTGGTCCTGTTTGATCTCATCTTTATGTGTTTGCGATCATTTTACGCGAGCAAAGCAACATTAGAATTAGTGGACAATGCTGAAACTGCATTTACATTTGTCTTTGCCCTAGAGATTCTGCTTAGAATGGTGGGAGCCACCAGCTGGATGACCTTTTGGTCTGCCAAAACCAACTTGTTTGACTTGTTTCTAGTGATCAGCACGTGTGTGATTCAGTTACCCATGATCCAGGACTCTTGGGTGTACAAGTACTTGACCATATTTCAAATATTGCGGTTGTACCGACTCTTTATATGTATCCCTCGCGTGAGACGTTTGCTAGTAAGTACCGTAGTAAATCTAATTATAAGCTCATTGTATTAACATACGGCTAGTCTGCTGCTTTAGGTACTGGTGAAAGTGTCATTTACGTTATGGTGTTCCTTATTTTAGCTACCGCATTGTGTTCCACTGTGTTCATGCAAATGTTTGGCGGTGATTACACGGATGTAACAACGCCAGAAGATCCTGAAAACCGATTTGACACTTTTTGGGAGTCGTTTGTGTCTCTGATTGTCGTGTATACCAGCGAGAGATGGACGGTAGGACTAGTAATAGAGGTGTGTCTTACAGCCGCTAAACACCTTCCTATAGGATGTGCTCTACGACGCCATGGCCAGTCAACATGGTCAAGGATCCATTTACGCGGCAGCAGCACTGTCGCTCTACTTTGCATTTGGTCGATACATCATGTCGGGCCTTTACATTGCTGTTGTACTGGAGAATTTTGAATTAAGCGACGACTACATCCGACACTACCAAATCAAGGACTTTATCCACCGTCATCGCTTCAAAGATAAGGACAGAACAGAGACCATCCTTTTGAAATTGTTTCGACCGTTTTACTATTTCAATGAAAACAAGAACGTTCAAATATCTGAACTACCAGCCAATTTGACGGCACCCCTGACAAAATCAGACTTGACAGAGTTGTTGACTGATCTCCCAAAGAAGCGAAACGAAGAGCTAAAACAGCCATCTTGGATTGAAAGAAAGCTAACGATATTCTTTTCCAGTATTCGACAGCGTATTCCATTCTTGCGAAAAAAGACCAGCATCAAATCTGCCCCCATGTAAGCCCTTGAATTCATTCACGTACACCCACTGGAAACTAACGCTATGCTGCCACTAGAAACCCTTTTATGCAAGATACAGAAGATATACCTGAAGATTACGACATGATTGCCGCTGAAGAGAACCGAGAAGCTCAGAAAGAAGACACGCCTGTGGTAAATTCGCTGTTTCTGTTCTCTAACAGAAGCAGATTTCGATACTATTGCAAAAAATTGGTTGGATCCAGCAACGATGGACAAGCAGAAAAGCACAACTTGTTCAATTGGATGGTCATGGCATGCGTGCTGGTCAGTATTCTGATGGTGATTTTGGACGAGCCTTCCACACGTCTGATCAGAAAGGATACCTCGAGACAGGACATTTACGACACGATTGAAATTGTGCTCAGTGTCGTCTTTATCGTGGAAGTCAGTATTCGTATTGTGGCCGATGGGTTTCTACTGACGCCCAATGCCTACCTTCGCAACCACTGGAATCAGCTGGATCTGTGTGTCATCCTGCTTAATATTGTTACCATCTTTATGAGCTCGGAAGAAGCTCCTCGTGGTCTCAGTACATTTCGAAGTCTGCGTATTCTTCGGCTGATTCGATACTTTAATGGTGTGCGTGATATCTTTGTAGCGCTGTTCTACGCTTTTCCTCTCATGTTTGATGCCCTGATATTCACCTTTCTGGTGCTGGTTCCCTTTGCAGTGTACGGTGTCAACATCTTTGGTGGTCTCATGTGGATGTGTAATGATGGATCTGTAGGCTCAAGAGGTGATTGCATTGGTGAATTTGAGCTGAATGTGAGCAGTGATGATGGCACCGACGTCAATATCTGGATCCCTCGTGTGTGGCAGAACCCTCAAAACGGCTTCATATCGTACGACAACTTTCCACTGGCGTTGCAGCATCTGTTTTCTCTGACATCGACCGAAGGCTGGGTCGACTCCATGTTCAGTGCCATGAGTACTCCGCATGAACCTGATGCGCAACCCTCATTCAACTGGTACTCCAGCACCGTATATCATGGCATCTTTTACATTATCTTTATGATCTTTTCGCAAGGCACGATGCAACTGTTTGTGGGTGTCATCATTGAAAAATTCAAAGAAAGAAACGGCATTACGACACTGACCACAGCTCAGCGAAAATACATGGATTTGCAACGTCTGCTGTCCAGCGTCAAGCCCACAATCAAGGTGTTTCGTCCAGAGTCGAAATTGCGACGAATCTGCTATGACATGGTAATCCAAAAGCACGGCAAGTTTAACCGACTCATGATGTGTGTCATCTGCTTGAATATTGTCGCCATTGCGAGTGAGTTCCAGAATGAACCTCACTGGTTGGAAGAGTTGCAAGATTACTCGTATTTAGGGTTTACTATTATCTACGTGGTTGAATGTATCATCAAGTTGCTTGGTCTCGGTTGGAAAAAGGTATGCGTATTGTACCTTGCACGTATAACACACGTCTAACACGGTTGAATACAGTGGATTCGCAGTAAATGGAACTGGTTTGATTGTATCATTGCCAGCTGTGCATTGCTGCTGCTCATTCTTCGATTTGCTCTGCCTGATTTATGGACACTACGAGTGGAACGGTACTGTTTGGTTCTAGCTGCTTTCCGTCTCGGCGAGGGTATTGATTCGCTTCAGACGCTGTATCATACCATTGCCAAATCCATGCCGTCTATCATTCAAGTGTCTGCTGTCTTTATGGTAGCCATGTGTCTGTTCGCTATGCTCTTCATGGAGTTCTTTGGCTTGACAAAGTATGGTATTTATGGTACATCTCATGTCAACTTTCGAGATTATGGCAATGCTTTGCTCTTACTTGTGCGTGCAACAACGGGCGAGGCTTGGAATGCTATTCTCGTTGACTATACCGTCCAATACCCCAATTGCAACAGATCAAGCAACTACCTTGAGGACGATTGCGGCTCACCCTTTTGGGCCTACTTTTTGTTTGATATCTTTTACATTGTTTGCACTCATATTTTCATGAATCTCTTTACTGCTGTAAGTATAGCCTACCTCGGTGTGGTTCTTTAAGTTTGCTAAATTGGTTTTGTATAGGTTATCATCAGCAATTTCGAGTATGCTTATGAAACCAGAACACGCTTTACCAACATTACCAAAGCTGATCTCCGCATGTAAGTTGGTTGTCATGCTCAGTAAACACTAGATGCTTACTACTTGTACTATTAGGTTCAAGCATGCTTGGGCAGACATTGACACCAAAGGCACAGGCTACATTCAAAAGGAAGATGTTGCCAAATTACTGAGGAAGTTTACTGGCCGTTTCAGCTTTAGAATCTATGATGATCAGCACAATGTGGATAATATAATACGACATGGCTGTCAGAGTTTCGATAAGCACCGTTCCAGCTATACAAAATCACCTAGTGCCAAGTCGCCTGGAATAAAATCACCTGGTAAATCACCCAACAAATCACCTAGTAAATCATCACCTGTAGTCAAAAGTGGCCATAGTAGCCTACCTCCTGGAGAATACGACATCAATGTACAGAAGATCAACAGATTGCTCGGTAAAATGGATGTGGATCAAATCAGAAAAAGAAGACTCGAGTACAACTTGTATTACAAGGTAGGACTAATCGACATTACAGGAATACATGACCATTAACATGAGTTATTATAGGAAATCTTGAGATCAGAAACATCTAAGGGGATCCCATTTGCAAGCGTCTTGACTATCATGTCCTACAGATTCATTGATATTTCTACCTCTTTAACGTAACTATCTCCATCCGCTTTTATAAAAAATCATGAAACTAATGCATCTGTTTTAGCTTGGATCCTTTAATTGCTCGTTTGGAGAAAATTGAACAACTTACACAAGAATATCATTTGGAAAAAGCAGCAGGTTTCTTTCTTGCTCAAATTCAAAAACGAAGATTTGTGCGTCAGTTATGGATGAAGCGTGATGAAGATGAAGTTAAGAAATTGGGTGTTACTAATCCGAGTCAATTTGATTTTGGTGCAGCGACAAGCAACGGGAATAATAACCCCTTGAATAGCCCCATTAATTACTTCAATTTTGCACCAGATAAAAAGAAAAGGTCGCCTCCAGGTAAGCTAGTAGAGCCAATTCAGCACGATACAAAAAGAAATTCTCATTGCCATCCCTACTTGATAGTTCCTCGCATTGTCATTGATAATGCTTCTGCAAACACCGAGCTTTCATCTCCCATGTCAGCTGGAACAGCCAGTATTCCAGTGTCTCCCATGTCTACATTTTCCATGGACAATCAATACGACCCAAGTTATTCTGGTGGAGGATATTCACTCATGGTCGCCCCTGGCACCAACAGTATGCCATCATCTCCCAACACCATGACAGAGATAGAGAGCACCGGCCGCAGTGCATTCAGTGGTGCTTTGTCTCCTATTTCTCCTTTTCCTGCTCTCAGCCCTGCTTCAAGACAAAATTGGCTGCTTATTGATGGTAATGTGGAGATGCCAAATGAGGTATCTGAAGGATTAATGGATTCAATGAACCACAGTATTTGGTCAGGTATGTTGATTTCAAAAAAAAAAAAAGATCCTCCAGTTGACAAATAGCTAATGTGTCCTAACAGATATGTTACGAGATGAGGATTTGTAAAATAGAATTTCAACACCATATATACCCCACCTCTCTCTCTCTCTCTCTCTCTCTCTCTCTCATTTGCTTTATTTATTATTACAAAATTTATACATTTATTCATTTTTATTACTGTTCTTTCTAATCTTAATCTGCAATTGTCAAAATATTTTATTCCTGTTGTAAATAAATCTAAAATATCTCTATTGGCTAGTCAATCAATCTCGCTACGCTCGATGACAGCATCACAATCATCATTGTCTTCAACAGAAAGGCGTTTAGATCAGCCAGCAGCAATGCCGCCGCCAAATTTGATTCAAACTCAGTTTATTTTTTTTCTGCTCAAATTGGACAGATTTCGTCTTTTGTCGACTTCTTTAATCTATTTTATGATATTCGACTATATAAACTGTGATGGTCACCCTACGCTTCCTAATACATTCTTGAAGCACTTTTCAAGACGCTTCCAATGGTGCTAACTGTAATAAGTATTTTGAATGATCTTATTGAGCAATTTGGTAAAATATGAGATGAGGTTTTTAGCGAAAATAACCATATTTTGCATATGAAAATCTCATAAAAGTGGTTTCAGAGGTTGATTTGGACCGAGAGACACATTTTGAATTAATATATACCATAGTAAAAATCTTCATTTTCAAGGTGAAAAATGCGATCGTTTGATTTTTGATGAAAACCATGAGGGGGTACCTCATGGTTTTTGGTCGATTTTTGGCCATTTTTTTTGGGTTTTCAAAAAGTTGAGCAAAGGTGTCAGGAAGTTACTACTACCCATGTACAATTGTTGGGCGTGATTCTGGTGGCTCAGAAAGGCCTACATTTCAAGATATGAAGGCTTGAAAGCTGTCAAATTTGGTTATGTATTGCTTTATAGAATTTATTTACACGGCATAAATCACATCTTCGGTAGCTGCAATTTACTGAAAAGGCAGTTCTGTAGCTTGTCAGTGTTTTACAGTATATATATTAGATATAAGTCTATAAGATTTACGCCGATAACTGACTATTCTGTCTTTTCGATGGGTTTACTAAGACGATCATGAACCTTGTTATTCGAGTACTTGTAGTAATTGTAGCCTGCTATGCCTAGAATTGAAATGAACAACCTTGTCATGCAGCTTTGTTTAGTGTAACTGCAAAATGATGTGCTGGCTTGGTTTCCACTCACCCTAGATATGTCTTTGTTGTCAAAATGTCTCCATAGATGAAAACAGACAGTGTAATCACTAGTATCTCTTTGCTGATGCCTGCCACACTCAATGTCACTGTACTTGTCCCTTTAATCAAATACAATTCGGACAAAGTCATCATAAAAGCTGCAACATGTTCACATGAGCAAATTAAATCGAATGATCTGATCCATTATGCCTTACCTAAGATGCCGCCAACAGCCATAATGGATAGAGAAACCAACGCCTTGAATGCGAAATCCAGATAACTCGATGCATGTTGGTGATGCTGAAAAGGTCTTTCGATGTACAAACTGAGTGATAGCATGGTGATAAACATGATGGGGCTCAGATGATACATGGTGGCCAGTGGACTCTGTTGTTGTTGCTTATCGTTTTTCTTCATCAAGAACTGGGTCAGGTTCCATCGTAGTCCTGATGCAATAGCAGCTACAAGCACCAGCATGAATCCATGTGTATTGTAATGAGACTCTCCATCCACTGTCAAAGACACACCCACCACAATGAGAGAAATCACCGCAATCAGATTCAGCGTTGGCTTCTCAAACCCAAACATAAATGAAAAGAGAAGCACCCAAACAGGTGTACTTGACTTTATCACCGTGTAAAAGGATAATGTGATGAGAACCAGTGAGGCATTGGCACAGGATATCTCCATAGCAGCAGCAATACCACATGGGATCTGATAACTTATTTTGTAAGCAGCACGACTAGGCTTTTCCTAAAGCTGAAAGATACTTACAACTTTGGTGATATAGTCAAACATGGAGTATTGCTTGATGGTATGGTTGTAGTGCTTTATCAGGATCCTTGAAATGATGGAATGTATGCCAGAATGAACTGCGCTCATCAGCAAGGGAAGATTCAGATTGTAATGCTCTTTTCCCATCAATGTCTTGTTGTAGATGGACAAAACCGTTGACAAAAGATACCAAGAGAGTATGTACAGAGTGTTATATCTCCATGCTGTCTGTTTTTGCATGTAATAAAATGTTGTAAAATGATAAGAAGAATGAAATAAAAAAGATCCAGGGGCAGGCGCAGATTTAATGGTTTGACTTTTTTCCTGATTATGGAATTTGCTTGGGAAGATTACTTGATCAGAGTTGCTCAGCATTACATCCAATTCAAGAGACTGCAATGAAGGTATTGCTAAACGATTACAGCATCAACGATGAGAGGTATAAAAGAACCAGTGATGTCGTCTTGGATATTGACTGATGCCTAAATGTAAACCAAAGCATATTATCAAGGATTTTACATCATGTGCGATCAAATCAAGCTACTCCTAAATCATTTAATCTACCAGACCAAGTAGTCAGGAAAGCAACAATGGTAGCAGTAGTCGATATTCAACAGTCTGATGTCAATGCCGATGCTCATTTAAGCTTTCAGGAGCATTTGTGATTGGCCTGTGGTCAGGTATAAATAAATGCTTTTTCCAACCCCTTATTTTTCTTCTTTCTTTCTATTATTTTTTAAATACAAAAATGGGATCATTCTGGTGGGGATCAAATGGGCTCGATGAGCTTATCGGTAAGCATCTGCTTATGCTTTATAAACAACTGACAGATAGCCAACATGGCAACAGAGAAAGCGACATCGGAATTATTGCCAGCTGGTCAGGTTGACCTTGCACTTCATCTAGAGATAAGTGACCAAATACGAAGCAAGAAAGTAAACGCAAAGGATGCGATGCGATCATTGAAGCAACGCTTAAACCATAAGAATCCAAATGTAGTCATGTCTACATTAGAGGTAAGTCGGAAAATGGCAGTTTTGATGAGAGGCATCACACTCATCGCCAAGACTTTCTTTGCTGTTATAGCTTGTAGACACTTGTGTGAAAAACAGTGGTAGTACGTTCGTCAAGGAAGTTGCGACCAGAGAATTTATGGAAGAACTGACGCATATTATCAAGATGCCTGTAAGTTTGATTTGATTCAAAGCAACGCTACGATGGCTGATAGGGCATCGATGTAGAATGGAAGTAGTCATGTCAAGAGTAAAGCACTGTCTCTGATTCAAGTATGGGGGATCGCTTCCAAAGGAAATCCCACGCTTAGCTATATCTCGGATACGTATACACTGCTGCGTGCAGAAGGATACACGTTTCCTCACATCACTGGTAAGATTGATGCGACTCTATTTGAAACGGCAGTGGTAAGATTCCATTATGCAAGCCAAGTTCTTGATCTCATCATACAAGATAGGCACCCGAATGGACAGATTCAGCTTGCTGTGAAAGATGTAGAACTTCATTCACCTTGACCAACAGAAAGGCAAGTCTAGAACGTATGCATTTAACCATACATCGTCATTGACTCCCTAATTTTTCGCCATCTTTTTAAATAGCATCATTGCCGGCAATGCGGTAGCACGTTTTGCCAGCAATGCTCCTCAAAGAGCATGCCTTTGCCCCATCTCGGGATCAACGACAGTGTTCGAGTATGTGATGGTTGCTATATCAAGGTAAAGCTTGCCAAGGTAGCTGATAGAGATGCAGTGCCACATTTGCTTGGTACGCCTGCATCCACCTCTTCCTCTTTAACCCCTACCTATACACCATCTATCAAGAACAAAGCGCAAACAGCCACCACAACCACCACGACATCCAACACTAACAACAACAGCAGCAGCGCAGTGAATGACGATCAATTTGAGGACGATATCAAAAAGGCCATCGAGTTGTCATTAAAGGAATCTCAGCAACAACAAAAATTGGCTAGCTTTTACAGTAGTGAACAAAAGGAAGAGCCTGCTGCAGTCAACACGAGAAACAAGACGGCTGGAGAGGAGGAAGAGGATGCCAATCTTGCCGCAGCGATTGCAGCATCATTGCAAGACATGAAATCATCAGCAACTGGCACTGTTAGAGACGATTATCCCAAGTACAATAACAATGAATTATCGCCCATTGATATGGAGAACATTCAGTTGTTTTCTACTTTAATGCAACGTGTTCAATCAGCAGCAAATGATGTATCTGGTGATTCGCAAATCAACCAGCTCTATACTCAAATTGGCACACTCCAGCCTAAGCTGGTAAGAACGTTGAATGACACGAGTCGAAAGCATGGTAAGCAGTAGTTGTACTGTCATTTCTGTCGAGTGCGTAGTAATGCTTGCGTTTAGAAATGTTTGTCAATTTACATACCAAATTGAATCAAGCTGTCAAGGCATATGATAAATTGATTGAAGACAGATTGACCAGTGCAGCTCAACGTACCAGAACACCTTCATACCCAACTTACTACAGCCATGCTCAAACCGCAGCAGCTACTTCTCAAGTCCAGCATCAATACCCTTCTCCTACTTGGCAGCAGCCCATGAATGGATATCCTCACTACAGCGCGCAAACACCCATCTCGCTTCCTCTTTCTCAGCCAGCTCAACAACCATTATCTCAATCACAGCCATACCTACAATCGCAACCACAATCGCAACCACAACCACAACCACATCCACAACCTCAGCCTGTGTCTACACTTGATAGCATGCGCATACATCAAGCGCCTCTACCTCCCCCATCAGGCCAACAACAATGGTATCCATCTGCTGAACGTTCACCATATGAATATCAACCCCAATCTACAATGGCTCCTGTTCCAGTGCAAACACCCGCAATGCAGCCTATGCAGCCACTGCAACAAGCTGTACCTTACCCAGTCATCAATCATGGATCCAATTATACACAACCCCAGCAGCAGCAGCAGCAGCAACAACAACAACAACAACAACAAGTTTATCACCAACAACCTGTTGAAGAAGCACCTTTGATTGAATTGTGAAATCGGATACAATAAAAACGAACTTTATTCTGATTTTCTCCTTTTCCCTTTTGCTTCTGTCTTTCTTCGTTTTTTGATTGATAAAACCACGGAATATATGATCCAGCATGTGCAAAAGACAACAGCAGCAAATGTTCCCTTGGTCACTATCGAGGCATCTTGTACCTTGCCAATGGGTACAGTGAGTTGCAACGTTGCTGGCTCGTTTGATAATTTGATGAATGATGCACTGTTGGAGGAGAGATGAGAGGGCAATAAGCTGTATTGGTGTGCAAGTGGAGGCCATGGCTGAGGATGATTGCTGCTGTCTCCACAGGTCCAGCCAGCATAGGGTGATTCAATGATGATAGGCTGGTGTTCCGTGTGAATGGAGGGTTGTTGGTATCGAAGATGAAGGGGCAACTCAATCTGCCATGAAGGCCGGACGTGAGATTGTCGTAAAAAGACAATGCTTCCTCGCGTCTCTTTGATCTTTTCCAACGGTAATTCCAAATCATGCTCTCCAAAGACAGTTGCTTTGCCGAGAGTCTCTTGTAAATCAGTCAGTTGATAAGGGTCAACAAAGACACTTGGTGGTAAAACATAGACAATGTCGAGTTGACATGATTCGGTATTGTTGATGGTCTCTTTCAAGTCAATGAATGTCACTATTTTGGGATGCAAGCTGCTTGCTTGAACTAGCTCTGATTGAACGTGAGCCATTTTTTTGATGAAATGCAATTCAACACCATCATCTAAACTCAAATGATCCTCCCTCAACCAGGAGCTCTGCGATGGTCACATAACTAGGTTTGATTGGTTATGATGGATGGGAAGGGGGTGGCGATGATGGAAAACTCGGAGCTGCCCATGCCCGAGTGTTAGCACAGCAAATACCCCCTCTCAAATAGAGTCGTTTTTTCTCTTTTTTTTTCTCTTTCTATTACACACACTATAAGATAATAAACTATGGCTCAATTACTTGGAACACTTGCTAAATGGGCAATCCCTGTTGGCCTCGCTGTTGGTGGTGCTCAATCCGCCATGTATGATGGTGAGTAGAACATTTCACCGAGAAATGCAATAGAAAAAGTTTTTTTTTTAACTAACATCTATATAGTCCAGGGTGGTTACAGAGCTGTCATTTTCGACCGTATTCAAGGTGTGAAGCCTAATTCCATCGGTGAAGGTACTCACTTTTTGGTCCCTTGGCTCCAACGTGCTGTCTTGTTTGATGTGCGTACAAAGCCCCGTAACATTTCCACCACTACTGGTTCCAAGGATATGCAAATGGTCTCTTTGACTTTGCGTGTCTTGCATCGTCCTGAAATCAAAAACTTGCCCTCTATCTATCAAAATTTGGGTTTGGATTACGATGAGAGAGTGTTGCCTTCTATTGGTAACGAAGTCTTGAAGGCTGTTGTTGCTCAGTTTGATGCCTCTGAATTGATTACTCAACGTGAGGTTGTTTCTGCCAAGATTCGTGAGGAATTATACAAGCGTGCTAGAGACTTCAACTTGGCCTTGGAGGATGTTTCTATTGTAAGTATACATTGAAGAGATGGGTGCTGAATGGTTTGATTGACATCGACATTTAGACACACATGACTTTCGGTAAGGAATTCACCAACGCTGTTGAGCAAAAGCAAATCGCACAACAAGAAGCTGAGCGTGCCAAGTTTGTCGTTGAACGTGCTGAACAAGAGAAGCAAGCTGCTATCATCCGTGCTGAAGGTGATTCCGAAGCTGCTGAGATGATCTCTTCAGCATTGGCTAAGGCTGGTGAAGGGTAAGCTGCTAGATGATGTGGATTATATGGAATGGTATACTAAATACAAGCTCTCTAGTTTCATTGCCTTCCGTAGAATTGAAGCCAGTAAAGACATTGCACAAACTCTTTCTCAAGCTCGCAATGTTACCTATTTACCCAGCAGTGCCCAAGGCGGTAGCAACATGTTGCTTGGCCTTAATGCCAACTAAATTAGATCTCTCATTTGTTGAATCGAATTAAAAAATCCTGTAATTATCTTTTAAACAATCAACTCCTTCTCATCAGCTTTTTATACTACAATAAACGTTTTTTTTAAAAAAAAATGAATTAACTAGAAACCTCATGCTGATATACGAGTCGGCGGGGGAGGGGGGCATGGTATCATGTTTTACATGCCAGATGTCAATTCTCAGTGAGATATGTTTTGAAGAGTAATACACTCATTCAAGATGAAGTATTCGCAAAGCATTCAAATAAATAAGATGAGATGTAGGATTAGATGAATTGATATATTTTTATTTATAATTTGAGTTGGGCTTGACAAGGCTTGACATTTATTTCTTTTCGTCCTTCTTTTCGTCCTTCTTCTCTTCCTTGCATTTACAGATCTCATCTTCCTTTAAACCAGCCAAAGCTTGGCTAATATGTTGACCACAGCCTAAGGGTACAATGAGTGCTTGATCTTACACTTGATTAGAGAGTAATGCTTACCAGCCCAAGTATATTTCTTGCAATCAGGACAAGTTACACGCATACACATTTTGAATTATTTTTAGATCTTGAAAATAAGAGTGATGAAGAGAAAAGAGAAACAGGACGCACCCCTCCCTCGTCCTTTGCTTTTTGACCCCACAGCTGCCATCGTTTGTGGGCAGTGAGAATCTTAGCATGAGTTTTAAATGCTGACGCGTTCTTACGACAGAATCCATAGGGTTGTGTTACATGGGATGGAAACATCCATTTATGCAAATCCAATGTCCTTGATTGGCACAATCACTGCTACCATCATATTCTGGAAATTCTTGCTTGCTAGCATGGATGTCCAGGGGACACCAATTAGTAGATGTTACGCTATAACAGGGTGACAGATGTGCTAGTGCCACCTATGTTATAACGTATTCAACCATTATTTTGTTCAGTCATATCATCCAGTAGAGTTTGAGACATTGCGCATGTCAAGTTTAAGTAGCAAATTATAGATTATTTAGGCTATGGTAAATAACTCAATTAACATAAGATAACGATAATAACGAAATCACCATTATTCATGGGATTGGCATAACATGTAATACTGAACTAAACGTCTCCTCGCTAATGCTCAGTGAGTTCCTCGCTCCAAGCATGCTTTACTGTAAAGCAGGGTTTATTTGTCAAATACACCTGTTTCAACTAGTGAAACATCTTTCATTACAAATGGATATTACAGTGATTCGCTCTTACACAATTGATGGGTAGCCCATAATTGAAGCAACCTGTTCCATTTTATCCAACTAATAGGTCCTGATGATGTTGCTCGGGTTTTTATTATTGTCTCTGATACAAATTGTTTATAAGCATGTTTAAGCTGGCTCAAGTAATATTAAAGTTTTGCTTAAATGATGAAATCAAACGACGCTGGCAATTAAGACGGCTCGATATTTACTTGTAATGTATAGTGTATTCACTAGATCCTACGTGATTAAACAGTATTGAATACTTTTGAACATCACAAACACTTTATCATCCACAAATGCTCGTTGAGAAAGGCTTTTCATATGAAATACGCACAATGAGAGCTTTATCTGATAGAATACACTATCTAGAAAGCGTATTTCTGTCAGTTCTCATAGATAAACCATGATTAGCAGGATCACCCAACAAGCAGGCTGAAATACATCTGGTTCCAACCCCCAACCCCCAACCCTCTGACCCATCAGCTATTACGAGCTGGTTATCTGACCTCAAGAACTTGATTTATGCCAGCTAATACACACAGACTTTGCACAAAGGGACTTACGAGTTACATTGGTGATACTCATGGACCTGGAAACTCATCAGCCAACTATAACTCCCAAAATCTCATACCTGTACCTTGGTATAGCAGTGACCCAGCTCTAAAAAATCGCACCTTCGTCGTGGGAGAACGTACATTCAGCTTCCAGTTCTTTGTACAAGATGGTGCCAACCTAGGTTGCCAGCCAAAACTGATTGAATCTTCTATTATCATTGTAATGTCCTGATTTGTTAATTTTCCAACTTTTTGGATTTGTTTCGACCTATTTCGCCAGATTCGACTATGTAAAGTGTGATAATCACCCTATACCTTCTAATGCATTCTCGAAGAATTTTTCAAGGCGCATCTGATGATGGTAATTACAAGAGGTATTTTAAACAAGCTTTTTGAGTAATCTTGCAAAATATAAAATGAGGTTTTTGGCAAGAATATCCAGATTTTGTGTATCAGAACTCCACATACAAAGTTTCAAGGGTTGCTTTGGATCGAGAGAAACATTTTGACTTAATATACACCATAGTAAAGGTCTTTGTTTTTGGGATGAAAAACACGATCGCTTGATTTTTGATAAAAATCATGAGGTATCCCCTCATGGATTTTGGTGGATTTTTGGCGATCCCAAAAAAGTTGAGCAAAGGTGTCAGAAAGTAAGTGTTAGACGAGATCAATTGTTTGGTGCTATTCTGGCGGTCTAAAACCACTTGTAACACGAGAAATCTCTGTTCAAATGCATCCAAATTTTGCTGTATTCCGCGTATTTTGTAGCAATGAAAGGTGTTGGTAGTATGCTGTTTGTCCGTTTACAAGCTGTTTCTACTAATACAGGCATGGAGCGTCGTAGAAGAGTCAAATCCATTGCTACAGGTGAGATATGAGCGCTTCTCGCCTCTGAATGAAAGTTGAAAAGTCAGATTTTAAGTAGATATATTAGCAGAACGGCAAATGTAAGCAGCGAAGCGAAGCTTAACACAATAGAAACTGCAATGGCAATATATACAATTTAAAATGGTTCAACTAGCAAGCAATCAAAATGATGTTTGAATTTGTTATTTGTTGTTAATGTGAGCCATCTAGAATAGCAAGTTAAAAAGGGATCTTGGCATATCTTTTATCGACTGTGATACCAGGCAGTAGAGTATGCAGAACCAGCGATCCTGTAGATCTTTTTTTCTATATATAAATCAACCGAGCCCTCTATTAATCAAAACGAAGTTTGATAATTTCCTGGCATAAAGCAGTACATATTACAATTAAGAGGGACTTTGTTTATTTTTCAACCATTTTCACACAAAATAGGGCTCGGCATGTTATTTTAAAATATGTCATTGCAGATATATTTCCTTGTCTTTTTCTTTTTATTTATTCCATTTTAATGTATTGAAAATTCAGCATGATCATTTGGCCAATTTTGTTAGTGGTGGTAGTTTTCTGTCACATAAGTCAAGGTCAAGAACCTCAAAACAACAACAACGATCCAACATCGAAACAAAAAACAATCAATCTCAGTGAAGGTGTGGTGTGTGATTGCGGATTCGAGGATGAGAATCACAATGTGTGGACAGATGTTTGGTATGCAGATTACGGGTTGCACAAATCCAGCTTGCAGTATGATCCGCAGTATCTTGTTATGGGCTACACGGTTGGAGCAAAGCATAATAATACCCTTTCCCGAGTATTTTCTCCCAGTAATGTCAAATTGTCTCAGGAAAACGGTATCACACTGTCTGTCAGGCAAAATGGAGACGGCAAATATACATCTGCGGCTGTTGGAACCAAAAGGTAAGACCTATTCATGTGGATTTGAATCAAATCAAAGACTGACTTGCAAGGCTATGCAAAGAAAGGACTTCCTGTACGGTACCTACCGTGCTCGTATGAAGTCCAGCAATGTACCTGGCACCGTAGCTTCCTTCTTCTTTTACCGTAATGATACAAGCGAAATTGATATTGAATTGCTCAGTAGATTCCATGATCCATACAAGACTTACTTTGCTATCCAGCCTCAAATCTATGACAATGGTACCGCATCCCCATTAACAAACGAGAAGCATGATTTACAATTCAACCCGACTGAGGTAAGACTCAGCATCTAGAGTGTATATTACTGATTCAGATATTGACAATGTAAAATATATCCGTATAGGATTACCACGAATACAGATTTGACTGGTTACCCGGTTCAGTGAAGTTCTACATTGATGGTACATTTACACGTGAAATGACCACCAACGTCCCTGACTCTCCTGGAAGAATCCTTTTGAATCACTGGACTGATGGAGACCCTACTTTCAGTGGCGGTCCTCCTACGGAAGATGCTGATTTGAATGTTTCTCATCTTAATCTATTTTTTAATTCCTCCGAGAGCAAGTCCCCGCTATTATGCAGTAAATCAAAGACGCCATGCCAAATTTCTGGTAAATGCGAATGAAAATTGACATACAATCATAGCTGTGGCTAATATTATATAAATCATACTTGCTAGATATTATGAATGGACATCTCTTACCTGGCACAGGAGTGAATCAACCGTCGAATGCCTTGGCTATAACGCCTAGATCATCTTTTGGATGTTTAATATTGACCATATTATTGGATTTCATCCTTTTCTAAGGAAAATTTTTCATTAAATTTTTCTTCCCAAACCTCAATAAAACGTCATTCTGCAGAACCCATTGATCTGGATTTCGTGATTTTCGGCTTTTGGAGATGGGATGTCTGAAACTATTTCAGTGAGCAATTTATCACTGTGCATTCAAATTTAGATACAAATAAAGATTCATTATGACATGAATATGCCAGTGACGCCAACAAAAACATCACGCTAATTGAATGTCCTGGACTCCAGAGAGCATCTAATTACAGTCGCATATTACACAAACTTGCAGAAATCATTCATGCTGATCTTGAATTGCTTCTGTTGACCTCTCCTTATCCTGAGAGGCATCCCGAAATATTTTCTTTTTCCCGGGCCTTGTAGGCATATGATAGGCTGAGAAACTTGACAGATCAAAACTAAAAGGGTATATAATCCCCCTCTTTTCGTCGTGATGCACTGCTCTTCCGATCGTATATACACATCTTTTTCAAAGACTATTTATTTCGTTTCAAATCAAAGAAAAAAGAGCGATGCACAATTTGTTCCTTTCCACATAAACATCTAATCTTATCAACAATACATTCAAAATGGCAAATCAATCTGGCCCTGACCCTGAAGATGACAAGAAGTTGCAATTGACAGATTTGGATGACTGTAGTCATAACTATATAATGGAAGACGCTGCAGTGTTACAGGAGTCTATATCATATCAACAGCAGCATCAGCAGCAGCATCAGCATCAGCAGCAGCAGCAGCAGCATGACAACTCTTGGTCTCCATTCACTAAAAAGCATAACCATCATCATGACGAAGATGATCGATTTACATCAGCATCCACTGTATACCATCATCAGACCAAACGTTTTGGTGCTATTAAGAAGTTTTGGTCTCATGCAATGGGCGATATTTATGCTGATGATAATCCAAAAGAGTATTCGAAATTGAAGAAGAATACTATCATCACAATTGTTGCTTTTAGTGGTATCAGTGGACCTATTGGGAGCATGATTTACATGCCTGGTTTGACGCAAATTCAAGCTTCTCTTCATACATCAACTGCCGCTGTTAATGGGTCTGTATCTGCCTATGTTGTGTTTATGGGTATTGCTGTAGCGTATACTGATTTTAGCATGATTTGATTACATTGTACTAATATCTTTTATATAGCCTCTGTTTTGGGCTAGCATGAGTGATGCGTATGGTAGAAAGCCCATGTATGTGTATAGTCTTATTATTAGCGTTATCGCTTCTATTTTATGTGCTATCTCTCGAAATGCGGCGATGCTTATCGTATTTCGTGCGATACAGGCTATCGGATCTAGTTCTGGTCAAACATTAGGTGCCGGTGTGATTGCTGATACCATTGATGTCGCAGATCGCGGTAAAGCTTATGGTGTCTTTTACATTGGGTACGTATAATGACTCACTTAAGTCTTTACGAGCATAAAACTGACTTGACATTAGACCTTTATTAGGCCCTGTCATTGGTAATTCTATACCTTGGTTCATTTGATCCATACAGAGTCTTAATTCCTTGTATTTGTAGGTCCAACAGTTGGTGGCGCCCTTTGTCAATACCTGGGATGGCAATCAACCTTTTACTTCTTGGCTATCATAGGCTTCGTGCTACTTTCAATGGTGTTTGTTTTCTTGCCTGAAACTGTGCGAAGAAAAAGAGTCGAGATGCTCACTAACGATAATGAAAGCGGCCAAGAGATTATTCACAAAACCGAGAAATTCCGAGCTTTACAGAATTTGAAAACTGCATTTGCACCAATGGTGGCCATGTTGGGTGATCCAACTATTCTTGTTATTACTCTTTACAACACGGTTATATTTTGCTGCCTTTACTTTCTCGTAAGTATTATTTCTTTTGTGATGGCATTTAGTACACATTTCACTTACATTTTTTTGATCATAGACACCTACAATCACAGAGACATTCCAAAGATTATACGGTTATACCTCCACAGTGGTGGGGCTCTGTTATCTCGTGTTTGGCTTTGGCTTGATGTGTGGGTCTGTCAGCAGTGGTCGTTATGCCGATTACGTTGTCAGGAAACTGCGCGAAAAGAATGGCCCTGAAAATGTTTACCCTGAATTGAGGTTACGAGCAGCGTATCCTTCATTTCTTCTTATCCCCACTGGCTATTTGATTTATGCCTGGACAACTGAAAAGGGCGTTGGCGTCTACGCACCATTGATAGGTCTCTTTGTTTGTGAGTATTCTTTAATGCGCCTGTGTATGGTTTGCATTAGCTAATTCATCTGACTATTTATAGATGCCCTGGGTCAGATGAATGCATTCACACCCACATCTGTATATCTTGTCGACTCGAAGCCTGGCCGATCTGCTAGTGCTGTAGGAATCAACAACGCAGTGCGAAGTGTACTAGCAGCTATAGCAACCATTTTCTCTAGTCAATGTGTAGAAGCTGCTGGCACAGGTATTCTTTTTACAATCTTGGCTGCTATAAATGTAGTGAACTGTCTTACGCTTGTCGTAGTGATGGTTTGGGGAAAGAAATGGCGAGAAAATTTTGAAGAAAGAACTGGTACAAGGCCTGTTGCCGCCAATACCAAAGGAGCTTTGGTTGATAAAGAAGCTGATTTTATTCATTCGACTGCTACAAACGCAGGCGACTCTAAAAGTGAATACAACACAGAGCTTGCCATTGTTCACTCTCGAGTGAGCCAAGTTTAGACTACCCTGCTATTTAACCATAATAAAGGCATATATTACTGCTATCTGGAAGGTAGCTCTGATACACATACAATAATTTCTCAGGACGGCTAGTATTATATTTGGGCTCTCTTATAGCCGTACATTTTAGGCTTGGATTCTGAGTGTTGTTGATAGTGTTAATGCCAAAGCCAATCCCAATTACACATTTTGGATGATTAACTTACCCCACACTGCAAGTACTTTAAATGTCACTTAAAATTGAAAAATGCAACATGTTCATATATTCAAGTTTTCTGTCTCTTTCATCTAGTAAGTTTCATATCAAAGTACATGGCTAAATAAATATCGGTCTACATCACCTATACCTTATTATTTAAAAGCGCTTACTCTTTAAAATAGGAGGTAAAATCCATAAAAACTACTGTGATGGGAGAACTGGTGTAACACATCTTAAACAAACGTAACCACACCTCTCGAGTGACAGGGACCAGACAAATGTGAGTTAGTTGACGGTATGGTATCATAAAATAATAAATGTTCAGTCCCTAAACACCTTTTACAACCATGATATGGAGACTGAGTTGCCAGACATTTGTCAGGCATGGCTCATATATGATCAGAGATTTTATATTAAATCAGTGTCAATCAACAAACAAGTTTCTTCTAACATTTTAGCTATTATTTTTAATTTTGCGATATTAGCCAAAAGTCTGCGGCAGCGCGAGCCACCTGAACGTAGGTTGGTTTCCACCAAAGCAAAGCGTAGTTCAGGAAACCAATCGAAGAGTCGAAATGCTCATCGTAATGTAATAAATTTATGGTCTCTACTAGACACTTTCAAAGCCTCAAAAAGGAAAGAAGCTGATCTAACATGTATTTTGATAGACTGGCGTTAATAAATATAGAACCCAAGGAAAAAATTATTGTTAACAACAGTGCTATGTAATTTGTCACCTACTTTCCATACGCTTCAAGGGCGTCTATTACTGTATTGCCTGTATGATTAAAAGGGCATTGAGTTTGCCAGTAGGCCCCACAAGCCAAAATTAATTTAAACTCAGAGTTTTTAATCTACTCTAGATTGGCCAGATTCTTGTATTTTTTCGACTCGATTGAGTCATTTTTGCAGATTCGACTAAGTAAAATGTAATGATCATCCTCTGCTTCTTTAAGCTTTCTTGGAGTGCTTTTCAAGGCGCATCCAATGATACCAAGTAAGATAAATGTTTTGAATAAACTTATTGAGTAATTCATGGAAATATGAAAAGTGATCTTTTGCCAAAATGTCAAAGTTTTACATATCAAAGTCCCACAAAGATGATTTCTGGGGTTACGTTGGATCGATAGAAACATTTTGATTTTATATAAGCCATATTAAAAGTCTTCATTATCAAGGCGAAAAATGCGATCGTTTGATTTTCAATGAAAACCATGAGGGGTACCTCATGCTTTTTGGTCGAATTTCATCCATGTTTTTTTGGTCCCCAAAAAGTTGAGCAAAGGTGTCAGAAAGTAACTCCTAGATGAGAGCAATTGTTTAGTGGTATTCTGACAATCTAAAATGGCTTTGAGCGCGAGAAAAAGCAGCTCAAATGCAATCAGATTTTGCTGTATTAGGCACACTCTTGACTAAAAAAGGATAATATCTTTATAATACTTGCCCGCATATAAAATAGCTACGTGTATATGAGTGTAGAACATCACATAAGAATTAGACCCACAGATAATATAAAGGGTTTTCATGTGTGAGTGGAGGGTCAAAATGAAAGTAGCAGTATTTTAATAAGATACGCAAGAGTAATCAGTAGCATGAGCTGCTGCTGCGCAGGTTGATTCTTACCGAAGCGAAGCAAAAGTAGAGAGCCATCCGAAGCATAAACACACGTATCCATAAAGTGATGAAAAAATCATACCACAATTGATTTAATTCATACAAATTTAACACTTTTCATATAACCAGAAACCTTCCAGAAGAAAAAAAAAACTAGGTGATCATGAAGATAATTTCAAAACAAGTTAATGGCTTCATGAAATCAGCCTAAAAAAACTTTTTCTTGTCGAAAATTAAACAAACGGCATGAATTGGAGATAGATGAGCAAGTAAATGGTCGATGTATGGCCAAAGAGAAGATATTTTATCATAAGGTATGTACATCATTGGAAATCAAATCACTCAAGGAATCCAATGGTGCCGTCTACAGGGTCCAAAGTAAATCTTTTGGTTCGAGATCTTGATCAGTGAAGCCTTGGCATCTCGAGGAGAATCTTCAGGTTGTCGTCGTATGTGCATTGAGCTTCGCGTCGGTGCATGTATACTTGAGCCGCCTAGCATGTTTGTTTATATGTGGGTTACTTGTAACTCATTCAAGCATCTTTTGTATGCCTATCCTAAGGTAGATTCAGGGCATATGAAGAAAGGTATGACCTCTCAGCCCAGTACATATCTATTGTCTTTCCATTAGATTTTTATTTAAATGGGCATGCTTATGCTCACTCATGAGACAGATTATGAATTGCTCATGTGAATGCCAATGCTTTTATAAAAGTAATCATCAGTCAATAGCGATTAAAGGAGGAAATAATGTTTAAAAAATTGAATAGGGTAGAAATGTTGAAAGGAAAAAGAGTATATATATGATAAATCAAGAGATTGCAGATGAAGTACAAGGAAACATGAATAGAAAGAGAGTAGCGGGAAAATACTAGGAAAGGATTGCATGAAGTAGTAATAGGAGGTCAGAATTAATACAGTGTGAATATATGATTGTCGTCAAAAAAGATGTCTAGTTGAATGTTTACAGGATTCGATCAGCAGGTTTATAGACATCAGTCCATCCAAAACTTCTTTGAACAGCTTCCTCCCACTGTTTGTATTTACGTTCACGGTCTATCGATCAACGTTAGAACGTATGTTCTCACATAGCTACTGGTATCAAACTATTTACCTTCATCATCCCACTTGGCATTAAACACATCTTCTCGATCAACAGAACCCTTTTTGATATCCTTCATATCTTTCCAAATACCAGCAGCGTAGCCTGCAGCATATGCAGCACCAAGTGCACTTGTATCATTCATACCAGGACGGATAACTGGAATACCCAGAACATCTGCTTGGATTTGCATACACTGATCTGAATTTGACATACCACCATCAGCCTTGAGCATTTTCAAGGGCACATCTCCATCGGCTTTCATCGCTTCCAAAATAGCGCGAGTTGAGAAGCATACAGCTTCCAATGTGGCTCTGGCCAAATGACATTTTGTGGTGTATTGTGTCAAGCCCACTAGAGTACCACGAGCATCATCACGCCAGTAGGGAGAAAAGAGACCAGAAAATGCAGTAACAAAAAAGACACCGCCTGTTGTTTTCACCTTTGCTGCAAGAGCGTCGATATCGTCTGAAGTCTTGATCAGTTCTAAATTGTCTCTAAGCCATTTGACAGCGGCACCAGCAACACTGATAGAACCTTCTAAAGCATAAGAAACAGGGCCATCAGGACCGAACTGGTAGCCAACGGTTGATAGTAAACCACTCTTGGAGAGCACAGGCGATTCACCGACATTCATCAGCAAGAAAGCACCCGTGCCATATGTGTTCTTGGCATCACCCACCTCGAAACATTTCTGACCGACCAAAGCAGCTTGCTGATCTCCCAAACAGCCCATGATGGGAACACCTTCCAAAGGTCCCCATGCCATATTTCCATAGTTCTCGGCAGACGATACAATTTTCGGTAAAATGTGAGAAGGTACACCAAAGAAATCCAACAAACGTTGATCCCATTCGCGTGATTTCAAATTCATGAACATTGTACGACTTGCATTTGTTACATCAGTAATGTGTTTTCCAGCTTGAATGCCACCTGTCAAATTCTGCACATCATTTTTAAAATACAGTAGCATATATATATGCGTGTTGTCGACAGCTTACCCATATTAACCATGTATCCACAGTGCCAAACATGGCCCGATTATTCTCCACAGCAAATTTCACCTTTGGAATTCTGTCCATCAACCATCGCACCTTGACAGCGGAAAAATAATTGTGAATAGGCAAACCGCAGATTTCTTGCACATTGAAGTCTGTTTGTTTCTCTGCAAGCTCTTTGACGAGGTTGTTTGTACGAGTATCGCCCCAAACAATCGCATTGTACAGCGGCTCACCAGTCTTACGATCCCAAATTAGTGTTGTTTCTCTTTGGTTACAAATACCGACAGCTGTTTTCATGTAGCATGTTAATTTTTGTCGTACTATAATATTTGTATTGTTTACAGTGCTGCCATTTTACCTTTTAAATCAGTAATATCATGACCCATCATACCGAATTTTCTTACTGCCTCATCAGAGCAACGAATGACGGAATCCAGCAAGTCATACGGATCATGCTCAATCCAACTAGTAGAGTCATGTTAATGGCTTGCACTTTGCGATGCCATGAATCATCCTATTTACCCTGGGCGAGGATATATCTGCTCAAATTCGAGTTGATGTGATGTGACATGATTTCCGGCTTGGTCAAAGATCAAGAAACGAGTGGACGTTGTCCCCTGATCGATAGCTCCAATATACTGTGGCATTTTTACCGTGAGATGTGGTGATGTAGTGTAGGAAATATAAACGGAAGAAAGGTTGATGGAATGCGAAAAAAAAAAAAAAAAAAGTTTCAAGCAAGTATACCATCCAAGCACAGACATGTTCTGCCCGGATTTACACGCTAGCTCGCCCAGTCACATTGATGTTCATTACGATAATGAAAGATTGAAACTGAAACATTTTTTTGACATTAGGTCCAACATCCTTTTGATTTGGTCAAGTGTCTTTATAAAACTAGCAGGTTTTATGCTGTAAAACTGCATAAGAAAGCTCTCAGAGGCGCTGCAAACTAGTTTATGGCTAAATGCATACGCAATGTGTATCAAGATGACAAAAAAGCTTAATGTGATAACATGGGTCATCCACTTTTTTCACGTGCGGAGGCTCAAGGAAAGCTAAAATTAGGTCTCCTCCCTCAATGAAGATAAGATCTTATGGATTGAAGGCAAGTTGCATTAGCAAAAATTGTTTTTGGCTCTACGTATATGGCTACAGGCCAGCTCGCGCTTCAAGAAAGCAGTTTCCTCACATTTATCCAGCTTCTAATCTTTGCAAGCCCATCTAGCCGATGCGTTTTCGTAAACAAATCAGCGGATCTCTAACCAAATGGAATATATGTCGCACCAAAACCATCAAGCTTGGGTACAAAAATTACATGAGCCTACGATTTGATTTCATTTCTAGGACGGCAAGCACTTGATTAGGATAAACCACAGTGTTCCCAGTGATTTCTAGTTTCAAATCTTTCCAAATTTTGTTTGCTGTTTCACTGACAAACAAGATGGCGTTGCTAGTTTTACGATCCGATGATAAAGCATTGATTGTTGCTGAATGGTTATCTTTTCATCATCTGTAGATTTAATCTTCCAATTTAAAAGTCAAAGGCATTTGACATTGAGAAGCTTCTTATCTGTAATTTTGTGAATTTGACAGCGTTGATTTAGCATCTCATGGTAACCGCATGAATTGTGCTGCTCCCTATGATGAACAATCTCCTGGATCAGATCTGTTCAGCTAGTGTTTCTGCAGATGCTTAGTCCATGCCTTGGACCGAGTGACCAGCATGTCCTTTTCTTCATCGCAATTCAGAATTGCCGATTACCTTTTTAACCGCCATTACCAACTACACCCGAGCTAAATGCGAGTCGTGTAATAGTTACACCCCATGCAAGCCCTTCATTCCCGCAAGCATAAACTTCAAGAGAATCCAGAGCATATTGTAGCCTGGATACCTGCTTTTTCCAACACTGCCGCCTCTTCAGTGATAACCCTGCAGTTACAATTGATTGGCGGTTGACGGCATTTATGGATTGATCTGTTACTGCCAAGGCGTTTCTGGGGAATGGGATCCTCAGCCGACCAACCTCCGTTGATTTCTCAAACACGTTTCTGGTTGCGCAATTCCGTGCTTCATCACTGCTGATCAGAAAGAGCAGCCATACATCAGCAAAGGCTAGTGATTTTTAATTATGCATGTATATTTGAGATGGAAGAGACTTCTACATGCAAACCTAAACATGTGGAGCATATATACTTGATCCTGTATATAAACCATGTTTCGGAGCAGCATAATTGCAACAAGCGCAGCCTGATCGACGCTGTTTCTACTGTAGGCCCAAATGCAAAGAACAACAGGAAAGACATCTCCACTGCTTATTTATAGCGTGGCCTCTAAATTTAATCGTTCAAATGTTTCCAGCTAAACGAAAACTTCCTGAAATAGTAATATTTCATGTCCATGTCTTATTTTCTTCAACTTTTCGATCAATTCTATGCAATCTTAGAGTTCTATTTTGAAAGTATCCTTGTATAAAAATATGCAGCCTAGGTGGTCCAGCTACTCTTTATTCTTCTTGCGTTTTCCCTTGGCAAATGATTATGAAAAGAGTGTTGATATCTTGTCTTTTGATCTGCAAATGGCTGCTATTGACATCAGTCTTCGCGCAGGATACTGTCAATCCTCATTACGCACAACTTTTAAACTATTCCATGCTCTTTTATGAAGCGCAACGAAGCGGAAAGCTGCCGGAAAATAATCGCATTCCATGGTAAGTCCACTGGCCAGTCGAAAAGTAGGCTATCCAGGCATTAAAATCCATGCATACTTAGGCGTAAAGATTCAGCCCTGATAGATGGCTTTGATAACAACGTGTCATTGACAGAAGGATACTATGATGCAGGGTAAACTCAGGAACATTGGATGATTTGCACATTGAATTCACAATTATCGCGGGTAGAAACTATCTCAAATTTACTGTGCCGTTATCGCATGCCATTTCATTGCTTAGCTGGGGAGCCGCAGAATGGTTTGATTCATACCAAAGGACAAACCTTGTGGAAGACCTCCGTGGAACTATAAAATGGGGCACTGATTGGCTTATCAAAGCTCATCCTGAACCAAACGTCTTGTTCGTTCAGGTAAGATCATATACAACACGCGAACAACCACAAAAATTCTGATGCGTTTGCATGTGTATAGGTGGGTGGAGGCGAAATCGATAATGAGTATTGGGGTAGGTTAATCTACAAAGTAATTGTAATATAAACATGAGCTGATTATGCTGCGTCAGGACCGGATACAAACATCCCGTTACCAAGACCATCGTACATGATAAACAGCAGCGCACCAGGCACAGATGCAGCTGCGCTGACCTCAGCCGCATTATCATCAGCATCTTATTTATTCAAAAACTATCTTAATGATACCGCTTACGCTAATGAATTGCTGGCACATGCTGTTAGTTTAATGGATTTCGCAGAGACAGCAAAGCCATGGACACCATATTCTCAGTCTGTTCCTGCAGCCGCTGACTATTATAACACCAACCGGTATCAAAGCCAGTTAATATTTGGTAGTCTCTGGTTGAACAAAGCAACTGGAAACAACACTTACTTGGAGAAGGCAAATGCTTATTATGACATGTTTCGTACTGAATTGTTCTATGGGATTACAGATTGGAGTGATCAAACAGGAGCAGCACTCGTGTTGGGAGCGTCTCTAAACGCAACAAAGTACAAACAGCTTGCAACTGATTATTTGAATCGTGTTTTGGATACAACGTCGCAGGACAGCATTTGCAACTACACCTATGGAGGGCTATTTTACTGCCAAGGCTACAGTTACTCTAATTCTGTGATGCCACCACTCAATACTGCTTTATTAGTTGGATTCATGAAGAAATCATTTCCTGAAACTGGATCCAACTACACGGATTTTGTCAAGAACCAAATGAACTATATCCTAGGCAGCAACCACATGTAAGTTATGGGCATGTATGGGTTTAAGTGCTTTGGAAACTAACTGCAAGTGGGTAGGAATACGCCCTATATTGTAGGTGTGCACAAGAATTCTCCTCGCAATCCACATCATGCAGCAGCTTCTGGGGGAACTGATTTGAAAAAAATTAATGAATCGCCAAAAGAGATGGCACACATTCTCTATGGTAAGCTGAAACGTAATTAGCAGCTCTTCAGGCACTCTGATCCAAGCAATCTTCAAATACAGGAGCCATTGTGGGAGGTCCAGATTATTACGACAACTTTTATGATATTCGCAACGACTATCGACAAACAGAAGTGGCATTAGATTACAATGCACCTTATCAAAGCTTAATCGCATATCAAATATCGATTGGTGCCTCTGATCCACCGTATGTCAACATCACTCAAGACCGACCTAACATTCTTTCTGGAGACGATTCATTTGCTGGGTGGAAGATTGCCGTTATTGTTGTGTCAATCTTGCTGTTTTTGGCATTGGTTGTATTAGCCATTTGGTGGCGAAAGAGAAAACAAAGAGCAAGCCATGCAAACAGGGATGTCTTTGTGGATGAATCAAAAGAGGATGATGAAACCTTTGTGGGCGGTCAAACTGTGAGAGCCTAAACAATTGCCTAGATCGTGCAAATTAGAACCTTGAATAAATACAATGTAGTATATGTAAAAACTGCCAGTGATAGCATCTCTAATGGGCATCGGCTCTGCAGTTGTGTCTGAAGGCCGTGAGCAACATCTGATCAGACAATTAATGCATTTGGGCATTTTGCTGATGGAGCGGTAAAGCTCTACTAATACTTTACCGCAATTTCACTGTTTACCTTTCCAACATCAAGTGAGAGCTCGTCATAACTGTGAGTCTCGTCTTACTACAATGCTCTATATCTGTCATATTTTAAACAGCTCCTATACGGGCAGACCGCATATCAGCATTGCCTCTAACTACTCAAAAATATGCGAAATTTGGGAGTATTTAAGCAGTGACTTCTCGTGTTAAAAGCCGTTTTGGGCCACCAGACTAGCACCAAATAATCTCTCTCGACTAGCAGCAACTGTCTGACATCTTTGCTGAATTTTTTTAGGATCGTCGAAAATCGACCAAAAAGCATGAGGGGTACCTCATGGATTTCATTGAAAATCAAGCGATCGCGTTTTTCACTTTGAAAATGAAGACTTTTGCTATGGTATATATTGAATCAAAGTGTTCGCCTTGGTCCAAAGCAACCCCTGAAAGTTCGTTTGTGGGACTTTTGTATATAAAATTTTGACATTTTAGCAGAAAACCTCATTCCACATTTTTGAATATTATTCGACAAGTTTGTTCAAAACATCCTTTTTTTTTCGGAATCATTGGATGCGCCTTGAAAAGCGCTCCAAGAAAGCTTAAAGAAGCAGTTTTTTTTTGTAGGGGAGACGAGCTCCAGGTTTTATTTAAAGTTCTTTAAATGTCATACTGAGGGATAGAAAAGACTGTTGGTGGACCCAATGTCTGCAATGAAGGGGAATAAGAAATTTTTGAACTAAGTTGGGAAAGAAATCTACTACTAAGTATAGGGAACATTTATTATGTTATGATGATATTTGCAATCTTCTTTTGTTTTCGCTGTAAATTTTTATACCTGATAAGTTTAGTCGTTTCACAACGCTCCTCCAAACGCGGTATGACTTAATACCTGTTATACATTCTTTAAATGCCACAAGTTGGGTCAAACGAATGTCGCAACAAAGAGTGCTTGGTACTGCGCAGTTTACGCATTGGTAAAAATGGCTTACTCGTACAAATGTACGCTTATCTCGCAATGTAAAAGCAAAGTTCAGCCTCGAAATGTGTTAATTTCATACCAAAATGGCACATCTACCTGCCGTTCAAGACAATAGCAATGTGACCACAATATCAATGACTCGCTCGATCTATTGACTAGATGGATTAATGAATGAAACTACCTCATGCGAGTGCCATATCAAGAAAGATGCCGAGATTTCAAGCTGAATGTTAAATGCTTGCATGCGCTCGAATAAAAGACGTAATATTTAAACAGTATGTATCATGTACATATGTTTGAGTACCTGTTTAAGGGGCGTTGTTTTTTAATATGAAATGCAATTGCATCCGATGTTCCGAAAGGGCATTTGACAGTAGGTATTTATCATTCTTTATCCCCATGTATTTGCCTCCAAAGTGACCCAGATCTGGTTTTTCTGAAAAAATGATCTGATCGTTTACCTTTTGTATTAGTGCTTGTTACACCGTAATTGCCTGCCTAACATGCCTGGGTGGTATAACAGGATCCGCTACGAATGTGTCCTCTACTCCCATCTCTCTCTCTCTCTTTTTTTTTTTTTTACGAGGGGTTGATGAGGCCAAAATGAAATTAGATTTCGGAACAGACAAGCTGAGCAAATGATTGAATTGCATTGCATGGATCAGCATCACACATACGTATAGCACCGTCTAACAATTTGGCGATTTTTTTTTTTTTCATCATCAGCCATCATTGTTGTGTCTAACTGGATTCAACACACATGTAGCACATGAAATGAATAAGGTAGAAAAGATAGTTTTACACAAGTTTATTGAGCTAAACAAAATTATGCCCAACTCCAAGAAATCTTGACTCGGCCATCAGCGAAATTAGCAATCTTGCCGAATGCAGCAGGACTCAAGTCAACGTCGCCTTTAACACAAGGAGGGCAAGTGTCTACAATCTTGACCTTGACAGAACCTTTGGGACCTATTTGCGGGAAACGGATGAGTAAAACATGCGCTTTTACATTCAACTGATCAAAAACTTACCTTTGACATTAATGTACTTGCCACAGGTAGGATTCTTGTTGGGATTGGCACCATTCTGCATTTGTGGAGCATTCTATTATATAGCAATAGATATTAATTAATTAGTTATAATATAACGAGACACATGTATAGCGAAAAGTCTTACCAAAGCAGCAATCAAATCATGTTCAGTGCTTTCGAAACCACAAGATCCTAAACCAGGATTGTAGTAGGTGCCATCTCCAGTGAAGGTACCACTGCTGCTAGAAGAGCCGGAAGACTTTTTAGTAGTAGTCTTTTTAGTAGTCTTCTTTTTAGTAGTGGTCTTCTTTTTAGTAGTGGTCTTCTTTTTGGTGGTAGTCTTCTTTTTGGTGGTAGTCTTTTTCTTGGGCGTGGTCTTCTTCTTCTTGTGAGTCGTCAATTTCTTGTGAGAGGAGGACTTCTTCTTGGTAGTTGATTTCTTTTTGGTTAAAGACTTCTTCTTGGAAGAGCTCTTCTTCTTCTTGGACAATGCTGAAACCTTCTTTGTTGTAGTGTGTCTCTTTTTGCCATGCTTCTTTTGAGCAGCAGCCTTGACATGCTTATCCTTATGACCGCATCTCTTTTCAAACTTGTGATGATCCAAGGCCAAATGATCGAATGCGACAATGGGATTGTCTTCAGAGACAGGTGAAGAAGTTACAACATCGTTTGGAGAAATTGGAGCAGTGGAAGCACCGTTAAACAATAACGATGACGAGATGACAGTAGTCAATGTTAAAAGAGAGGAATGAGTGAAACGCATTTTGAGGTGATTGTTTCAATTGTTGTCAATTCTATGTCAAATAGAAAAGGATTGGAAGGGGTTTGTTTCGATAACAGAGGGAGGAAAGGGTGAATAGGCAGGAAAAGAGAACAAAACAAGGTGGCAATTTATTAATTTCTTTATATATGATCATAAGCCTTCTTCTTCCACTCTTCCCCTTGATTTTTGAGGTGTTAATAAATGAGCTTGTAACACAAGTTTAACCTTAAAACGAACAAAATGTATTAATTATGTGAGACACGGGCAATCTACAGATATTGGAAATAATCAACTATGTTCGAGCAAAGAGGAAGGGTTTATTGATCCCTATAATTAGTAGCATGATAGGTTGATTTAGACAAGTTGCATATATAAGCCCAATCGTGATGCTATATAAAAGAGTGTCATCGTCTACGACATGTTCCCCTCTCCTTTTTTTAAAAGTGTCTTTGTGTTGCTGCGACTTGAATGACAACACAAGCATCTGGATAGTATGTTATGTAACAACAAAAGATGCCATTGTGCGTGCTCATGCTCTGATGCAATCTCCATCTCAATCAAGACAACTATATTTAGGCCCCAACATCTCCAAAACAAGATTGCGAGAGCCGGAGAGAACAGTGTGGCTCATTCAAATAATTATGCAACATGTAAATTTGTTGTATGTTGTATGAATATTTTCATGTCGCTTTTACATGTCAGAATAACATACACACATACTCCCTCTCTCTCTTTCTCCGGGGCCAGTACTTGTCCCATCTCTGCACAGCATACACCCCGTCCTTTACTCGTATTTTCCAGTACAATGGTCAACGTATGTGTGTAACGCTGCTTAGATTTATTTTCATGTTCATGTATGCAAATGATTTATTTCATAAAGTTGGCAAACGTAGTACTCTTGTAACCAATGTTCTCAGCGGAAACATCGGTAAAGATAAAGTAACCACGGCCATCTTCAGCGCCCAATTCCTTCACGAGTTCAGCTGTGACAGACTCGGTCAACTTGGAATTGCGATCGTTATCTATTTCAACATGTTGGTTATCAAAGAACGCGTTTTCATCCCTACCAAAGCAACCTACCGATATGACCAATGGAGCCAACCTTGACAAGGAATCCAGGCTTGTCAGAACCAGCGAAATAGAAGCTATCCACCTTGGTGAAAGTGACCAAACAGTACTAAACATGCCATTCATGAGTCAAATCTATTAATACCACTAATTAATGTTATTATTACACTTTCGGGCTTGCCGATCAATTCAGCAAAGAGAGCATTCATCTTTTTTGTAAAGGCTTTGAGATCCTTGGGTGCTTGAGCTGAAGAAATTTCGAGAATAGGCATTTTGACTAATAGTTGTGTGTAATAAGAAACAAGAAGGAAAAAAAAAAAAAAAAAAGAGAAACGCACGCACGTATTCTCTCTCTTTTATAGCAAACTGACAGGCATTAGCGAGTGATGAAACACGGCACACAAAACTATTTTCCCGTCCGAGATGATTTATTTCTTTAGCCGAATCGTATGGCAGTGCTTGCAAATGGAGGCATTGGTGGGGCCATAGATCAGCACCGTTGGGGAGCCCATCCATCACATACAGATAGAAGCATTCCTAGCAAATGACTGAGTAGCAGTCGGTTTATATTTGTAAAGGATGCCTAACTGGAAGACTCTTCCAGGTTATGCAATTGTCTTCCAATCAGATAGGTATCATCACGAATACTCTTTAGCCAGTACTGAATCAATCTCACTACGAATACTATCAAAACCGCCATACACGCTCCACAAAATAGAATGGGGTATGTACATCGGAATATCAACATCTTTATTGATGCGTCTTCCACTGCTGCGGATTAATAATCAAGAGTTAGTTAAACATATGGCATGACAAATCAAGACAGACAACTTACACAGTATCCAAGTAGTGACTACAGTAACAATGCTTGGTATGCAAATGATGCTACACAGGCACTTGATGCTGGGTAAAATCACCTCTCGTGTGATAATGGGAATATCAAGATGCTCAAAATTGGCCCAGTTGAATTGTACAACTTGATGTCGGTAAGGTGTGTTTTGGGGCAAGATGTGTATGATGCCATAAAACATGCTTAAGCCTGCTACACCTATAGTCCAGTCAATGGTGGGGTAGATGTCAAGCGATGCTTCGTGGATGTTAGTGTGCTTGAGAGGCATGATGATGTACAGGTCTAGCATGATACCAAACAAGAAGGGCACGGCGAATCCCAAAAAGAAGAAGATGTAGGCAAATTTAGCTACCTAAATGTAACATGTACATCAATCGCTCGGTTCTTTTGCTCTAGATGTGTGAAACACTGTACCTTGATGGTCTTTGAAGCAATATAGTCCTTGACCAGATGCCATTGAACACGACCGTGATTTCCTTCCATGATCTGATACTTTTGCACTGCTGTGTTCAGCATGGAACTCAATAGAATCATAATGTAAGCACCCAGCGCAAACGAGTACAGATCATGAACAGGCCGATCAGGTCCCAATTGCAGTTTCGCAAACAGATTTCGACCCAATTTCACTGCATTTAGGATATGACATTAATCTACCTACATGTGTTATCAGCCCAGCAATCAACTTACATGGTACTACAGAAATGGAGCACACAAGAATAGAGCCAGTTGTCCAAATCAGAAACAAGAATGTCGCAATACGCAGCTTAAAGTAGGGTGGAATGTACACAATGGTTGTATTCTTTGTCTTGTCATCGTCTGATCCTGCTGCCGGGTGTCCAATCAATCGCTCTGCTTCATTCAACGGCTGCAAGGTGACTGAATCAATAGGGACAATCATACGTCTTCGAGGGATCACTATGGGCACGTTGTCATGTGTAGGTACCCGCGCAAGGCCTCCGTCTTTCTGGAAATTATCGTACAATGGTGGTGGTGGTGGTGGTGGGGATGCTGCTTCCTCCACTGTTGTTGGTAATGGTTGATACAGGCTCAATAACCAGGCGTACCATGAATTGTACACATATATGCCTTCTTCTTCAGGATAGCGACCGCCAAACATGAACGATGACAGCCTTAATTGCCGAGACACAATGTGCCACCATGTAACCACAGTCTTTTTGGAGAATTCGCGAGGCACAATGTATCTTATTATAGGGGGTAAAAGAAACTGTACCGCTAAAAGATCGATAGGCAGTGAAGAAATGGGTGTGCTATGTGTGCTTGCATCAGTTTGTTTGTTAGCTTGCACGCAAGGCAGTATCACTTACTCGAATTTCCAGATAATGGGATAGATGCCGCAATATCTACTCACTAGTATCGTAACAAACCCCATGCCTACCATAATCAACATAAAGTAGATGGCTGCTCTAGTGATCAGCTTGCGGAGCAGGATGAGAATAGGCTGGTCTACCATGTCTTGGACGGGCTGGAATTGCGGATCCTTAGGATCTGGCATAAAGTACAGCACACCAGGTCGAACGACCTCTCTGACAAGCGCGATAAACACCGAGAATTGCAGTATAAAGCCTGTGCCGACAAACCAATGCAGAAAGATGCCAGAGTAAGGGTTCAGCAGCACGAAATGAAACCGACTCTTGATGGACCATTCAGTGAACAGGGGCAATGTTGAGATATCCAACAAGACACCGCATACGGTAGGAAATACGACCAGTTCAAGAAAGATAAAGAAAAGGACCTTGAGAAACACAGCCTGTTGACGCAAAATCTCGTTTGTGGACCCTGCTCGCGTATCCTTGTTTCTGGACAAGTACAAGGAGCCAATCGATATGAGCACAATGTAACCAACACATGTGCAAACAGTTCGATCAAGGCTAGTTTGTCCTGTTGCACATTGCTGCCAGCGGCTAAATATCACAGCCGATATTGAATATATATTATCTCTTAATGGTTCCCAATTATTGATGCTAATGATGCTTCGTGTGGTTGCCGTCGTGTCTGACAAAAGTTGAGACAGGCTGGCTGCTTCTGATGTGTCGTGCAGTGTAATGTAAATGGACCGGAAGATAAAATACAAGCCAGACAGCACACTGTCCAGGGCGGAAGTGATAGAGATCAACGTCGTTTGAGGCAGCACAGTTTTGCACAGTGCAACTAGGTTGGTGTAAGTAGGCCAAAAGATAGCATCCAATCCAAAATCAATCAACGGATCAGAGATCCAGCGCAATACATAGATCGGGCTTCCCGCTATTTTAAGAGGATGTATCTGTTACAACCGGTTAATTATTGCCAATTCAAAACACACCTCCTCGCACGCATTTTACCAGTATGACAGAACGGCCAATGACGTACGGAATCCATACAGTAACACATAGACACAGATTAATCATCAAAGACATTAAAATGGAGTTTTGAAGTAACATGAGTACATTGCCACGCATTCCAATTGCTTCTAAGATGCCATCAAAGTCCTCACCAAAGTCAAATGGAGCTTCGTTATTGTTGTTGTTGTTGTCGTTGTTGTTGGCTGGGGGAGCAGGAGGCGGTGGTGGTGGTGGTGGAGGCGGCGTAGGAGGACGAGACGGCGTAGAAGGACTATCCTCATCTAATACTGCTTCATCCAGATACAGCTCTGCAAAGTAATCGCTTCTTTCAATTGTGGCTGAAGCTGAGAAATCTCTTGCTCTCCAGGTGCCATTACCGCTACTATATTGCTGGTTTCTATGATTCAAGCTGCTATTTGCATTGTCCTGTTGATAGTCTCTCCAACTTGCAAATGGAGATTGTGCACCACTTGGAGGATTCAGATACATGTTACTGTCATCCTCTTTGTCGTCTTCATGGTTGTATGTATTACTGTTATATTCTGTTGGATTGATATTGCTGTTATTATCTACAAGTGTATTGGTATCATCTGTTACAACTGCCAAGCGTCTTCTTTGCTCTATTTCCCTTCTTAATTCCTCTAATCGACTGCTGATCTGCTCTCTCTCATTTAAAACTGCTTCATCTGTGGTGTTGACTGAGCGAACAGCGTGTATAATGTCATCGACCGTTGCTTGCTGTTGAGCTAAGTGTTCGTTGCTATCATCCTGTAGTACTTCTTGCTCTGGCGCATCTGCCACTGCTGCTGCTGTTGCTGCTGTTGCTGCTGTGTTTTGGATCACCCATTCTCTAAACAAGTAGGCAGCAACAAATACCACCACTACAATTGCTGTAATGATCTGCCCCTGAAAGCAATCTGATAAGAATCCTCTTTGAAATGCGTTAACAGCAAGCCTTTGTATTCACGTATATGCCGTCTTACTTCCAGTCATAGCTTAGCAGGTAATTGTAGTGTCCGTCATCGCCATTGGAGACAGTCTGATTTACAGTAGTGTTTTGTGTCAATGCAGCGGTTGAGAAACCTATATTCTCTCCACTCCAAAAATAAAATCGCCATGTCCATAATGTCAGTGTTGGTAAAAGGATCAACCAAACGACAATGACGAGTGCTGATCGAGCCAGTGTAATGAATGTCTTTGCTAAGCGAGATAGAGACTGTCGCAATAACACATGAAGTGGTAATCTTGTTGGCATGTCATCGCAATAAATGGGTGTAAAGACAAATGGGTGCTCGCAAACTTCACAATATCTACATGGATATCTTTAGCATCGCATAGCATAGAAACTAGCTGCTGCTTACTTTTTCTTGCTATGAGACAGCCACTGCAATAAACTGTTTACGCCACATGTTAGTAAATGAAGCCATCTCGTCATGCAAATGATCATCCTACCATTCTTGGTGGATAAAACGTATGCTGCCAGAGCATTTGCAAGGGTGAAAAAGAGGCTGATTTATTGAAGACCCACTCCTACATACTCTACAGATGGCTATACATTTACATTGAGTTTTATGTTTTCCAATGTCTCTGATCACACTGTAAACCTTGATCTTCTTCCATAGAGTGATATAAGAAAAGAAAATAAAGAAGCTATTTTGGAAAGGGGAATTTAGTACTGTAAATTAGCCTCACTCTGACTCTCTCCCTCTTTGTCTCTGTCTCTACACACACACACATACATACCCAGAGCGATAGTACGTTCACGCGAGTCGGAATTGCGTTTAAATTCAGTCATTTGTGAATCCAGGCTTTTCTTGGGTAACTCTTTCGGCTAACCAACCTTAATGTAAGCAAATTCAATTCTTGCGTGGATGTGAACACAGGGCAGCATGGATAGTAGCAGAAAGCGGACATCAGCACCTTGTGCTCTCTCACGTCAAGTTGTACAACTGCCAAAAGGCAGCTAATACCTTTGTGACGACGATCAAATAAGTTCAAGGTATGTACAACTGTATTAGACATCGCCTTGTTCTTTTGTCTTGTTTCTTTCTCCTCCTCTTTTTCGCTTTCTTTACATCCAGAGCCTACCATACATTACTCTCAAAACTCCAGACATTACAAAGAAACGAATGCAAAGAACAGCCATCGAAGAGGAGCAGTTAATCAACGTCCCTTACTATGCAACATTGAAGTCGACAGATTCCATTATTCTTAGCTCGACAAGCACTTCGAGTCAACGCTTGAGCGAATTGACAGCTACCACCAATTCGTCTATTTCGCTCGATCCGAGTACCACTCCAATGAACCCTTCTGATTTCGACCAGTTTGACATTATCGACAGCCTTGATTTCGATGATGTGGATGATACATTGCTAGGTAAGAGGAGGCTGTCAAAATGGACACATTGCAAGTGCTCACACATTGCTCTACTAGATCAAGAAATGACTCATCAGCAGAGAGAATCCATCATCCAGGAGCTCTTGAGCACTGAGAAGCAGTACCTGGAGACATTGAACATTGTATTGAATTATTATATCACGCCTCTTCGAAAGAACAGCAACAAGAGTTCGTTTAATTTCTTGGGCATGAAGAAGCTGCCTTGCACCGAAAGGGAAATGCGCTGGTTGTTTGGCAATTTCGAGGATATTCAAGCAGTTCATACTGATATTCTGTCAAGCCTGGAAGAACGGTATAGTGTCTCAATGTGGATAGGCATCATTTGATTACTTATTGTTACTCTACGGTAGACTAAGCATTTGGGGACCGACTCAAATCATATCGGATGTCATTCAGACCTGGGTAAATTTCTTTAAATGTGCATACATAATACACATTATTGTAGCGAGATACAAACCTTAAATTAGACCTGCATATCATTGTTAATACTCACTATATTTATCATCTCCAGTTCCCAAGGATACAACAGCAATATCACATTTACTTTGACAATTACGATGTTCTAGTCACTACCTACGAGCGATTAACAAGATATCAGCCCTTTAAAAAGTTCACAGTGGTAGGGGCAAAACGCATTTATCAAAAAAGAGCGAGGATGTGTGTGTGTGTGTGTGTGTATGTGTGTGTGGAGAACTCAGCTTAATTTATTTTGTACTCTATGTATCATATTCTAGACAGTTGACAAGAATGCCAGGTTGAAAGGTACCACATTGCTGTCTTTCCTGCAAGCCCCTGTTTTATGTATCAGCAGATATCACAAGCTTGTGTTGAAATTAGCAGACAACACTTCCTCAATGCACCCTGATTACGTTGGCTTGATGCAATGTAAGAATCGCATTCATCAAATTGCGGAAGAATTCAAAATCAAGTAAGCAAAAGTGCGTTACACTAAATAGGGTAGAAAAATTCATGATTTTACGTAGATTCGACGATGCCCGAAATGTAAATCGAGTCTATGATATCCTTGCAGCAATGACAGGCCAACCATTCAGTGTCAAGGCAGAACGCAGATTGCACCTCCAAAACAATTTCACTCGAGCCACTCGTCTCAGCGGCGAAGATTTATCCTACTTTTTGTTTTCAGACATGCTGGTGTATGCCAAGCAGAAGCAATCCACCTTGCAATACAAAGGCCATATTGTGTTGAACAGAGCAAAGATCAGAGCACTTTCACCTGAAGAGTCAATTGAAGACGGCTGGTCTATCGAAATCACATCACCCTTCCAAGGTGTCGACTCACTCAACACAACATTTATGGGTTCTCCTACAGCTCAAGTCATTCACACCTACAGCAAGCAAGATCAATCGAAATGGGTCTCTTGTCTTGAGATCATTGTCGCTCGACTCGACCAAACGCAACAAAGCAAAAGTATTAAATAATAGAAAATTCAAATTTATGATGATACCTTATGCTCAAAATACCTCTTTTTTACCCACCAAAAAACCTATGTAGTTATGATCAACAACAACAAATTGACTCCTCCTGGCTCATTGAGAAGACATGCTACCACTGTTTCATCCAATGGCTCTTCTTCGAATCACTCACATACACAAGAAAGCTTTTAACAGAGTCATCTCTACTTGGTATATTCCCCATCACTATCCTTGTTCCATTCCTCTCCTCTTTTTTTTTTTTTTTGAAACAACAGAAACTCATTTTACCCTCCTTTCTCATCACTAATATATATATATGTATCATTCCTACTTGTTCTCCACAGCGTCCCTCCTCACATCCTATTTGATCTCCATGCAGCCATATTCCAATAAACATTGCAAATCAGTTTTTATATCATGCACACATGCGCAGAATAGCAATAAGATTTAGTGCTCTATCCTTGGTTTGTAAAGGTTTTACTTTACCTGAAAAAATTTATAACGAATGCCATAATGGTTGTACCCGAGCATTGTGAAACAACAATCATGTTAACTGTGTTTTAATAAAAGAATGAGGAGGGCAGTAAAGTTTATTTAAAGCGATTTAACAGCCCATGTATCATTTTGATCAGATTGATTAGACTTGTCCTAAAGTTTACCAATATGCAGGGCGCACGCTCGCGCACGATACAATGTGGATTTTGGAGATCTGAAACTAGAAACTAAAAATACATCTTGCTAATCGGAATTTGTCCGAACAAGCATCTTGATTTAAAGTTATAATAAATCCCTACAGCTGTAACATGGCTCGAGTGTCTTATTATGAGTGATAGTATAGGAAAACCTTGCTAAAATTACAAAATCGGATAGGATTGAGCAAGAACCCATACACTGCATGTACTAGTGTTTTTTAGGTTACATGTCAAATTTTGTCTAGCTCTTTACTACTTCGTACATTGAAACACCACATCTTTGGCATCTGAGATCGGAGCACTGACAGTGATGTACACCATAGACAAATAAAACTTAACTGACAAGAAAAACGGCTTATTGCACTGGAAGTTATTCTCTTGTAATCTTGCCCATCACAGCAAATAAAATAACAAATGTCATTATTTATAAATGCATTTTTTTTAGTGTAAATGAGTTCAAAACAAGCAATGTGATATCCTACCAATGTGTTCATTAGTGTTTCAGTTTTTGAACCTCTCTCTACCACGTAAAAACCGTTCATAACTGTGGATTTCCCTATTTCACAGTGCTCTACGTCTGTATCAAGAGGAACAAATCGTATGTGGGCAAATAACACGCGAGTGTTACCTCTTATTGCTTACAAAATGAGTAAAACACGGCGAAATTTGGATACATTTGAGCCGTGTTTTCTCGTGCTACCAGCCGTTTTAGATTGTCAGAATAGCGCCAAACAGTTGCTCTCATCTGGCAGTTACTTTCGGACACCTTTGCTCAACTTTTTGGGGACCAAAAAAAACATGGCCAAAATTCGACCAAAAAGCATGAGGCACCCCTCATGGTTTTCATCGAAAATCAAACGATCGCGTTTTTGGTCGCAAAAATGAAGACTTTTGCTATGGTAAATATTGAGTCAAAATGTTTCTATCGATTTAACACAGCCCTTGAAATCATCTTTTGGGACCTTATTATGTAAAATCTCGACGTTTCGGCCAAAAACCTATTTTCATATCTTCATAAATTGCTCAATAAATTTATTCAAAACATCTATCTTACTTGGTACCATTGGATGCGCCTTGAAAAGCACTCCAAGAAACCTTAAAATAGCATGGAGTGATTATCATATCTTTATCGTCGAATCTGGCAGAATAGTTCAATCAAGTCGAAAAGTATCAAAATCTGGCCAATCTGAAGCATAAACCAAGCTGAGGTTAAATTTGTTTTGGTCGACGAATCTGCCACATTAACAATGCCTTCCTCCGTAGTAAAGTTCACGAATTTCATTTGAACACTATCAACAAAATCGAATATTAAAAGCACGCATTTATTAACGTGAGCTTTGGCGGTAGAAATGTATATAATAAAGAAGAAAAGGCAATGTTATTTCTAAATAGGATCTGAAATATAACAGAAATCTAAGGAACTATTTCTTGTGCAGAGAATCATTGTATGTCCAAGCACCTTCATCCACAAAAGGCTTGCCAACCATATTAGGTAGTAATGACACTGTGCGTTTTGAGTATTCATCGGACGCTTCTGAATCCTTTTGAAATGTGAATAAGACAGGCTTGAAAGGCTCTACAATATTATTTTCACGATCTTTTCTGATTTGACGCTGCCAATCCTCGATTTTCGATTTCTCTGCATTTGCAACTGCATAATTCTTGGCCTTGAGTGCTTCAGTAACAGGGCCCCACAGACGATGGGATTCAATCTCTTGTTGTTGTTCAATGGGTGCCGTTTTACGTTCTGCCATGGCTTCAGCCTCTGCATCGAATAGTAGCTCTTTTGTGCTTTGTCCAGATTTGGTATAGAAAGATTGGTTGCTCCATCTGCCGGATAAAGTGCAATACACTTGCTCCTTATAGGTGATACTTCCCTTGATGCGATGATACTCACCACCAAACCATGGCTTGGGGATAAACTCAATCACAGTTTTAGCACCGCTGTTGCTGGTGATGGTGCAAACACCACTCAATTCAAGATAGCAAGACCCAGTGAATACACCACGAATCAGTAAATCAGGATAATCAATCACATATTGTTCGTCAAATGTCTTGAGATTCAGTACTGCGCGACCGACTTGCTCTACTTTGATAGTTGTACCCTTGAATTTGGATTTCTGGCCACAATGACCATTGAGTGATACACCTTCTGCGGCGCTTTCGAGATAGAATGCCGAGATGGGAGGATGATGGCACACTATACAGAACAAATTAGATCTTGCAAAAAAAAAAACACTTGAACCCCTTTTCCATCTTACCTTGCTCACAGATGCATTTAACATTGCCCATGTGACAATAGAACTGCTCACCCAAAATTGGATTGTAAGGCTTCTTTTCGGTCAATCCATTCGTACAACGTGATGCGTAGCTACCCCATAAAGTGGACATAAACCATCGAGTGACGGCCAGCATACGTTCTACACATATTCCTTAAGTAACCTCTCCTCTTTTACAAGTACACTACATACCTTCAGGGTCACTTGATTGAGTCACTGCTGTGAAGCTAATTGTAATATAGAATTAGAGTTAATATATTCACCGTTGTAGCAAGTCTCGGGATTTAAAGTCATTGTCTAATGTAACTTACCATGTTGGATGATCGCCCCAATACGTGCTACAATAGAATAAAAGGTTAGAAATTCTGCAAACAGCCGGAAACAACAAAGAGCACCCACCCGTATTCTAACAAAGATAACCCATTCAAAAAGAAGGCAGGGCAGGTCAGTGAAGAGAGGTCTCCAGTGAAGCTGATCACTGTCTTGAGGAATTCTTTGAACTGTCCGCCTAATCCAGGCTCGGGCCCCTTAATTGACAGCTTATCTACATCGCTTGGAATTGGTTTGACTTCTTCGTGTCTCTTGTTTTTGCTGCCAAAGATTGCCATTGTATCGAGTAAAGTTAAAAAAGAGTAAAGAAGAAAGGAGGAAAAAGGTAAAAGCATAAAAAAAAAGCCTTTTATGTCATGAGAGCAGAGCTATTCCGCGCTCTTCCAATTAAGGCTGGCTGTGCTTGATGCAACAACATGTCAAATTCTGTAAATTTCAGGCTCATGTCAAACCGAGAGACCCAATGCTCATTTAGTTTATAATCGCAATAAGCAGTTCAGTTGATACAGTTAGCAGGCGTCAGAATTCCTTGCTTTTACCAGATGTAGTCTGGTATTCTGATTGCATGGATAGAGCTGATCAATGAAATCCCAGTGCTGGTGGGGCAATGATGCAACTAGTAAAATGATGGGCGATGAGGACAATTGAATCAAATGTTTTACATTTCTCAGATTAGTGAGACCCCCAATTTTTTGCACTGCAAACTAATCCATTGCTCGTACAGCCCATTGTCGCCATAGGAGGAACATTTAGTTGATGCATTTTTCTAGAGATTGATGGCATTTGACAGGCAGGAAAAAAGGTTTTAGCATTCCGGTGCATCGGAGTGCACTATGAAATTACGTACATTTGATGCGAAATTGTAGGCTGGAATGAATGCTACTCGAGATCTATTAGATGTTTTCTTTAGAGAAGTTTGCACATGACACCCCTCGTCTTGAAGAGAATCTAATCTAATGATGTTTATCGCACAACGAGTGCCATGATGAATACTCATTTGATCAACAGACCAGACATCTGGAATAAATTAAATATAACAGCAATTTATTTTTGGTGATAAAAAATACAATAAAAGAAGAAAACATTCAAACGATCAATGATTAACGAAAATTCCAGACGATAGAAATGACACCATGAAACGTATGTGATAAGATGGAAGTATAAAAGAAAATGTACATTGTAAATAATCATTGATTTGTTTGTTTGTGGGGTGCGTTCGTGTGTGGGTTTGCAGATGGTGTGGGTGTGGGTGTTTTGCTTGCAAGTGCGAGATGGTGCATTTTGTTTAGTAAGGTGTGAAAGTGTGTATATTGCAAAATAATAATAAAAATCTATTGTTTAGAGATGGCTCAACAAGACCTTTGAACCAGCATTACCCTCTGCGGCTGCTGCTTCAATGTCCTTCTTGAAAGGCTTGAGTGCCTTCTTGACCTCCTTCTTGGTAGCAGGCTCTTCAGCAAGAGCAAGCACGATGAAGCTACCGTGGTTGGTAGCAAAGTGGCCGAGATGGGGCTTGATCACCTCAAGGAGCTTGGGTGCAAATTCAAGAGGCTCAACAGCCTTGTCGTTTTCGCTCTCTGCGGTATCAGCCTTGATCATTGCCTTGACAATACGATTTGCAAAACGATCTTCGATAATGTGATTCTCCTTTTCGATATTTTCGCCAGCCAAAGCCAAGATGGCATCCATAGCAGCAGATTTGTCGCCCACAGCATGAAGCATAATTTCTTGCACAACTTGAGAGGAAAGCTTCTCTCTCATAAGGATGGCAGCGTTTTCTGTCACCAATTTGATCAATTGAGGAGAAGTAGCCTTCAAGATTTCTTGAGCTCTGATCTCGGGTTCCTTCTTACTTACACGGATTTTATCACCTTCCTTCAAGAGCTGAACAGTTTCAGGGGACAAATATCTAGTGTTTCTGCCAGCCAAAATGTACATGAAGAAGCGACGGCCAAACTTGTCAGCAAACAGCTCTGTAGCATGCTTACTCAATTCACCGAGAACAGCCTTGGAAACCAGCACAGTATCATCAGTGACGTCCAGCAAACGAAGCAAGACCAGATAGCCATATTCATCAGAAGCAATTTTAACCAAGAAGGGTTTGAATGCCTTGATAATGTTCTTACGATCCTTGGGAGCGGCAATCGAGAGACAGATCATGGCAACCCAGGCACCCTCACGTGTGTGTACAATCTCTTGCAGAGACTCCTTGAGATGACCCATCATCTCCTCACGCCCCTTATCATCAGCCAATGTCATGTATTGATATAAAGCCTTGTGAACAATGCTGTTGGTGATGGTGCCCTTATCCAAACAACCTCGAAGCATCTCGGCCATGTGCTTCAATACAGGTTCTTTCTTGTCAGGGAAGGCTGCCAACAAATCGTCGAGTGTCTTTGCTCCACCGCCGTTGCTGAATAGTGTCATTTCAGGACCGTAGAATTCGGCAAGCAGTTCATGTCTTTGAGCAGCGTTGGCGTATTGAGAGTAGAAAGTTTCAATGACGGTGGAAGCTTCCTTGTGGCGGATCAATTTGCGAACATTGTTTCTGAATTCACGCAAAATGTTGTCTCTTTGCTTATGACTATAGCTATATGAATACCAATGCATCTCACTCGAGTCTATTCGGACTTACCAGTATTCAATTGCCTTCATGACGATGAACTTACCATACATGGACTTGGAGAGCTCGACATATTTTCCCTTGAGTTCTTCTGCAATTTGGTTTCTTTGCTCGGCATTGCCCTTCTTGAGACAGGTTTGGATCATACGAGAAGCATCATGCTTGAAAATAACCTGAATAATCAAGAGTATGAGTGTTATGATACACATCAACACACAAATCAATCACTTTACATCTTGGACTTTGCCACCAATGATGCTCATCATTTTGGCCATCAAAGCCTTTTGCTCATCACGGCTGATATCTCCACGACGAAGCTGTTCCCAGACCTTCTTTGCTTGCACAATCATTTCAAAGTTCTTGTCATGGGATTTACGTTCCCAACGAGTGGACTTTTGCTCGTTACGAGATTCTACGCAGAGCATGTCAGATACTGCAACAACAGATAGAAGCCATCATCACTTACCAATCTTTGACTTCTTGTTGAAAGTGGGCTCATGCTCAGCGTTTCTCTTTTCTCCAATAGCAGACATGTTGATTTGAGATGTGTATATGTGTAATAAAGTTTTTTTTTTTTTGCCTTTATCTTTCAATCGAAACTTTTATTTTAAAAGGGATGGAAAAAGAGCGAGGGTAAACTGTCACCACATCAAGCCACTATGGATTGGCATTACGATGGTCCTGAATTTGGTAGAATAGGCACTTCACGAAACGTCGCGAGTATTGTTGACCGGACTTGGTGAATTAGGATAAAGGAAAAAGTTTTGGATTGCAACGCGTTTACTTCTCCTACAATATCATCATCATCATGGCCACTAAACCCGAGTTTGGTGTTTCCTCCTCGTCGTCCAAATTCAACAATAAAAGAGGCAGAGGTGGCGGTGGACATTCATTGGGGTCAACAAGAGCAACCACCTCATTCAAACAATTTGGCTTACCCAAAGCTGGAGGATCGAACGAGCAGTCGAATGTCGATCAACGCTTTGAGGATGTTGCTGTATTAGACGCTCTGGAGACCAGATTTGGATTTGAACGCTACCAAGAGGGCCCTCAAAGATTAGGCTGGTTATTAAACATGCATGAGGTACATTTGTGGATAGGAATGCAATGGAGCATACCCCATTTCTAATGACAACTCGATAGACACTGATCAAAGACGAGGATTGGCCCACTGGTAGATCAGGCGTAGACTATTACTTTATTAACGACAGTGGAGAGACATTCAAAACCACATTACTGTTCAGTCCCTATTTCTTTATCGGTTGCAAGGTACGTTCAGTTTCATCCGTTGCCTGCCAGTTTACTGAACCATACGTCAACAGCCAGGAACAGAGGGAGAAGTAGAGGACTATCTGCATAGACGATTTGAGGACCTGATTGAAAAGATGAAGCGAGTCAAGAAAGAAGATTTGAAACAAGTAAATGCCTTGATCTGTCAAACAATGGCTGACAGAGCTACTAACATCGCACTTGACATTACTAGCCCAACCATTTGATTGGTAATACCCGCACATACATTCAACTGAGCTTCAGAAATCAATCCGACATGTATTCTGTCAGAAAAATCTTGCTGCCCATTGCCAAAAAGAACCAAGAGAAAATCAACACATTAGACACATATGCAGAGGTCATCAAGTAAGTGCAGAGGGAATTCGGAGAGAGAGAGAGAGAGAGAGAGAGAGAGAGAGAGAGAGAGCCCAGACTTACTTTATTTGATCCACCAGTGCTGCCAACAATATTGCATACGAGAATCAGCCTCATTCTGCAGCCATGTCAACACGCAAAGCAGCAGACGAATCACTAGAAAGTGTCATGGATATTAGAGAATACGATGTACCTTATTATGTGCGAGTAGCTATGGATTTGGGTAAGGGAAATCTAGGGGGCTACACCTTGGAAATCTAACCGAATCATACCACATTAGATATCCGAGTTGGACTCTGGTACACAGCAAAGGCATTGATGGATGGTACAGTAGAACTGAATAGGGTATCTGAACTTGTGCATCGTCCAGAACCCGTCATCCTTGCATTCGATATCGAAACAACAAAGCTTCCATTGAAGTTCCCAGATGTCGCCATTGATAGTATCATGATGATTTCTTATATGATTGATGGCAGAGTAAGTAGTATTAGCCCTTTTTCTCTTTGCAGCGTATCTGAATAATCTGGTAGGGCTATTTGATTACAAATCGAGAGATTGTCAGCCAGGATATTGAAGATTTCGATTACACACCAAAACCCGAATTTGAAGGACCATTCACCATTTTCAATGAAGAAGACGAGGAGGCGCTATTGAGGCGATTCTTTGAACACATCCAAGACGCAAAACCCACCATCTTTGTAACGTATAACGGTGACTTTTTCGATTGGCCGTTTGTGGAAGGCAGAGCGAGAGCCAATGGTATTGACATGTATCAAGAGATTGGTGTGTACAAGGACGATGAAGATGAATACAAGTGTAAACACGCTACACATATGGATGCTTTTCGTTGGGTCAAGCGTGATTCCTACTTACCACAAGGCAGTCAAGGTCTCAAGGCTGTAACAACCGCTAAATTAGGCTACAATCCTATGGAACTGGATCCTGAAGACATGACTCGATTCGCAGCTGAACAGCCCCAAGTGCTGGCTCAGTATTCCGTGTCAGATGCTGTGGCCACATATTACCTTTACATGAAATACGTGCATCCTTTCATCTTTTCGTTGTGTAATATTATCCCCCTGGTGCCTGACGAGGTGCTGAGAAAGGGTACTGGTACGCTATGTGAACTGCTGCTCATGGTGGAAGCCTATCGAGTCAATGTCATTATGCCAAACAAGCATGTGGACGAAGCAACCCAGTTTTATGAGGGACATTTACTAGAGAGTGAGACGTATGTTGGTGGCCATGTAGAAGCACTAGAGGCAGGTGTCTTTCGAAGCGATATCAACAGCGATTTCAAGATTGATCCGACGGCAGCACAGGAGGTAAGATTGGGTTATATCTAATGTATCAGAGACTAACCTATGCATAAATTACTTCTAGTTGATTGACCAATTAGACGACGCTCTCAAGTTTACTATTCAAGTGGAAGAAAAGAAAAATCTAGAAGACGTGGTCAACTACGATCAAGTGAAAGCCGAGATCCAGCAGCAACTAGAGGAACTACGCGACAGACCCATACGACAAGAGCCACCCCTCATTTACCATTTGGATGTAGCTGCCATGTACCCCAATATTATTCTCACTAACCGTCTGCAACCAGATGCCATGGTCGACGAATCCCAGTGCGCCACTTGCGAGTTCAACGTCAGTAACAAATCCTGTGATCGTCGCATGAAGTGGATGTGGCGTGGAGAGTACTTTCCAGCCAAGCGAAACGAATACAGAATGATTGAAAACCAACTGATGATCGAAACATTTCCACCGCGATATCCCAACGGTCCTACTCGCAACTGGAACGCCTTAACAGAAGCTGAAAGATCCACCCTAATGCGCTCTCGCTTAACTGATTACTGTAGAAGGGTCTACAAAAAGGTCAAGGAAACCAAGGAAGTGGAAAGAGAGTCCATCATCTGTCAGCGAGAGAATCCTTTTTATATCGAAACTGTGCGTGCTTTCCGTGATCGTCGTTACGAGTACAAGGGGCTGCACAAGACGTGGAAGGGAAAACTAGACAACGCCGTCAAAGATGGCTCTGCTACTAAGATCGCTGAAGCCAAGAACATGATTGTGCTGTATGATTCGCTCCAGCTGGCTCACAAGGTCATTCTCAACTCCTTTTACGGTTATGTCATGCGAAAAGGTGCTCGTTGGCATTCATTGGAAATGGCTGGTATTGTGTGTCTCACCGGTTCCAAGATTATTCAAATGGCTCGTCAGCTGGTAGAGCGCATTGGCCGTCCTCTTGAGCTGGATACAGATGGTATCTGGTGTATTCTGCCAAAGAGCTTCCCAGAGACATTTACCTTTTCACTGGCTAACGGTAAAAAGTTTCGCATCGATTATCCCTGTACCATGTTGAATCATTTGGTGCATGATCGATTCACCAACGATCAATACCAAAGGCTCAGCAATCCAGAGACATTTGAATACACTGTCAGCAAGGAGAACAGTATCTTTTTTGAGATTGATGGTCCCTACCGTGCCATGATCTTGCCATCTTCTACTGCCGAAGACAAACTGCTCAAGAAGCGATATGCCGTCTACAACAAGGACGGTAGTCTTGCTGAACTGAAGGGTTTCGAGGTCAAGCGTCGTGGTGAACTCAAGCTGATCAAAATTTTCCAGTCTGAAATTTTTGAGGTGTTCTTGAAGGGTGAGACGCTGGAGGAATGTTACTCTGCAGTGGCTCAGGTCGCTGACCGCTGGCTGGATGTTCTCTTCAGTAAAGCCATCAACTTGTCAGACGATGAACTGTTCGAGCTGATTTCAGAGAATCGCAGCATGTCTCGTACTTTGGAAGAATACGGTGCACAGAAGTCAACAGCCATCACCACTGCAAAGCGTCTCTCCGAGTTCCTAGGTGCTCAAATGATCAAAGACAAGGGCCTAGCTTGTAAATTCATCATCTCTGCGCGTCCTTACGATATTCCTGTTTCTGAACGTGCTGTTCCTGTTGCCATCTTCCAGGCCGAGCACAGTGTCAAGAAGCATTTCCTGAGAAAGTGGTTGCGTGATAACTCGCTCGAGACGTTTGATATTCGCGACATCTTGGACTGGGATTACTATGTAGAACGTTTTGGCTCTGTCATTCAAAAGATCATCACCATTCCTGCTGCCATGCAAAAGGTGCGCAACCCTGTGCCTCGTGTCAGACATCCAGACTGGCTGTTTAAGCGTGTGGCTGCCAAGGATGACAAGTTCAAGCAGCATCGTATCACAGACATGTTTATCAAATCTGACAAGCCCTTGATGGAGGATATGATGGACATTGACGACATTGAGGAGTTGAATGTGGCGGGTACTGCAACCAATGGTTTGCCCAAGATTGCCAAGGTCGTCAAGCGTAAACATGGAGCATCTGTTGCTTTGTTTGATCCTAATGCGCCTCTGGCTGAACAAGACCTCACTGAAAACATGCCTGATTGGAATGTGGATTACCCAGCGTGGCTCGAATTCCAGAAGCGTAAATGGAAGCGACAAAGACTCATTCGAGAGCACAATCGAAAGCTGGGTCACGATTCACAGTTCCTCAATAGTAACACACAAGCATCGTCTGGAGCAGCCAGTTTCTTTAGACGACAAACTGGATCGCTGGTCACCAGTGTGTGGGAAGTACTTCAAATCGTGGAAACTGATATTCCTGGTGAATACCGTATGTGGGTCATTGTGCAGGACCAAATGTTCAATATTCGATTGACAGTGCCTCGTACATTCTATATCAACAGCAAGGAGTCCAATCCTCTGGCCGTTCAACTCGAGAACCCTAGCTGTCATATGGCCAGATGCACTAGAACACTGCCTCGCTCTCACCAAGTCTACAATCTCTACCAAATGTTCATGCCTGAAACAACCTATCAAAACGAGATTAAAAAGTTCACCAACATCTTTAACCATCCCACCACAGAAGGTGTCTATGAAACACAGGTGCCGCTCTTGGCGCGTGCCATCTTGCAACTAGGCGCTACGTGTCAATACAGCAAGCCAAAGGGAGGCCCCACTAGAAAGATCGATGATCAATTTATACTGCAAGACTTGGTACAGCGTTCCGAAATGACCAACCACTACATTAGTGACCCCAAGCAATTCAACTACATCTTCTTATTCCATGCTCACTCTGATAGTCGCCATTTCTTCACTTTGGTTGGTGCCACAATTCCTGTAGCTCAAGTGTTCATCGTGGGCCTGTCCAAAAAGAACCAGCAAGTGCCCAACATCAGCAAACTCTACAGAGATCAGTATCAGTCCATCTTTGGTCAGGGTAGAGCCACCAGCGATACTGTGGAGATTCTGGAATCTGCAGAGTTTGAAACCAACTACTATTCCAATGAACGCGATGCTCTCAGAGCCATTAACAAGTCCCTGAGCAAGTATCTCGACAACAAGCGTGGCAAGAGCATCCTGGCCATCAACTCACCGCGTTCTTCCACCTACTTGACCTCCAATGCTCGCATGCTCCATTCGATTCCCTTTGTGCGCATTCCCTCTTTGCAGCAAGACAACCGCTTTGATGCTCTCAACTGGGTCACACCTATTGTCAACCGCATGATCAGACATTACATGGAACTGAGCTCCTGGATCGATCAAAAGGTCTCTCAAGCACGCTACGCCAACATTCCCTTTTGTAATATCCCTGACGATCCTTACCTGTTTATATCAGACGTCTTGTTTGCTAGAAAATTGATTCAAAATGACATGGTTATCTGGTGGTCTGCAAGCCCTATGCCAGACCTCGGTGGACGTGAAGAGGATGAGAGTTTGGCCATGACGAGTGAGATTGTCAACACAGAGTTGAGTTTTCCTGGTGCTTACGAATCTGTATGCGTGGAGATTGATGTAGTGCGATTGTGTCTCAATACCATCATTGAAGCCAATGTGATCAATGACTTGGAGGGCGCTACTGGTGGTTTGGGTGGATTCGACACGTCCAACTACACGCTGGATGACTTCGCCCATGGTAATGTCAACAACTCGGCAGCCTTCGGTGAAAATATGATTTCTGGCAAGACATTTGGTATGCTGCGCTCCGTGGTCCAGTTGTGGTTCCATCAAGCCATCACAGACAAGACAAGTCGCTTTGGCGAGCACATGATTGACACACTGCATCGCTGGCTTCTCAGCACCAATTCCTTCATGTATGATCCGTCATTGTATGGCTTGATTCACAGCATGATGAAGAAGGTGTTTATGCAGCTAGTGGCTGAATTCAAGCGACTAGGCGCTACCATCGTGTTTGCTAATTTTCACAAAATTGTGCTTACGACCAGCAAGGAGACTATGGAGAGCGCTTTACCTTATTTCCAGTATCTGTACAGATCTATTCAGCGCAAACAAGTATTTGAGCTTTTGGAGCTGAATCCTAGCAACTACTGGGATGTCCTGATGTGGATGGACGAAAAGAATTATGCTGGTGTCATGACTAAAGCAGAGAATCAACTAGCACAGGGACAGCCTACTATTACTAAAAAGTGGAATATCGAGGAATACCTGCCTGAAGTGGCCCGTGCCTTATTCAGTCGACAAACCTCCTCCTACGTGTTCAAGATGTACACCTTCAAGCGTCAGTTTCCTCGTGATATCGGTAGTCAAATCAGAGAGAAAGATGATTCTACACCTGATCCTCGCGTGCAAAATTTGCAGCTGTTTATCAAGCAAGACGCTGCCCGTAAGCTACTGCGCAAGGTGCCTCTTTTACTACGTCGTCAAGAAGAACAGCTTGCTAATCCTGACCCAGACATGGTGTTCCCTCAACTGGCTGGCTCTCATCTGGTCATGGACAACCCAGCATTAGAGTATGTCAAGTCTGTGTGTGCGGTTCTCAATCTGGACAAGCGTATTGAAGATCAAGTTCGTGTCCTCAAGCGAAGTGCACTTGAACTGGTGGGTGGTATCAGTGATTTCAGTGATATGGCGCAATTCCGTAATCCTTGTGAATACTTTAAGCTGACAGAAATCATCTGTTCTTACTGCAACTACACTACTGATTTGGATTTCTGTCGTGATAAGGAGTTGATGCCAAAACAGGGCCATATTCAAGCATGGCATTGCAAGGGATGTAACTGTGAATACGACAAGCGATTGATTGAAGACCGCATGATCACTCAAATTCAAACGTGGTTTACAGCAAGCGATATCCAGGATCTACGATGCAGCAGATGTCATACTATCAAGACGGAGAACCTGATGCGACAGTGCGACAAGTGTGGTAGTGAATATATCAAGACGCTCAGCAAGCCAGAGCTGGAACGCAAGCTCAAAGTGTTTAGAAATGTAGCAAAAGAGCAGCAATTGGCCCGCTTGTCTGAATCCATTGATGTTTATATGAACCATCTGTAAAATCATCTCGCTGTATAAACCAACTTCATTTCAAATTGTACATATCAAATAAATTATAGCTGTCGAATACGATGAAAGTTGCCATTCCACATTGGCATCTAAATGTACATGATATCTGATGTGATCCGAGCTCTCTATGTCTCTAAGTGGATATAGCAAGAAAGACCCTACAAGACGGCAGTCAGAGAACACTGCTCAGACACAACAACAAGCGCTTTTCATCGCATTCTACAACAGGATCATGCAAATGTGTCATAAAGTGTGTTCCTGATTTCCATTGCACCTTGGTTGGGACTGTCTGAACGAAGCCGCTCAGTCACAATTTTTTTTTTCTTGTAGGATATCACGAATTCCTTGCCATTTCATCCTCGAAAACTTCACCTTTCTGATTGCTTCTTGTTGGAAAAAGAAAATCAAGTCTAAATTCAACAACAAGAGACTTTTTGACCTTTTTCTTTCGTCTTTTTTGTGCTCAAAAATCAAATTGAAAAAAAAAATCAGTCAAATTTCTTGCGTGATTGAGCATTTTACATTGGAACTGTCATTTATTATCGCAACATGAAGGAGCAAGTGATTGATAACACACCAAAGAAGATGTAAGCAGCGTGGATCATTACAAGAAAGAAAAGTGTATGCTAACCTGTTGATGATTAGTCGCTACATCCAATTTGGTGTTCTGTCACCTCAGAACATGGTGAAAATTGCAGAATTCGAAATTACGCAGAGAGATCTGTACATGCCTGAGAGTCGTACGCCCATCAAAGGTGGTGTGTTGGATTTGAGATTGGTAATTAGCGCCAGATACCGCAGCAGCAGCAGCAGCCACTAATTCATTGATATCAACAGGGTACAACCATGAAAGATGCAACATGTGAGACTTGTGGACAGAAAATGCAAGAGTGTGCTGGTCATTGGGGCTACATCAAACTGGTCTTGCCCATCTTTCACATTGGTTATTTCAGACCTGTCATTAACATTTTGCAAGAGATTTGTAAGGTATGTTTTAAAGAGTCTGGTGCAGAATGACCAGGCAATGATTGACTCTCCCTTTCTCTCCATTAGACCTGTAGTCGTGTCATGTTGGATGAATCAGATCGCCGTATGTATTTGAGACGATTGAGAGCACCTGGTTTGGATAATTTGCAGCGAAATCGAATCATCAAGCAAGTCAACGAAAAGTGTAAAAAGGTGACCTACTGTCCTCACTGTAACGCTGTTAATGGTGTCGTCAAGAAGGTTGGACCTATGAAGATCACACACGATAAATACCGTTTAAAGCGAGTCGATGCCGAAGCAGAGCAATTTAGAAAGACATTCGAAGCAGCAGCAGCATCTATGCCAGAAATCAAGCCTCATATCAGCAAAGCTCAGGACGATTTGAACCCTTTGCGAGTATTGAGACTATTCCAGCGCATCTCACCTGAAGATTGTGAACTGTTGGGATTAAGTGAGGAGCACGGCAGACCAGAGTGGTATATTTGGCAGTACCTTCCTATCCCTCCCTCGTGTGTCCGTCCCTCCGTTCTGCAAGACGACAACAGCAGTAACGAAGACGATTTGACAGCCAAACTTACTGAAATCATCTTCACCAATGCCATTATTCGTGCTGGTCTGGAAAGAGGTGTTACAGTCATGAATCTGATGGAACAATGGGAGTTTTTGCAACTAGCAGCAGCCCTGTACATCAACAGTGAATTGCCTGGTGTGCCCAACGCCAACTCTGGTAAACCCAGCCGTGGTCTCTGCCAACGTTTGAAGGGTAAACAAGGTCGTTTCAGAGGTAACTTGTCTGGTAAACGTGTGGATTTCTCGGGCCGTACTGTTATTTCGCCTGATCCCAATATGCGTATCGATCAAGTCGCTGTGCCTGAACGTGTTGCCAAAGTGCTTACTTTTCCCGAACGAGTTAACAGACACAATATCCACAAATTGCGCCAAAATGTTATCAATGGTCCATTCGTGCATCCAGGTGCTAATTTCGTGCAAGGCTCCAATGGCTTCAAGAGGTTTCTCAAGTTTGGTAATCGACAAGAGATTGCTGCTGATTTGCAAATTGGTGATCTAGTCGAGCGTCATTTATCAGACAATGATGTCGTCCTGTTTAACCGTCAGCCCTCACTTCACAGATTGTCCATCATGGCCCATTTTGCTAAAGTCATGCCCTGGAGAACCTTCCGTTTCAACGAATGTGTTTGCTCGCCTTACAATGCCGATTTTGATGGTGATGAAATGAACATGCACTTGCCTCAAACGCAAGAAGCGAAGGCCGAAGCTATTGAGTTGATGGGTGTCAAGAACAACTTGGTCACACCTCGAAACGGTGAACCATTAATTGCAGCTACTCAAGATTTCATTACAGCATCCTACCTGTTATCTCATAAGGATACCTTCTATACCCGCGGTGAATTCACTCAAGCTTGTACCATGATGGGAGACGGTGAGATGAAGATTGACCTGCCTCCTCCAGTGATTTGGAAACCTCAACGTTTGTGGACTGGTAAGCAGGTGTTCAATGTCCTCTTTAGACCCAACAAGGAGAGCAAGGTCTTGTTGAACGTGGAAGCCAAGAACAAGTCTTTTATCAAGGAAGAAGGTCGTCTGCCTGACATGTGTCCCAACGATGGCTGGCTTGTGGTGCAAAACAGTGAGATCATGTGTGGTCTTGTGGACAAGGCTGTGGTTGGTGATGGTAACAAGAACTCAGTCTTTTATGTCATTTTGCGTGATTATGGACCTATTGAAGCTGCGAAATGTATGAATCGTTTGGCTAAGCTCTGTGCCAGATGGCTCGCAAACCGTGGTTTCTCTATCGGTATCAGTGATGTAACTCCTGGTGAACGTTTGAGCAAGATTAAGCTTCAGCAAGTAACAGCTGCCTATGCCAAGTGTGATGATATTATCAAAGATTACAACAATGGTCAACTGGAGAATATGGCTGGTTGTAACGAAGAAGAGACCATGGAGTCAATGGTATCTGGTATTTTGTCCGATGTGCGTGGTAACCTGGGTAAGGTCTGTATGGATGAATTGAACATGTACAATTCTCCCAGTATCATGGCCCGTTGTGGTTCAAAGGGTTCTCAAATCAATGTGTCTCAAATGGTTGCTTGTGTCGGTCAACAAATTATCAGTGGTAGTCGTATTCCTAACGGCTTCCAGGATCGTTCCTTGCCTCATTTCTTGAAGCACTCCAAGAGTCCTCCAGCCAAGGGTTTCGTCAGAAACAGTTTCTACACAGGCCTTAGTCCTACTGAATTTTTGTTCCACGCTATTTCAGGTCGTGAAGGTTTGGTCGATACTGCTGTCAAGACTGCAGAAACTGGTTATATGGCTAGACGTTTGATGAAGGCCTTCGAAGATTTAGTGACTCATTACGATCTCTCTGTGCGTAACTCTGAAGGTGCTATGCTCCAATTCTGTTATGGTGCTGATGGCTTGGATCCTATGACCATTGAAGGTGATGGTATTCCTGTTGAATTTGCTCGTAACTTGCGCCACGTCAAGGAAATCACACCTCCCAAGCAAGACAGAGGCCTCTTGCCCTGGGAAATCAATTTCTTTGCCGAGAAGGAAACTCAAAAGGAGATCTGGCAAAAGAACTGCATGCCTACATTTATTGAAATGGTGCTCAACTTTGTCAATGATAAGATGGCTGGTAAATTGGCCAAGATTAGAAGGGCCCATGGCTTGCAATCTGGTTTGGCCATGCCTGATGAAGATTACATGGATATGGACATTGATGAAGACGAAGATGAGGTTGTGAAGAATGTGGTGCGTAATCTGTTTGTCGTTACTGAACGCCAATTGCGCGATTACCTTGGTGTCTGTCTCTCTAAATACCTCAAAGCAAAGATCGAACCTGGTACTGCTGTGGGTGCTATTGGTGCTCAATCCATTGGTGAACCTGGTACTCAAATGACATTGAAGACTTTCCATTTTGCTGGTGTTGCTAGTATGAATATTACTCTTGGTGTGCCTCGTATCAAGGAAATTATTAATGCTGCTAAGGTGATCTCCACCCCCATTATCAAGTGTGAGCTCCACTCCAACAGGGATGTCAGAGCTGCTCGTGTTGTAAAGGGGCGTCTGGAAAAGACAACGCTTGGTGATGTGGCCATGTATATGGATGAAGTTTATGAACCCAATGAAGCCTATATTTTGCTGCGTATCGATTTAGATGCTATCAACAGATTACAATTGGAGACTAACCTTCATCAAATTGCTCATGCTATTAAAACTGCGCCCAAGTTAAAGATGGGTCAATTGGTAAGTACATACTTGTAGAGAGAGAGAGAGAGAGAGGCAATTGATTAACACCGATTTACATAGGATGTTCAAACAAGCAGGCCTGACATTATTCGTGTCTACGTTCATGCTAAACAAGATGAATCTATGTACTATAGTTTGAAGGCCTTGAAGCGTGTGTTGTCTAATGTCGTTATCACTGGTTTGCCGTCTGTTGTTCGTGCCGTTATCAGTGAAAAAGAAGGTGGCAAGGGTGCCAAGCAACTGTTGGTTGAAGGTTACGGTTTGCTTGAAGTCATGACAACTGATGGTATTATTGGTAAAGACACTACATCCAATCACATTATGGAAGTTGCTCAAGTATTGGGTATCGAAGCTGCAAGGTAAGACAACACTATATCTTCCTCAATATCTCCATTGTATTCATTCGTTTCTCTGTATAGAAACACCATTATCAATGAAATTCAAATGACAATGTCCTCTCACGGTATGACCATTGATCATCGCCACGTTTTCTTATTAGGTGATATCATGACGAGTAAGGGTGAAGTGCTTGGTATCACTCGTTTCGGTATCTCCAAGATGAAGGACAGTGTACTCAGTATTGCATCCTTTGAAAAGACAACCGATCACTTGTTTGAAGCTGCTTTATATTCCAAGAAGGATGGTATTGTGGGTGTTTCTGAACAAATTATTATGGGTATCCCCATGTCCATTGGTACTGGTTTATTCAAATTGATCCATAAATCAATGAAAAACAACATTTCTTCCCCTAGACCTCTTTTATTTGATCTTTAAAAGATCACCTTCATGCAACACTTTTCAAAAATATATAATTACATGTATAAAATTCTATTTCAATAAATTCTTCATTTACAACAACAAAAGCGAATCAAAATGACCTGTATGGACATATCCTGTATCATCTTATTCAGACAATTGAAGAATTATCATGTTGAAGCGTCTTCATTTCTGCTGTCAACACGAGCTACAGCATCCAGGGTGACAGAAGCACAGCTATCCACTTCAAATCATGCAGACGCTGGAGATCCACTCGATCTACGTACACTACAAACCAGAGTTTAGCAAAAATATATCGTCGCCTGCAGGATTTGAACCTGCGCACGCAGAGCGTATATGATTTCTAGTCATACTCCTTAACCACTCGGACAAAGCGACTTGATATGATTGATAAATATCAAGCTCTCTATAATGATTACCTTGGTAGTTGGTAATCAAGATATAAGTATTGTTGTGTGGAAAGGAAGACTGTAAGAACTATCCCAATAATTATGAGAGATGAATTTAAGGGTTCTTTAGGTTTGTTCGTACTAGATTGGCACTAGTAACTAAACTCCAGATTAGAATAAGAAGAAAAAAATGGATGATGTTTATTAAGATGCAATTCAAAATACTATTTATATATGTCATTGTTCTATTGTTATTCTCCTGTCAGGCTCAATTCAGATCCGAATGTCAGTGCCCTGATCAAATGTAACCCCAAATTGGATTGCCTTCAATTTAACGTCAATTTCATGTACCCGCGTTCTTGAGTCGATCCTATCGTTTAAAATAGTAACACTCCAATTCCATTGTTGTAATTCCACTTGAATCTTGCATCGATTCGACATTAATTGGTTTGCATCTATCCTGAGTCAAAGTCCAGAGTCAAATCCACATTTCGAAATAGTAATGCTTGGCTATTAGCGCGCAATCTCATTTAGATCCCTGACTAATTCATCGATTCAACATTATCGGCTCTAAATACTGATTAGATTTCGGCTAAACTTGACAAGAAGCACCACGATCAAACGAATATGTAACAACAACAAAATAGAAGCGACACCAATTGAGTAAGCACCAACATTGATTAGCAATACACCAAATAGAGACCACATCGACTAGAATAACAGTATCAACGCACCATCAAGAGATAACATACAGTTTTACAACAATTATATGAGTGTGTCAATGCACCAGAACACCACACCAACGAGGAGTAACCCTTCAAGTAAGACATAGTAGATAAGTTAGAGAATTATACCTTGAATCCACCACATTGCGCCTTTTCCATAAACGGTATATTGCCTTTTTAGGAAATCGAGATAGAGCCAAGTAACCAAGAGAAAGATACACACGTATCATGATTTTTGTCAAATGCTAATATATAGAGGTAGTATATGCAATCTGAGATCTGAGATATAAATTGAAGTAGATATAGAGAGTGTGCAGGAAGATGTTATAGCCTTTTAGTTGAATGGATAAAAAGGTGCTTTATTAATATTAGATTTGAACATTGATTTTATCCAATATAGTTTGTGTAATGTTGTGCGCTATCCAGGTTAATCGCTGTTTAATGTTCCTGGTAGCTGGCGCTCTAGGTTTAAACCTGCGCTTCTTATTCTTGTTTGTGTTTAGTCTGTCAATGATATCCTGCAGATCTAAATCACTGTCAGAATACCCTTCAACCCTGACAGATTTTGATACGTGTGTATCTTTCTCTTGGTTACTTGGCTCTATCTCGATTTCCTAAAAAGGCAATATACCGTATATGGGAAAGACGCAAGGTGGTGTGTTAAGCACAAAGAATAAAAGGATTATTATTTGTAGCTTATAAGAAATGTTCGATATTATAAAAACAAGAAAAGACTTATTTGAATAAGATCAGACACAAAAACTAAAGATTTATTGATGAAGACAAGAGTTATTCTATTTATACTAAGTTCTGAATGCCAAAGTAGCAATTTATCTTGTACAACGCTTATCACATCTGGTGAACCTCAGTATTTAGATAGCTGAGATGCACTTCACTTATCATAGCTTGTCCATGTTGTTGCACAACACAGACATATCTACCCATCAAGAATACCTTAATCTTTATAGACAGTTGTAGCCCTTCTGGCACAACACCGTTACCGCGCCCTCTCAACAAATGGTGGAAAAGCTGGGCGTGCTCACAGACAAGAATACCATCAACTCACAGTTGAGCACAGAACACAGAAAATAAATAGGTAAAGCCTAGCAAACATGACAATCGAAGAGTCTGGCACTGGCCAGTCTGATGCCCCTCTGTCTACCTCTTCTTCGAATACTTCTTCTGTCTTCTCCGCAGAAATGTCAATTCCAAATCAACAAGTTGTCATTGTCACAGGTGAAAGCAATGTGAAACCTGCTCCCAAGTTCCATGGCTCTGGATTCTCAGTGGAGGAGGATCCCCTTCAATTCCTGGAAGATTTCAAAGAGGCAGCTTCTTGGAATAACTAGACGAATGGTATTAGATTGAAGGAGCTATTTAGGCGATGTTTGCAAGGTTTTGCTCGTGGATAGTTTGACGCTGATGTTAAGAGTCAGGCTGCTGGTTATAAAACAGGAAGCTTTCCTTTTGATTCTGAGGACAGATATCAGGAATCCGTTGTATCCAAGTTCAAGGCTAGATTTGTTACTCCTTTCTGGTTTGCTAGGTATGAGGACCTATACGACAATAGACGCCAAGGCATTTCAGAAAGCTCGGTGCAGTATATTCTATGCAAGACGGCATTATATCACAAGGCAAATGCTAAGGGAACGTTGGAAACGTCTAAAAAGGAAACAGTCCAGAATCTCCGAAAAGGGATATTGCCACATCTTCAAAGGAAGTGTTTCAAATAAGAATTTAGTTCTTACACGCCAAAAGCCCATCAAGAGCTGAACACGATTGAGAAGTTGCCGACCCTGTTAGAATGGGTAGAATTTTCTCAAGACCTTACTCCTGTCGCAGCTCCCACGTCTCTGGTCACTCCTGCAAAGGCCGTCGCTGTGGTGAACACTGTCCAAGGAAACCCTGGCCTGCATCTTTTTGATTTATCACTCTATTTGCAGATAGCGAAACAGCAAAGAGAGAATGTTCGGATGTTTGATCGGTTTGATCAAAAATGGATCTTACATCTCGGATTAAGTTGGATTGGAATATATGTAATAGGCTATATAGCATTAAATGAATTAAAGCCATATTAATAAATGTTATCCACTTGATTCTCTCTACAATCATCATTATCGCATTTACATTCACAGTAACACAGATATGACAACAGACCAAATCAAGTGTAACTGATATCAACAATGTAAAAATAAGAAGGAAAGATAAGTTGTTTATTTTCAATGTCTTGGATGGGCTATTTATATTATATTTAGAAAGTTGGAAAGGATAGAATTTGTTTAGATTGGCACTGATATATATTGTTTGTGGTTGTAAATATCTTTTAGAGGGATGGAATGTGTAGGGTGGTGAATTGAAAAAAGAGGAATGTTGAATTGCAGCTAGTCTTGGATTATGGTGTACTGAAAGTGCATGCTTCTATTGTAGGGCGAGGAGGTGAATTCAAATTGCGAGCTGTCAACAAGACTCGTCCATCAACTTGACCATGATCACCTCCTCAAACCTATCAATAGAAGCAATACTTTCAGTAACCGACATGACTCAAGACTAACCTTCAGTAACAGGAAATAAAAAGCTATTTTTTTTACCGTGTCAATAGATAATAAGTTGTCCAACAGCTCTGTATATTTGGAGTCAAACGCTTTTGAAAAACTTGAAAACGAACTACGTGTTAGATAATATATAAATCCGTTTGAATCCATTTTCAACCACGTTCAAGTAGCAAATAATCGAATAACTCCTTCTGATATTTTATTCGGCAACAGCTCCTCATCTCCATTTCTGTGACGACTACATACCATATACAGCATAGAGATACTACATAACACACTGAATCCAACCAGTTATACTTTCCCCCAAATCAATTCCGTATAAACACATCCTCTATTATTATATTAGTTGCATAGACATATTAACTTCTGCGAATGGAAGGACTCAGCCCATAAGTTAACAGACACTGGAAATGCTATCTTTAGGCGGGAGAATATACATACTTTAAATTGGAAAAATTATTAATCTTGAATAAAGCAAGCTACAGTTGTCTAGTCTTGACAACAAGGTTTTTCAACATGTCAGGTATCCATTGATAACTTAAAACCAGCAAGTTAATATGGCCCTTTTCGCACGCTCCGATTTTAAAAACGTTTTCCCAAATTCATAGATACGAGGTATACACATGCGGAAGCTTAACGGAGATTCAATTTCTATTGTTCTGAATGATGATCCATAGGATTCTGAAATCTATTGACCTTAAAATTACGCGTTTCTTGATAGTAACCACCCCTTCAAACTTATATGAAACTTGTAGAGAATTGCAAGAAGAATACAATGGGTATTTATTTCAAGTCTCTAGTGTACATTGTTCACTTGATATTTAATGAGATACATTTTGCCATTTTTTTACTGTTTTCTAAGAATTAATCAGTATCTGTCATCAAAACATTCTATTAAGCATTACTAAACATTGTAAACCAAAAAATTTCCTATCGAATGAGCTATTGCTTGAAGCTCTGGCATGACTCTATCATGAGATATTGAAAATCTTGTCCTGATCAAAAAATCATTACCAGATTTTTTGCTTGCTATCACAGGCAGATTTTGAAGAAAAATCCATGATTTTGCATGATACTCTTTTTTGACCATATCTCGACAAATACTCACTGGATTCGCACAAAGCAAAGACCATTCGATAGCTCTACGTTATATCCATTATAATATAAAAATCTTAAGTACCAGATGTACGTTCCTTTCATAAATTTGCTCAAAATCATATATTTTATGAGCTACAAGCAGGGGATATTCAACTTTTTTTATTTATTTATCTATAATAACCATACCATTGTATAGAAGATTGAAGAAGAAACAGACGCTAATAAGCTTGAACCTTTCGTTCACTTAGTAAAATCCAGAGGTATGGCCCTTTGAAAATCGGTCATTTAGAACATTTTCCGTCATTACTCATTCACATTACCATCAATAACCCCACATCAAACATGCCCTACTCAATCAAAGTATCCTCTACAACTCTTACTACACATACATTCCACATTCATATAGTAATTTAAAAAGTTTTACTAGCAGCATCTATTCAAAATAAACTATTTTCTAAATCCATCCGCCCTTTTCTCAACAACCAGACTACCTACGCGAATTTCAATTGCACCATCATTTAGAGAGCGGGTGTTCAAATTGACCAAAATTCTCCGAAATCGGAGACCGAAAATTAGTCTCGGACTTAGAAGTGCCAGTGAGCTGTGTCAATTGGCAGGGAAAAACTATGCGTGTATTAGAAATTCAGTTACAATTTATAGTGTAGGAATGTAATGAAGCTTGATATGACTGATGGCTCTCCAGGAACGTGATTTGTAACGTAACTTATATATCTATCTGATGTCCGGATCTAGGTGCATCATTGCTAATATATGAAGTGTTTCAATCTTCTTGATGACTCGTAAAACGAAACCAGGAAGATCGATCCGTTTAACTTCACGTGCATTTTTCTCTACGCAAGTCTGATGATGATTGATTTACAATGGAGTTTTTATTGTATGAGAGAAATGTAAGAGTCATATGATGGTAGGTAAGCTACATGCTAGTTGATATTACATGTAATCCTGCTCACAGTTTTGCGAAGGTACTCAGTATGTAATTTGCATTATAGGATCCTGCAACTTTATTATACAAAGACTTCAAAACATTTGATTAATCTTGATGGTCAGCCACAGGCATCAGTTTGTCAAATATTCTCTTATAATGTGGATGTAGAGCAGCCTTGTAATTTGGATAACAGCTTAATTCCATGTTGAAGTCTAGGAAATATTCGATTAGATAAAGTCTCCTTTGACGCATTAAGCGGATCGTCGTTACCAAAGTTGTTATTTGGGTCGCATGAGCATCTTATTCGAAATGCATCGCCCACTGGGCAATGCGTATAGGATGTATGCCGATAGCCTATATCATTAAAAAAATGAAATTCGCTCTTTTTCAACAGTATTGCCGCAGCGATCGAATGGACTGGTGCATCGCCCCATCTGTTGCAGTGTACGAGCGTTATTTATAGTTGCGTGATGTAGGTGTATAATAAGACACATACCTCTCGTAAAAAAACCCTCCAGATCTATCGAGATACTCAAACAGCTTCAAGTATGCTTCAGACCGCCATAAAGACAGATCACCAACCTCAAAGTTCGACCAGAAATGGCAGGTGTTGTAAGATTGACCATCGTCGTTGGTGACAAAGTTGATTAGGGATTCGTTTCGAGAGGGTAGTTGCTTGGCAATATCAGGGTATTCGTCTAGAAAGCTCATTACTGTTTTCCATAAAGTAGGTACTGTTTCAATGTGCTCTTTGTAGGCAATAGTGAAGCCTGAAATCCAGTTAATACTTGTACAGAACAACATCTGATGAACATTACCGTATTTTTTCTTATTGTCTCTCATGAACCTAAACACATCGTAATCAATTTGGCAGTAGTAGTCAACGTAGGGTTCTAATCTCCAATAGTAATCAAACTCGTCCAGCAATGGATGTCTGAAAAAGAATCCACTTTGAAATCTGATTACAAAAAACGGTGTCAGATGCGCATTGTACTTTATGCTGTAACACAAACCTGCACATATGTCTATAAGATTCGCTCGATGCATAAGGTATTCCAAGCTCTGTCATCGATTTTCGACATTCTGCAGCATATTCTTGATCAATGAAATCAGGATATCCCCACATGGTGGAATTCAACAGGCCAAATAAGACACGGGCTTTGGTCAAGCTTGCAACTGTTGATTTGAAATGATTTGTGAATGGTTCATCATTCAAAAACACGTAGGGATAATCGAATTTGGAATTGAACGTATCTTCAATCTGTGCCATAGTTGAAGCGATGCCATCTAGTTCACTATTACGGATGAGGATTACATAGCAACCTTTGACTTTATGTGCATGTCGATGCAGTGACAATGCAGTCGACTCGGTAGCTGTTTGATGTGTACTCTTGGCCAGTGGTTTATTGCTGCTGAAAGTGGTTATTGCTGCAACAAACAATAGGACTACGCAGCCTATTATGATGGAAAATATTTGCTTTCTAATTGCTAATCGCATCATAGCTGCATATTGTAAGAGAAAGAAAGCAAATTGTTGAGTAAAACTAAAAAATCTTGATAAAAGAGTCATCCTCCAGGTTTCATTTTTCTACCTAATTTAGCGTTAATGTCAAAGTGTGTGATCATCTCAAACTTAAAAGTTTTGCTTCAATGGAGATTGTATCAAGATCCATTGCAGATCAGTAGAGTAGTGGCAATCAACTATATGCCGATTGATTTGATTATGCCTCTAAATTCACCTTTGGAAGTTCATAAACTGTCTCTGCTGCGATTCGCTACTAGACAGTAATCATCAGATCAGACATGCCCCTCTTAAAAATTGACTCAATTTCATATAAAACATGAAATTCAGTGGTAAACCTCATGGCATTTTCAATGGTGGTTGTATCTGGTGAGACATTTCAAAGACAATGAACGTCTCATACGTGTCTTATATGAAGCAATGTCAAGAGGAAGCACGAGTTCAATGATAAATATCATTGCCCATTTGAGGCACCGCGTACAAATTTTTTCGACCGCATTGTAATTTAGTGGGTTCGCCTGCAATTTCCATATTCAATTTATATTTCAAACGTTTTCATTCCCTTTTTTTTTTTTTTTTTTACAGTCTGTTCAAAGTAGGTTGTAGAATATGTCACAAACACATCGACAACAGCAGTGGGGCGTTACAGCTCCTATATCTCTTGACTTGCCAACAGAACACGAGATAAAACTGACTGAAGATCTCGTAAAGACTCTGCACAATTATGGGCTATTTGAGAGTGAAAAAGAGGCTCAAAAAAGGTAAGAAAGAAATGAGGATATCGATCTCTTCATGACAAAGCTTCAGTTGCTAAGCGTACCATGTATACATAGGATAACTGTGTTGAACAAGCTGAATTTCATGGTCAAAGACTTTGTCTACCGCGTTGGCATCAAGCAAGGATTATTAGAACAACAAGCAAAGAGTGCCGGAGGAAAGATATTCACTTTTGGTAGTTATAAATTGGGTGTACATAATACGGGTATTCATCAAAATCATAATCGCAAGCCAGACAATGTAGTTAACCATCTCAATTAGGGGCTGATATTGATACCTTGTGCGTGGTCCCTAAACATGTCGAGCGAGAACACTTTTTCACCATCATGTACACCATGCTCAGCGAACGACCTGAAGTGACCGAATTAACAGTAAGTTTGGATGCTCCAATTGCCAATTGAAGAAAGAGACTCTTGCTCACTCCAATTGTCTAGTCTGTAGTCGATGCGTATGTGCCAGTCATCAAAATGCGCTTTTCTGGGATTCCTGTAAGTAAACTGTTGAATCAATCACACAAGTGTGCATGATGGCTCATGCTCTACATGATTGAATAGATTGATTTTGTCTGTGCAAGATTATCCATTGCAGCTGTGCCCGATGATCTCGACTTGTCTGACAATAGTTTGCTTTTGGGATTGGATGAACGATGCATTCGTAGCTTGAACGGCTCTCGTGTGACAGATGAGATTCTACGACTTGTGCCTAGCGTACCAGTGTTTCGACTTGCATTACGAACGATCAAACTGTGGGCAAAGAAGAGAGCAATCTATTCAAACATCATGGGATTTTTGGGCGGTGTTGCTTGGGCCATGTTAGTCGCTAGAGTGTGTCAAATGTACCCAAATGCCTGCGCTGCTTCGATCGTCAGTAGATTTTTTCGTATAATGTATCAATGGGGATGGCCACAACCAATATTACTGAAACCAATGGAGGAGGGGCCGCTTCCAGCCAGACAATGGAACCCTAATGTAAGTGTGCATAGTCTGAAATGCCATTGTGTCCAAGTTAATCACTGTAGTGCAGTTATTTCCAGCTGACAAAAGCCATCGCATGCCCATCATCACACCAGCTTATCCATCAATGTGCGCAACACACAACGTTACGGACTCGACTCGGGACATCATGCTTCACGAATTTTGCAGAACTGGAGAAATAGCAGATAAAATTATGATTGGTACAGGAAAATGGCAGGATCTATTTGAAGAGAGCGATTTTTTCCAAATCTACAACCACTATCTACAAATTGTCGTCAGTTCTTATTCTCCACAAATTCGCTTGCAATGGTCTGGACTAGTGGAATCTCGATTGCGTCAATTAGTGTCGAAATTGGAATTAGTTGATCTACTACAAATTGCCCACCCTTACATCAAAGGAATCGAAAAGGTGCACTATTGTTTTCCCGGAAAAGAAAGCTGGGATGCGGCTCATGGGAATTTCAACATTGCCGAAAGAACATTTACAGTTGATAGTTCTATGAGCGAGCAGGATCACATCAAATCAATTCCGTTTTTAACAGCTGAAGAAAAGGAATCACTCGTCCCGATTTATACCACAACTTTTTACATTGGATTGAAAGTGGAGCCTATCACAGATGAATCTCCAGGCCCTCGCAAACTGAATCTTGTTTGGCCTACATCCGAATTTCTCAAATCAGCAAAAATGTGGGACAAATATGACCAAAAGACGATGGGAATTACGATAAAGAATTTGAAGGGATCAATGTTACCTGACGAATTGGGCGGTGAGAGCAGGCAGTTGAAAAGACTACAGGCAGCAAGCAAAATGCAGCAACAGCAACACTCATCACGAACTTCACCAGTGCCACAAATAGATCCACCTTCCAATTTGGTTAATAACCAGTAGATCAGCCAAATTAAAGATGAAAGAAAAAAATATCAGGGGAGCAGGTATCCTTCTTTCCATGTTTTATATAGTTCAAAAGTCAACTTTTTGCTGCATTTTTCAAGCTTAGAGCAGTAATATTCACATCATATCAAACAATCTACAAATACCTTTTTTTTTTTTTTTTTTTTTTTTTTTTTTTTTCCCTCAAACTCTAACATCTTTACATTCCTTTACCCTTGCTTCTTTTTTCTATTGTATATATACATATATTAATTCGCTATAATATGTTTCTTTATTAATATTAAATATCTATCTGTGAATAACATTGTCATATTATTACTTGCAGATCATCAACGAGATGCAGGCCAAATGAGCTGTCATTTCATTGTTAATCACATGTATAAACAGATAATTGGAGTCGAATCACATAACTTTTGTATTGGCCTTTAGAGTATACTTTACTCTATACACTTTTGCTCGACAATTGTCATGAACCATCTTCTGGAAACGAGTTCTTTAGCAATATCAGATATCCGGAGTTGGAATCTATATGATTCAGAAACCAACATTCAGGAACAATTGTGATTGTTCATTAACTGATTTCCACTCTAGACCTCTATCAAGAAGCCTCCATGTTAATAAACGCTTTTCAAGAACGGCCCTGCATCTCTATCAAACTAGCAAGCTGTTTGTGAGTAGATTAATTCTGTGATGAGCAATCACTACAACATCTATAAGCCAAATGACACTTTTTTGCTTGGCAAACATCATGTATGAGAAGTAGAAATGTGTCTTGGCTGCAAATGTTGGTTTTCGCGTTATTGTAGCGGCATTGCTGGAATAAGACCATTTCTCCGTTTGAAGTCCATGTTTAACTCAAAGCTGGATGCATCTTGATATGACTTAGGCTTCAGATATGAAAGAGATGGGAATAGCATCGCTTTCAGTAGAATATGGCAAACGAAATCAAGTAGTGTGTCAGTTTTGCATCTTGATTACTGCATCGTAGTACAAGAAATGCCTACCTGAGAACATCTTGTACTTAAATCAGAGTTAGCACTTGCGCTTGATTGATACCCAGTTACTAATTTTAACCTTTTTGTAAATTGCATGCCCTTCCTATTTTGAATTTATTTTTCTTTCTTCCTTTTCTTTCTCGCTTTCTTTTTTTTTTTTTTGCAAGCACAATACCAGCCATTAGCCGTAGATTATCCATAGTATCCAAATGGTATTGAATACTCAGTTGTCAGCTCTTTTGGTAGACTGGACAACTGCGCTTGTGAATAATGACATTGCTCAGGTACAAAAGTATCTCACCATGGAACCCGAATTACTATGGACTCCTATACCCCAGGCACTGGATAACTTTGATCATTTGGAACAAAGGCTGGTCGAATCAAACAAGCTGGGATCTACATTTCAGCCTGTAAGTGCCATCCATTTCACATGTCTCTATATGAATCAAGAAGACAGATTCAGATTATTAGCTTATTTAATTGAGGTAAGACAAGAAGAGCTGTATCGAAAAAAAACATACATCAACTGAAAACAAATAGCAATCCTCATTACATGATCTTGATACTCGTTTTTGGGGTGAGTGCAACAATTCGACCCTACATTTAGCTTGTTTCTTGGAAAACACTCAAGTTGCTCGGCTTTTGATGGATAAAGGAGTATCTGCCACTCCTTCCAATGATCTCGGTTATGTGCCAAGCGATATCACCTCGTCAGATACCATTTTACAATACCTCAGACAACAAAAGCAGCAGCAATTGTCTCGTAATCGCTCCGTTCGACCCAATTACAGCACCCCTGACAGATTCAAATTATTAAGAGAACTGGCAGAGGAGACAACAAATACAGCAGGAGAGGATCAGAAAAAACTAGAAATCAGTCTTGACCGCCAAAAGTCTGATGGCAGGTACTTTCGCAAGGGCAGAGTCAAGGAGACACAGCAAAAAGTATTGACAGAGGAGGAAGCTGAACTGGAGAAGCAGCGATTAAAGAGGCAGATGGAGGTTGCTCAACTTGTTAAGAAATCAGCTGTCAAGAACAACCCCTTGTTTATAAAGTTGGAAAAGAAAGCATATACATTGCCCAGTCCACCCAGCAAGTCGGCAGCCTCAGCGGTAGACAGCACTACAACCGCTGGTGCTATGGAGAATAAACAAGATCATCCACCAGAGCACCTTGCGGAGACCATTTCCGAGTCCAAGAGGAATTCCAGAGTCATCTCATCACTCAAGGTCAATTCCTATGTTTCGTCTAGTATATTTGTCCAGGCAGATGAAGATACGACCGAACCAAAATCTCCTCCTGCAATTGTCACCATGATTGATTCCTACCAAACGAGCGACGAGCAAGACGACAACAAAGCTTGTACCACTTCAACGTTGAGTGTTAATGAAACACAAACGCAAATATTCAGCACGGAGCCTGATGAATTATTGGATGATGGGCAATCTTCTCTGCCTGTTGAACAGCCTAAAATGGCAAGTGTTCTGAACCAAGAAACATCAGTAACCACAGCAACACGCAGCACAGACACAGAGGAAGAGGGAGAATCAACGGATGATGATGGCGACGATGAATCAGACGGGGAAGACTACTTTGACTCTAATACCAACAACAATGGCAATATTGTCAATTCTTCCTCCTCACTATCAAAAATCAACTACTCACCAGCAGCTGCAGACAAGAAGATTGTATACCCTGACATTCGCACCTACTACGAACATACTAAAACCGTCAAAAATGCGCCTCAACAAAACCAGCCATGTGAAAGAGACGAAGAGACAGAGGATTCTGACCAAGATGATGAGGATGATGATGACGAGGTGGAAGAGGAGGAGGAAGAGATTGTGCCTGTTCAATTTGCTACTCGGCTAGCATCACCCATCTACAAATCAGTCAAGATTCTCAATGAAGACAGACGTATTTCACCTACCTTGGACAAGGCCCATGAGACACTCTCCTTTCTGCCGCCTGAAAAACAAGTGGAGGATGTGATGGAGCAAATACAAACTTCCGCCGCCAGCAATAAAGGAGCAACATCTGTGGAACCATCACTACCAGTGCGACCCCAACGCTCTGATTTACGAAGAAGCAGCAGCACGACCAGTAACATGGGTGGCAATGCGATTGCTGCTCTCAAGCAACTGGAGAAACAAGATTCCAAAGAGATGAAGAGAATGAGTGGAAGTCAAAAAGCCGCTTGGACCATGAGCATGAGTTCCTGGGCTGCTATTCTGGACCGCGAATTCAATTTGGAAGAGTTGGATCAAGAAAAAAAGTTGAAGGAAATGCAGCGATTACACCAAGCATCCAACAAAACACAAGAACAAGTGCCACCCACACCAGACTATCTTGGAAGCGATAAAGTGGAATTATCAGATCAAGATGTGGATGCCATGCTGCGTCAGGGTTCGATGCCCAACAGCCGTACCAGCCTGGACAAGACGTTAGCAACAGACAGCACGCTCTCCCTATCATTGAACTTTACAGACTTTGAAACGCCTGTTATACCTAAAGTGGCTGTTCAAAAATCCATTTCCACCAACACATCAGCACCACAAATTGGCGAAATACCCAGGCTGAATGCATCAAGATCAGTGCGTCGAAAGCCACTTGCGTCTTCCTTGTCTGAATCCAATATCCAGCAACCACAACAGCAAAGAGTCAAGCAGTACAACATCACACTCAACAAGATGCCATTCAAAAAGCCTGGCCACGGTAAGCTGTATCTCCATGTCAACGGTATTCAAGACATTCTACTGCCTTTGCCAAAAGACCGCGCCTATGTCCGTTGCGTAGTCAGCGATGGTCGCTTTGAATACATGTCTCGGTATGAAATCCTGTCGCAAAACATCAACTTTGACTATGAGTGTGTGATTGATACACACCCAGACATGATCATCACCATCTCACTGCACGTGCGCCCTGATTATGTCATGAAGTCTCGTACACCCTTTTCTCGGTTATTCTCCAAGAAGAAAAAGAAGGAGTGCTTATCGGGCTATGTGAATAAGGAGGATGGTGCCATTGGGCAGGCTCGATTTGCTCTAGCTCACATGTTGCCTGTGTGCCAACACAACTCTTATTTGGCCGGCTTTCATTGCTTCAATGCTTGGTACTCGAGATCCTTCAAGGAGCGTCATAGACAAAAGAAGAAAAAGCGTGATCCTGATCAAGATGTCCTCAAGGTGGTGGGCAATTTCGACGTGGAAATGCTGTATTTACCAGTGGACGATTTCAACCAAAAGGTAGGTTTCTCATCAGATGGCGTATATAGGTACTTGATACTAAACCATATTGTTTGTGTAGCAGCCTTTTCCTCGTAACTTGCGTGAATGCGATGAAATCATCAAGCAGTTACATCAATCAGTGGAATCAACAACAAAAGCATCAACATCATCATCCCCATCCCCATCTGAGCGATACCATACTTTTTAACTAATAAAAATCATCCTCTCATTGTACCATCATTTTGTTGATTTATTTCTGCTGTTGGAAAGGATATCAAAATTCGTCGCCTTGATGAGCGAAAAAGTGTGTATATGCAATAACTAGAGAAATGTTTAGAGACACATGCCACTGCTTTTCCATGCTGAGATACCTACTTGTTCCATATACCAACACACCGCCTGCAATACTCATAATCATAGCAGGCACCGTAATCTACAAAACACACTTACTTAATGGTCATTTCTCATAGCATATAGTGGAGCTACTTACCACTTCAGCGTGAGCCAAGACAAATGGCAAGCCTAGATAACCATTAATCCCTCAACTTGAATCCCTTTTTTTTTTCTCTTGCACTTACAAAATCCTGTGACAATAAACATGCCAGTAATAAAATGTCCTGCATCAATAACACCACTACAGCCATGTTAACGGCACAGTTACATTGGATAGTCCACACACATACCTGTTATAATCTGACATGATATCGTCTTCTCCTGAGCATCTTCCGCATAGGGCATTAGGTAAGGGTGCTAATATATATGTAGCCACTGTATAAAAGAACGTGAGTATATCTCTCCTGTTGACTCCACTTTACTCCATCTTGTTTTACCAACTAACAAAGGCCACCAGTTACTAGAGAATAGGCATGTGAGTTGGCGATACGCCCTGGGAATATTATACTTACTAGTAGAGAGCACAGGACAAAATCACCAACAAAAAACCAATAGCCAAGACAAAAGCCAAAGCAATAATACTAACAAAAAATCTAAGAAACCAACATTTTCTGTCGAGAGATGTGTGTTTCTTACGCTATACAAGATGTGCTTTAGTTGGCTACACCAGCATAGGTTAGTAGGCAAAACTTACTTCTTAAACCTGCCATGATGTGTGTGTGTGTGTGTGTTATACTTGAGAAGGAACAAAAAAACTTGTTTCTATGAATGGAAAGAGAGTGGTGAATGTTGAAACAGCAGAATTAGGTGTAATGTGAAGGCAGATACACATTCAAACAACGCCGACGTCATGATTGCTTTGTCTCTTGTGTATCCATATAAATTTGCATATCATCATTTCATTTTCTTTCTTTCTTTCTTTCTTTCTCTCTTTTCTGCATTAATCACATCATGTCCTCCAAACAAGTGCCAGAACCATCAGCTCTTTACAAGTTTCTCGATTCAAAAAGCTGGAAGTTTTATGTGGCGGCAGTCGCTGGCATCACACTTGCTGGAACAGGAGCTTTTCTCCTTTCAAATCAGCAGCATTCAGGCATGAAGCAACGGTATCAAGGTAAATAGCATACATCCGTGTTGATCTATTGACTCATTTGTTTATTGCAGATGAGCTGGTACCGGATCTAACAGATGATATGTATGAAGCCATGTCCGAGAATGTCATTGGATTGCTGAGCGCTCAGGTAATCTAGTCTAATTGACATTTGCAGCATGCTGTGAAGGACTCAATTGTATACGTAGCAACGTCTAACAGCAGCTACATCCTTAAAAACCAGAGGCAATCAAGCATTCGCCGAGAAAAGATACCCACAAGCCATTCAACTGTACACCCAGGCGATCCTCTTTGTAGCAGATCCGGCTTTTTATTCCAACCGAGCAGCTTGTTATGCAAATTTAGGCCAAGTTGATCGGGTGATAGCAGATTGCAGTGAAGCGTTGCGGTTGAATCCTACCTACATTAAAGCATTACAAAGAAGAGCATTAGCGTACGAGCGTTTGGGTGATGCTGAAAATGCATTGTTTGGTATTTATAGCTATTTGATCCATCATTTCATTGATCCATCTTATTATTAAATGTATAGATTTCACCAGCCTCTCGATTCTTGAGGGCTTTACGAATAAATTTGCTCTGGAGCACACACACAAGCTTCTCAAGGCTATCTCGGAAGAAAAAGCAAGCAACATCATCAAGGTAATTTGCTACGCTTTTATCAATCACATGTCAACATATCAACAAGCAAAAGACAAGAGCTTTTAGACTACCTTCTCCTGTATATATAAACGCCTATTTCGATTCATTCCGTCCAGGTAGGTCGTACCTTGGTGTTTATAAAATACGGCAAATCAGTGCTCACAATGGAGGTAGATATACGCTGTAATGATCTACCCTATACGGTGGATGAAGACAGTGGTAATGCATATTATGTCAAAGCCAGGTCTGCATTGGCCCAGAAAAAGTACTATGATGCGCTGGACTACATCAAATTGGCCGTTGATTTAAAATGCTCAAATCAGGCAGCAGCACTCAACCTCAAAGGCACCCTGATCTTCCTGGAGGGTCAATCCGACGAAGCGCTGGATGCATTCAACAAGGCTCTTGAACTGGATCCAAACTACATTCAAGTCTATATCAAGAAATCCAACGTCTACATGGAAAAAGGCGATTTGACATTGGCATTATCGCAAATGAAAATTGCCAGCAATTTAAGCCCATTGGACCCTGACATCTTCTATCACTTGGGCCAAATACATTACATCAGTGGACATTACGGCCTAGCATTGAAAGATTACATGGAGAGCAGTCGCTTGGATCCAACATTTGTGTATGCGCATATTCAACTGGCCGTAGTCGAGCACAAATTAGGCAACCATTCAACAGCCGTGGACTTGTTTCAAAAGATTTCAACACAGTTTCCTACGCACGCCGAAGTTTTCAATTACTACGGAGAGGTTTTAATCGATCAAGGTAATATTCAAGGCGCCATTGACATGTTTAATAAGGCCATGGCACTGGATCCAAGCCATCCACTGCCGTTTATCAACAAAGCCATGATTTTATATCAACATTTGGACAAATCAGATGAGGCCATTCAATTATGCAAAAGTGCGCTTGATGGTAAGGCAAAAAAAAAAAAAAAAAAAAAAAAAAAAAAAAAAAAAAAAGAACCGAGATGAAGCATGACGACATTTGATTCACATTTTCATAGCGGATCCTGCTTGCGATGCTGCAGTGGCTTCTTTGGCTCAAATGCTGATTGAACAAGACCGACCTTCCGAAGCATTAGTGTACTACGAAAGGGCAATCCCTCTTGCCAGAACGCAGCCTGAGCTAGAGCATGCCATTAGCTACGTGGAAGCGACTAAAGCACAAATCAGGTAAAGCGTTTGGAGTGGATTCAAAGTCCATTTGATGCTAATTACGCCCATCATTCTAGATTTGCAAAGGAATATCCAAATGCAGCAGCTAAACTAAGGACATTAAAGTAGTCGTGAGGCGTCACAGACTGACTGAATCGATGGCTTATGCGAAATCAAGTGAAAAAAAAAAAAGGTTTTGGCATATAAATATAAAAGAGTTCGTGATTTACTATTCAAACTTCTTTTCTTTAATATCCAATAAATCCAATTAAAAAAAAATGTCTGCTGAAGATCTCTTGAACGATACTTTCAATGTCCTTGAAGAGGAAACCATGAAGGCTGTTGAGCAAGTTCAAGCTTACCAACGCAAACTCATGGATCCTATCTATCACAAACGTCGTGAATTGGTCAAGAAAATTCCTGGTTTCTGGGGTACAGCTGTAAAGTATTTCAAAACGTTATGAGCCAGATGTAGTAGTTTCTAACACATGTCTTTACAGATTGGAAACTCTCCCATGTTTGCCATCAATCCCTCTGACAATGACTTGGAGGCCTTGGATAACTTGACTGATTTCCATGTCGAATACGACCATGATAAGCCTGATTACCGCAAGGTGATTGCTGTAAGTAATTGATGACACTCTCTAATATACACCATATCATTAAACCGCATTTTCCTATTTAGACCTTTAAGAAGAACGGCGTCTTCAAGAACGAAACCTTGACCAAGGAAATTTCTGTTGATCCTGAGAACGGCGGTGCCACTATCAGCAAAACCACCATTGAATATCACGAGAATAAGGCTCCCAATAACAAGCGTAAGGCAAAGGATGAGGACGAAGATGAAGATGACTTTAACGTCTCCTTTGTTGACTGGTTTGGTGATGATGATGTCCGTACTGGTATCATCCTTGCTGACGATATCTTCCCCAGTGCCATCGAATATTATCAAGGTCCTGGCGATTCTGAAGATGATGAGGATGAGAATGGTGAAATTGATCTGGATGCCGAGTCTGATGAAGATGAGGAGGAGGAAGATGAGAAGCCCAAGTCCAAGAAGTCCAGAAAGTAAAAAAAAAAAACATGTATCATTCTCTACCGTTTATAGCCAAATAATAAATTAATCCAAAGAATATACTGTGTCTTTGAATCATCTTGATTATGATTGCACACACTGCCTTTACGCCCACGTCTTGGGTGCTTTTGCAGGCGCAACGTGTCGCATTTGCATTATATCTCTCTTTACGGATTGACTAAAATTTTGATTCTGAATTCATTTGGTGTTGATAACATAGAATTGACTTGCTGCAAAGTCTCGCAGCGGCTGCGTCTGTTGTATATTTCATCGACTGATCGTCCATTATATAAGCCATCACCAGCGTGCCATCCTCCTTTCACGTACTCCAAATTTACTCTATCAAAAGTCTAACGTCCTTGATTCTCAATGACAGTCGGGAAACATCAATCGTAAGGTTGATAGTCATTTCATTCAATAACCATTTATTGACTTGTGTTGATCCAAATAATAAAAAAGTAGTAAAAAAAAGCAAACTAATTTAAACCTTGAAACCACGAGAAGCACGCTTACCACGAGCACGCTCGAACTTGCGACCCTTGGAACGAACGAAGGGCTTCTTGTTCTTATGGGGACCCATACCGAAGTGCTTAACGGACTCACGAGAGTTCTATACATCACATTATTAATAACAATTTCCCCCATTGAAACACTAAACACATTACCTTGGCACCACGGACGAGGATGGTGTTGGCACCAGTAGGAGCACGGAGAGCCAATTGATCCAAGGTCAAAACCTCACCACCAGCCTTCAAGATACGGGCTTTGGCAGTCTTGGTGAAGTGAAGAGCAGCAACAGAGAGCTTGGGGAGGTCCAAGAGACGAGAGTCATCGGTGACGGAACCGACAACGACAACGGTCTTACCTTCCTTGTTGTTCTTGACAATGCGAGAAACAGTGACAGGAGGACGGTTGACACGAGACATAAAGAGACGCTTCAAGACAACCTTGTTAAAGTTGGCATCGGTACGACGAGCAAGGAAACGGTAGAGCTGTTGTGTATTGTGTTAAATGACTGATCAAACTATCCAACATCCAGCCAAAATTTACCTTAACCAACAAGGCCAAGTAGACATTGTCAGACTTGGGAGCTGTACGGTTACTGTTCTTGACGTGGTGTTTCTTTAAGTCAATACCCTAGATACATTTCAATGTCGTTAGTACCATGTCTTCAAATGGGCCACACACACACACACAGATACAGCTCGACATTAAAAATCATTCAAAATAATGATGGATCCATCCAGCAAAAACAAAATCCATCCATCCATTTCGAATCATCCAATGTCGAGTAGTGATGTTGGTGCTCTTTGTATGTTGATCATCTGGAGGGCAATCAATAGTTTACCATTGTAGTAGATGTTTTGACAGCTGAAGTAAAGAGGGATCTATCATTTCACTCCCCAAACCCGAGTGTATGAACTTGCCAGCACAGTGGAATCCAGCATCCATTTGCTGCCCACCCATTTTCCAATGCCCGGAGCCACTACACATCCCCCAAACTCAGGACATCTGATTCAACATTTCATATTTAGTTGCAAGAGTCACATTAAGCCTCTATTAAATTTATTCCTTTCATGTCTATAGTACCATTCATGTTGAATTCAACTTCATATACGCATGGAGCTATTCAATATAAGGACCTTTTGCGAGATTTCCAGGAGCACATGGAAAGACTGAAGCTCACAACTTTGCGTTTGCAGCAGGGCATTGAAGCTACCAGAACGCTAGCGATAAAGAATAATGAAGTGTTCCCTGAAATGGAAGAGAGAAGAAATGGCATGTATACACGACAGTCAGACAAACCTGAATCTCCAGCTCACACTTTCATAGAAAAGAAGGTTAAGCTGCAACAGTCAATTGCCAAAATGCGACACAATATTGCCCAATACCAACAAGGTAAGTGCATCGCCATCATGAATGCCATGTGTTGAGAGAGAGAGAGAGAGAGAGAGAGAGAGAGAGAGAGGGAGGGAGGGAGAGAGAAGGAGAGATGTTGACACAACACAACACTTAGATCTAGAAGCCATACGACAAGAGCTGGCTCCAAAAGAATTACAGAGAAGCGAAAGAACCCATGAGCGAATTCAGCAATTGGAATCCATGGTGGAAAAGAAAAATCAATTACACAATAGAATCCGTCAAAAGGGAGAAGAGCATACCGAAGTGATCAAGGCAGAGACAAGCAATGCGCTGCTCACTGAATTAGAACTACAAACATTTAGACGTGCTCTCCAATTAGAAATTGTCAACACTAATGGTAAGACATACTGTTTGCGCTGTGCACTAGCATTGGTATTGACTCTTTTGTACAGAGGCCTTACGATTCGAGTTCAAATGTATAAGCAAGCAAGTGCCTGAGAAGATATATCATGTCGCACTCACCATCACGGATACAGACGTATACACAGTGATTGAATGTCAACCTGATTCAGTATTACCAAAGGTTTTGAGAGAATTGGACGTTTTGAATCAAGATCGTGAATTATTCAACTTTATAAAAAAGTTACGACAGATCTTTCGACAATCAGCCAATGCATAGTAACTCTCATCATCACTACAACCATCCCCCCCACCATTCTTAATCAACGCCAACACGCTGTATAATATTCCCCAACAAAAGCCGCCCTGTTAGCTTATAAACAACCATAATATCGATAATAAATTCAAAAGGTGCAATGCTAGACGGATTCAACGACATGTGTGTTGCCACGGTACTTTGTGATCTATTGGTTTAAGAAGTTGATATACCTATGGTTGTGTTTGAATAGCAACTGGCAAAGCAGAGCCTGGTGTAGGAATGCGAGAGGTCGGATTCGGTTTTTCTAAACGTCAATGACATTTGGCACATTGGAGTGATTTCTTGGATGCAATGTGTATTTGTACATCTATAAAAAAAAATATTGGCCTGCCATAATTCATCTTCATCATAGAGCTTCACTACTCTATACCTACTGGGAACTTGTGACAAATCTAAAACCCACAATCTAAGCTATACTTTAGTAACAATTGATTTGCAACATTACCTCAATGCATCATCAAATTAATCCTACTTGAATCTGTACCATGTTTCCAACACTAGTCCTGGTGACGATGAATCCAATTCCCAACTGATTTGAGTGCTTTCAGCTCTAGAAAGCAGCAATGCTAATCAAGATGGAGTCAACGATATTTTAAGGCCGGAATGCCGAATCAGATTAATATTACGAGTATGTCTACGCTTCAGAATGATTCATTACCAGTGCTTCGCTCTGATGAAAACCAACCGACAAAGTAGAAACTCGCGCTACTGATTGTTTTTATCCATGTTGGTACCATCACATAAGAGCTCCACCGACTATGGATCTGACTCTCCCCGAGGAATGACCCACGTCTGAGACAGTAGGAACAGTTTATATTATACGGACAAAAGCATACTTGCATTACCTTTTACTACTCAAAATATGCAAAACACAGCGTAATCTGGATGTATTTGAGCTGTATTTTCTCGTACTACCAGCCGTTTCAGACCGCCAGACTAGTGCCAAACAGGTGCCCTGATCTAGCACTAACTTTCTGACACCTTTGCTCAACTTTTTAGGGACCAAAAAAACATCGTCGAAAATTGACCAAAAACCATGAGGTACCCCTCATGGTTTTCATCTAAAATCAAACGATCGCATTTTTCACCTTGAAAATAGAGACTTTTACTACGGTATATATTAAACCAAAATGTTTCTCTCGATTCAAAGCAACCTCTGAAACTACTTTTATGAGGATTTCATATGCCAAATATGGCTATTTTCGTTAAAAACCTCATTTCAAATTTTATTAAATTGCTCAATAGTTTCAGTCAAAACATCTATTTTACTTGGCACCATTGAAAGCGCCTTGAAAAGTACTCCAAGAATGTATTAGGAAGCATAGGGTGATCATTACAGTTTACATAGTCGAATTTCATAGAATAGTTTAAAGAAGTCGACAAAAAGCAAAATCTATCCTATCTTGAACAGAAAATAAAAACTGGGTTTGAATTGATTTTAGCGGGCGGTGCTGCTGCTGGCTGACCTAAAGGCCTTTCTGATGATGACAATAATGATTGCGATGCTGATTAAATGGAGACCATGGAATTGAAAAGACAATTGCTTAGCTCAAATACTTTTCTTTGAGGAGTTTTACCTCATGAAGGTGTCTTTTGCAATGACAATATCTCCAAAAATCGCTGTAGACCTTGCACAAGTCCTGTATTTACTTATAACCAGCTTTATGTTGCCATCCTCTCCTCCTCCTGGCTCTGATATAACCTTTCTTTTACTGACAATTGATTTTTTAAAATCTACTTAATATACCAAAATTTTATTATACCTGATTTAAAATATCTTTGGCGAGAGCTCGCAGGGCGAAGCTGACATCGAGTGTAGTGAGATAGACGGGCTAGTATAAATCATGTTGGAATTCTATTGCATTTGAACCGTGTTTTTTCGCGTTAAAAAACGTTTTGGGTTACAGGAATATTACCAAACAGTTGCTCTGATATAGAACTAACTTTCTGACACCTTTGCTAAACTTTTTGAGGACCAAAAAGCATGAGGGGTACCTCATGGTTTTCATCAAAAATCAAACGATCGCGATTTTGACCGCAAAAACGACGGCTTTTACTAAGGCATACATTGATTCAAAATGTTTCTATGGACTCAGGGCAACCTCTGAAACTTTAATTTTTAGAGCTTTATATGTGGCATCTTGTCATTTTGGTCAAAAACCTCATTTCATATTTTCAAACATTTCTCAATAAGTTCAATCATAATCCTCTTTACATTTAGTGCCATTGGATGCGCCTTGAAAAGTACATTATAAATGCATTAGGAAGTTTTTTTTTGTAGGGGAGTCGAGCTCCAGGTTTTATTTAAAGTCCTTAGAATGTCATACTGAGGGAAAGAAAAGACTGTTGGTGGACCCAATGTCTGCAATGATGGAGAATAAGATATATAATGAACTAAGTTGGGAAAGAAATCTACTACTAATCAGGTGCGACACCTAGAGCCAATACAATTATGCGAATCGTCAAAATAATCATCAAAATGCATTCTCTGAGATTTGAACCGGGATCGTCCAGATGGCATGTTGGATGCTTAACCACTTCGCCCTACCACCACGGGCAAGTATTAGGAAGTATAAAGTGATCATCATTTTTTATATAGTCGAATCTTGCAAAATAGGTCGAATCGAATTCCAAAAGTACAAAAATTATCAAATCAGGACAGAATGTTAATCGAAGATTGAATATATTTTGGCAGCAAGCAGCCAAACCAATGCCACTCTGCCTGAGTTGCCACTGAGGTGTTTATAAAGGTTTTGAGAGAGAGTCTAGCGACTATAACTTGTTATGAAATGTAGTGGAGGGGCTTTTATTGGCATTTTGCTATTGATTTACATTTTGCAGGGATCTACATGCTAGTTAATTCATCCAATTTCTTTCTGAGCTCATCAGCATCTTTTTGTAGTTGAGCGCTGATCTCTTTGACATCCTGTAGCAAGTTGTTATGGCCAAAAACGACATTTCTTTCACGTTTCTCCAATTGTTCAATGAGCCTGTCAGTATCCTCCTTGATCATATGTTTTAGATCATCCACAGATTTGATATAATTGGGTCTTGACTTTCTATTTCTTTCGGCTTGATCTTGTCTCAATTGTTTGATAAGCTCGTCTGTGTCGTCTTTCAATCTTTCCTCTTTCTTTTTGATATCGCTCGTTTTCGCAATGTAATAGATGAAAGTGGGATTGTTTTTACGGCAGCGATTCTCATACTTGGTACACCATAGTTGCTCGATTTCTGCTACAACAGCTATGTGGTTCTACAAGTATTAGTATCTGTGACCTCACCCATCAGTCCAAGGTATCTTACCAGCAAAATGACTGATCCTATTTTCGTAAGAAAGAGGTAGTGTTAATACGCTTTAAAAATGTAGTTGTTACAGATTTCTTCTTACCAAACTTTTTTACCACGAGTTCTTACCTCTTCCACTTTGCTCGACATGAGAGCGCTAATTTGTACAAGAATGAGATTAGGCACATTGTATACACCAAACAAACTGAGCTTACATGACAAGATTAAAGAATATAAGCGCAGTGAGGAATGAAAACAAGATGGCCAAAACCATGACCATATAGTCATCACCAGCGTCTCCATTGTTGATAGGATCCCAAACACCAAATATGAAGAACCAGAGCATTGAAAATGATTTGAAAGGATTACCAAAATTATTATTGGCACTGACATCACTGTAGCTCATGCTGTTTTCTGCCGCTAAACCAGAGTCAGTCAGATTCAATGTACCTTCAAATTGTTCTTGGAAGAAAGAGTCATCTCTTCGGGAGAGTAGCACCATGAAAGAGTTGGTGAATGCGAAAATCACTAAGAGCATAATAATAAGAACTTTGTAAACGGATTTCACCAGTTGGATGATAGTCTCCAGAGTAATACCCTATGTACGATATTGGTAAAATGTCTTTTTTAACTATATAGTATTGTACTCACAAAAAGCGATATTACTCTCAATCGAAGAATACCGTGTAGCCACAAAATAAGGGTTGATACGCTGCTCACTTCATCCTATATCACATTACTACTTAGTATATCGCTGATGTACAGCTTTTAACAACTTGCCAGATGATCTGCGTTAGCTAATGTTTGCCAGAACGTAACAGCAGGGAATACAAATGCTGCAATATCAATGATATTGTACAGCGATGCCAAATAAGCCGACTTGCTGTGAGATTTGAGCAGTTGATGAGCCTCTTGAATCAAAAGAATGCCTCCAGAGATAAACATCAAGATGACACAAGCAAGATGACCATTGTTGTTGGTTATAGAAGTCCCTAATTCGTATCCAAATACTTCGCGAGGGAACGATACACCAATCGAATAAGAAATGTAGTAGGTAAGGTAGATCAAGTACACCATAAGGAACCGTTTGCGAGCAAATTTCTCCCACTTGTATTGAAGCAGCACCTCAAGCACGGTATCGCCTTGATGAAATATGTCGTTTTCATGCTGATTTGTAGCTAGTCTGATAAAGGCACTTTCTGGCTTGTACGGTATCACAGTGGTATCGTCTACATGTTCGTCCTTCTTTAAGCCCAAGCGTGACAGACATCTTGCAAGATATCCTCTAGGCTCTGGAGTGTGAGTGTGTTCAGTTGTGTTGCATCGAATCAATTGACGTCTATTGTCTCTGTCTTCCGGGAAATCACTGTAGGAATTAAAGTGAGGCAGTGGCACAATACAAAGCTTGATCAAACTCCCATTGATTTTAGTAGTGTCCTTCTTGAAGAAATTGGCCAGAAAGTTATCAGTTATGATTCGCCTCCACACTCTTCCAAATTTTTGTTTGAAATAGTGGGAAACGTAGAACGACCACCAGTAGAATACGTGCTCCAGCCAACCTTGCAACAACCAGCGATTGTTGTACTTTGTTACTTGCTCTCGTGTAGAATGAGACTCCAAATCTCTCAGGTCAGACACCAGATCTTTGTGCAAGGTAGACATGTGCATTTCTTCTCCCACTTCAGATGCCAGTATAGTGAGAATCCTCTTGTCAATTTGCAAATAGGACAATTTTTGCGTGCTGGAAAGTAAAAGATCTATACAGGCATGTGATGAATAATAGTGCGGTGCCATTTGTTGCATTACATACCTCTGTTTCCACGCTCTTGCAAGAAAATCAATGCATCGGTAACAGCAGAAAAGCAGCCAGTTCCCAATTGCTTTGAGTAGAAAATTACCCTGTTGAACATCAATTCATACAAGTCGTAATCAAACTCTTCAATAAGGATAGTCAGTGCATTTTCACTCGTGTCCATGGTTTTTCCGGGAACTGCTTGGCTTGAACTGGACCTAACATAGCTGAATAGTGTGATGGGCAGCTCTTCTGTTTCAATAATGTCAAATATAATCTCGCGTCCAAGCTCGAATGAGGCAAGTATGGCCAGTGTGTTGCTTCCAGAGATGGTTGTAAAGTACTTTGATTCGCGACCCCGCATGCTTCGGATAGATCTCTTGACCATGTTCTTTGTTTGCTCAAAGATGATTTCTAAATTGTTGCTCTATTATAGTCGTATTAGATGTCGAGCCATTACAGTGCACTGTCAATGCATGTGCCTACCTGAATCTCCCCTTGGTTTGCCTCTCTCCTTGCTCGAGTACATTCCCACAGATAATGCAATGCTTGACATGCGCTTTCAACATAGTGGTATTCATATATAAAGGACGTATCATTGGGATTGTTCATGTATTCTATAGGCAAATAAATTTCCTCCGTGTGATGACAGTCGTTTTCGTATTCAACCTCTCGTTTAGTATCAAGGCCAGAGAACTCAACTGTATGGTGTACATCAGCAACGTCTTCAAAACTATCTGTAGTATCAGAATAGTCCGCTGCTGCTGCTCCAACATATGGCGCAGATTTGTCCACAGTTCCTTTATCACGCGTAATACTGATGACAATACGCCCCTCCTGCTTGTCTTGGAAGCAGTTGACAGAGTCGCCATTTGCATTTGTCTCTTTACGAGACCACATGTCTTTGTAAGCATCATTGAAACCAAAGAAGGGCGTTTTAAATGCGCGTATATAGATGAGCTTGTCCTCTGCTGTGATCCTGCCGCCTGTATTCGATGCTGATACCTGCCATAGCTGCACAGTCTTCTTTCCAAATCGAAGGAGGTAGGATCTTCCATTAACCTTGCGCTGAAAACATGTCAAACTATTGTAGTCATTCAGGTCATTGTCCAAGTCAGGGGTATAACTCCTTTCTTCATGAATCGTTATTTGCGTGCTGGAAGAGGGCGCAGAAGGAACATCTTGCCAAAGAACATTACCGCTGATGCCGGTATTGCTGCTGCTTCTACTGATGGCTTTGCTCTTTTGCTCACGGTTGTTGTACACTTGCGAATTAAAGATATCCAACTCTTTCACTTTGATTTCCACCATGCCGCTTGTAGAAGTTGTAGAATAGACGGCTCTGAACTCAGGTACCTGATTTCTGACCTCCTCGTCGACAAATGGCTGAATACATTTGTCTTGCATGTCCCAGTCAACGCGTATCTGCTCAGTGGCATAGTAGACGGATTTCTCAGGCATGATATTCCACACTTGAAAGGTAATCAAAGCGTTGTTTCCAGTGCTACTGTCTGTCTCTTTCAGTTTGTTAATAGACACCGTGGCTAAATACTGCGATTTATGACAGAAGCACACGTATAATTGAAAATTATTATTGCTGTCAGCATCTACAGTGCTTGGTGGCACTGCATCGCCTTGCTTTAACCTACTGACAACAAGCCCGCTCTTGACATTGTACACGTTGATCGATTTGTCCTTCTCCACAAAGGTAGCTAAATACTTGTAGTCCAGTGAGAATGCCATTATCTCCTCCATTGATAGTGAATGAAACGATGTCAGTCGAACGCCATCTTCAGTGATAGACCAAACACGAGAGACATAATCATGGTAGGTAGTTGTCAGAACATTATGTCTTATATGCTTGGATATACGGATAATGTCCTTGAGATCAGCTGCTGAATGGATCTTGTGAGGATCAAAATAGACATAGGAAGTCTTGATGAGCGATTCCAGACCAACAATACCCTCATGAGTCATTCTTCCTCGGGTAGCGGTCAGAGGATACAAATTAAACCAGTGAATCTTTTCATAGCGTTTTTGACAATTGTAAATCTCCAGCACCTGCTTGTTGATAAGAGCTAGATTTCCATTCTTGAGAAACACAGCTCTGCCCTGAAACTTGATGCGCTTTGCTTTGCGGATACGATTATCAGCGGTCCCAACCTTAAAGATGATGGTGTCAGGATTTTGTATTTCTTGAGTTGTCTCAGCCTCTCCATACTCGGTCAACTTGATAAAAGACAGAGCCACACGCTTGCCAGTACGCGATATAGATAGAAAGTAGTAGAAGTGATTGTCCTTTTTAATGTATTTTGTGAGATCAAATCTCTCGGGATCATCGGAACTGGAGCTAGATAGTTGTGTTGAATGCGAATCGACTCGACCTGTGCCTGATGAACCAGGCCCGTTGACAGTGTTTGGTATCTTGAATCTGCGAATGTTCAGGTACTTGGAATTGTCTGTAGCATCCTCAGTAATATATGCAATCCATTGCTTGTTGGCGGACACATCGATCACTGATGCCTTTTCAAAGAGATTCCATGGCGAGGCATCTTTGGATGCGGTTGCTGCCTTTACAGTGATTGCAAGAGACGAATCGGCTGGAGCAAGATCAGGTCGCATCATCCTGATTCGCGATAAAGACAAGAGAAAAAACGAAGAAATAGACTTAGAATGGTGTAGACCTTTTGTTTGGCTTAGACGTTTGACAAAGAGCCTTTTTTATTCCTGTCATACAGTAGTTTGGGACCACTGTGGATAAAACAAACCAAAACATAAGCGCCTTTACCGTATAATCTCTGAAATAAGGTTTATGGGCCTTTCTCAGTGTGTGTATTTGTGCCTTTATTCTTATTGACGCCAACAGTAAGTTGACTCGCATTAAAGTTCTGTGTGTACTGCTTAATCTTTCAGAAGCTGGTTGTAGCTTTGTAAAGAAACAAGGGTTCATTTATCAAATTACAATGAATTCATGGTGTATATATCATCAACAGGTCGTAAGGTAATACAACAGCATGCATCTGATCCACACAACTTGGTCGTTAGGGAGACTCCATTTTAAGCATCAATGGCGTAAAATGAAATGATTTCGTTCGAGAAGCTGCTGATGAGATTAGCCTTGATAATAGCAATTGGCTCACAATCATTCAGGCACACAAAACGTCTTTAATTAATCGCAGCGTTGTTGTAGATCTACTCCGGCATTATGGTAGATTAGAGTAAATGACTAATAATTCCTCAATACCCAGATTAAGCTATGTCACATAGAGTATAATTCTTCCAATGCCCCATAACTTGCTTTATCTTCATCGCAGAAAGAAGTTATATTAGAAGACAGCCATCAAATCATGGCAACTGCGCAATAGATTAGTATATCCTAGGAAAATGTGAAAGGCTTTCAATGATACAGTATGGCCCTGTCTGATGCTGCATCTCAACAATCGCATGCGGCCATTAAAAGGAACAAAACAGAGCACATATAAGAAGCAGCCTTGATGGTGCAATTTGCAAACTTCCTTTACTCCACACTTATTTATAAACATGTCAAACCCTGTATTCGGTAAAGCTCTTCGCAAGGACTTTTGCTTCGAGCCTGGATACATTCCTCTTGGTCATGGCTCTTTTGGTGCTATCCCCAATGTCGTCAAGCAAAAATTGAGAGAGTATCAAGACAACTCTGAAGCCCATCCTGATCGTTGGAACCGCTTTGAGATGATTCCTGTCATTGAAAGGAACCTGGTGCTTTTATCTAAACTTATGAACTGTGATTCCCAAGATATCAACTTTGTGTCGAATTCCTCTGAAGCTGCCAGTGTCATTTTGAGAAGTTACCCATTCAAAGCAGGCGATAAGGTCCTTCATGTAAGTCGACCTTTGTCAAGGCAAATTTATAGATTGCTAATGATGTTTTGCTCCAGTATCAAACTGCTTATGTCAATGTTAACAAGGCTTTGGAGTTTATCAGAGATCAGTATGGTGTTCAACTGATCACAGTCGAGTTGAACTACCCCATGGAAGATGAAGAGATTTTGGAGTTGACAAAGCAAGTGATTGACAGAGAGCATGCCAAATCAGACGAATCCAAGATCAAATTAGCTGTCATCGATGCCATTTCAGCTGCTCCTGCTGTCCTTTTCCCTTACAGAGAGATCACCAAATTGGTTCAAGAAAACGACATTTTGGCCATGATTGACGGTGCTCACACCATTGGTCAAATTGAACTAGATCTTCAATCATTTGACCCTGATTTCTTCTTTTCCAACTGTCATAAATGGCTCTTTGTTCCTCGTGGGAGCTGTGTATTGTACGTGGCAAAGCGCAATCAAGGCTACATTCATCCTACTACTCTCACATTCGCCTACAAGCATCATCCTGACGGCTTTGATACCTCTACGTTCAAACTAGAATTTATTCCACCTACGATTGATACCTCCAACTACATGTGCGTAGAAGAAGCTCTCAAGTACCGTGAATCTCTTGGTGGTGAGGAAGCCATTCGTGAATATACGCATAGAATTGCAGTTGAGGGTGGAGCTTTGGTAGCTAAAATGTTGGGCACACAGGTTCTGGAGAACAGTGCAAAGACATTAACTGCTAGCATGGTCAGCATTGAACTGCCTCCTTTCAAGACAGCATTGCAAGACAGCGAGATCGGGCCCTTCATCATGAAGAAACTTATCTACGAGCACAACACCATGGCCCCTACTTACAAAAACAATGGCAAATGGTATACTCGACTTTGCGGACAAGTCTATGTGGATTTGGATGATTTTGAGCATGCTGGTAAAGCTCTGTTGGTCATTTTAGATGAATTAAACAAGCAATAAACGCAGAATGTCTGATTTGATATAATGTACATGCTGTCTGACGAGTCTTTTTATATTTATTGTAACTTTGCTTTAATCAATCAATCTCTTTCTCTTAAAGAAACGACGTAAATACAAGATTTGCCATGTACCGAGGGCAAAGAGAGTGAATAATGACAGAATACTGAACCACTTGACACGTTCGTTAGTGGATTCTAATAATGTGGGTGATCAGTTCTCTCATGTCAAATACAACCGTGCCTTTGTGTCATTACCGTTGGTGTCTCTCAATTTGGCTTCACGACGCTTCAAATAGTTCATTTCATCAACAATCTCCTTGACAACTGTCTCCAACTTGCGAAGCTCAAGTTCAAGAGGATCAAGCTTCTCAGCATTAGCAATCTTCTTGAAATCAGCTGCTTCAGCACCAACACTGAATTGCAGCTCAATTGTACGCTTGTATTGAGGTCCCTCTTGGAAGCCTATATAATGATATTTCACATTTGAACAAAAGAAATCTCTCAGCCAACCAACACAAACTCACCATCATCGAGAAGGTTGGTAAAGCACACCATGACTTCACCATCGTTGTTGGTATTGAAAGCATTACGAAGCTCACCATTTACATTTGTCTTTTTTGTGTACACATTACGAGTTTCTCCTTCCTCGAGAATCTACAAACAAGCAGCGAAATCAATACACATTTCGCAGCAGTATCATCTGAGCCCCACTTACTTCAAGTTCAACGCGTTGGTTGTAGCCTTCTCCAACATTAACAGTTGCTAAAACCAAGGTATCTTTTGCAACGTATTGGTTGAGACATTTGGTGCCTTCAGTCTTACGATCCTGGGTAACAGCGGGCAAATCAAACTTGATGGCGTTCACTAGAGCTAAGATACTCGAGAGAACGAGCAATACACTGAATGTTGATCGCATAGTCCTGGATGTTGTTGTGTTTTACAAAAGAAAAGGGGGCAAAAAGTAAAGATACAGCAATATATTATATATCGCGTGCGGCAATCTCATTGAATGAATTTTGATCGGGAGTCAAAGGTCATCCAGAGTTGCTCTTGCCAAATGCTTGTTTCCATTCAGACTCTTGCCAAAGGTTAACCTCGCATTGCAGGAGGAATTGCTCCATCATTGTCCTTTAAAAAGTGAAATCAACAAGACCATGAGCTTATGAATGATTTAGCTAGTACAAATGATCAAATTTCTCATCAACATCCTTTACAAGAATCATTACAAATTGGAAACATTTGGAAGCTTGGGACTGCCAAACCAAGAAGGATGCGTAGTGGACACTCCATTCATGAACTGGATTTCATACGCAAACATTTACCAGCACCACTTTTTCTCTTTCATAAACATTCTAGGCAACAATAATGTACTCTATTTGGGGAAAGAAATCCAAAGAAGCAGAGGCAGACAAGAAGAAGCCTAGAACCAGTGCTGCTCAGATTCGTGTGCAAAAAGGTGCCAATCCATCTGTTCATCATGTAGACAAAGCATCTTTTACCAACATTCATTTCTTTAGATTTGGCCGAGCTTGATATTCCTGACACCATCAAATTAGATTTTCCTGACCCTTCCAACATTCTTAATTTCAATGTAACAATTCACCCTGATGAAGGTAATCTATCCCCTGGCTTGCTTAATTGCTGACATGTTGACATATTGATGTGCAACAATCGTAGGTTTTTATATTAGAGGATTATTCAAATTTACATTTGCTATCAATACCAATTATCCTCATGAACCACCGAAGGTGCATTGTACTCAAAAGGTAGGACCTCAAAACGGGTGGATGGGAAGCGCTACGATGGAAATAACGACACTGACGATACAATAGATCTATCATCCTAATATCGATTTAGACGGTAACATTTGTTTAAACATCTTGCGTGAGGATTGGAAGCCTGTTCTTTCATTGCAAGCTGTCTTGGTTGGCTTACAATACTTGTTCCTCGAGCCAAATGCTGATGATCCATTGAACAAAGGTAATACATTAACATTCCATGTCGTCTCTCTGTGATCAACTAACCCATATGCTCAATATCATTAGCTGCTGCTGAAGTATTAAGACATAATAGAAGTACTTTTGATGCCAATGTCCAGAAGTCTATCGTGGGTGGGTTCTTTGATGGTGTTCAATACGATAATGTATTGGCCCAGTAGCGGTATTGGAAATTTCATCAATAAAACCAGAGCGATACACATCAGAAATCATGCACAGATACTGCTCTTGCACATTGCATTGCTGCATCACGTAGAGAAAATCCTGTATTATAGACTGACCATCGCTCTTGATTAAAAGGTTACAGAGAGTTGTTTATTTTAGGAACTGATCTTGCACTGTATTCTGTCCTTATCGATCATTAGTTTATTTGCATTTCTTTCAAAAAACCTTGATTTTGTGCGATATTTTATATGCGTTTTCTGTGTCTGTGCCACGTATGTATTGCTCTGTAGGATATAGTGTTTGGTTTTTACGTTGATAAATGGTAGTAAAAGATAAAAGGTGATTTACATCTGAATCCATCATTTCTACTAGACAAATTCGATCGCCTATTCAAATAAAATAATATTATTGGACGCATTTCCATAAAAGGCAATTATATTGTAACCCCGATTTTTTCGGCAGTGTCAAACTTGCATCATTCTAGCTCTGAGAGATGCTGTTCATTTGACGCGCATTATTGTCAAAGCGAGAACTAGACAAATAGAGCACATATACATGTATTCAAGGGCTGAGATCTTCTGGGATTGATTTAATGGAGGTTTAAAGCAAACGCATGAATAAATGTGGTCGTATGATGGAAACATTTAAATTATATTCAAGGCTTGAGAGGATAAATCAGCAATTGCCTCTGTCATCAATACGCAATGGATATATTATCATTGGATGTAGGTTCTATAGTGAGAAATCGTGCAACTGAAGCTCAACCCATTTAAACATCAGATATTCTGTCTGCGTAGCATCATTTGCTGTCTAGTCTAATGGAAAAAATCTGTATGGATGCAGATCAACAATATTTGGCAAAGATGCTTGAAAAACAACGAACCATTAGATAACAATCCAGTTCGTCATTCAACAACATACACACATTCTCCAAATAGCATAGTAACATTTGATATACAGGCTTAAACCAAAGAAAGTCGTGACGTCTTTGAACTACACTGTTTCCTTAAAGGGTGTGGGTGTTTGCGTATTGCCCAGACAATTGTCCTTTATAACGAAGAACAGTTCGCAGTTTCTTCATTTAAACCCCTTTTTCGACTGTTTTTTATTTTTTTCTTCCCAGTTATTTAAGATTATGGTAAGTTTTTAGTCTGGAGACATTGCTCTACTGCGCCATGTACTGATGTAGCGTATGTAGAGTCAAGAGCAACAACCGCAATCAGGACTTGCACCTCCACCACCCCCTCCGTCAGCCACACTTCAAGAAAAGGAATACACGGTTCAACAGCAACTCCACTTGCAAGAACGACAACAACAAGAAACGCCATTACAGCAAGATCAAGATGGCTTTTTTGATCAATCGCCTCCTATTGAGACTTTGCCTAATGTTGATCCAGACAAGACAATGGCCGAAGCCGAGCCTGAACCAGTCTACTCTGTCGTGGATGATTGTAAGTGATATTTTGTCATGTCAAAACACATCTTGTTGTTATGGTAGCAAACCCCAATTGACCTGTTTTTTTCGCGTAGTCGAGCTGATTGCCAACAAAGAACTCATCCCTATTGACAATGAAATTACTGAAACCAAATGTGAACATTGGGAAATCAAAGACTGGAGTAAATTAGATACACGTACCACTGGGCCTATAATGAAAGTTGGTGGTCATGATTGGTATAGAAAGCTAAACTGCTTCAACGATAAGGACACATAACTAACCAACCGTGTGGTTGATAGGAACATCCTGTTGTTTCCCAAAGGCAACAATCAGTCAGAATGTGCTTCCATCTATCTTGATCTGACCAACGCAAAGACCAACACTGAGGAATATGCTTGCGCTCAGTTCGTTGTCTGCATTTCCAAAATGTCAGATCCTACCAAATACACCTTACACAGTGCTCAACATAGATTTACTGCCGAGGAATCAGATTGGGGCTTTACTCGCTTTGTGCCTATTACTGATTTGTTCAATGAAGCCACTGGTTATTTGGAGGACGATGCTGTTAGAATCACGAGTATCATCCGCGTTGTCAAGGACACTACTGGTATTCTCTGGCACAATTTCATCAACTACGACTCCAAGAAGATTACAGGCTATGTTGGATTACAGAATCAAGGCGCTACTTGTTACATGAATTCATTGTTCCAATCCTTGTTCTTTACCAATTCATTCAGAAGGGCAGTGTATCAGATCCCAACAGAGCGTGATGAACCCACAAAAAGCATTGCATTGGCACTTCAACGAGTGTTTTATAACCTTCAATTCTCTAACTTGGCAGTGGGCACTACTGAATTGACACGTTCCTTTGGCTGGGATTCCTTGGAAGCTTTTAGACAGCATGATGTGCAAGAGTTCAACCGAGTGTTGCAAGACAACCTCGAGATCAAGATGAAAAACACACCGGCAGATGGCGCTATCAAAAACTTGTTTGTTGGCAGAATGAAGAGTTACATCAAATGTATTAACGTCAAGTACGAATCATCTCGATCTGAAGATTATTATGGTAAGTGCAAGAGAAAAAGGATAGCATTTGGATTTTTGGCTTATTAAGCCCTGTTGTAGATATTCAATTAAACGTCAAGGGCTGCAAAAACCTCGAGGAATCCTTCCGTGATTATATTGTTGAAGAAACATTGGAGGGCGATAACAAGTACATGGCAGAGGGGTATGGCTTGCAAGATGCCAAGAAGGGTGTTATTTTCGAGTCCTTCCCTCCTGTGCTGCACTTGCAATTGAAGAGATTCGAATACGACATGATGAGAGACATGATGGTCAAAGTAAGTAGGCCTTGACAGATAGTCAAATTATGAATTCACTCATTCATCCCCTCTGAAAAAGATCAATGATAGACACGAATTCCCCACAGACATCGATCTTGAACCTTATCTCAGTGAGAATGCCGATAAATCTAAGGGCCACAAGTACGTTCTTCACGGTGTGCTTGTTCATAGCGGTGATCTGAGTGGTGGACATTACTTTGCCTTTGTGAAGCCTGAAAAGAATGGAAATTGGTTCAAGTTTGATGATGACCGAGTGATCCCATCTACGCTAAAGGAAGTTTTGGAAGAGAATTATGGTGGGGAGCAGTTGGGCATCCCAGGTGTGAATGTGCGACCTAACGGGCGTCCCATGAACCGATTCACCAATGCTTATATGTTGGTGTACATCCGTGAATGCATGCTGGATCAAGTGTTGGCCCCTGTGACAGAGCAAGATATCCCCAGACATTTAGGTGAGCGTCTGGAAGAAGAGGCTCGTATTCGGGAGCAAAGACGCAAAGACAAAGAAGAGCAACACCTCTACATGAAGGCCTTCATTGCTGACGACAACACATTCAGAGCCAACACAGAATTTGATTTCGCTAATTTCGACGAGAAGGATGCTACTGACAATCGTCTGTACGTGTCTCGTATCCTCAAGAATCAGACATTTGGTGAATTTAAAGAAGATATTGCAGTCGGCCTTGGCTTGCCTTCGTCTCAATTCAGATTGTGGCTGATGGTCAATCGACAAAACCGCACTGTTCGCATTGATATCCCCATCCCTGCTGAGGACAACGATTCAACTGTAGATGAGATCCGCTTGAGATATGCCACAAATCAACCCAACCTCAGACTGTATCTAGAGAGAGCATCTGCTGTGGATGAGCACGGTCAAGCAGTCTTCCCTCCTCAGCCCCAGCAATCTCCTGTCATTTTGATCTTTATCAAGCTGTTTACTCCTGAGCATCAAGAGATTCAGTAAGTATACAGACCAGCAGAATGACATACAGGATGCTTACAGTAATCATAGTGGTCTAAATCGTTTGTACGTGCAAAAGGACGCCAAGGTCAAAACCATCATTAATACACTGAAGCAAATGGCTGGCTTCAATCAGGAAGACGAAATCATCATTTATGAAGAAATCAAGGCCACCATGATTGATCTGGTTGACATTGAAGCAACCTTCAGCCAAGCCGAACTTCAAGACGGTGATATCCTCTGTATTCAAAAGCGATTGTTACCTCAGGAGGAGGCCATCATACTTGAAAATGGCGGTAAGACGACTGTTCCCTCATTCATGGGGTACAAGACTGGCCGAGTTATTGTTCAGTTCTCGCCTGTGCATCCTGACGGTGAGCAGCCCGACATTCAACTGACATTGCACAAGGACATGCTGTACGAGGATATTGCTGCTATCGTCGCCAGAGAATTAGGTGTCGATGGTGACAAACTACGCTTGATCAACCCTTACAACACCAGCAAACTGCCACCCAAACGATTTTCTGGATTGAAGCTCGGCAAAATCCTAGCCAACGCCTACAGTGGCGGTACACCCGTGCCAGCCAACAAAGCCACCCTTTTGTACGAAAAGTTGGATGTAAGCTTGGAGGAAATGGAATCCAAATGTCCAGTGACAGTTACTGTGTGTGCACCTACATTGAAAGATGCACATAGTGTTGAAGTGTTACTGCCTAAAGACAGTGGCATCAACGACTTGAAAGCAGCTCTGGTAGCCAAGGACGACAAGCTTGTGCAAGACTTGGATCGCATTCGCATTTACGATGAAATGGATGGCAAGTTTGACAAGGAATACACGGACAAGTCATGGAGAGCTGATATTGCCACACGACCCACACTCAAGGTGTTTGCCGAGAACATCCCAGAAGAAGAGATGGAGAGCAATTTGCAGTCAACAGACCTATTCATCCATGTGTTTCATTTCCAACGCACACCCAACCGAACACACTCTATTCCCTTCAAGTTCTTGCTTAAAGAGGTGTGTAATTCTATAGCAGTGTATGAACTTCGTTTTACTTACTAACCGACTCTATAGAACGAATCTCTGGCAGACACAAAAAAGAGGCTCCAGGCTCGCACAGGTTTAGACGACAACGAATGGAGCAAAGTCAAGATCAACATTGTGGCAGACGATGAAGAAAATACAACCCAGATCAGCGATCAAGACGAGCAGTTATTTTCAACACACACATACAATGCAGGCGACATGATTGGATTGGATCATATCGACAAGAGCTCAAAGGTTGACAAGACAGGTGCTATTTTCATAAGAGGTTAACTTTTTGATACTTTTTACAATAAACGATTATTTTTCCGAGATGTACATATACCAAAGACATCCTTCTTCTTCTTCTTTCTCTTTTCTGTTCATCATCCACAAGGAGATTATACCATGACAAGATCATCCCCTACTCTTTCCATGGAAAAGGTAATCTACAGCAAGGCAGCAGCAGCACCCCCCTTGATATGGTGTGAAATTTGGTTAAATGATATCGATTTATTTTCAGGCACAACAGCAGTTCCGAGAGCCACCGCCAGCTAGATTAACCATAGTAAAGTGCAGAGCATGGAAATGGAAGTAGGTGTACTAACTGCTCTCTGGTATAGAATGCGGTGTCTGCCAACAGCAGCAGTGCTCGACCACACGCCATTTCGCCCAACGGCTACTCTGCCAACTCGCCTGGCTCATACACCAGCTACTCTTCTGCAGACTATTCATCCATCGGTGTCTTGAACAACAACATCAAGATGAAGTGATCTATATTTAGCAGCATGGACATGAGAACGCAGGACGAGTCGTCGTCGTCGTCTAGTATTGTAGGACACGGTCTCCTGAGTGAAGTGCTCAAAATGCATGGCCTCCTGGAGGAATATCAGCACACCCTTACAGTGCTTGAAATTGAAAAGGCAGATAAACAACAGGAGTTCAACAAACTCGATGGACTATTAAAGGGAAAAGGTGAGACAGAAGGTACCGCCACCTCTCTCTCTCTCTCTCTCTCTCTCTCACACACTCTCACACACACACACTTGCATAACTTGCTGATCAAATGTTTTTTTTTTGAATGATGTTGACATTGAACTGACAGAGAGATACAAGGACGAGATTTGGAATCTGGAGCTCAACAAGCAAGAACTGCTACAAAAGATACATGATTTGTCACAGAGTCTAAGTAGATCAACAATAGAGCAGAATAGACTAGCCAAACAAGAGGCAAAACTCTGCCAGGAAATCGAGCATTTCAAAACAGTGCAACACATCTGGGAGTCTAATTTGATGTCTGCCCAAGAGCAGCATAACGAGGAGACATTGGCGCTGAAAAAGACGCTATACAACTTGCGCGCAGAGAAGGATCAGATAGCAAAGCAGTTGCAAGAAGTATTGGCAATACAACAGGAAGTGGCCCACCAGCAAAATGGACTGCGACATGTCGACAAACCACCTTTCTCCAGCAGCAAGGAAGAGCCTACATCCACCATTACCGCAACCACCACGGCATCCAATCCACTCAACAACAGCGCACGCTTGAATTCAAAATCACTGGCAGCGCGACACGAAGCAGAGATAGCAGCCCTCAGCATATCGCTGGATCAAGCTCACGAGATTATCAAGACCATGCAGACAAAGATAGACGAGGAGCGACAGGAGCGCACCGAGATTGACAATCTAATGAGAGAAGCACAGGAGACGATAGAGCACTTCCGTCAGCACCACACACCATCCACGTCGCTGTTCTCGTTGCCAGCACAGCAGCCGCATTCTCCAATATCAAACAGCTCATTAGCGTCACATTCTCCTGCTTCCATATCCAACAGACAGCAGCGTTCGTCATTGAGATCGATAAATAGATCCAGCCCTAGTACAAAACAATTGGCAGTGGCAGGCTCATCTCCTTATCCTCAACGAGGCAAATCACTGGGTGATGAACTGTCTCAAGCTGGGTCTGTAGGCAAATTTATAGCCTCCTCAGCCATGTCTAGCAGTAGTTGTCATACAAACACTGGACAAACAAGTAATGAACCCAAGCAAAAGCCTCTCGACAACAAGAATACACTACCTCTTCACTCCCGCAAAACGGCCCTAGAGAAAAGCATCACGCTCACTTGTGTTGAATTGCCTTCCATCACGAACCATGATACACTATCCTCTTTCATGTCATCCCCATCAGCCACAAGCATCAGTGAAAGTACTAGTAATAAACAGGCGCAATCGCAAAGGGTGGCCTCCCACCATGAGTATTACGGAACATTGATCAGGGAGCCTACCAGCTACATATACAAGTCAAAGCGAGACAAGATGGCTGCCGCCGCTGATGAACAAAGGCAACAGAAATCACCGCCATTCAAATTAAACTTTGGCAATCATGATTTCAAGGTCAATACTGATTTCAACCGAGAGAATAATGAGGGTGATAGTGGATCATCAGCCGATGCCATGACACGCACCATGATTGGTAATTGGATGTGGAAGCATACCAGAAAAGTGGTTGGCAGTGGTATTTCAGAGAACAGACATCGTCGGTTTTTCTGGATACATCCTTATACTCAAACGCTGTATTGGAGTACTCAGGAGCCTGGTGCCAATGCTAGTCGATGCAGTACAAAGAGCGGTAAGCAGTAGGTTGAGCAGGAGTGATGCGCAGTGGCTAATGGAGTTTTACCTGCAGTGCTGGTGGAATCTTTTATGGTGTTGCCGCCACATGAGAAATCAAGGCCTCCTGGCATCTATATTAAAGCGCCATCACGAGATATTCAGATTCAATGCTTGGATTTCACGGCTCATTATGCTTGGATCAAGTCTCTGAGGTACCTGTCGAGCGATGCAGATTATACGCAGTATGTGATACCCACCATCAAGAAATCAATCACTGGGAAGGCCATGTTCGATAGAAAAAAGCTTTCCTCACTGCGACAAAAGAATCACTCTTTTACAAAGCTACTGGACGCGACACTTTCGTTGCCAAATTCAGCCATTCGATGTGATAATAAGACGCAAGCAAAGTCCTTTGGTGGGGGTAGTAGAGAGTGGCAGCCACTACAGGCCCTGTTCAATAACTCGACTTTAATTGATCTGTCGATTGATCAAGGCCCGTTTATAGACTTAAACACGCCCAAAGCATCAATAAACCGCTTTTAGGCTTTTGCTTGTTGCAATCAAGTAGATATAGTGGTTCACTTCCATTGCGCTGCTCATAACAAACGTCCATTGTTCCTATTGTTTGATTGACATTTGGCTGGCGGCCATAAACAGTGACACAAATTAAAAGCATTTCGCGGTCTCGCATCAAGTTTGATTTACCTTTCTTTCACTTATACTTCACAAGCAGCGCCCATGGTCAACATACTTTGTGTCAATGACCTAAAGAACTACCCATACGGATCCACACATCGCGAAGCCAAAGCCATTGCCACAGGTACCTTAACTGTAGTAACAACCGAGACACACAGCTACCCTCGAGGCACCGTTTTGTTACTGGAAAGAACTAGCAAGAGCGTCATTCCTTGTCTAGTGAACCGATTACATACGCACGCAGTAAACACAAAGGTGTTTATCAAGAAGTGGAATCTTGTAAATCTACAGGAAGGAGCTAATTCATGCCATCTGGAATTCCGGTTGGAGTATGTGTATACAGACGAGGAGTGCAAAAAGTCGATATTGAAAGAAGCACTCCGGGCAGATGCTTTTCCATTCAACCAGAGCCTGAGACGTGAACATCAGTACTACACACCTGGAGATCAGCTTCATTCAAGCAAGAACGTCTGCATGGCAGGTATTGTGTATGCAGTGTCCACACTGTATGTGCAGCCAGGCGAACCAGTCATGTTCTTTGTACAAATGACAAGCAGCAACATCCAAACAGCAGACACCGGCGCAGAACTAACAGCTATCAACGTGCTGTTTCGCGACAATAAATGGATCGAGTACTACCGTTATTTTCAAATAGGAGGCGCCTTTGCATTTCAAAACCTTGAAGTAGATACCATACACAGCACAGACCGCCACTCGTTCAATGTCCTGACGTTTGGTCCCAGAACAAATGTTCAATCCATCACATTTTCACAGTACGAGAGCATTTGCAGCAACCGAACCGACAGCAGCAGCGAACCACCCAGCAAGAAGCAATTGACTTTGATCCATGTCCACAAACACAAGGCATACACTGGCACCATCACTCGTGTCATTGACAGCATGTTTGGCATCTACGAATTGGATCACACAATCATTGTGTCTCTATTCCACCTGTTTAGCTACGCTGCAGATATGCCATATCGAATTGACACACAAGTGCGCCTACACCATTTTCATGCAGTGATTGTGAATCCTGAAGATGGCAAAACCAGTTATTTGTTACAGCACGTTTGGCAGGCCAACAAGGCGGACGAGGGCTACTTTGCGCTTGCTGCTTGCATGCAAAGTCATGTTGAAGTACTGAAATTCCCCAAGAATCACAACGTGTTTGAGGAGATAACAAAGCCGTTCTTTCTAGCACACAATACAGATCTAGACTCACAGATCAAGTCGAACGTTTACACAGATATCATTCGTCGAAAATCCACCTTTCAGCAACTGTTACGCCAATTGGAGATCTATGCAGCATTGACAGTCAAGTTTGTCGATACGCAAATTGTGAAGGATATTCACGGATTCCAGCATGCTTACAACACAGTGAGGAATCAAGTATTTGCAACAACGCAAACACCAGTCATGCGGGCTGGAGACATGATCAATGATTTCGTATTGCATGATACTGTCTGCTTGTTGGTGGGAGAGGGCAACCTTCGTATAGTGATTGATGCCTATCCATCGCTAGACAAAATCCAGGCCAATTTAGAGACGAAACTTGAGGACCATACGTTGGATTTAGCTGGTGGAAATACCATGTTTGAAAAGGAATATGTGCTGACTCAAAAGGCGGATTATGATCAGACGGCAGACTACTACATTCTGGGCATGCTGCAAGTGGCTCGCGATGGCAGACTGTACCTGATAGACAATGAATCTCGTGTTTTGTTCGTGCTGGCGGCACCCTCTTCGAACGCTATATCAGCCAGGACGGGAGAGATCTGTATGGTGCGACGTCTACACATGTTTACAGAAGATTTGGCTTTTGTAGACAATGAAAATGAGGAGTTGATCCAACGAAAAGACCTGCGTCTGACGTATTTTGTGTGCCAACACAATGATTTACTACTGCTGCGGGACACTGAAAATGACAACGAAAGCGTCACTTTTTGCTTACCTGATCTAGAAGATGCTCCTCTGACAAGAAAGCTGGACAGGTTGTCTGTACCGCTCAAGCCTACTGGAGGAAGTAATTATCTGCCTACAGAGCACCGGTACCTGGCTGTCCATGTAGTGAACCGGTTTCCGGTGGAGGTGTGTTTTACTACAAATGGAACCGTCCATCTTGAATGTCGAGTGCTTGTGAAAATGTACCAGATTAAGGGCCTGGGTTCTACTGCTTCTCCATCTGGCCCAAGTGGCATTGTTGCCGATGGCTCAAAAAACTATGCTCTGGTGTTTACTTCTCTCAAGAATTCACTGCAGTGGCACCTTGATTTTCAAGTGGGCTCCTACTGGGTCATCTACGGACTGGATGCACCTGAATCATTCATCGAAAGTATTACCAATATCTCTCCTTTTGCGCTCACAATAGATGCCGACAATCATACAATATATCCCATAGTACCCTCAACTGACAGTACAAACAAGATCCAATTGACACCACACTACAGCCAAAACACAATTGGACAGGACCCTCAGTCCGTGGTTTACAATGTCTCTCAACTGACCGACACACACCTGCCACCTGGTATCACTACCGCGACAATACCGCAACATTTCGCTGAGCAATTGGTTCATGTGCAGGGCGTCGTCATCATCAAGCGTTTCATGGAAGGATTTTCATCCCATGGCACACTCAACAAGCATGCTTTCAAACTCTACAGTCAGCTAGGTATCAGCACTGGCAAGACGAATCGGAAACTATTCGTTCAATTACGCCAACCTGACAGCCTCCAAGTCATTAGTATCTACATGGACGTGCACAAGACGCACTATCCTGTGGGCTTGGTGATAGGTGCAACAGTTACTTTCCGCAACTTGATTCGTAAAAAGAAGGCCTATTCAAACGAGGAGTTCTTCTTCTTGGCGAATTCCGCAACATGTATACACATCAACGACACAACACCCTCACCCAGCGTGGTATCCATGGAGCCTGCCCTCATCCACACTCGTCTCATCTCCTCCTTTTTGGACACTGTTATTGGACGACCAAAGGAAGGCGATAGACAGATCTTTAGATTGTTCTGCTACATTCATTCCATCATCAACCTCACCTTGAAGTGGGAGTGTCGAGATTGCGGTTCCATTGTGCGAAACAATGATTGTTATGGTATGTGTCAGGGCGCCTCCCGCGTGTTCTCTGTGCATGCGTTTGTTCTGGTCAGTGATGGTACGGGAAATGCGACTGCAAGCATTGATGGTGAACGCCTGGTCTTTCGCCTACTCCAATTAAGCTCAAACCAGATTGATGCGTTAAAGAACCTGGTGCTCAATTACGGTCAATTAGCCTATGGGGGATTGGGTGGAGGCAAGGTCACCACCATGGACGATGAAGAGGAGAGGATGAGCTATGATCCCGAGAACGATCAACGCAGCGCCATGCATGGATATACACTGGAAGATCTCTGCAACAATGCTAAAAGGGCGGGCCAGTTTTATCTCTATGGCCAAGAACAAAGCAGCGGCAAAAAGAGAGTCAGCGATGAATTTAATGAGGATTTGATCAAGGAATTCCAGCTTCGACGATTCAAGATATCTGACAACGGGAGTTTATTGAAAACTGCTGAATTATCCAAGCTAAGGATCAAGGTGATTGAAATTACGTTCCCTGATGCTCGCATGGTTGCCTACGAAATGCTGGATTCTTTGAATCAAAATAATATACCCCCTGAAAGCGCCTCTGCTTCTCTACCTACCTCTATAGAGGTAGCAGACTTTGATTACACTGTGCAATTAAGATAGTTTTTAATACCTTGTAAATGAATAAAGTGATTGCATGATGTAAATGCCGCAAATTTAGGATTTCAGGGACAAGAATGATAACTGCGCTGTAAAGCATCTTTAATTGATGTCCATGTGTCCAGTCAAACAAGGCTCGCCATTCCTATGTGCTGCAAGCTGATAGCACGCCAATGTCTAGAGGGATTCTGGGTTGAAATGCACCGAGCATGTCAAACATTTGGGTGCTACACCTCTCAAAAAGCCCAATTGACATCCCATCAAATAAAGCAAAAGAACACAAGCATTGAGCAACAATCACATAATCAACAGAGCAAACGGTTTATGGGTGATAATAATGCAGCAGTTTAATTAAGGTATTATGAATGTTGATCAGAAAGAAACAAATTTAGGGTCCAAAGGCAACCCAGTTTCAGGGTCAATGTTCTATGGTCCACATATTTAATTCACCCTGCTCTTTATACCAATTACTCTGTCTACTTACATTCTTTTTCAACAGCTTTTGTTGTCGAATGAGTCGAGCTTCATCGAACGAAACATTCTGCTTTCTCATGATTCTCATAATTTCCTCCTTGTCCTTTAATCCAGCTCTACTGTCTTCTTCATCCAAATTGGCATGTAAATCAAAGTGCGAGCTCGTTAATCCATCTTCAATATCACTTTCAAATGAGCCAGTATTAGTCGGTAACAAATGATAGCCCAACAAGCGGTTCATTTTGTTTGCTAATTCTGAAGCACCTTCCCGAATCTGTGTGCGGAAATACCAGCATACTAACATTATGGTGAGTCAACTACAAGAATGAGGTAATTTAGCAATGAACCTTACATGCTAGAATGAACAATAAGATGGCCAGGTATATAAACATGAGAAAATAATTGACACGATGGAGAGGAAAAGTGATTAAAAAAGAGCCAAGGAAAATTATAACTGTGTGGAAAGATGGAAACAATATATCAAAGCTCAGCTTTTCGTTACATGTGAGGGTGCTTCTATTGTTCAAGTGTAGGACAGATGGTCTCTCCTTGATCGACTCGCAATCTCTCCCTCCCTTTCACACATTATGCAATGAATGGTAATCGAATGGCACCACTCATTGCGCTTACATGTGCTGCCATTGTTTTCTATTGATTCCAGTGATTTTCATCGAAATCTTCCACAAGTTTTGGATTCATTTGGGGGTGTTAAAATGGAGTTGTATCTTATTCATGCGAGGAATCACCTGTATAAAAGATCACACTATAAGATTCTTTTTTTTTTTTAACTCTCTCTCTCTCTCTCTCTCTCTCTCTTTCTTCTATACACACACACGAATAAATCCAACAAATATTATACATATATAAACATGAGGTATCAAAAACACGCAAACTTCACTATGACATGGATATGGCAGCAGTTATTAATAAACATCTTCCAGTTCCCCGGTTTATCGCATCGTTGTAGCTGCAGACGATTCCCCAATTTCCAAAAAGGCCATCGACTATGCCGCCAAACTATGTTCAAACCTGTCTGTCCCGTACAAGCTGGATGTTGTCTATGCTGTAGGCTTAAATCCAGCTGGTATCACAGCCTTTGGATTCATGTAAGTGACAGGGTGGCATGTCTGACAACATGGTAACTCACGCCCGAGACATGTGCATATTTATAGGAGCGGATTGGACAGAATGAACAATGTTGACATTCAACAAGACGCAAAGGAATCTGTAGCGAATTTGAACACATATTTAGCACAGTTTGATGAAACAGTCGGTATACAAGCCCATTTCTGATGTTACATGTGTCCTAAACCGATATTTATAGAAGTCGAATGCAGTAATCGTGAAAACAAGCACCAAAGATTGTGGCTATATCATTGAAGATTACATTAATCAAGATCCTCCAGATATGCTGGTGCTGGGCTCATCTAATAAAGAAGGCATCCAAAAGTAAGTTTCTTGGCTTATCTGCCACGGTTGACAGTTCATTTACTTAGTATTGGGGTTGCTAGGTTTATACTCGGTTCCGTCAGTGATCACTGCTTGCATAATTGCCATTGCCCTGTCCTCATAATAAAGAACTGATCAATCAAACTAGACATTGGGAGCATTATGCTTAACCCATGTTTTATGAAGTATATTGTTTTAAGCCCATTTTCAGTCGTATCATAAAACCAACAAAGCCCAAAAAAAGAAGCCGTGTGATCACTTCTAGTGTCATTGTGATACTCTCTCGCACTCTTGCTCACTCGTTTTACTACGCCTCTGTTTGGTCAAACCTGGGCTTTTGTTATTGTTGTTTAATCTGTTCAAATGTAGTAATGAAGGTTAATTTTATACATCTAGCTATTTTGACGTTTAATCAAATGCATTTCCACGGGCATATCTGGTAGATTAAAATGCCCCTCTCTGCCTAACTCGCTCTTTCTCTCGCATTTGCACACGTACCCACGTCCAATGCTGCTTGAGGTCAATATTGCCCGTCTTATAAGCAATATCATGATTTGTTACACCAAGCCGTATGTACCAGAACAAACCATTTTTGATATAAAAATACGCAAATTGGTTGCACAGAGGTAATTTCTATAAATATGAAGGGGGGAGTTGATAGGAAGGGGGTGAGGGAAATCTAAATACGGTCTCCTTCCTAAATAAACAGAAAGAACTAAAAGTTTTCTATTTGAATATAAATAGAAGCCCATAAATTCATCTCGTCTTTTATTTCTCTTTCTTCAACCTATTTATCTCTTATTTATTATACTTACACAATGATGGCTGGTCCTCTTTCCACTCAAAAGATGTCCACTGCACCGGCAAAACAATTCTCGTTCAGAAGCATGCTGAGCATACCCATCCTTATCTTGTTCTTCATCGCCTTCTTTTTCGTATCTACATTGAAAATCAGAATTGTGTACAGCACAACCACCTCAACCACAACGTCCATCTGCAACAGCAATGATTGCGATGGCGTCTCATCTCTACCTGCCATGCCAGACCAACAACAACAGCAACAGCAACAACCACTCGTCAAGCATGTGACTCATCCCATAGTGCCCAAGCCCACATCTTATCCTTTCACTATCGTTACTGCATCCAGCGCCAATCACTTGTGCTCACTCGAAAATTTCTTGTATTCACTTTATAATCTGCGTGACCAACTTGAAGTTCATGAATTTCCTAGAATCGTTGTCTACAACATTGGCATGAATCGCACTCAGCTACCCGTATTGGATCAGTTTGTCGAGAATGGTTTGATTGATGATTTAGAGACATTCGACTATTTCAAATATCCTCGTTTCTGGGACGTCGCTATCAGTGCTGGTGAGTACGCTTGGAAGACTGGCATTGTACACGAAGCGAGCCAAAAGTATGTGCAAGATTCCAATGGTATCTTGGTGTGGTTGGATGCTGGTAATATGGTTACACCCGAGTTTATAAAGAGCATTCCTTCTACAATTCGCAAGAATGGCGGTTTCTGGTCTCCTCGTTCATCTAAAAACATGGGCATGTGGACACATCCTGGCATGTACAAGTACTACAATGCTGACCCTCAAGAGTACGCGAAAAACCCCAACTGTAATGGCGCTGCTTTGGGCTTTGATGTTCACAACCAAACAATCTTTAATGACATCATTCAACCATGGTACGAGTGTGGTTTGGATAAGAACTGCATTGCTCCCCCAGGTTCATCTCGTTTGAATCATCGTCAAGATCAAGCTGCTTTGACATTCTTGGCTTATCGCAGTGGAAAGAAATGCACAATGTCACCCAACTACTACAAGCTTCAAATTCATCGTGATAAATCTTGCAGAGCTGAATTGATGGCTATGGATATTCAAGGCAAACTGAACCATCCTAGCTCAATGGACTTTCCCAAGTGGTATGCAAGCAATACTTTGCAGTTGTATCATCATCCTGAATGGAGATATGCCGAAGACAAGGTGCCTGCAAATCTCGCTAATTTGCTAAATTATTCCCCTCCACCTCCCACTACCATCTAATTACATGTACATTCTCTCTCGCCATCTCCTCTTTCCCTCACATTCATCTCATTTAAAAAGAACCTGTAAATAGACTATTTTCTTCTTCCCTCACCTTGTTACACTATTATCACTCCTAAACAACATATAAACTGAATTAAAAATACAAATGTTATTTCAATTCTTCTATTTTTACATCAACATATCCTGCTTTCGTTTGTGGCGTGGGGCTGATGCTATTTTTTTGTATTCTTCAATGCCTTTATGGTAAGATACCTGAAAACGGCACACCCGATCCAACAACAAGAATAGTTTGGTTTCCAGCTATTTCTTTTCTCGAAGATGGAGTTGAAGATCTACGTCGTTTGAAATGTACCATTCTTACACCTAAAACTCGGCCATTGCATTAATACAAATTCCCGGCCTTTGCATATTTGATTTCATTGAAGTATATTCAGTTCGTAAAAGTGCGGATCAAAGAAATGGGGTCAAGGGGCTTAAATGGCATGTTTCAATTGCGTCGCATTAGTATCCTTAAATATGAATGGGCTGTCTGTGTTACAGAATAAGCTTTTTGTTGACATATGCTGATGCTCTACAGACCAGGGATCTATATTTTGAAAGATACAGATGTGAATCGTGCCCATTTTACCAAGCACCATACATGTGATGAAGCATGTGCGTGCTCAAATAACGGATAGAAATATCCTCAATGCACTGAATTGAGTACCACGTCTTACGTTTGATCCTGAAGGTTCTAGACAACTGAAGCTTAGGTGATACAGACTTTAGTGCTTGTACTAAATTAATTATCGATGTAGACTACGAGCCTCTGTTTGATGTGTTGGAAAGATTCAGCGCTGCCCATCAATACGTTATTACGCTACTGAATTGAAATGTGAATATTGATGAAAATAGCTTGGATTTTGCATTTCCCATTACGGCTCGCCCCTGTATGAGCAATTCGCAGCAGCTGAAGGTCTCATACATAAAATGGGCGTTGGAGTCAATAAAGAGTGGCCAGGCAAGAGTGGTCAGGCTAAGCTACAGTTTACTTCGCCTTGCAAACTCTTATTATCTTCATAAACATTAGGGTTCTTCTTGGTGTGGGTATCATTAATTTTGTCAGTCAGAGCTAATTGAAACTTCAGGTTTACTCTGCTCCAGATTTGGCAGAATTAATAAAAGATCGACCTTGTTCATCTGTTTTGCCTCAATAAACAAATTTTTTTTAAAAAAAAATCTGTTTTGCCAGATTCGACTATATAAAAAGTGATGATCATCCCACCTTTTCTAATACATGTCTAATGTACTTTTCAAGGCGCACCCAATGATACTAAATATAAAGAGGGTTATGATTGAACTTACTGAGAAATGTTTGAAAATATGAAATGAGGTTTTTGACCAAAATGTCAAAATGTCACATATAAAGCTCTAATAATCAAGGTTTCAGGGGTTGCTCTGAGTCCATAGAAACATTTTGAATCAATGTATGCCTTAGTAAAAGTCGTCGTTTTTGCGGTCAAAATCGCGATCGTTTGATTTTTGATGAAAACTATGAGGTACCCCTGGGGGTGGCTAACGTACCAACAAAATATGATTTCCCATGGACACACTTTGGTTAACGTACTAACAAAATATCCTCTTCATTCGCCATACATTTTTTTTTCGATCCTGACATGTCAACTAAATCTAACATTGTATTTGATCTCTTGTATAAGACAAGTAGCCGATCGATCTTGCTACGCTGGATGACGGCGTTGCCCTGCGGGCTCTCGCCGAAAACATTTCAATTCAGAGATATCACATAAATCTTAGACATACAATTAATAGTGAGAGATTATTGTCATTGCAAAAGACACTTTTACAAGGAGAAACTCTGAACAAAAGTAAATATATATACATATATTTGGACAAAGTAACTGTTCTTTCAAATATATGACCTCCATTGGGTCAGTATCGCAATTATCATTGTCATCATCAGAAAGGCATTCGGTTAAGCCAGCATCAGCGAGGCCTGCCAAAATCAACTCTTTTTCGACTTGATTGAACTCTTTTGCGAGATTCGACTATATGGATTGTGAAGATCACCCTACGCTAACTAATACATTCTTGGGGTACTTTTCAAGGCGCTTCCAATGGTGTCAAGTAAAATAGATGTTTTGACTGAAATTATTGAGCAATTTAATAAAATTTGAAATGAGGTTTTTAACGAAAATAGCCATATTTGGCATATGAAATCCTCATAAAAGTAGTTTCAGAGGTTGCTTTGAATCGAGAGAAACATTTTGGTTTAATGTATACCATAGTAAAAGTCTCCATTTTCAAAGTGAAAAATGCGATCGTTTGATTTTCGATGAAAACCACGAGGGGTACCCCATGGTTTTTGGTCGATTTTTGGCCATGTTTTTTTTTGGTCTAAAAAGTTGAGCAAAGGTGTCAGGAAGTTATTGTTACTCGAGTACAATTGTTTGGCGTTATTCTAGTGGCTCAGAAAGGTCTATATGTCAAGATATGAAGGCTTGAAAACCGTCCAATTTGGTTATGTTTTGCTTTATAGCTTTTATTTACACGGCATGAATCACATCTTTGGTAGCTGCAATTTACTGGAAGGGCAGTTCTGCAGTCTGTGCAACTTCTAAGTCGAACAGAAAGCATATTGATTTTGGTAAAGCTAATTCAGGCAAAGTTTGACGCGATATATTGCTGGTAAGCTTATTAATAATGGAAATGAAAACCCATTAAGACTAATATCATCAAATGCTGGCTTAGATTTAGTATCGCTACGCTTGACGACGGTGTCATCTTGCGGGCTGTTGCCGTAGACTTTTCAAATCAGTAATAATAAAAACCTTCTATATAATTTGATTTCAAATAATTAATTATTAATTTAGGGAATGAGAAATCGAATTTGCTGCTAAATACTATGGTTTTGAACCTTCGCTTCGCTGCGATCAAGCCCTTATATAGATCAATGCTACCAAGTATTGGATTAGACGTCTGGTTACCATGGCTTCGAACCTTTGCTTCAATACGGTAAACCCTCTCTATAAACCAATGCTATCAAGTGTTGAATTGAACGCATTATTATGTTCTTGGAGATAATGAGGTCGCATTCTTCTTAGCTCTGACATGAAAGCGACAGGTGCTCTCGGTGGTCTCGTTGCTCTGGATGGTCTCAATACAGCTCTTTGTCTGCCGTAGTTTCGGGCACGTTCCTGAAACAAAAATTCTTAAGATTTATTCGAATGCTTGTTTTTCATTTCTTTTGATTTATTTATCAAATTTCTCTATTTACTCTACATAAATCACACTTTCGAAATTTGAAATCTTCAGATAGAGCAACTCTACAGGTTACACAGTTTCTAACTTGAACAGGAGGCATAACAATTCGATTTGATATTAATAAAAGATATTTGCAATGTAAAATGCTTGATGTTCTTGGTGGAGGGGCTTAGGTGCAAAATCATAGTGTTCAAGCAGCATATTCGGTTTCTCATTTCCATTATTAATAAGCTTACCAGCAATATATCGCATCAAACTTTGCCTGAATTAGCTTTACCAAAATCAATATGCTTTCTGTTCGACTTAGAAGTTGCACAGACTGCAGAACTGCCCTTCCAGTAAATTGCAGCTACCAAAGATGTGATTCATGCCGTGTAAATAAAAGCTATAAAGCAAAACATAACCAAATTGGACGGTTTTCAAGCCTTCATATCTTGACATATAGACCTTTCTGAGCCACTAGAATAACGCCAAACAATTGTACTCGAGTAACAATAACTTCCTGACACCTTTGCTCAACTTTTTAGACCAAAAAAAAACATGGCCAAAAATCGACCAAAAACCATGGGGTACCCCTCGTGGTTTTCATCGAAAATCAAACGATCGCATTTTTCACTTTGAAAATGGAGACTTTTACTATGGTATACATTAAACCAAAATGTTTCTCTCGATTCAAAGCAACCTCTGTGTTGAGTCTGTAGCGGTTGCGAACATTCAGTAACTCAGCAAGAGTCGGATCATGATTTACATTGTTTCTCACTGTCTACATTAGGACATTAGGTTCGACACAGAAGTGAATCATATAATCGATTATGATGGTCTCTGATAGTGAAGGATAATGATGGCTACAGATCGTATCATCATGGCTGATTGAACGAATCGGATCCTTCAATTGACTGATATTAGATAAACATGATACGATGTATTGACTCAGTTGAAACAACAAGATAGATTGATGATTCATCAGTAATGAACTCTTATAAATAGGATGTGTTTGAATCAATTAATAAATCTTTAAGTTTTCGTATCTGGTTACTTTTTATAGTCTTCCTTTTTTGAAATCTATCTTAATTTGTTAATACTGTATCTTTGAATACAACACTCTGAAACTACTTTTATGAGGATTTCATATGCCAAATATGGCTATTTTCGTTAAAAACCTCATTTCAAATTTTATTAAATTGCTCAATAATTTCAGTCAAAACATCTATTTTACTTGACACCATTGGAAGCGCCTTGAAAAGTACCCCAAGAATGTATTAGTTAGTATAGGGTGGTCATTACAGCTTACATAGTCGAATTTCATAAAGTAATTTAAAGAAGTCGACAAAAGACAAAATCTATCCTATCTTGAGCAGAAAATATAAACTGGGTTTGAATTGATTTTAGCGGGCGGTGCTGCTGCTGGCTGACCTAAAGGCCTTTCTGATGATGACAATAATGATTGCGATGCTGATTAAATAAGGATCATGGAATTGAAAGGACAACTGCTTAGAGCAAAAACTTCTTTTTTGGGAGATTTGCCTCACGAAGGTGTCTTTTGCAATGACAATATCTCAAAAAAAAATCGCTGTAGATTTTACACAAGTCCTGTATTTACACATAGCCAGCTTTATGTTTCCATCCTCTCTTCCTCCTGGCTCTGATATAACCTTTCTTTTACTATTGATTAATTTTTTTTTAAAATTTACTTGATATACCAAAATTTTATTATATCTGATTTAAAATGTCTTTGGCGAGAGCTCGCAGGGCGAAGCTTACATCGAGCGTAGTGAGATAGATCGGCTAGTATATATATTAGATATTTCGCAGAATCAGGAAGTAATGTAGCTATGCTGTCTGCCAATATAAGAATTGTTCCTTTAATACAAACTTGGAGCACTCGAGGCAAAGCAGGTCGGATGGTATAGCTGCTTCCATACGACAAGATATCAAGGCAGAATTTGCAAGCGTAGAAACAAATGTGATTGAGGATAGTGAGGCATTGAGCGATTTGATAACTCAGGAAGGCAGCGTCTAGGTAACTTTTTCTGGACGCGACAAAGCATCGCAAGCAATGTCTCACCAGTGTTTGTATATGGAAAATCGAAAGAGAAGCCTTAAAAGCATTGCAAATACTACCAAGAAGTCAAAGATTCAAGATTGAGAAAGAGGTAATTGGTGATAAACGTCAAACGACAAATGCAAATAGTGAATTGCGAGTTATGTGAGCGTATCTTGATCAACTAGCCTTAAGTCAAGTTGATGCTGGTGGTTTGCTTTCGGCAGACACACAGGTAGGATATCTGCAGGCACCGTTACTAGAGGAATTGCATTAGTCGAAGAAGGTTGAGCTTAGGCACACTAACATGACTGCATGACGTACAATTCTTTTGAATTACATATGAGCCATGTTAATGTCTGTGGTAGGCATTGTCTTGCTATAAGAAACATTGAAACATTGCATTTTGCAAGTAACTTTAAAGTAGATCTTGCTAATTGCATCGACATTCGCATCTACATCTACATTTTCATTTGAAGGCACGATACAGAGACTCATTTGCAATCGCTTTCGAGTACATAAGGCTCGGCTGAGCATCTGAGCAGTGTTTCAACGATAAAGAGGGGCAGGCAACAAAGCAGGATGCAGCTTGGGGCACGCAATCAACAAGGAGCATCTATGGAGATCATATTGGGATGTGAGTGGGATTTATTGCGGAGTTGCGGTGTGCTCCCGAACCGGGCGAAATTTTGCTTGCTTCTATCAGCATCAAGAAGCAGAGCTTTCGAAGAATCCTTCCTTTTTGCATCTTTAAGTATGGTATGTATTAGAAGGGGAACATGGCACATCCATCCATCCATCAAATAGCGCAATGTTGAATCAGAAATACATGGGAATCGATGGATAAATCAAGTTGCTTCAGCAGAAAAAAGGAAGAAATATATCATCATTGGATTTTGATTCTTCAGATGGATCGACAATTTATTCACGACGCCTTGACTGTGTTGATACACCAACTTGCTGCTTATTTGATAATGCTGCTGGAGAATGCTGTGTGTAGTGCGATTATGGAACGTAACATTAACGATTTCTTTTGATCTTTCATCCAGGCTGACGAGCAAACTACTCCCAGAAAGAGAACTTTCCGTAAGTTTACCTACCGTGGTATCGACCTCGAACAACTCTTGGACTTGTCCTCTGAACAGGTAAATAGCGATTCTGAAAGATAGAGTGCAGGGAAAGAGAGAAATAGAGACAGGATATTGATCCACTGTGCATATCTTCTAGTTCATGGAGCTCGTTCACTGTCGTGCTCGCAGAAGATTCCAACGTGGTCTTAAGCGTAAGCCTATGGGTCTCATCAAGAAGCTCCGTGCTGCCAAGAAGAACGCCCCTGCTGGTGAGAAGCCTGAGGTCGTCAAGACCCATCTCCGTAACATGATCATCGTTCCTGAGATGATCGGTTCCATCATTGGTATCTACAACGGTAAGGTCTTCAACCAAGTTGAAATCAAGCCCGAGATGACTGGCCACTACCTCGCCGAGTTCTCCATCTCTTACAAGCCTGTCAAGCACGGTCGTCCCGGTATTGGTGCTACTCACTCTTCCAAGTTTGTTCCCCTCAAGTAAATGTTATATTTCATGTATATGTTACTTTAAAATCCACATTTCATAAATAAATAATAAAAAAAAAAGTTGAATCTGCCAAACTGAATATAGAGATGTGTGTGTAAGCTAATTCATGATGGGAGTAAGTATGATTTTGATGCATGATTTACACCTTTTGTCAAGATGTTGGGCAAAAAGGGCACCTTGATGTGACCTTTGGATGTGACCTTTTTCCTTTTGAAATAGAAAAAAAAAAAAAAGCTATACATTCCAAAATTTTCTATACATCATTGACATTTCAGTGTCTTTTTGTTCATAAATCTATCACAGTAATGACTGATCAAACATTCGCAGCATTTGACCTTGATCCTCGTTTGGCTAGAGCTATAGCTCAATTGGATTTCACTCGCCCAACCCCCATCCAAGCACAAGGTATCCCTCTTGCCCTTGCTGGTAAGGATATTCTTGCTCGTGCTCGCACTGGAAGTGGTAAAACAGCTGCCTATGCCATGCCCATTGTACAAAAGATTTTGGCTGCCAAAGAGGTAAGCTAGATGCACATTAGAGCCGGGATCGCTAACTAACAATCATGCATTTGTAGTCATTGGATGCCGAGGCCTCTATCAAAGCTTTGATCTTAGTACCTACGAGAGAGTTGGCTGAGCAAGTGACAAACCACATCAACAAGCTTTTAGTCTATGCAAACCAAGTTGTCAAGGTTGTCAATTTGGCCGGTCAAATCTCTGCACAGCTCCAAAGGTATGTTTGATAGTGGATCAACGAGCATGATGGATACTGAGCTGAGTACTATTAGACCTTTGCTTGCAGAGAAACCCGACATCGTTGTTGCAACACCCAGCAAAGCATTGACTCATCTTGAAGCCAACAACATGGATTTGAAGGAATCACTTGAAAACCTTGTTATCGACGAAGCTGATTTGGTCTTGTCATTCGGCTATGAGGATGATGTTCGCAAAATTTTGAGCTATTTACCCAAGATATACCAAAGTTTCTTAATGTCTGCCACATTCACCAAAGAAATCGAACAATTGACAGCTCTCGTTTTGCGCAAACCCGCCATTTTAGCTTTGGAAGACACCCAGGAAGAGACTGATGCGTTAACACAGTACGTCGTCAAATGCACCGAGTTTGAAAAGTTCTTGTTTGCCTTTGTCATTATCAAATTACGTCTGATCAAGGGCAAAATATTGTTGTTTGTCAATGACATCGACCGCTGTTATAAGCTGAAGCTTTTTTTGGAGCAATTCTCCATCAAATCCTGTGTACTCAACTCGGAATTGCCATTGAACTCTAGATATCACATTGTAGAGGAATTCAACCGCGGCATCTACGATTACTTGATCGCTACAGATGAATCCGAGTTGAAGGGAGAGCAAGATAGCGATGATGAGGACGAGGATGCTAAGGAACAAGAAGATCAAGAGGAGGAAGAGGTCAAGTCAGACAAAAAAGGTAGTAGTTGAATGATTTTCACAAGGGATCAAGAGTGCTAACATTGGGGGGGTGTTGTTAGCTCACAAGGGCAAAAAGGTCCAACGTGATAAGGAATATGGTGTTTCTCGTGGGGTTGATTTCCAAGGTGTTGCAGCCGTCATCAACTTTGATTTCCCTACATCTGCCAAAGCTTATACTCATCGCATTGGCCGTACCGCTCGTGGTGGTCAGCGTGGTATGAGTTTATCCTTTGTTGTCACCAAAGATTTAGTGGAGGATAAGAAAGAAGTTGCTCGTGGAAAGGGGGTCTACGATGATCCAGTGTATCTTCGAGTCAAAAAACAGCAAGAAGCCAAGGGAGCTGAATTGAAACCTTACAGTTTTGAAAAGAAGAATGTCTCTGGTTTCAAATATCGTGTGGAAGATGCATTAAAAGCAGTGAACAAAGTGGCAGTGAAGGAGGCCCGTATCAAAGAAATCAAGCGAGAGATCCTGAATTCCGAGAAACTGAAAGCACATTTTGAAGACAAGCCTAAAGATTTGGAGTTCTTGCGTCACGACCATGCTCTCCAACCTGCCAAGGTACAAGATCACTTGAAGCACATTCCTTCCTATTTAATGCCCCGTATTGCTGTTCCTACTGCAATGGCCAATTCTGAGCCCATTGATGTGCCATTCAAAAGCCAAAAGCGCAAAAGAGGCAACTTTAAGAAGGGAGCCAACAAGGTAAGACATGCGCAAACTCAGGGATGTCTCAGTTGCTTATCATCTCATCTCTACATAGAAACGCAAGGATCCATTGAAGGTTATCAAGCGTCGATAAATACATAAATTAGAACAAAACGTCTGTAACATAGAATATTTTAGCATGTCAATAAATAATGATCAAATTCAACGAATTTTTTTACTGTTCAAAACTTTTGTTTCAAGTGCACCAAAGTATTGCTAAACCTTGTGCCTTGATGATTGGTATTTTGCCTTTAAAACGGTTAACAAATTAAGGTACTCATCTACTCTGGAGACAAAAAGTCAGATATCGGGAGCCGCGTAAAGTTGCTTTTAGGCCGAGGTTCTTGATCCTGATCTTCGTCCTGGTGGCGAGTAAACATGGTGGTGGTGTTTGGCAAACGCTTCAGCGAAGATGTGTCGCTCCGAATCGGGATTTTGATGCCTTGCTTTGAAAAGCACTTTGAAAGAGGAGTTGATTCTATGCACATTTAATCACAAAAGAATGGAGATTTGTTTACACATGGCATGTAGTTTACCTGTTAATCCAGGAAACTGTTTCAAGGAAGGGAGCTTTAGTTAGTATAGCTGCCTCTTTTTTTTTTTTTTTAATATACCACAGATTGGATAAAGTTTAAACTTATTTTTACCTTTTTCGCAGGATATACTGAAAAGGGAGTTGAAAAGACCTCTTGCTGGATTCGCGTACTCATAGTAAGGGGTTCACTACAGTGTATTTGGTTAATCATTTGACATTTATATATAAATTAAATGTTTGCTAGCAAACATTTGGTATTACCCGGCAGCAAGATTTGCAAACACAAATTTAAGAACAAATGTGCCCTCGGTTCTGACGGACAAATCATGAAATATGAAATATGTGCCAGGCTCATTGTTTTCATTGTACAAATGATAGGCATTTGACACACTGGATCCTAGTAGATTTCGGACATATTCGGGCTTATCATTAGATGAATTTGCAGACCATGGCGTATACACTAGTGTCCTGTTCTCAGTTTTGCCTACATTGTACAGCTCACATTGGACCAAGAACAAGATGGAGTCCTCTGGTCTGTATAACAATGGTGAGTAACATTGACGAGGGCGGATAAACGTAGTCTTACTTTAAATCAATTGGATTGCCATCTTGATCTTTGGAAGAGAGTTGCAAAATGGGAGGTGGATCAATGGGTCTGCGATCCTTTTCGCCAAATCCACAGCATCTGGCTCGAATGGGATTTTGCACCACTTCTATACAGAGATAATCTTGTTAGTATCTCCTTTTACCTAATTGTGTCTGAATCCCGTAAGTTACCCAAGGTGTAAGAGACGTCTAATTGACTTGGTCGCAGCAGCTTCAAAGGCGGTGGAATGTTGTGTATTGACTGGTTCATGGGAGATGCAAGAAATGGCACTGATATTTCGGTTTGATTTGATTTGATTTGATTTGACAATGGATGTGTACCTTTTTTTTTTTTTTTTTGCCTCTCACAAAAAGTTTATTCCATATAGAAGAGAGAAAGAACGTTTGATGAACAATTGGGATCCAGTTATTATGAATATACGATTCACAGAGGGAGATGCAAATTTGACGAAACGCAAAAGAAAAGAAACAAAGAAAGAAATAAAAAGGAAAAATAAAAAGGAATTACGGAATAAAAAGCAAAACAGGATGTCTTCTTTTTATATACTTTTTTGCTGTCACCTCGATTTTTTCGCCATGTTCCAAAACGGTTCATGACAAGCTTGAAAACAGTAATCATGTAGTCGTTTTGTGCAATGTTCTTTTTTTCTTCAAATTTACTAAATCCAATTGTAAATTGCACAAGGGTATTTTACGTTTCTTGTAATTAAAACGAGTGGGCCAACCATACCGAATTGCCTGGATGCACAGAGTTGCGTCTATCCTCATTTTGGCGGTGATCGTCGTCGTCGTCGTCGTCGTCGTCGTCGTCCTGATCTTCTTGGTCTTGGTCGGATACCTTGATCGAGATGTCTGAATTGCTTTGAGTAGATAGGGTAGATGTAGTAGCACTGGCCGTATTGCCATCGTCATCTGCCTGTTTGATTTCGAAACAAGTAGGTGGCGGAATGACCATATTAGGCGCTGAGGCGTGTCCAATGAGATCCCCTTTAATTCCCACTCTATAAAGCGCTTGGGATAATGTGCCCATTCTAAATGTCAACAATGTTGGTCAGTTTGTCAAAACTTAAACTTTGCCCTATTTACCTCGCATAAAACATTTGGAGCTTTAATCTTATCGACTCCTGATACAGATCAGGTATCGTACGCCCATTGTAGTAGCCTTGTCTGATATTACGAATAAACATGTAGAACTCACACACAGACACCAATCTGTCACGGCAATAGCGATCAATGCAAGCCCAATCATCCAACATGGAGATACGGAATCGATATGGCAAATCTGTCGTATTCCTTCCGCATGCCTGACATCCAGAAAATGGGGCTGTGGCAGGTGTGCTGAGTCGCTCCCAGATCATATTTTTCGCTGCTGATATTTTAAGAGGAACATCGTACGGTCTTTTCGCTTGGTCTTGTGCAAATCCATATGGCGCTTCCTCTATGAAACATGTGTTCAACAAGATGGCTTCATATAGTTTCTTTGCTGATAGCCGAGAATTGGGTCCAAATCGGAGACAGGGTTCAACATCCTCGGTCAGACTATTCTTCATGTAAGGTGTCCCATGAAGTTTTCGAATAGGCACTGATTCACCTGATTCAGCAAATTCCTTGAATTCGTTCAAAACCAGGGGGTCAGTTGGATCCTCCTCTTGTGTGTCGTCCTGGTGATTGAATAGGCCCGCCATGTCTCTCGATGCTCGCTTGTTTTGGCTATCCTCCTCCTCTGAAGCAGTAGAAATGCAGCTACCATTGGTGCTGAGTCGATGCTCTCTTTTATGCTGCTCTTCCATGTCTCCCATTTTCAATTTCAGTTCTTTGAGTTGCATCTCTTCCACTTCCATCTGATGTCTGCAGTGCTCCAATTCTTGCTTCAAATGCTGATACTGAATTTCAAGCAGGTGCTTTGCTCTCTTTTCTGTAGCTACCATACCATTCGCTTCCTCAAACAGCTTCTGCGATAATTCCTCCAGTTCATTCTCCACATCTGCTTTGGCCTGCTTTGCCTTGTCTGCCTCCTTCTTTTCAGTTTCATATTTCTGCTGTAAAACGGCCATGTCTCTTTTCATGTTGGCATATTGCTCCTTGGTCTTTTGCAACTGATCTCTTGTCTCTTGGTATTTTTTCTGCTGAGCGGCTAGTTCGTTTTGATTCGTCTTTGATTTAGCTTGCTCCATTGTGAGTTTATCTTTCAGTTCAGAGATATTCTTGCGCTTCCTTTCTCGGTCTTGCTGTATTTCTGATAGAATGGGTATAACATCATCACACAGTGCACAGTGCTTGGAGTCTTTGGAAACCAAGATGTGATGACAAGGACAATCAGGCTTCAAGGGTGTACTTCTATTCAAACTTGAAGAAGTGGTGGGCGTGATAGGAAAGTCGTTTTTTGTTTCGAGTCGAGGTGATTTGGGCACGTTGTCGATCATGGTCTGCAGATGCGAGTAGAGATTGGCAATGTCTTTTGTTGTCACGGGCTTCTCGTAGGATCCACGTCCCTCCTCGCTTGCTGCTGGAGAAGACATGTTGTTCAACTGAAAAAAGGTGAAAAAGATAATGACCCACTTTTTTCCTCTGTTCTTCAATCAGGTTGCTCAGAAACGGGATTGGCTCGTTTTTAGATATTTGTTGGAGAGAGAAATCGAGGCTAACTTATCCAAGCGATTGGATCAGAAACATGTTTGGTGGTGATAAAACATCCGAGATTCCGTGGGTCTTTTTTTTTTTTTTTTTTTATATATTCTCCATCATGTTCAAATGTTTGAATTGCACTTGTATACTAGAATCAAGCCGCTTATGTAAGATGTTCGGTACAGTCTAAATTGATGGTGGTACATTGCTTATTACATGCTCTGGATATCACTGAGAGATGAGGCCATCTTGTTACTGAATTCTTGGATTTCTGCCATCTTCCTCTAATTGCATTTCTTTTATTTTTTGCAGAAAAGCTAGTTCTGTCATGTTTGCTTCCCCTGATCAAATGCTGAATAGGAATGAGACCTGCATTTATTCGACGAGTCGACATCAAACATCTCTGCACTTGAAACATTCCTCTGAAAAGCAACACGCACCCTTTATTCACATGCTATTTCAGTTGGCATGACCATCAAATGTGATACTACCACCCTCTGGTAAATGTGTTGTTGTTCATTGATCAAACGTACAGGCGAAAGGGATAGCTTGAGATATGCAAAAACACGCGATTGATCTTGGAAGCCGCACATTTTGCAAATCTTGTATATTTCCTCATACTGAAGAGGAATGCTATGCACTGGAGTCAGTCGGCGTGCCCTTAAAAATGCTTGGATGCACTGCAGTATACTCTGGCTTGATAATTGATTGTATATCTCAAGATGATAATGATGATGACCTTCAAACGTGTTGGTTGGTTATGAAGCAGCAGCACAGAAAAACTGTAATTAACACGCAAACTTGACAGAGACTGGTACAAGCGACTGAACATACCATATGCTGAAACGATTATCACCCTACTACAAGTGTTCACTCAAATTGATTTGGCAGCATAATAGTATGCGTCTATTTCACATTAATCCTGCTTGATGGAAAGTGAAACGATGCCACGACAACTGATTTGATTCTTTGAGCGCTGCAGACTTTGCTGGTGAATATGAATGCGGCAACAGTTTGGGCATCGCTTGTCTATACGATACATCTTTCTAGGTTGCCCTGGCACATGAATCATCATCAATTGTAAAATTAGACATTTAAGGTTCTACAGTTTGGTGTGACCCTTACGAAATCAAAGCGTGTGTGAAATAACTGAGAGTACAGCACCCTTAAAATGCTTCCCTGAATCTCCCTCTCCCTTTTCTTTTCTTTTCCAAACTTGTTTCTTTCCCTTTGCTCTATACATCACCAAAAATGACAAAACCCGATTTACAGCATGACATGGGTCAATTACTGATGTGTGGCTTTGATGGTTTGGAAGCGACAGAGGGCATTCTGGACCTGATTCGTCATCACAACCTAGGCTCCATCATCTTCTTTTCTCGCAACATTGAGTCTCCTGAACAAGTACAGCGTTTAACTCATACACTGCAAAAAGCCGCCAAAGAAGCAGGTCATGCTCGCCCTCTGTTGATTGCTGTGGATCAAGAAAACGGCGTTGTGCGTCGCTTGGGATCGAGTGGTACGTACCTGCCTGGAAGCATGGCCTTGGGCGCTATCGACTCTACAAGTGCAGCCTATCAAGTCGCGACCGCGACTGCCAAAGAGTTGCTTGCATTGGGTATCAATTGGAATCTGGCACCTTCCATGGATGTGAATAACAACGCTTTGAATCCTGTTATTGGCGTTCGTTCGTTTGGTGAGAATCCACATTTGGTAGCCAAGTTGGGCTTGGCTGAGATAGAGGCCTATCATCGACATCACGTCGCAACTAGTATCAAACACTTTCCAGGCCATGGTGACACGGCTACGGATTCACATCTTGGTGTACCTGTGATTGATAAAAGCTTGCATGAATTGGAACAAACGGAACTTGTTCCTTTTACGCACTGCATTGACGCTCAGAGCGACGCTCATCCCACATCGGTCATGATTGGCCACATCGCTCTGCCTCAAATCATTGCGGAAGAGAATCGTCCTGCTTGTATCGCATCGGAAATTGCCACCGATTTGCTACGAACGAAGCTCGGCTATCAAGGTATTATCATTACAGATTGTTTGGAAATGGATGCTATCAAGGATACAGTCGGATCTGCTCGTGGTGCAGTGATGGCTCTGCAAGCAGGGAACGACATTAGCATGCTCTCCCATACACTCAGCTTCCAACAAGACGCTTTCAAATTGCTGGGCGAAGCTATTCAGGAAGGGACGCTGAACGAGGATGCTTTGAGTGCTTCTTTGAGTCGAGTAGCCGCTCTCAAGGATCGCTTTCTTAGTTGGGATGAAGCTCTTAAAAAGCAAGATTTGACTGACGTTGGATGCAAAGCACATTTGGAACTGAGCGAGCGTCTTTACAACAAGGTGCCTACTGTGGTGCGTGATCAGCAGCAGTTGCTCCCCATCAAGCCATCTCAGGACGACAAGATTTTGTTCTTGGCTGCTGATGTGCCTCTAACGCTTGCCATTGACTCGGAAACAGAGCCCTTCAACTCAATGTACGACTCGTTATATCGTCGCCACAGCAATACCGAATACATCATCTTTAAGCAAAATACACCAGACTTGACAGATGCTATCAAATCTGCCACTATTGTGATTGTTGGCACAGCAAACGGCAACTTGCACCCTTTCCAAGCTGATTTGGTTAAATTGGCTTCATTGCACGCAAAGAAATTAATTGTGATTGCAGTAATTAACCCTTACGATTTGATGGCTTTCCCCTCCATCAGCACCTATTTAGTCACTTATGAGTACACTCCTCCTGCTCATGAAGCTGCTGTTCGCTTGATCTTTGGTGAAATCCCTCAGTCCAATCATCTTCCTATCACCATCCCAAATACAGACGCACATGCTGCTCAAGAACATTGGACGATCGTCCCTTACACGGATCAAGATACCAAACAAGCGCATCGTCTCTGGAGTAGCATCTACAACAAGTCGTGGCCTCTCTCTTTGGAAAAATTCTCTCTTGTTCTCTCTCGCCTACAAAAGCCACGCCATTTTTGCGTTTACAGCCAAGATGTACTAGTGGGATTTGCAGCAACACAGACCATTGAAAAGACAGGCCAACTCGCTCTGTTGATTGTTCATCCTGACTACCAACGCCAAGGCATTGGAACCAGACTCAATGATCACTGCTTGGATATGTTCCGGGAGGAGGGCGCCACACGAGTCATGCTTGGATCTAGCTATCCACGTTTCTTTTGTGGTGTCCCAGACAATGATATATTAGGCCAACAAGCTCAAGGTTTTTTCAGTCGGCGCGGGTATACACTGACTCAGCATGTTTGGGACCTGATGGGCGATATCAGGAACTACACCATCCCGGCTGCATTAACGGCTCGAATGGAAAAGGAAGGCATTTGGTTTGGCACCATTGATCCCACTGAAATAGGAGACTTGATAGCATTTCAAAAGCGCTACTTTGAATACTGGGTATCCACATATGAACACCATGCTCATCTAGGCGATTATCAAGACTTGGTGGTGGCACGAGAAGGAGATAAGGATGGCAACATTGTAGGAAGCTTGATTTTGTTTACTACTGAAGGCTCTCACGAGTACCGTACAGATTTGATTTGGACAGATGATAGCTTGTTTACAAAAAAGAGTGGCGGAATGGCATGTGTTGGCGTCGCTACAGAGGAGAGAGGAAGAGGCATTGGCATTGGATTGGTCTCTTATGCTAATCAGACGCTCAAGGAACGCGGAGTGGATGTATCCTATGTAGACTGGGTTGAACTAATTGATTTCTACAGTCGCACTGGATACCAGAAATGGAGAAGCTACAGACTTGGAGCAATGAAATAAGCTACTGTAATTGTTTATGTCGCACGTGGTTGTATCTATATAATAAAATGAATCCCCTGTTTGCTCCCTTTCTGTCTTTCTTTCTCTTTCTTTTTTCATATACAAAATAACAATTCCTTTCCTTCAACTCTTATAAGCTCCTCCTCTTTTCTATATCAAAGATCATGGCTCTGGCAGCCCATCAACAAACACCTCCACAACCTCAACATGATTACTTTTCAAGTAAACCTGATGGTTTCCATGTGGAGCAGCAACAACACTCTCACAACATAATGTCACTCATTCCAGCCTCTAACGAAAAACCACGCTCCATACTCACCAATACTAATAATTCCATCTCTACTGTTAATACACCATCTATCCACGAATACCCAATTACGACTTCTATTACTACTACTTCTACTACTAATGAACATTTGTATCAGAACGAAGCTAACAGACAGTTCAGTCTGCCCCGCTCTCAGCTGTCTCTAGGTCAGAGTGCAGAGACAGATCCAACGCCTTACTCGGACATGGACGCTATTCCACCCCCAGGTCCAAAGCGATACTCCACCAGCTTCAATCTGGCGCCTGCTTCATCATTCAAAAAGAACGCTCAAACAAAGCAAAAAAACCGACTTACCAGAAATCACACAACTGCCGGCACATCTACAGAAGCTGTGAGCGAGGATTTCGCTAAAGAACTGTCTGCTAGACAAAAGGCATTCCGTCGTTTATCCCGTCGTAAGCCTCTAGAGGAAGATGAAGACCGAGTTTTGATGGGTACTCGTATTTCTGAAGGCCATCAAAACTACATTCTAATGTACAACATGTTGACTGGTATTCGTATTGCTGTCGGACGAGTCTCGGCAAAAATAGACCGACCTCTAGTAGAGCAAGACTTCTCGGCTGCTCACAAACTAGCATTTGATGTGTAAATGATTTTCCCCCCTGTGCCGTCCAGTAGACTGTGTCATTAACAAATTGTCTTTTTTTTTTTTTTTTTTATAGCACAGGTGATGAGCTAACACCTGGAGCCAAGTATGATTTCAAGTTTAAAGATTATGCACCTTGGGTCTTCCGTGCTTTGCGTGAGAGATTTGGTATTGATCCAGCAGATTATCTGGTAAAAATGACGAATTTCCTGTCAAGTTTAAAACCTATTGACGCATTTATTCTGTATCTAGATTTCTTTAACGAGTAAATATATCTTATCTGAGCTCGCTTCTGCCGGTAAAAGTGGTAGTTTCTTTTACTACTCGAGAGATTATCGCTTCATCATCAAGACTATCCACCATACAGAGCACAAGTTCATGAGAAAGATTCTCAAGGAATACCATGATCATGTTTCCTCGAATCCAGATACCCTGCTTTGCCGTTACTATGGTCTTCATAGAGTCAAGTTACCCCATGGTCGCAAAATCCATTTTGTCGTCATGGGCAATGTATTACCACCCAACAAAGATATCCACGAAACTTATGATCTCAAGGTAAAAAAAAAAAAAAAAAAAAAAAAAAAAAAAAAAAAACCTTCATCTCGGCTTGTAGATGTACAAATGACTGACTTAGCTCTCTCTGTAGGGCTCAACTATCGGCCGTTTCTTACCTGAAGAAGAAATCCGCAAAAATCCCTATGCTGTCATGAAGGACTTGAACTGGGAAAAGCGAGCTGCCAAACTACAACTTGGTCCTGTCAAGCGCAAACTCTTCATCACTCAATTATTGCGAGATGTCAAATTGCTGGTGCGTATGAATATCATGGATTACAGTTTGATGATTGGTGTCCATGATATTGTCCGTGGTAACAAGGACAATGTCCGCAACTCCACATTACAAACCTTCCAGGTAAATTTGAGCCACAAACAGCACTATTTATAGATTTGCATGCTCACCACATCTAAATAATGCATAGCCAAATACTAAATTAGCAGAACGTCGTGCTTCTATGATGAAACGTCGTGAAAGCAAAGCCATGGTCTATCGAAAGGTAATCATGGAAGCTAATCCTGATCGTCTCAATGCCTCTGAATTACCTGATACGCTTTTTGATGAGTAAGTTGTGTGTGTGTATGCATTTGGCCTAAGCTGCAGATCTAACATGAACCATAGACGTCGTAATTGTGCATTCTACTCTGACGATGGTGGCTTCCAAGCAACGGATGAAAAGAATAGAGCAGCACCATCTCTTTACTTTTTGGGTATCATTGACATCTTAACGCCTTACGATCTCAAGAAGAAATCCGAGCATTTCTTTAAATCAATAACTCAGGACAAGAATGAAATCTCTGCTGTCAAGCCCAAGGTCTATGGTAACAGATTCATGGGTTTCATGGCCAAGAAAGTCTTGGAACACAACGAAGATATCCCTCATGAGTACCAAATAGAGTCCTCTCCTGAATCCAAAAAATCAGTTTAACAAATCATATTTATCTATTCTATTCTTATTACTCAAAAATAAAATGTATATTGCCATAGCTGATAATGGTATGTAATTCTAAGCTGGCTCTTCTCAACATACAAGGCTATTTATATGTCATAAACAGGTTTGAGCAGGCTTGTTTGCAATCACGTTCAACTAAGCATTCCTCCTAAAAGAATAAAATGCCTATTTAAAGAAAGGCGACATCCATCTCTAGGATGGAAGGTAACTATACATGTGTTAGCATCGGGTGCAGTCTGACTCTCTTGAATCAGTGCATGCACGGGCGCAAAAGAGCGTGGAATGCCACAATCAGATTGAAAAATATCTCCCATGCTCTTGGTATTAACAAATGCTAGCATTATGGAATATTAACCATCTCATTTAATTTTACTGATTAGTATAACATTATAGAGAATGAATGCTTTTGTTCATCTCAGCAAAATACAGAAGTTTTATCAGTTGGCTTGCTAATGTGGCGCTCTCGACTCTTCACCATATGGAGCCTATCTAGAACTGTAGATCTGAATCATTGAAGATACTTCACGTCTATATCAATAGGCACAAATCATATGCGGGCAGGAAGCGTGCTTGCATTACCTTTTATTGCTCCAGAATATGCAAAGTAAAACGAGATTTTGATGCAATTAAGTCGTGTTTTCTAATCTCAAAAACCGTTTTAAACTGCCATAATATCAGTTATTTGCTGACACCACTGTTCGACTTTTTTTGGGATCGCCGAAAAGTACCTCTATACCATGAGGGGTACCTCATAAGTTTTGTTCAAAATCAAGCAATTGCGTGTTAGACCGTTAAAACGAAGACTTTTATTATAGCGTGCGAGTGTTCACGCTTCGAAAAAATACCCTCCTACGAAATCGTCAATTTTTGGCTAAATTTTGTCTGTAAAGCAAGGCGAAACTTGAGCGACGATTTTTTGGATGCACAAAGAAGAAGCTGTCGATTTCTCATGATACATTTATGCTGGAACTTCAAGGCAGGGCGCATTCAGTAGGGGTTTGTTTGCATTACGCTTTGATACGTACTACAATTAGATTCCTAATGACAGAAACGTGGTAATTTGTTAAAATCAACCAAAAAACCGCAGAAACTATTCTACCGAAAATCAGTTTAATAGCTTAAATCAGTATAACAATAAAGACATCTACCATTTAAGACCAGAGCTTCGTACAACGCTAAGTATCAGGATCATCAAATAGAAATGTGATTTACTTACTCGTTTAGCAATGCGAACTACAACGCCTTACTTATAGGCCAAATTCTGTCCAAATCTAACCATTTTAAAGCACGAATAACTCATGCCACAAGGCGCCTTGGGCTCTTGGAATAAGACCAAACAGCTCCTTTTGATTGCGCTTTACTTATTGATGCTTTATCTCAAATCTTTTTGGGTCGTTGCAAATCCATGAAAATCCTTATATTTTTCATGTGTATTAGTAAGGGAAAATTCTTGAAAATCAAACGATCGCGTTTTTCACCCCAAAAACGAAGACTTTTCCTGTAATACATATCAGACCAAATTGGTCGTAAAGATACAATGCAGCACTGGAAACTGTTTCTATGAGACTTGTATATGCTATATCTTGACATATTCGCAGAAAATCGGGTTTGAAATATTTGCAAATTGCTCATTAGTTTCGGTCTGAAAGCTGAACGTAATCAGCATCAATCGATGCGCCTTTATTGACTCTTTATAAACGCATTAGAAAGTAAAATATAGCAACGACAGTTTTCATAGTCAAATTCAGCAAAAACGTCTAAAGAATGTGAGATCAAATCAAATTTGAACACAAAAATGCCCACTGCACAATTTCAAATTAAAGTGCAGCAGTTGCAGCTGCCATGACAGAAGACTGAGATCAAATCTACTGGACGTGACGTCGGGTAGGCCGCCCTCTCGTTTTCCCGTACTCCCTTTTTTTACTATTTTTTTGCAAAACGCGTTTAGTATAAAACCATGCTGGACTGGGAGCCCTTTTGATTGAAAATAACACTTTAGCTTCTGATAACACGGGTTTGTACTGTTAGAAGTACTTGATACTGCTTCTTTGAAGCGGAATATTGTAGATACCAATTGATAACGAGCACTGGACGACATAGAATCGTCACTAATCGAATTTGCTTATTAGGTTCTCATAATTTTTTTACTTGTTTGACGTCGGTGCTGCTGCCATTACTTCTCTGCTATCTCTGCTGTCTGCTTCTTTGGTTTATTATGTCTAATAGCTGCTTCTCCGGTCCCTGTCTCTGGCGGTTGCTTCTTTAGTCTTTGTCTGGTCTCTGGTGTCGCTCGTTCTTCGGTTTTTCTATGATGTTGATGTCGTTGCTGCTGGTTTTGCTACTGGTGTTGCTACTGCTCTTGACACTGGCGTTGTGGCTACTTCTGTTTCTACTGGTGTTGCTACTGGTGTTGTTGCTACTGGTGTTGCTGCTGCTAGTCTGGTCTTTCTTGGTCTGCTGCCTCTGTTGTATGCTTGTTCTTTGGTCTATCTCTGGTTGCGGTAAGTGGTAAGTAACCTTTTTTCTTGTGGTCGCAATGATATAAAGCTTCTCTGGACGTTTGTATTATTGCTTCCTTTCTCGTGGTAATGCATTCGTAACGTTTGCTTTGTTGCACTTTTTTTTTCTTTTGTTGGCTGTGATACGATCAGCTCAACGAATGCTTGCAATGTTGTTGCTTCTTATGTATGAACAACAAGCATGATGTACTACTATATATCTGTATTGCCGTTGTAATACTACTTTGTTATATGGTCGTGGATTGTTGTTTGTGTTGACTATGTCGCTTCACATGAAACAACATTAGTCATTATGTTATATTATACACTTATAATACTGCTGTTGCTCCTGCAATTGTACGTGTTTATGTTGCTTGACATCCGACTATTATCATGCGCGTTGCTCATGTATGCATTTTTGTTGCAATAACAGCGAGTTGTTCTGAACATCTTTGATGTTGTATTTGTTGTTACGCTTTTCTTCTGACTCACTTTTTTGTGTGAGTGTTTCTTTTTTTTTTTTGCCTACATACTACTCTACTCCAATAGTACTGTAGCATGTTCTTTTCTTCTTTTCTTTTCTTCTATTATGTTTCTTTGAAGCATACCTTTTTTTTGCGTTGCGGTGGATGTGCCTATCACTGAAGCTCAACAAGACTTTATCCGACACCAGGAGATAGATAGGCTGCCTCCACTTGGTTATCGCTACTTACTTTAGTGATGATTGAGGGTCTCAACGCCAGAATCTAAAGCTAGGTAGTGTAAGTAAGGCATACTCTAGCACCTGAGGGAGATTTGATGATAGCAGCGGCTATATTGCTATTATAGCGGCGCTTAAAATTGTGCCTCACATCCAAACAGGGGGAAACCCTCGCAAATTTTTTTTAGGTCAGCGGAGTTTTCAGGCGATTTGATTGGCTGAGAGTTCGAAGCAGCAAAGGTCTACAACTAGTTGATTTCCTATTGGTCTGTCATTTATAATAGTTATGTGTTTGTAATAAAAGAATGACCAAATGAATATACAGTGCGCGAAAAAAACGTTCCAGTGTTTTGTCAATTCGTAGTTTTACACTTACAGCTCTGTCAATTTTTCTCCAGTTTTAAAACTAAAGTAAGACTACGAAAGCTTGGGTTTTTAGCCACAAAATGAGCTACTAAAATAATTGACACAGTAGATATTGAGCTAGTGCAACTGACGTAACGTAAAAATTTTCGATTTTGTAAAATTGGAAATATCGCTTGATGACCTTATTGTTTGTATACATTCCACAAAAATGATCCGAGAGCCGTAATTTTTTACATCAGTTATGTTTAAAATGTTAGTTATCCGAGGAATGCTTAAAAAAGTATAACGAAGCCTGAGATTTTGGTCTTTTCCCTCATTATATTTTACCATCTTTACTTCATCACTTTTTTTACCATGACACGTCCCATTCCTCAGGAGGTTCAAGGATCTGTCAAGGCTCTTTTCAACCAAGGCTGTTCCCTCCGTGCCATTCAAAAAATCTTCCCAGATTTGTCCGTCAGTGTACTTTCTCGCTATAGGAAGAAGTTTCTTGTTCATTCAAAACATGCCAAACCCGGAAGACGCAGCAAAATCACTACGCAGAATATGAACTACATTGAGAGGAATCTCCGCAATGGTAATTTAGACGGCCCCAAGGGCGTGCAGTGCTACCTTGCTCATATGGGAGTTCAGATGACTTTGAGGAATATACAGTATATACTCAAGCGCAAAGGGTTCAAGGCTAAAAGAAAGGTAAAGACCAATTTCGTGTCTGCGGAGAACCGGAAAAAGCGTCTTGTGTGGGCCAAGAGACATCGACATTTGACTGCGGACGATTGGCGTAAATGGTGATTTTCCGATAAAACCAGGGTCAACATGTGGGGATCTGACGGCGAATCTTTCTACTGAACTGACAGGCCCACTGAGTTGATGCCTCATCAAACTGAGGCTCAAGTTCAGGGAGACGGTGGTGGCGTTGTTTTCTGGGGCATGATAACAGCGGAGGGACCCAGTTATGGCTCCACCATTACCGAAGGAACTGTTTACTCAGAAGTTTATGCTGAAATTCTGGACTCATCTTTGCTAGACACTATTGAGTACTATGGGCTGGACAAGAAAACGTTTAGATTCCAGCAAGATAACGCAAGACCACATGTTGAGGATATAGATCATCTCTGAGAGGCAAATGTATTAGGCGTCGTTTATTACATAAGAGGATCTGAGAATGAGCTGAGATGCATAATAGAAGTGAGAGGTCTTTATTCAAGCAGCACGAAGGAACATGAGTGGTGCCATCAAATGGCTAATCTATATCCTGGTTCCTAGAGAGTGGTAGCCTATGGCCTTTCGTCCCTGGAAGTGGGTTTCAATTCCGACAAATGTTCTTCTGTCAAAGCTATTAGGAAGAACATTCTATCCTGGATCATCTTTGTTGTTTATCCTTGACTGGTGGTTCATGAGTTCTGATGCAG